GTTGTCGAGAGTCTTCTTCTGTAGAGCCTCGACGTCGACTTTGAGATCGCTGCACTCCGTTCTCAGCTTGGTTATAACTTCACAGTTGTCGAGAATCTTCTTCTGTAGAGCCTCGACGTCGACTTTGAGATCGCCTCGCTCCGCTGTCAGCTGGGTTATAACTTCACCGTTGTCGAGAATCTCCTTTTGTAGAGCCTCGACGTCGACTTTGAGATCACTGCGCTCCGCTGTCAGCTGGGTTATAACTTCGCGGTTGTCAAGAATCTTCTTATGTAGAGCCTCGACGTCGACTTTGAGATCGCTGTGCTCCGCCGTCAGCTGCGTTATAACTTCACACTTGTCAAGATTCTCCTTCTGTAGAGTCTCGACGTTGACTTGAAGTTCGTGGTTGGCTTGGAAGAGATTGTCACGCACGGCGATAATGTTCAGGAATCGCTTCTCCAGAAGGCGGCCAAAGCATTCCGCGCGGCCGATATTTTCCAACATGGAAGATGGATCCGAAATGTCTTCCAGCCAGCGCAGGTGTTTAATGGCCTCCATTCTGAGTCCATTATAGTAGTCCCACTCGGTATTGAACATTTCCCGAGTAAAAGTCAAGAATGCGTGATATTCGTTGAGGTCATGGCGCACTTGACGATAGAACTTCCTTAGACTGAGCAGGTGGGAAATCAAGGGGTTCAAGTGTGTCTCAATCTTTTCTCGCCTTAGAAGCCCATCCCGTACAGCAAAGTGGACTTGGTGCACAGCAGCGATGGCGGCTTCGAGATGTGCCAACCAGAAGTCCTTGGTAGGAGGAGACTTGGCATTCCCGCCGCCAGGTTCCGCTGTGGTCTCGCCACTGCTCTCGACATTCTCGATGCTGGGCCTGACGTCGTCTTCTTCAACAAGACCCGGTAGTTCTTCCGTCGACCCAAGTGTCTGCATGACGATGGGCAGCGGGCAGCAAGCAGCATGCAGCACAAGCAGAGGGCAAGTATCGCGCGTAAAAGTGTTTATCGAAGTGGAGTCCAGCACGGGTAGTAAGGCGCGGTGGGACCGGCCTTTAGGCTGTTAGGCGACCGCATCCAAGGAAGCCACCGCCTTGAAAACACATGTTCGGAGCACAAAGAATACGGAGAGCCGCCGGGGAACGGCAACCAGCGGCTCGACAGAGGGAAGAGAGGATTATAGTGATGATGTTGGATGCCTCCGTGAATAGTTGATGGTTTGAAGTAGTAGAAACAAGAGGAGCCAAAGTCTGGAGTAGCAGGTTTTGACTTCGAGCTGGGGCGGGTGCTTGGGCCTTTAGGCAGATGCTTGCACGGGGGGATGGACCAGAAGGAAACTCAAAGAGGGGCTGGTCGGGCGCGGGGTTCTTCACACTTTCCCGCATCCATAAAGTCAATGACAAGCTGAGGTCTGCACTGTCTCAGACACGCCTGTGTCAGTTGCCCATTGAGTCACAGATCGAGCCGATTCCCCGGCCAATGGAAGCTCCAATTCCCTCGCTAGCGGGGCTTGGCGACCCACTATCTCTAGCTCATCCCAGACCGCCAAATCATCTCGTTTCCCATTGGCTCGTGTCTCGTCTCTCCCAGCTGCGATGATGCTCGGCTCAACGCGATCCTCACAAAAGTCTCCCTCCCCTATCAAAGCTCCCCAAAAGACAAACACAAGCACCCATGATCGATCTCTGGAGTCTTGAGGACGATGTTGCGCTAGCTTCTTAGTTGTCGATTGAATTTCCATCAACCCCCGGTTTTTCGTCCTCTTAGCCCGCAAACCGAAAATCACTGTGGACGTTGATTCCAAAAACCCTCCAAATGGCCGATCTACCTCCCCTCTCAACGCAGGACACGCGTGGCTCCGTGTCCGCCGTACCAATGCACGAAGTTGACCCCTCGCCCGTCGACGACGATGACTACCCTACCAACCCTTCCGACCTCGAAGGTTCAAAGCTTCCCCCTTCACACTATAACACAACCAACTGGCTGGGCCTCACACCCGCTCGAACGCAGCACATCCTGTTAGCGGTCCAGAAATACTCGGTCGTTCCCTTCTCGGCCTATCTGGCCATGCACTACACAAACACCGCCCTGATTCCCCTCCTCACCGGTTCGGCACGAGAGGCAGACAAATACCTCCTCCTGACCCGCCCCTATTATCAGTCCTTCCCGCTCGAACCCCTCCTGATCTTCGTCCCCGTCATCACCCACGTCGCCTCCGGTATTGCCTTACGGCTCTACCGTCGGCGTCTCACGGCAAGACGGCATGGAGCGGAGACGCTTTCCCAGCGCAGGAAAATGAAGAGCAAGATTCCCTGGCCAAAATTGTCTTTGACCAGCGCGGCGGGGTACGCACTGTATCCGATGTTCGTGGCCCACATGTTGTCCATGCGTATCATCCCGAAGCAGGTCGATGGGAGTTCGGCGTCTGTGGGACTACGCTACTTTGCCCATGGCATAGCCCAAGACCCTTATATTGGAATGACAAGCTATGCCTTGTTCGTAAGCGTCGCAAGTTATCACGTGGTTAGCGGTGCGGCCAAGTTCTTGAAACTGAGTGCAGAGTATGTTGTCGGGGGCGGGGACGAGGGTCGAAAGCGGAGGACGTGGAGAGGGAGGATTGTCAACGGGGTTGCCGCAGCCATAGCAGGTGCATGGGTTGCTGGTGGGTTGGGTGTTGTAGGAACAGCAGGGCGAGGCACTGGCTGGGAAGCAAGCCACTGGGATAAGATATATAGGGCCATGCCGGTTATTGGTAGGTTATTCTGAGATCGATGCAAGGGTTCCACAGACGACTTTCCGATACCACACATAGAACGAGACGGAGTGTCGTGGATCTGTAGAGGGATACAAACCCGTACATACCCTTGTAGTGGATTTTGTACGGTCAGCTGAAGAAATTCCCCTTTGCCGGTGCCTTCCTTTCCGGTCGTCAACGCAGGCTATCGGGACGGCAAAGGCTGCCAGACAGCCCAAGAGATGTTAAATGGGGATCGAATGTCCCTACATGGTACAAGTCAGTACTTGCGTGGTCTGTCAACAATTGATGCTTACGCTGCTAAATGCTGAATTGGCAGGGAGAAACTGAGATGACTTGATTTGCTCTCTTGTTCAACTGACGTCTCGATCATCTCGTTGATGACATTGAATTTGATCCGCCGCAAGTGTCGTAGGCGGTATTGCATGAGCACAAGTCGATCAACAATGGCTTTGGCTTGTTCCGTTGAGTCTATTGCAAACTCCAGCCTCTGGATCGAGCTTGAGATGAAGTCGACCAAGGTGATTTCCGTGTTTGGCCACGTCAAGCTAAGCTCCTGCATTTTCGGCGTGTCCAGTAAGAAGGCCGAGAGAAACTCAATAAAGGCAGAAGCTGGAGTCCTGCAAGAGGATATCTTGAGTACTTCCAGGCTTTCTCGGTGGAACTCGTACAGTGCTTCCATCGTCTTCAAATTCAGGAGAGCGTCCCCGCCTGTCTTTGGATCGGTGATTTGTGTCAAGGTTAGACGCTTCAATGGCCTGATCCGCTGAAACACTTGATGAGTGACGGACTGGGCAATCCTGGTCTGATATCCGTGTCTCTGTCGCATGAGAAGGCCTGGAGGCGGGCCGGTGACCGAGAGACTCTCAAGACTCGTCAGCTGGCTGAGCACTTCGGCTGTCCTGGTTGCGCTTGTTTCCGAAAACCCGCTGAATTGGAGTGATTGTAATTCTTTGATAGACCCCAGACAGCTGATATGGCATTGCTCAATGTCGAGCTTCAGCACATGCAGCTTGGTATAGTGCTCTACTATCCAGTTGAGGACTCGGGTCATGACGATGCTCGATGGTGTATTCTTGCCAGAATCCAATGGCCGGAGAAGTGACAAATACGTCACGCCAGGCAGTTTCCCCAACGCAGATGTTATGCGATGGATCTCCTGAAGGTATGGGTGTTGGGCAGCTTGACCAGCCATCCAGGGTGTCACAGTCTGAGGTTCGACCTCTTCTAGCCTCAGCTTCAGATTGCTGATGCTTTGCTGCACCTTCTCCGGCCAGCTGTTTGTAAAATCAACAAGATCATTCTGACAGTTGCATGCAAGCGGCCTGCGAAAGAAAGAGTCCCTAGCTTCACCGTACACCTGCTTGTTCACACACAGTAAGTTTAAGTGGTCTTGACACTTGAAGGCAAGCATTACGTCGTAGATGTATTGGCGGACTTCAAGGGGGATGTTTAGGAGACAACTCGCAGTAGCTGCGGCTGAGGCGTTTGGTTTTGTAGCCACCTATCGATTGTGAGTCCAGTTCTCGAAGGGTGAGTTTTGTTGCTTACTTCCTTTCCCTTCACAAACAAGTTGGCTTGCTGCATCTTCTGCGAAGAGCGAGCCTGATTGCTACCGAGGGAACAGACAAATGATGTTGGTTTCCTGTAGGGCCGCTGATTGAGGTAGGACGTTGCATTGGTTTCAATCTGTGCATAAACGCAGATTTGATATAATTCCGGTTGGTTATGCGACGTTGTTCTTGGGGGGGGGGAAGAAGATGGCTTGCACTCGCTAGGCTGATAGTACTTGATTCGAGCATCTTGGATCTATCACAGTATGGTACTGGCCATGTAAAGATTCGAGAGATGCTTCGTCTCCAATATTCAGCAACATCCTGCCAAGTTCACAGCTGTTCAGCCCACGAGGTATGATACCAACTCATGAGATATCTGCGGAAGGCTGAAATCCTGTTGTCGTGTTGCAGCTATTTCAACAGGAAGTGGAGTGGGGATGTAACTTGGGAAGGTTCAGAAATCTCATGCGCACATAACATATCGAGGCGGGGAGAGTCAAACTATCGGCGACAATGTGCATGAACAAGAACTTCAGAGACACTTGAGCCTGCCTTCAGCTGATGGGGGCTGAGGAATTTTCAAAAGAAGGTGGCTGCCACATGGTCCTCTGGGATGTTATACATAGTGTCGGCAGGCACTGAACGTTGGGGAGACAAGGTGCCGGACTGAACGCCACCCAAAGCAGGACGTGGACGTGGGAACCAAATCAGAACGACCTGGAGAGCGTAGCAAGCAAACCCCTTGGAGAGGCTCTACTTACAGACCCTTTGATCGAGGATCGGCCCATGAGCACGGAACACCTCATCTCAAGTACTCTATACTTTTGTTAGAGGCAGTGTCGACATCTGACCCAGAACTTTGGTCTACATTTCTCCGAGATCAGCTAGGTCGTGCATTTTCTGAATCCATGCAACCATGTTGACAAATACATGACCCCCGTCTAGCTTTCAATAGTAGCCGGACTCAATGAATAGATTGCGCGGATGAATGTAGCTGGCAGGAGTGTGACCCACGTGAACCATAAGACCGGCATTAGATTCGGCGAAATGATCCAGTGCCAGGCTTGCTCATGACTTAACAGTGTCGTATTCGAGTTGGTGGAGGGAGCTCGGATCGAGGTATTGCGTCGTCCTCTAGTTTATAATTGGTTGAATCGCCCGTTGGATCGAACGCTGGACCAGCAAACCAGGATGTCAAAATAGCTTGTCCATGTCAGTAGTGCCTACAGAGGTGTTTTGGTGCCAGTACAGTATGCCAGAGCTGGAGCTCTGGTATAAGGAAGAGGAGATTTCTAGGTATTCCCAACCACGCGATGGTCCTGGCAGATGGGTGGGTACCTGGGGTGGTTGGCGGATGGATGCAGGACGCATGATCGTGTTCGACAGGGCATCGCCCAAAAGGTCGCCAATCTTGAGAAAAGTCCAGTGAATGGTTGATGAGTAGAGCAAAGGCCAATCACTCCTCCAGATAGTGTGATTGACCCTAAAGTGTCCGAGAAGCTTCTAGTCCTAGGCTTCGAGATGAGATCGGAGCAGGCAGGCGAGGACCAGACAGACTTTCGCTATTTCTTCTCTTCTGCTCCTCTCTCCAATGGGAATCCTGGCGGGGGGAACCCACTGAGAGGTGCAATATGCAGCAAGCCCGAAAGGGGCCGGGCTCGAGGACTGAGACGTATCACTGATTGCTTAAGCTTGACGACCGGGCAGAGGAAATGGTTCTGACCCTTGCTCGGCCGGATGGGGTAATTCGGCGCGCGGGAGATGCATGGAAAAGAAAGCAGAGGCTCGCTAGGTCGTCGTGAGGGTCAAGGTGTCGGGGACGTGCATACAAGGAAGGTGGTTCGCTGTGGTGGCTTGTTGGAGACTTGGAGTACAAGTGAGAAACACGAACCTGAGGAGAGAATGTGAGGAGATGCATCTCCTGCGGTCCAGACTCGAATGTCGACAAAGCCTGTCCAGTAATTCAGTCACCGCAACAGCCTCGTTAATGTCCTAGATGGATACTAGATGGATACTAGACAACCTTTCCGGGGTTTCCTCAAGGCATGTCACTTTGCGTCCAGGCCGCATCAACAGCTCAACTTGCCATGTGGCCGCCACATCTCTTTAGCGACGTGGCACAGACATCCGAGTACCCAAAGAGCTGGATTTGCTCTGCCATTTTTGGTAGCCTGGACGATGATGTCCTACCACCATCACCGCTGAGACTCACGTCACATATCCTCGACTACGAGCACTTTTGATTCGACGTTGCAGTGAACTGGACTGGACTTTTGTCGCTCGATTCACTCCAAACGAGCCTCAACCAGTGGCAGAGCCAGTGTTGGAATCCCCCCTCGATCAAAACAGGGAATAGCAGGCTCAGACCGGCAGTAGTAAGACAGCCTTAGGGTCATAATGTACTAGGTAGGCGTTTGTCACCCATCGCCTAAGCAAGATCGTTGGGAGACAGGCAGCTGAGTCTGGATAGTACGCGCTCCCGATCCCAAGTCTGCGAAACAGCTCATCCAAGGACCACAAGGGGCGAACAATGCACTCGAGCACCATGGGGCACACCCAGCTTCCAAAACGCTACGTACCTTAGATGGTGTCTATGGACCAACAAGCCAACAAAACCCAGCCACGGAGAAATTGCTGCAGTGCTTGAACACCGCCTGGAGTCCAAACGCTGGCAGCTTCTTCGGCTCGCGAACCATGGAAATGCCGTGTCAGATAATGGCCATTATTTTCGCCGACTCATAAACTATTCAAGCTGAACCGTTACAATTCCTCGTGGCCATGTCGCAGCCACCCGATGCACCATGGGACCCGGATTCCACTGGATGCAGCCCCCGTTTCCATCTGACACGAACAAAACGCTGGCGCTAATACATATATTCAGAAATGCTTTTGGGCTTAAAAACATCCCCCGCTCCAGGCTAAATCACACCTTGAGTAGCTTCGCTGCATAGTTTGTGATGGTATCAACCTGGGGGAAGCTCATCTCTTCCAATTTCTGTGCGTAGGGGGTGGGAACCTCCGCCCCGGTAACACGAACCGGTGGTGCCTGAAGATAGTCGAACCCATATTCGACGGCCAGAGCAAGGATCTCTGCACCAACTCCAAAGGCAGGGAAGCCGGATTCGACTGCCATGAGAACACCCGTCTTCTTGACCGATTTAATAATGGCCTCCACATCCATTGGCTTGATTGAACGGAGGTTGATGACCTCTGCTTCGACACCGTAGTTCTTTTTCAGCTGTTCTGCAGCGTCCATTGACAGGCCCACACAGCGGGAGAGAGTCACAATCGTCAGGTCCTTGCCTGGTCGTTCAATCTTTGCCTTGCCGAAGGGGAGGACGAAGTCGCTCTTTTGAGCCTCTGCGCTCATGGGGAAGGCCTGGCCGTAAAGCAGCCTGCACATATCAGCATTTTCTTCCCCTCTAATTTTTGCTCACGTTCGAACTTACTCGTTCTCCAGGACAACCACAGGATTGGGATCTCGGATAGCGGCTTTCAACAGCCCCTTTGCGTCCTCCGCACTCCACGGGGCGACCACTTTCAACCCAGGAATACTCCCGTACCACGCTGAGTAGTCTTGTGAATGTTGAGCAGCCACTCCGGCGGCGAAACCGTTAGGGCCTCGGAAAACGATCGGACAGGGTTGGATGCCGCCGGACATGTAGTGGGTTTTTGCCGCCGAGTTAATGATCTGGTCAATCGCCTGCATGGCGAAATTGAACGTCATGAACTCGCAGACGGGATGCAGACCGGCCAAAGCTGCACCCACAGCTAGACCGCAGAAACCAGATTCTGTGATTGGCGTGTCGATGACTCTTTTAGGGCCGAAGCGATCTAGAAGTCCCTTGGTGACCTGGCACATGGTTAGCATCGAAGAGACGCAACGGGACAGAGGTTTTCAGTCCCTGCAACCGTGTTGCAATCCTCGGGAGCGTCTTACTTTGTATGCACCTGACAAATAGCTGGTCAGCATTGAACCCTCAACTCTGGACAACATGAAACTCACCATTGTATTGAGCCACCTCCTCTCCTAGTATGAACACTTTTTCATCCTGTTCAAGCTCCTCTGCCAGTGCTTCATTAAGCGCGTCACGGACCGTGAACGTCTGCTGTGAGCCAGAGGCATATCCTCGGATTGCAGGAAGAGATATAGGTGCGACTCTGCGGAAGGAAGGTCGTATCGAGGAGGAAAGGGCAGATCGCTGTGAAAGCAGCCGCGAGGCGCTTGTGAAGAGTCTGGCTGCTGACATGGTGAGCCGGGGAAGAGGCAATGTCGGCTAGAACGACCTGCTTGCGTCGGTTTCAGAAAAGAATGGCTTGAATTGACCAAAGGCGAAGGAAAAAAGTTGTTGGAAATTGAGGATAGACTGCAATACGGAGCTCGGGATTGATTGGGGTTCCCAACACGGAAGCTGCCATCACCAAAGGAAAAGGGAAGGGGCTCGGGGGGCCACCAGACAGGCTGAGCTGCCAGTGGTCAGCTTCCTTCAAGCCCAGTAAGGCTTAGCTCGGTCACGTTTCTCTTGGCATGTTTGGTGTAATTGTGGTCAGGCTGGCACCGGGTGTTGTCACAACAATGCTGACCCCCTTCTATTCATCCAAAGGCAGGTGAAGTGATAGCAAGCTTTTCAGCCACCATTGCCGTGTAAAAGCCGGCCAGTTGTGGGGTCAATCTCGACGCATCCGGATCTCTTTGCACGATCATATACATATCTGGACGCCAGAACAAGTGAGCCGATATCGCCTGGGCAAGAGGCAAGCGCGCGAGGGTCTCCTTTCATTCGAAGCATTGTTTATTGAAAGGATCAGTTCTTGTGGTCAATGTCTCCAAGATGTTTGTCTACGCAACGTTGACTCTGGCCCTCTTGGTGGAGTCCTCTTTCTCAAAGCAACCTTCAGCTCCCGAGGCGTTTGCAGCTCCACTCAGAGATCTGCAGCTCGGGCAGCTAAACTTCTTACATACCACGGATACCCACGGCTGGTAGGCTGTTGTTCCTAGTACCTGATTGATTCTATAGCTTGAGACCGCGGTATTGACATGACAAGCTAACCATCTCTCTCTAGGCATGCGGGCCACTTGCTCGAGCCATCTTTCAGCGCCGACTGGGGCGACTATGTGGATTTCGCCGCGCGACTCAGGGAGAAATTGGATGCGGAGGGCCTTGACTTGTTGATTGTCGATACGGGCGACCGGATCGAGGGCAATGGTCTCTATGACGCATCAGAGCCCAAGGGACTCTTCACTTTCGACATCTTTCGCGAGCAGCACATGGACATCATCTGCGCCGGCAATCACGAGCTTTACCAGAAGAACTCGTCCGAAAATGAATATCTGATCACTGCCCCGGCGTATGCCGGCAGCTATCTTGCTTCCAACCTTGACATCCGGGACCCAAACACGGGGGAACTCGTCCCTCTTGCACAAAGGTATAAAAAATTCACCACCAAGAATCAAGGCATTCGCATTGTGAGCTTCGGGTTTCTCTATAATTTCGATCGAAACTATAACAACACCGTCGTCCAGCGAGTCGAGAAGACAGTTCAAGAATCCTGGTTTCAAGAGGCCATTCGCGACCGAGAAGTCGACCTGTTTGTGGTCCTTGGCCACGCCGCCATACGCTCCGAGGAATTCGACATCATCTACAGGGCTATCCGGTCAGTCCAATGGGATACGCCCATCCAATTCTTTGGCGGCCACTACCATATCCGGGACTATCGCAAGTTTGACACCAAGTCATACGGCCTTGCGAGCGGCCGCTTCATGGAGACCATTGGCTTCCAGTCCATCGACGGTCTCTCCACAAACAGCAGCCGTCCGGCTGCTAAGAACCCCACGTTCTTCAGGAGATACATCGACAACAATCTGTACTCATTATACCACCATTCTGGCCACAACGCATCGACGTTCCATTCCGAGCGGGGCCGAAACATTACCGAAGCAATTGTTGAGGCTCGCGAAGCGCTTGATCTTGACCAAACATTTGGCTGCGCTCCAAAGGATCTATGGATGAGCCGCGCGCCTTATCCTAGCAAGGATAGCATCTTCTCTTGGCTCGAGGAGGAAGTCTTCCCTGGCATTGTCAGCGACGTCAGACGACGCGATCGGCCGCGCCTCGTCATATCGAACACGGGAGCAATCCGGTTTGACATCTTCAAGGGAGCGTTCACCAAGGATTCAACCTATATTATCTGCCCATTCACCAGCGGATTCCACTACATCAAAGACGTGCCGTACAGCAAAGCCAAACATCTCATCAACATGCTGAACCGCGCCGGTCCCATCTTTGAGAATCTCGACCCATCTCTGGCCATGTGGAAATTGGCCCCGCCCGAACAAATTGGTGTGAAAGAAGACATTGTCGTTGTCTCCTCATCTGACCACAAGCGCGGAGGCCACTCGCAAATTTCCCTCTCCGATGACGACGACCGCGACAATCTGACGCCGGGCTACACCACGCACGACGACTTGGGTGACGATGGCGACGATACAATCCACTCCCCGATATCCTTCTACCAGGTGCCCAACTGTATCCAATCAACGATCAATCCGCACCCAGACTCGATCAACCTCGATGCCGATGCCGATGCAGACGAAGGTGACGTCGTCGTGGACGTCGTCTTCAACGAGTTCATCGAGCCGTGGGTCATCTTGGCCTTTCGGTTCTTGGGCCTGGAGTACTCGGACGGGGACGTGGACCAGTACATGCCTAGAGACAATCTGACGACCTTGATCGCCAAATGGGTCGCTGAGAACTGGAAGGTTCATTGCAAGGCTTGAACAAGCCGGCTGTTTCTTTGAGGTGATGTGAAAGGGTCGTGACCCAAGCCAGAAGACAGAAATACCTCTTCCCCCCCAAATCCCCAGGCGTCGAAAAAGAGCCGACTCCGTGACATTATCCAAAAGCAGAGCACGCTGACGGCCCCCACTACTGGAATGCCGCTGTCGGCGATGTCCATCTCGAAAGTCTGACCTATCCTGACTTTGAGTAAGAAACGAGGCAGACAAGGCCTCTCGTTGGACTACCGTGCGAACACTGTCCAGACCTCGCATGTCACCACTGTCTGCCTCCGCCCTTCTACAGCCCTGCGGGACGAGCAGGGGGGAGAATTGAGAGGAGGAGCGCGCGCGACGATCATAAAACCTCTACGACTGCTTGCTGATCCACCGAAGGACGTTGACGACGTCTTTGTCTGAGAAACCTGTGTGTAATTGGAAAGGTGTCCCTCACGAGCCTCATTGGCGCGCCATCAGCGGACAGAAAAATGAGCCATTTTTGATTGAGGACATTTCCGTTCGCATTTGGGAACAAGGCAAGATGTGCCAGGATAAATAGATCATACCATTCCATGTACAGCTTCGTCGTCCTTATAACCAGATTATATATATCTACACAGATTTTTTATACTGAACCGACCACCCAACCTTCAATTCAAGTGTTCATCGCAGATCATGGCCCAAGTCATGACTCCCTTGCCACCCTCTGTGGGCCAGCCCTTTTCATTGACTCTACCCTCGCCGATGACGACCTCCTCACAGACCCGGAAGCCGAGACTCTCATACTCCCTCATGGCGCTCTCGCTGGCCGTCTCCAACCACACGGGCACGCCCTCGCTCTTTGCCCTTTTCAAAAAATAGTCCATGCACGCCTTGAAAGCGTTATCGCTCTTGTCCGCCGGAGCGTGGGGGTCCCTCGCGATCATGGCGAGGTGGTAGAACGGGCGCGTCTCAAAGTCCGTGTCCTTGTTGAAATCCGCCGGATAGGGATCCTCCGAGGGGGCGCCGGAGGACTGCGACGGCGCCGCGGGCTGGTCGTAGCTGTGCTCGCCTTGATCGGGGATCGACAGGTATTTGGCCTTCAATTTACGGGCTGTGCTCCGCCACTCTTGCAATATGGGCCCGGGGTTCCGACGGGCCTGCGAGGGCGGGATGCCGCAGAAATCCGGGGGTTCGAAGAGTGCGGCGGCGGCGAAATCGCCGGACTCGATGAGCACGACGTTGGATTTGGCCGCGGCCGTGATGCCCAATGTGAAGTGCTTGGTGAGCCGCTCGGGCGTCATCACCTGGGAGATGTCGGACGAGGGGTCGGTGGAGTCGATCTCGGTGATGAATGCGGTGGTGAGGGGCGTGGTTAGGTACGCGTGGGAGAGCAGGGAGATGAAGTTGTCGAGCCATTTCTGGTCCGGAGAGGCTGTCGTCTTGACTTCTGTCGACATGGCGATGGAGGCGTGAGGATCTTGTAGTATGTATGTACCAAGGGCAAGCAGTCACCCAGGCTGAGGCTGAGGCAGATTCAAAGAGTGTTTCAATGCTTTTGAGGCAACGATGGTCCAGTTCTAGGGCAACGGCGAGTCTAGACCGCCGTGTATAGTCGAACGAATGAGCGAGGGATTATTCCTCCGGTTCTTTGGGCGGTCATTCAAGCAATATAGAATATAGGATGTAGAAGGGGAAGAGCTGAAAGACAAGGAAGAAAGGTGGCAGTGCTTATGGCCTGCAGCTGGTGGCAGTGAGCTGCGGACAGCCAGATGCGTCACCGACCAACAGCTGGTCAAGGCACAGCTTTCATTTCAGGGCTTGTCCCTGTAGATCTCTATCTTTGGTCGCCTTGCTCCGTACGCTACTTACCTAGCGAGCTAGGTACCTAGGGAGGCAGTGGGAGGAGGTGCCGCTGGTGCTCAGAAGCCTGGGTGAGGAGAGCAGGCTTGTTCTTTGGCGAGTGGAGGCCCTGGAGGGGCGCATCTCACAGGCACTAGCCCCCAAATGCGGGGCAAAGACCAAGGAGCTCGGGAGGAGGGAGGCCACCAGGCACACAGCTCGGTGGTGTCGCTGACTGGACGAACTGCATAACTGGGGCACCAATGGAACTGGATCCATTTCCTCAACAAACATACATGTACCTAGCCCTCCCAATCCATATTGATTATCTGGTAATAATATTATATCAGTTGTCATTCGAGAGCGAACAGAGGTCATCATGGCGGCCACCACTGACAACCGCAAATCAGTCCTCATCACCGGCTGCAGTCCTGGGGGCATCGGGCACGCCCTCGCCCTGGCCTTCCATGCTCGAGGACTCCGGGTCTTTGCCACGGCTCGAACCACGGGCCAAATCGTCGACTTATCAGAGAAAGGCATTGAGACTTTGCCCTTGGTGGTCGACGACGACGACTCGATCCTGTCCTGTTTCAGAGAAGTCGAGCTGTTGACCCATGGTCGGGGGCTGGATTACCTCGGTGAGGGAGCCTTTGTCCTTGGAGAGCTTTTGAAAGTAGAAACTGACGAACGAGTTCGTGAACTCACAGTCAACAATGCGGGCGTCTCGTACGTGATGCCCGCTCTGGACATCAACATCTCCGAAGCCAAGAAGATCTTCGACGTCAATCTCTTCGCCATCATGCGCCTGTGCCAGGTCTTCTCGCCTCTCCTCATCACCGCCCACGGCACCATCGTCATGATCGGGAGTCTCGCCGGATGTATTCCCTACGTCTTTGGCGGAGTCTACAATTCCTCAAAGGCCGCCCTGCACGCCTATGCCAACACGTTGCGCGTTGAACTCGCCCCCTTTGACGTCAAGGTCATCACCATCGTCACGGGCGGCGTCAAGTCTCGCATCTCTTCGCATGTCAAGCGCGTCTTGCCCCAGGACAGCGTCTACGCCCCGCTCGAGGAGAACTACCACAGACGCCAGGGTCATTCCCAGGAAGGCGCCATGCCCGCCGAGGCGTATGCCGAGAGTGTCGTCAGTCAAGTACTTCCTGGCGCCGGGCCGTGGCCTTGGAGGTGGTTGTTGAGGGATGCCCGGAGGAACTGGATCTGGGAGGGCAATAAATCCTGGGTGGTCTACTTCCTTTCAGGTGGCTATACCTGGACTTCCTTCTTCGACCGGTATATGACCTGGTTGTTCCAACTCCGGAAGCTGAAGCGGAAGGAGATCTGAACGCCGGCGAAAGGAGTATTGAAGATAGTGTGGCCCGGCTCGAGTCCACAAATCTGCGATGAGCAAGCTCCTTCCATGTCATTCCTCGGAGATTTCAGCCTTGCGGCACTGCACCAATCCGTCAGAGACCCATCGACTCCCAAACTCGACACACCTCGTTCAGCGACCAGGATGAACCATGTGTCGACCGCGCGTGAGCTTCTCGACCCGCAGAATTAACTCCACGACGGCAAACCCACAAGCAGCTTATGACCTCTACGCCGCTCGTGGATATGTCTTTTCCGACCCCCAGCAAGAGGAGACGACATCGACTCAGGAGAAAGCGTCCATCACCGTGGCTCTTCTGCCACCGACCGAGGTGCCAAATGGCAAAGAATAAGAGCTAACATTGTCCGCAGGGTACGGAGCTTGGCGGTCTACGTTGTCCCACAGCAAGGAGGTAGAGATTACACAAAGCTCTTGAAAGCGGATAGCTGCCGCGCGCACTTTGCTTGGAAAGAGTCAAACTGCTATATATATATGTTGACGCTATGAAAGAAATGATTTGCTGATCTTGCACTGTTGTCTCTACACATGGGGAGAAGGGTCTATTCTTTTCGTTTCCTAGATGCTCTCTATTTTTGAGTTCTCACACTGTTGAAAACCTGACACATAGTCCAACCCAGGTTTTATTGTACAGAGTATATGTGTATGTGTACACTTCCCACAACGGGGCAGTCCTTCGTTGCAACCCGCGACTTGGACATGCTGAGATCCGGTTCAGGTTGGAGCCTTCTCGTATGCTGGATCAGCAGCATCATTCCTGCGGCGGCCTTGTGCATCCGACTCAGTGTCGTCGTCCTCCTCTTCTGCGGCGTCCTCCTGTTGCTCTGTTTCTTGATCCTCGTCACCAACGGCGGCTTCTGCCTCTGCGGCTTCCTGCTCCTTGTTTTGCCGTGCAACATCCAAAGCAATCTCCGTGCGGCGCCGTTCACGCCACTCCTTCCAATACGCCTCATCGGCATCAAGCATTTTCACAATCGCTTCCACCATGACGTTCCTCAGCCCAAGACCCAATCTGCTTGGTGTTGCAGCTTGGCCCTGGCTTTTAGAGTTGTGTTGTCCTCGAGGTTGATTCAGCCTCTCTAGCTCTAGCCATGCGAGGTTCACAAATCGATCGACTGTTTTCCTCAATTCCATCAGGATGGCCGCCGCTTGATCCGAGATTCCTGGCGCAACATCGTCAGGTGGTAAGAAACGGAGCCGAAGCCACCCATTGAGTTCCAACACCTGATCTACTTGCAGCTTGAGACTCCGACAGAATAAGATGGCCATGAGCGGTGTCACCATGGATGCCTGTTCGAGCCACACGACATCGTCAGGTCCGTCGAGCCCCGCTTGTTTCCATGTGTATGCCATCAAGCGACCATAGCTTCGGTATTTCTTCTTCTGACGTCGGTCCCCCCGAGTGTTCGCTTCATTCACCCCGTGTTTCGATATCATGCCGATGAGATCACGACTATCAGTCGACCAACCATATTGACGGCCCCTCAAGCTTGTCGCTCCCCGCCAGGCGGCTAGTTCAGCGCTGACAGTGTTGACAAGCAGCGCTTTAACAAGCACCATATTGTCACTGTTTACATTTAGAGAGTCAGGAAGCGATTCGAAAAGGGTTTTGCCGGACTGAGGAGGCGGAACAAATCCAATTTCCGCGAGGACATCGTGGAGTCCTTTGCTTGTCATCATCATATCCAGGTAGGCGCGGTGTCGAATGTGTTTGGTCTCACATAACTCCTGCATGAGATTTTCGTCACCGGCCAGGTTGGCTTCATGGTACTCTTTGAAGGCCTCGATGATCCACGCAAAGTCACTCTCGAATTCGGGAAGGTATTGCTGTTTCACAACTCTGAGTCTGTCGATACTCAGTGCTAGAGTCGACACAAGAGGAGCTCCAGGATCGTGACAGGCAATAATCAGCATGGGTTCCAGACATCCGAACAGTGATCCCATGAGAATGCCCTTGCCCAATGCTGGATGGACTCCCAGGCGCCACAGTAATCTGCCTAGATCTGTGATGTCCCCTCTTTCGGTCAATGCGCCCAGACTTTGTAACTGTCTGATCGCGCTCGCGACCGATTCAGAGGTGGGCGGATCTATTGTGTCGAGAAGAAGACCTTCGACATCGACGTGTTGGGGGAATGCCTTGAACTGCAAAGCCATTTCCGCGAGATCGGTCTGCTCGATCTTAGGACGTTGCATTGGTCGAAGTGAGTCATGGCGTTCCTTTGAAAACAGAGCGTAGTAATGACCATCTCGGACGCGTCCAGCACGTCCACGTCTTTGAACTGAGCTGGTCTTGCTGATCCAAGTATAAGGTAGACTCCTGGCAAGGGTCGAAGGGTCAAACAGGCTATTTCGCTCCTTGCCAGTGTCGACGACATGAACGACATTTGGAAGCGTGATTGAGGTCTCTGCAATGTTTGTCGTCAGGACGATTCTCCGACAGCCCTCAGGAACAGGTTCAAAGACTTGATCGTTGGTTTCCCGGCGCAGCGAGTGAAGTTTGAACAGCCGGAACTTATCTGGATCCTGGAAGTCAAGTCCCAGAGTGGCGAAGCGGCCGCTGGTCAAAAGAAGCTCGGCCTTTTCCATTTCCGTCGAACCAGGAAAAAACACCAATACATCGCCGTCAGGCTTAGTCTTCGCAATGTGGGCGATTACGGAGACAGCTAAGCCCACACGCATCGAGCCTATAAGTTCAGCCGAGTCGGATTCATCGACAGCATCTGGCAGCGGCGACGACTCATTTGCGCCTTTTTTCCTGGAGTGTGAATGCGATGATGCCATCTTTATTTGCCTGGCAGAAAAACGCATCTCATGTTCGATCTGTTGCGCGCTAGATTGGTGGTGACCACCCTTAATCAACTGGCGTATTGAGGGGTGTAGGTCGCCACCTTGCGACAATTCTGAGAGAATCTCAGGCAGATAGTGGGTTTCGACATGCGCACGCCTTCCTTCTACATCGAGGCAATCGACGTTGAGGATAGAGCCGTCCTCCGCTGGCTGTCTGAAATAGTCGAGAAAAGTCGTCGGGTCAATGGTAGCACTCATCAGGATAACCTTAGGGCAGCTCTCCTGCGCGGCCCTCCTGGCTCGCATAGCCCTGCGAAGAAGCGAGAGGACAAGATCAATCTGTATATCGCGTTCGTGGACCTCGTCAACAATGATGTGCGAATGGGAAGACAATGTTGCTTGTGGGTTGGCTATGAGTCGGTTGAGGAGGATCCCTGTGGTGCAATAAGTGATGCTGCCACGCGGAATTGGCGAGCAGTTATCGTGGCCAATATGGTAGCCAACAGTATTTCTGATGGTATCATGGCGCTCGTGAGATACCCTCTGTGCCACAGAAGTTGCCGCAATGCGCCGAGGTTGGGTGCAAACAATGTTTGTACAAGGGCCTTGGCCAGACATGATTTTGTTGTCGAGTATAATCTGAGGGACTTGTGTAGTCTTCCCCGAGCCAGTTTTAGCCAGGACGATCACCATATCATTGTCGTCGATCAATTTGAGAAGGGCCTGCTGCGCCCCCTCGGCCATCAGAGGTAATGTCTGTCTCAAGCGAAGAGTCTCCTTCATCGCTGCTTGTTGTCTAGCGGCCTCCAGACCAGCCTTCATTTTGGCAGCCAGCCTGCCGTTATTCTTTAATGAGACCCCATCCACGGGAGGCTCGATCTGTGCTGTGGAAGGTTTGAGAGTCACTTCTTCGAGAGTGAGCCCGTGTGTGTGAGCCAGTCTCATTGTCTCCAGAGCGGATTCAAGATTGACTTTCGGAAGACTGATGCGAAATGCCTTGCGTGCCCTGGCAGCTTTCTCCTCCTGCGTTGTGGGAAGCGAGTCGGGATCATCTCCGCCACTACTGTCATCGTCCCTGCCAGAGGCCACCGAGGACGAGACATGATCGACAGCGTCAGGTTGGCTGTGTAGCAGTCGTACAGAAGGAGGGCACTTCGGAGGAGTCTGAGTACATTTGGCTGTGGAGGGATGGACGTAGGTTCGAAAAGCTGAGCCATCTGTGGAAATGGACCTCAGACAGGAAATATCACGAATCCGGTAGGCAATACATTGCAAACCGCGCGGGTGCAGGTTCTGCTTGGAGCAATATTAGAATATTTTCCTTTCTGAATGAAGAGGACAGCGAGCTCATACCCGTGCACACCGAGCCCACATAACGGGAGATCGACCTCTTCATTTTTGCAACATGTGTCTGGCGAGAACAATCTCAATGACACATGTAGACGAGCTGTAGGCAGGAAGAAAGACGCAGTCTATGTGTTGAGATGGCGATTGCTACAGAAAAATCACTCCGCATACTCGATGGAGCTGAGGTGCAAAGATGCAGCCAATCGGAGTTCAGGAGGCAAGTCTCGGATCACGTGCCGGCATATATACCATTCTCCAAGACGGAAGGTCGAGGGAGCAGCTGCTTCAATCATTGTCGAGATATCATGATGCGGTTGTAGGCCATCGTGACCCAGACGACGATTCACCCGCTAGCATCGACAACGGCTCACAATCACTCCCAGGTCTCACCTCCAAGCCTATCCCGAAAACCTCCTTCTGCGTGGATACAATCAGATGCAGTAGAGAGGGAAACAGTAGCACCGTTCTTGTTTCAGAGCTGGGCTGCTACAGGGGATGCAGATCCTTGCATCGAACAGGACCTGCGCGGCAGTTTGCGAACCCGGATCTAGCGAGCAACGGGACGGGAGCTTACAGCTTTCCACACCCAATCTCAATGGGGCTCTCGCAAGAGCTACTGCGCCAAGTAGTCCTTTCTACGTAGACTCCCCCGCAACACCGGGTTCGCCGAAGGATTCTGTTTGGACAGCGCCGTTGCTTACGCCCGTTGCACTTCTAAGTTCTGGCGAATCGTCGCTGCTATCGACGAGCCATGGCCGTCTGTGCTGACTGATGCCTTGAATCTGGGCGGAACACTGACTCGGTCGCATATCTATAAGTTGAGAGCCTTGTCCTCTTTCAAAATGTGATTGAGAACTTTTCCCCGCTCTTGCATGACCCTTCTTTCTCTACATATCTCTTACTACGCGGTTGAACCATCACGGACACAATGGACAGGCTGGAGAAGAAAACGCTCAAAGTCACGCGGGGTTTCACCTATACATACTATACCAGTCCTGCAAAGGACGGTCGCCCTACTTTGCTTTTGGTTCATGGTTTCCCCGATGCGCCTGATACTTATGAGGAAGCGATCCAAGACTATCTGGTACCCAATGGGTACGGTGTCATTGCCGTAGACTGCTTGGGCTATAACGGCACCTCCAAGCCCACCGACAAGGAATCCTACAATATGCAGTTGATGTCCCAGGACCTTAAAGAAATCATTGACAAGGAGGGTCTTGACAAGGTCATCCCCCTCGGCCATGACTGGGTAAGTTCTTGCTAGTTAGGAGGGTTCTTCTTTTCCTGAACCAGCTTTTTCCCTTGTTCACCCTATGCATCTTGTAAAATGCCCATTCCCGACGCTCACACTCAAATCACAAAGGGCTCCGGTGTCGTCCAACGCTTCTACAACTTCCACGCCGACCGATGCGCGGGCCTGGTCCTCCTGAACGTCGCGTACCTCCCACCTACACCCGAACCGTTCAACCTCGATGCCACCATCGAACTCACCAAGGGCATCTTCGGCTACGGCACGTACTGGTACTGGAAGCTCTTCACCGCCCCCGACGGCGCACAGATCATGGACTCGCACCTGGAATCCATGTGGGACGTCGCGCACGGCGAACCCGAGACGTGGCTCGACACGCTCTGCTCGCCCGACGGCGTTCGAAACTTCCTTCTGGCCAACAAGAGGCAGCCCACCCTGCCCTACGCCACCGAGGAGCGCAAGCAGAAATGGATCGCTTCCATGCAGGAAGGAGGCTTCGATGCCCCGCTTAACTATTACCGATCCATGGTCTTTGGCGTGCAGGACAAGGCAAACGCCAACATCCCGCCAGAAAACATTCCCATCAAGTGCCCGCTTTTGTTCTGGGGCGGCAAAAGGGATATGGTTTGCAGGCCCGAGTTGCTGCAAATGAGTCTCGACGCCGGATTGATACCGGACGCCACGCAGGTCGTGGTCGACTCGGGACATTGGGCTCACTTAGACAAGCCGAAAGAGTTTGGGGAGGCGCTGGTGGGCTGGTTGAAGGAGAAGTTCTGAGAAGGCCAGGCATTTGGGCATAGCGTTCGAAAGCTGGGGATCGCGATTGACTTGACTGGTGATTTCAGGTTCAAGATACCTTAATGCCCGTCTTCTTAGGACACATGGCCAGGGTTGAATTAGTCTCGGATGCATCATAAACTCAAGAGTACGGCCGCCACAGCCATCAGAGTTCTAGAGTGGATGTCTGTGGAATCGAGGCCCCCGTGAAAACAAAGGGCAAATAATCATGACACGCCCGTAAACATACCATTCCAATGGTCATTGAATAGATCCACCAACGTGTCGCTGTAAATGACACCGGCCCCATCGTCAGTGAGATCGAGTGACGCACGGATTACCAAGCCCACATTAGTTTATGCGCCAATATTCGCTCTCCCAACCTCTCGTATAGAAAGGCATTGATCCAAGAGTCATTGGTGCGACTCATCCTGCCAAAGACAGCGCCGCCCTTCCACGCCACTACCTGCGGATCCAGCTCCCTAGGTGGACGTCCAATCAGAATGTCCTTGCTATAGCCAGGTAGTATCCCCTTCAAACTCTCCTCCAGATGCGAACCCAGTCCGGGAATGATTGATGTGCCACCCGTAAGCATTATTCCCGAGAGAAGGTCGGACGTCTTCTGGGAGGAGCCTCTAGCTGCGTGGGTAATGGAGGTGACAATAGCGTTGGGGAGAGGGTAGATGGGGAGAATGTCATCGCGTCGTTCGATGGTGAGCGGTTCTTCCTCTTCCACCTCTGGGACCGGAGGCTTCTCGTCGCGTGTAGCACCGCCTTCGTTCTCCTCTCCAGGCTGTGGTGTCCCGTCTGGCATGTTGCGCGCCGGGGAGCTTGCAGCCGAAGGCTGAGGTGTTGCATCCATTTCCTTGATGTTACTGAAGGACGGACGGCGGGAGTCGTTGTTGAAAGATTCGTCTTTTGTCGCTGTTCCGTTTGTGAGAATGCCATTCGTGTGTCCATTGGTCTTTGCCGCGGGTTTGTTTGTCGAGGTGAGGACTTCTTCCGGAGCAATGGCTGTCAGGATCTCTGCTTGCGCGGTGGAGCTCGGGTCATTTGGTTTGTTGTCGTAGATGTCGTAGGATTTGTCGACGAGTTTACGACGACCTTTGAGTTTCCCACTGTTGTCAAAGATTTGAGGCTTGAAAAGTCCCATCGGCGCAAGGATGACTTCATCGTAGATCTTAAATGTGTACTTCCTAGTGTCTTGCCCCGGCGCACGCAGGTGGAAGTCATACAACTGCACTGACACATCTGCCTCGGTCATGGTGCAAAATTTTTGCTTCAGCTCTTCTGCCAGTTGGAAGTCATATCGTCGGTTTAAGTTGATGTCCGAGTAAGGAAAGTGGTTGTAAATGACCATCTTGACGAAGGTTTCGGTAATGTCCCTTCCGCCATACTTCAGGTTGACTCGGGAGTTATCAATAACCATTCCGTCTTCCACGCAAGAGATTGTTGTCTTTTGCGCACCGATGTCGACAATGCAGCATGTCGTGAAACCTGCTCCGAAGGAAGCGGCCAAACTCTCTTGGATGAAGCAAACGCGTCCTAACCCAAACTCGGTTATGGCCATTTCAAGCAGACTGGTCACGTATGTCCTTTCGTAGTAATCAGGGATAACTATGACGCAGCTATACTGATTCCATTCTTCCCGAGTGCGGAGTTTCAGTTCGAGCTGGGATCTGATGGCGTCCTCAATGATGATGCGGATATCATCGTACAAGAAACGTTTCGAATCGTAGTCTTGCTCGTTGATCCAACCACATCGAATGGGCCAGAACAGTTTGTACCGCGGCATTGAATCATCAGGAATGCGAAGAGCAGCTTTTCCTGTGATATATTCAGGAGGACCACCGGAAATTTCGTTTGTTTCTGTCCACTCGATGCGCATGGTGTCATTGTGCTCGGTGATAGTCTCGTATGTATTTCTTCGGTTGTAACTGGTGACCATGTCCCTGGACTGCGGTAGCACCTTTCTCTTGTTCATCCTCATTCGCACTTTAAGATCCTGAGACATTCCAGAAAATTTCTTTGCGAAGTCCTCGCCAAAACGCTTCTCTGGTTCCGGTGGGGGTATGCCGTTGTCTAACTTTGCTCTCTTGGGCGCCGGTTCTCCATCCCCTTCCTCGCTCTCAGATTTGGCGGACCGGCGAGCGATGACCATGGGCACAGTCTTTGGGAGAGCGTCGTTGGCAAGACCGACTCTGAGATTTTGGGACCCGATGTGAATGACAATGGTCTTCGCTCCGCTTGAGGCTTCGTCTTCGGCCTCCTCTTCACCATCGTCCATTTCGATATCTCCATCAGGTCCGACGGTTCTTCCTTGTGCAAGGGCCCTGTCCCTGTCTTTAGCTTGCTTCACCATTTTGTTGCGAGCCTCTTCCTGCTGCGATCGGAAGGCCAGTATTTGTTCGTCTCGTTTAAGATAGTCTGTGTAATAGTTTTTTTGGTTTATGGCTTGGATTATGGGCCAGGATGTGAGCTCCATATTGCTATAAACAATCAATTAGTTGTGTATTCCTTTTTGATGGCTTTGCTAGCAAGTCCTGTTGCAGACACGAAGAAGCCTGTTGTAGACGTGGACAACTCACTTGTCAGTTCTTTCCAGGCCTTCCTCCCGCAGGAGGGCCTTTCCACTTTTCTTTCCCACCATCTTGATGTGGTCTGGCCCAATCCCTGGAGAAGGGTTTACGATCGTGTAAAGGGATAGAGGCGGAGACGACGGCGGAGTTGGTGGATAATGGCGGTCTATAACATCTGGCGCGGAGTTGTATGGAAAGAGTGTTTATTTCCTTTGTCCTGATGATACAGTATGTGGCATGGAGAGTCGGAAAAGGTCAAATTTCAAGTTGCGCCGGTGTGAAGTGACTGTAGTCGATACTCCGCAATTTGCAAGTTGGTGGCACGCGTTGAAGAAGCGAGGAAAGTCCCACCCCGGATCATCGGGCGGTCAGTGGCTTGACCTCAAGGCTTCCGCCCACTGCAACACATCTGGCCTTTCTATTTTCTCATTTTGCCTTGTCTTCACAATTTAGTTGAAACCAGGTCCTCATCGAAAGAAGCTATCGATCACCGGGTTTGAGGATAACTTTCGCCTCGACCTGATCAGCTCCATTCTCAAATACCCAAGTTCTACTACGTCAAAACCAGCGATATGGTCTTTTCGTGACCACTTGACTTCTGAGCCCTGCCGACAGCCAACAGCCTTCCATCGTCCGACATGGGTGGCTCGTTTTCAAAATACTTCACCAACCTCATTTGGGGCAAGAAAGATATCAGGATACTGATCCTTGGCCTTGTGCGTTGTTTGGATTGTCTATAACCAGAGATGACATGGGCTGACAAGCATTGATTAAGGACAATGCTGGAAAGACCACCCTTTTGTATAGACTCAAGGTAAGTAATGACTAATAGATCTAGATCTTAGTCTAAGCGAGACAGATTGGTGAAGTAGTCACCACGATACCGACAATTGGGTTCAACGTGGAGTTAGTCTTGCCCGGGATTATACCTCTGGCGTGGGAGACTGAATGCATTTTACTAGGTCCGTTCAATATGGCAACCTGAACTTCGATGTGTGGGACCTGGGGGGACAGACATCGATAAGACCCTACTGGAGATCATACTACGCCAACACCGCGGCCGTTATTTTTGTCATTGATTCGACCGACATTGAACGATTAGAGATCGCCGCAGACGAACTAAGGTCGATGTTGAACGAGGATGAACTGAAAGATGCGGCTTTACTGGTGTTTGCCAACAAGCAAGATCAGGTACAGACCGTCTCCCGACCTCTGGAATGTGGCTGACGACTAGTAGCCTGGCGCACAAGGAGCCGGGGAGATTTCTGAAGCTTTGAAATTGGGCGAGCTGAGAGACCGAAATTGGAGTATTGTCGCCTGCTCGGTCATTGATGGTAAAGGGATCAATGAAGGAATGGATTGGCTTTCGTAAGTTTGGCGACTCGATGTTGCCTATCGACTCTGCTAACACCTTGCAGTCAAACTGTGCAATCAGAGTCATGATGTGCTTGCTAAAATATACCCATGCATCAATGTGGCGCGTTCGACAACATCAATATCATTCTATTTCTGGCCCATTCAAGAGCATTCAACCGCACAACTCAATTGTGGGGGAATTCGGGTTGGGTCAGGCCCGTCAGGGGGAATGTGTACAACCCTTGGTATCGGGGATGTTGGCGACCTCAAGTCGAGCTGAGCTGGCTGTCCCAAGACCCAGTCTTCTCAATATATCTTGGGGAACTTGCATCGCAGCTAGGTAGGTCAGTTCGAGGCTGCACTGCCGCAAAAGTCAGCTGTCAGAGGTGGCTGCATGTGGATCGGATTCATATTTTGGACTGGAAAAGTACTAGAGACAGCTCTCAGATAGCGGAAGATGGAGCGTATTGGTCATGGATAGGATTAGCATATGAGAAGGGTCATGCGTGATCTTGTGGTATCAACTGCTTGGAAGTGTGGGAGTTGATCAATGTGCGGAGAAGAGCATCCGCATGCGCATCCGCAGATCTAGACTCGTTGTGTCACTGAAACAAATTACCCTTCGCATCAACTAACAACTAACTTTCTCTCTGGCTTGGTTGCCAGTCTTACCAGTGAAGCAGCCACTGTTCTTTGGCGGTGTACAGATCGCGTCCACTTCCTATCCATGTCCCTACTGTAACATCGTTGTCTTCCCTCAATTTGTCACGCTGGCTCGATTAAAAGGCTTACTCGTCCTCCTCGCCTCCATCGCCTTCTTCTCCCTCGTGACCATCATCAGCCTGGCTCCCTTCCGTGCAACTCCCCGGCTAGGTTCGATTCTGAACCAAGTCCGACCCTTCAAGCCGGCGTCTTCCTCCACGACCTCCCTCAGACCGGTAACAACCTCCAGCATGACTTCCACAAAGTTTCGCCGGCCTCCGCAGGCGCCCCCAAGCTTCACAGCAACTCCTGAGTCACTCATAAAGGAGACGAAGGACATGTTGGCTGGCTCGAAGAAGATCACGGACGATATCGTTGCTCAGATCTCGCAAAAGGATGCAACGTTTCAGAATGTGCTTCTTCCCATGGCGCACGACGAGAATCAGCAAACATTGAAAGCCCACATCCTAGGATTCTATCAGTCCGTCTCCACCGACCAGGCACTGCGGGATGCTTCAACTGAAGCAGAGAAACTTATGGACGATTTCAGCATTGAAGCGGCCATGCGGGAGGACGTCTTCAATCTAGTGGACGCCGTACTCAAGAAGGGGGAAAAGTTGGATTCCGAGTCCCAGAGGTTGGTAGAGAAGGAACATAAGGCCTTTGTGCGGAATGGCTTGAATATTCCAGCAGGGCCCAAGCGGGATCGGTTCAAGGAAATCAAGAAGAGACTCAGCCAGCTGGGCATTGCCTTCTCCAAAAACTTGAATGAAGAGAAGGGCGGTATCTGGTTCACTGCGGAAGAGCTCAACGGTGTCCCCGAAGATGTCTTGTCTCTATTGAAGAAAGAAGGGGACAAGTACTGGTTAACCTTCAAATACCCAGATCTATTTCCTACTCTCAAGTACGCTACGAACAGCGCCACGAGACGCAAAGTCTTTGTTGCTAACGAGAACAAATGTAACCAAAACGTTCCGTTGTTCCGGGAAGCCATCCTGCTCAGAGATGAAGCCGCTCGCCTGCTCGGCTATCCTAATCATGCTGCTTTCAGGATTGAGGATAAGATGGCAAAGACCCCCAAAACTGTGGACGACTTCCTGGCTGATTTGCGCAACCGATTAAGCCAGGGAGGTCTGGACGAGATTGCAACTCTGAAGAAGATGAAGGAAGAAGATCTCAAATCTCGTGGCGAGGAATTCGACGGCCGCTATTATCTGTGGGACCACCGCTTTTACGATCGGATGATGGAGGAGAAGGACTACCAGCTGGACCAACAGTTGATCTCGGAGTGGTTCCCGCTACAGACCACGATCAAAAGCATGCTCGAAATATTTGAACAAATATTTGGCCTTGTCTTCGTGGAAATCGTGGGCAAGGACCGAGACACTGTTTCTCCATCCGGCAAGGGCGAGGATATTGTGTGGCATGAAGAGGTGCAGGTTTTCAGCGTCTGGGACGACGAAGGCGAGGGTGGCGGATTCGTGGGATACCTATACCTGGACCTGTTCCCTCGCACCGGCAAATATGGCCATGCTGCAAACTTCAATCTCCAACCGGGCTTCATCCAAGAAAACGGAACGAGGCGGTACCCAGCGACAGCTCTCGTGTGCAACTTCTCCAAACCCACGGCAAAGAAGCCCAGTCTGCTCAAGCATGAGGAAGTGACCACCCTCTTCCACGAACTCGGTCACGGCATTCATGATCTTGTATCCCGGACAACATACTCGCGATTCCATGGCACCAACACTGTTAGAGACTTTGTCGAGGCACCGAGCCAAATGTTGGAGAACTGGTGCTGGACACCCTCTCAGCTCAAATCCTTGAGCAGGCACTATTCTACCCTGTCGTCCGAGTATTACGAGTCATGGAAAGAGGCAGCCAGTGATGGGCCGGACGCCAAAAAGCCCGAGGAACGCATCCCGGATGATCTGATCCAGAAACTGATCAAGACGAAGAACCTCAATGGTGCCTTGTTCAACCTCCGCCAACTGCACTTTGGCATTTTCGACATGACAATACACGAGCCGAAAGATCACGCCAGCCTCGAGGCGATGAACATATCCGAGACGTACAACGGCTTGAGGAAAGATATCAGCAAGATTGACGGCCCTGAAGTATTTGGCGAAGGCAACGCGTGGGGCAACGGACAGGCCACCTTTGGCCATCTGATGGGAGGTTATGACGCTGGTAAGTTCAGCACTACTTCCTTACTACTACCACATTCGCCTTTTCTTTTTCGTTACGCCGGACTCCTTCCCGTTCCTACAGTGTTCCTTGTGCAAAGCGTTCCTCCTAACGCATTTTCTCCTGGCAGGTTATTATGGCTACCTCTCCTCCCAAGTCTACTCGACCGACATGTTCTACACCGTCTTCAAGCAGAACCCCATGGACCCCAAGGAGGGCCGCCGCTACCGGCACACCGTGCTCGAGAAGGGCGGCAGCCAAGACGAGATGAAGACCCTTGTCGAATTTCTGGGAAGGGAGCCCAAGACCGACGCCTTTTACGAGGAGCTCGGCCTCACAAAGGGAACGCAATCGGGCGCGGGGACGACTTGATAAATCTTATCTTCGCGATGCAATGTTCTTGCAGTCGACGCGATGGGTCGTGGTCGTGTAGGTTTTTCCGGTTGTACATACCTCTCAGAGCCATCAGACCCGACAGCCGGCCCTTTTGGGATGGCTAGATACCTAGATATTCAATGCGCTAGCCGGGAACATGTGGCCATGAGACTGCATACAGTAGAATAACCTGTCCCATTTGATAACCGTGTAAGATATGTTACTTACGTGTGGTGTTACACAACTACAGTACAAGGTACAATACCTACCTATGTAGGTTAGGTAGAAGACAAAGCAACACGCAAACACCAGCGACAAGAATTCCCACCCGAGTGGCGAAATTCTCCCGATATCGACAGCCACCCCCTTAGGTTTACACAAGGCCATAATATAACGCCTTGGGCCGCACCAGCTCACCTCGCCCTCACCTTCGAGCCCGTCCCCCGTCAAAGCTCAGCACGCCGTATTGATTGATGACCGGCCTCGAATCCTTGTGGCAAAAGAAGCGACGCTTGCCCATATCACCCAGCTCCATACCGTCAGCCCCCCACACAGTCTCCATCTCCTGCCTCTTCTTGGTCTTTGGCTTGCCGCGCTGGATCCGGAGCTTCTCGAAGAAGATGTAGCTGTTGTAGAAGACTGGGGATTCGGCGCCGCCCGTGGGGCCCTTTCTCTTCAAAAACGCGGACAGCTGGGCTGCTGTGGCGGTTTTGGTCGTGGGGCTCTGGACGGCCGCGTTGATGGTGCGCACGAAGCCCGCGTTGCTGGCCGAGGGCGTCTCGCGGAGGAAGCGATTGATCTTGGTGCGGATGTCGTCGCACGTGTCGTACACGGGGACGGCTTCCTCGTCTTCGCCGTCGAGGTGGATTGAGGAAATATCGATGTCCTTGTTGTTGGCTTTGCCGGCGGCGGCTTGTTTGGGCTTTGAGCTCGCGCCGTTGTTCTTCTGCGCGGGTCCTGTCGTCGTCGCGGTGGTGGTTGAAGCGGTTCGCTTGGCCTTTTTGTTAGGGTTCTCAGTGTTCCAGTTCACACCATCCCACTCGATATGATCCTCGTTGCTATCGCTGCTGCGTTTCTTGCCCGCCGCAGACTTGTCGCCATCACGCTTCTGGACGGCGGGGGGAACAATGTTCACGCTGCGATCCTGTAGAGCATGCTTTCCGCCGGGCATGTTCACCGATTTCGAAACGTTCCGAAGATTTGATGCAATGTCGAGAAAGGAGTCTCGGGGTTGTGGTTGGTTCTTCGCAGGAAGGGACATTGCGAGAACAACGGCTTTGGAGAAGGAATTGACCGGTGTAGGGGCTGTAGCAAAGTCGAAAGGCTGGTTAGAGGGGGACGTCACTGGTATGGTGATGGCTGCCTAGGTAGAGATCAAGACGATTCCAGAGGTGGAGGGTGGGGAAGCAGCACGAGGCACGGCAGCAGGAGGACCAGTAAAGTCAAGCAGCTTGGACGATCTTTCAATGTTGGCTAATCGACGCGTGAAGGACGCGTAGGGAGAGTCGATGTCAACAAGGCTGCTTAGGCGACGTCATTAGCTCACGCCTGTTTGGAGAAGAGGCTGATGCCGCCCTGTGCTCACCCCTAGCTCGCGCGAGCCACGTAATAAGAGACGGGTCGGAGTGACGTTCTGAGCAGAAGACGAGGTCGGGCGCGAAGACGAGAATAAAGGCAAGAAGGATGACAGCAAAATCTCTCAAGTCGGAGACCTACATACCGAGTAGGTAGGAGTAATCCACACTTTTGTCGCGTATCTGGGGGCGGGTACAGCCAAAGCTATGCTCGCTGGGAATCTCCTTCCTAGAACCTGCTCGTCGCTGCTGACCATCCTCGCCACAATCGCATGGGGCGCGTTCTCCGTATGATCCTTCGCCGGATCTGTCTAAATAAAACTGTAGTTGTCGCGTTATCAATGGGTCGCCGGACATGCTTACAAGACCGTGTGTCCCTGCGGCATATGTCTGTCTAGGACGCTACTTTCAAGGAGACTGATACACCTTTCATGGCGCGCGAAAAGTGATACTGTGGAACGAAAGCACACCGAAATGGCATCAAACCCAGCTTCGCGGTGCTGCACCACCGGTTATAAGCATTTGTAAGTTGGCTTTACTCAACGTCGTTGCGATCTTTGCAAATTACGTTGTCCTTGAAGCGGCACACCCGCCGGTAGAGTGAAGGGCTGGGCACTTTCGACGCTTACATCCCCGTGCCGCCTTCGGGGGAGAATCACGTCCAAATTGCGATCTTCTATCTGGGCGACGCCTTGGGTATCACTCGGAATGCAAAGTTGATGCCAGACCTGTTCGCTGCCAACGACTACCTTGCCTTAGTGCCGGATCTCTTCAACAAGGAGTGTGTCCCCCCTGGTGTGTCCCCCCTGGTGTGACGGATGATCTCAACGTTATGGGTTGGATCAATGAAGGAACCGGTGGAAACAACCCTCACACCACCAAGGAGGTCGATCCGATCATCCACCGCTGTATCGAGTACCTGCGCGACGAACACGGTATGCAGAGACTCGGCGCTGTTGGGTATTGCTTTTGTGCTAAATACGTCTGTCGTTTCCCGAAAGGAGACGGCTTGATTGACGTCGGCTACCTGGCCCACCCCTCGTTCGTCTCGGAAGAAAAACTCAAGGCCATCAAGTTACCCATCTCGATCGCCGCGGCGGAGGATGACTTTACTTTCGCTGACGAGCTCAGGCATTTGACCGAGCGGGTTGCTCAAGGAGACGGAGCTCCAGTACGAGATGACGATGTATTCCGGAGTTCCCCACGGCTTCGCGGTCAGATCTGATCTGAGCACAAGGGTAGGCAGGTGGGCAACTGAGGCTGCGTTTAGGCAGGATGTCGACTTTATGGATAGCTAGCTGCCGCTCGACGGCGGCGGGGCGAGATTGTAAACGGCCCAGCTCTGTGGTGTGACTTGATCTCGAAACATGCTGTCCAGTGGATGCGATAGAGAAGGTGTTGATCGGTCCGAGGGCTATCCCAGGCGAAGCGAGATGGTCGCCTGTGGTAGGATTAAGATCCAAGCTGGTCGAACTCTAGCAAGGGCGGCACACCACCATCGGTAAGCCGCTACTAGCAAACCCGTTCTAAGTCTCCTTCATGCCGCGTCAAACCTGTGGAACAAAGCTTCGCGGATACAACAGAGGGCCTCTGGTTGGAAGGAAACGCGAAACAGCAGAGCTGCGCCGCTAGTCCGCACCGTGAACTGTCTGGAATAATGCGTCAAGCTAGAGGCTAGAGTCAAGGCTATCGAGCTCAAAGGCTGGATGGCATCTTTGAATCTCCCCTTGTAGGAGTGAAAGGCTATCGCATCTGATGGTGCCAAAGGGGTAATTATGGTCCGATGCACGTTGAAGGGAAATTTTCCGCCGAATTTGGCGGTTGCCATCGCTGCTACTTTTACTCGGTACTTGTAGAGGCGTTGAGAGTCTTCCGTCAATGCCAAGCACGCTAAGCCAACATTCTACTAGTCTTGTTTTGTCCCCACCAATGGGAAGATTAGTGCCAAGGCTCGTGTTCGTGTCCGTGTTTCGTGTTCTTGTGCCGCCGACTGCATCATCGATCGCGTTGTCCCGCCTTGGTGCTCAACCTTCGACCTTCGTATTACTTCGTCTAATGCGATTTTCTTTTCCTTATCACGCAACTCTCAATGCATAGATTTCGGCGAACGGTGCATCTCGAGTTTCTCGGTACTTAGAAGACAGACGTTCTGCCACTCGTGTTCTTTTTCGTCTCCCAGGCTTCTACTTCAGGCACCAAGAAGCGGAGACATCAATCTTCCACTTCCTCTCTTGGGCGTTAACCCAGCTCCGTGATATTACTTTGATTGTTCAACGGGAGGCTTGAGCCAAGATGGCTCCTCGTAGAACACACCGTAAATCTAAACGAGGTTGTTCGGAATGCAAGCGTCGACACATCAAGGTACGGGTCTTGATAAACCCCCGGTGTTGCGCGTCTTATTAAGCTTACTGGAGAGAGATCCTCTAACCATGAAGGTTGAACGAGCAGTGTGATGAGACACGTCCTATCTGCGTGAACTGCACCACCTCCAAACGAACATGCAAGTGGGAATTCGATGTCAGGGCCCCAGCGACGACCCAGATCGAGCCGACAAAGGCTCAAAGCACCCCGACCGATCCCCAGTTACCTGCTGGCGGCGGACACCTGACACCCGTTGTCAGTGCAGGTTCTCACACGACCGGGGGCTCACCACTCGCGATCTTCAGCCAAGGACGGGCTGACTCCATCGTCAACATTGACCACCTGGAACTTTTGCATCACTTCTACACAGACACATGCAGGACCGTAGTCCGAACGCAGGATCAGATCGAGCTGTACAGCAAACTCGTCATCGCCCAGGGCATCGCCAATCCTTTCCTAATGCACGAGATTCTTGCCATCTCCGCCATTCATATCGGCATCCTCCGTCCTCACCGGCGAGAGTACTACCACTCACTGGCGACATCTCTCCAATCGAAAGCACTGGCCGACTTCAACGAGATCCTGTCGCGGATTGATGCCACCAGCTGCTTGCCTGTTCTGTTATTCTCCCACCTAATCGGACTTCACACATTCCACGACATCTTCAACGTCCTCAAGGACGATTTCAATACCTTTATGGATGGTCTGGTCGGCTGCGTCAGGCTACTCCGGGGTGTCAATTTGGTGACTCAAACCTGGCGGGACGTTCTACTCCAGTCCGAGTTGGGTGACATCATGAGAGAAGCCGACCAGGCTCATTGTAGCGAGAAAACCTCCCATGGCGAATGCTCTCCACTGCGGGATCTGATTGATGCTGCCGACCTGAGCTTGTCATCCAAGGAAGTTTGTAGGGAAGCTCTGGAAAAATTACAAGAATACTTCGACGTTGAGAATGGTTATCCTGGAGAACTCCTGGCCACGACAAATGTCATCTTCGCTTGGTTCGTCACCGCGTCTTCGCAGTACACCGAACTGATGGATCAGCGACGGCCCGAGGCTTTGATCCTTCTTGCATACTACGCAGTATTACTCCACCGGCGCCGTAAGTCGTGGGTGGTGGGCGACGCAGGCCAGCGCCTCCTCACGTCCATCACCACGCATCTCGGCAGGCGCTGGGAGACTTGGCTAGCCTGGCCCAAGAACGCTATCACATTTGGTACGAGCTCGAATACTCCAATATCAGCCGCTTAGGCATGGTCCTCATCGCAAGAGGTACCCTTATTCAACTCATAGGATTCTATGAAACCAATGACCGATACTCTAGCGCCGCCAAAAAGTGCTATGCTGTGCCTGAGTGAAGACCGCTTGCTGCTGTCACTGTGTCAGACTACCGAGTACTGATTCAAAACCCCAAGGACAAGAGCGGAGCCACAATATTTAAGCCTGAAGAACAAGTTGCGGAGTGCTGTATATCGTCAAACCGCCTGCTGTGAGCTTGGCGCCTCCGAATGATCTGCGCTGGGTGTTACCTGGGAGGGAACAGTAGGATGGCGGACGAAGCCCCTGAATATCTTGCATATGGAAAGACGAACATCCGATGGACCGAGATGGGCGATTTCCAACGATGCTCTTGTGCTCGCCTTATACGTGTACCTGATGTCCATACGACTGGCCAGAAAGGCGATGTGGATCAAGCATAGTGGCCGATAATTGGTGACGAGAAAAAGGTGTTTGGCACTCGTCATATCAGCACACGAGCGCAGTTGACGCCGAAGGTTTCCACTGCCGACGCAGCGGCCAAGGAGTTCCAACCCTATAGAACCGACCACCGATCGTATAGATCACGCGTATTCGTGTCTTCCTCGCCAAGAAAAAGGGGCTTGAATAAAGTCGTATGGCTTTGCCAACAAGCTATTCTACGAGATTATCCGGGTTCTGGTTGCCCTGAGTCTCTGACACCTTGAAGTCTTAGCACACTTCAGCCTCATGAGAATTGTCGCTGCCTGGACATCAGCCCTAAGGAATTCGGCAAACCCGATGTGCAAACTGATGGAACTAGGCATTGCGATTTTGGAGCCTCTGATGCAACGACATAACGTGTCCCACTCAACACTTTCCCCCAGTTAGGGCTGGACTTCTCGCCGTTGCTGGGATGCATCTGCCAATTGTGCCCAGCCCAACGCTCTATTTATGACAACTGATTCTCCGTACCAGGATCAAATAAGTTAGCCCTATGGGCTTAGCTTTCGAGGATAGGGATAGAAGAAAAAGTGTAAACATGCATTGCCGCAGCTTGCTGGCCCTGAAACCGAAGATAGGGATATCAACATCATAGGCACCCCATCCTGGAACACTCGTGTCCTTCGCAGGTATAAGAGGCAGTCCTCGTCCTCACTCCTTACTGTTACAGAAATCCCGAATATTCGATCCCTCGCAGCCACCCCTGGACCGACGGGACCACCACTGCTCACCGCCTCCCACGTCAAGAAGCGGGACGGCACCAAATCCTCTCAATCACGAAGAAACAGTCCATCGGGAAGGGTCAAGACTACAACGAGAATACGACGCCGCAAAACCATGGCCTTCTTCGACCCCAGATACAAGCTCAAAGTGCACATTCTGCAAATCATCCTGATCCACGTTGTCATGGGTGTGTCCGCGCCGCAACTGTTCCTGAAAGGCCAGCCGCGAACCCGAGCCAACACTATCGCCTTGGGCATGGTGAGGTTTTTTTGGCTTTCGAAGCTTTCGATAACCTGATCTTGCTTTGCGGAACTTCGACACTGACCCATGGATACGTATAGGGCGGCAAATCCATGATTATCATCTCGTACCAGATTTTAACAGAGCATCGTGAGCGGTTCAGTCGGTGGAGATCTTACAAGGCCTACGCCATCCTCAACGGCCTCGAGGTTGTTTTCTGGGCAGCGGTCGTGTTCTTGATCCTCCAGGCCAACATTAAGTCGTGTGTGGGCATTTCTTGTACGCTCCGGTGGATAGCCGTGGGTGTGTCGATTGTCATCACGTATGTTTCTCTTATCTTGCCTTTGCACCCACTCATGCTCCCAAATCTCTCCTCCTGACACCGTTCGGTTATTACTGCCATGACCCCAAATACTTGATATTTTCGTCTGTGCTGAACGCTTAGCGGGGCGAAAAAGAAAGCCAAAATGCTGACGTAGATGTTCTGCCCACAGTATCGTCGCTGTATACATGTTCATCATCTCGTACGTGGACTTCCGAGCCCATCGCATGCAGAGGGAGCACAAGCGCAGCAGAAGAATCATGAGCGCCGACGTCGAGCATGGCCAACGCATGGACCAACTGCATCTTAAGAGCGTCCGCGTCAGTGAGCCAGAAGCACCCCGTACGCACACAACTCGCCACCACGGAAGGGACCACTGCAGGTCTCACAACCTCACCGCGCAATGGAGCAACGCTCCCATAGAGCTGGTATGTCCCGGGGACTCCCAAATGACCATCGGCCACGGAGACACAGTCGTTCTCGCAGCAACAGCCAGGGAATGGAGCAACATTCCCGCGGCAATAGCAGACTCCGGCGATACTCGAGTGAGCACCATTCACGGAGGCATAGCATATCTCCTGGTAGCCGAAGTGAGTACGAGGCCCGAGCACATGCTCAAGGCCCTTACTCACCTCACTATTACCCCGAGAACCCACGGGGCACGATTAGACGTGAGTGAACTATGGCAAGGAGGCGCTTTTGGAGAATACTAGATCATCGTCAAATCTCCTCCAGGATATAAGAGCTGGGTAGTAATAAGCGTCTATCTAGGCGGAAAGAGATGGAAATTTTGTCAAAGCCCGTCGAACTTACGAAGTTGGATTTGGGATACCATAGATCTGGGTCTATGGCTTGATGGTGGCTGTGGAGCTGGGTTCCACACCAAAAAGGGGCACCGAGAGGTGCGAGGTTCAGGCAGTTAGTTCTCTTTGTACAGAAGGTGCTGGCTCCATGGAGAGGGTGGATATTGGTTATTTGTAGATCAGGTTGCGGTTCTGCGATATGGGTCAGACTCAGAAGTTCTAGAAACCATTGCAAACATCTTGAGCTGACTCTCGGCCGCCGGGGAGAGAAGAGCATACTTGCGTGATATCCCTATCTAGAGAGCGAACAGCTCTCGGTTATCTGAGAGCAGGACAATGCCGAGGCGCCTACCCATCTAGAAGATAGGTGAGAGATAGGCAGGAGCGCCGAAATACTCGAACAAGGGAATACCCTTCTTGGTGCTGTTGTTCAGACTCAGAACGTGTTGTTTTGCGCTACCTAAATGTCTATTCCCATGTTATATGAACTTTTGAATGTTGAAACTCGCGACCAAGCCTACGGTTTCCATATCACTCTCCCCGGAAGCGGTGCCCATAGAGCTTGAAGACAACCGGCAGCGGTGCCATTGCGAGGAGAACAAATCCGAACAGACTGTTTCCCCAGCCCCATCCCAGCGCATCGTAGACGTCCAGGCCGCACAGTGGCAGGAGTGCTCCGGCAACACTGCGGAGAACGGCATTTGCCGCAGTCGCACTGGCTGCGTGTCGCGGATGGGCGTCGACCAGATACGTTTGAGCAGCCATGAAGATGCAAATCATTCCAAATCCTGTCAGCGAGGTACCAATCATGGCTACGATCCAGTGGAGCTTCGCCTGGATCGCCCAGCCATACAAGAACATACCCGCGGGCAATGCCGAGCACGCTGGCAGTGTAATGATATACGGCAAGCGGTCCTCCGGGACTGGTTCTTGTCCCAGTGAGACTTTGCGTCGGATTTCTCGGTCGCTCAGCCTGCCAGCATACGCAAGACCCAACAGGTTGCCCACGCCACACCCCAAAAAAGTGAGGCCGAGTGCAATCTCGGAGAAGCCATACACCTCTTTAAACACGAACGAAAACGTGGTGAAGAGAATATACAGAATGCCGTACACGACGGCGATGTATATGCTGATGAGGGACACCGCCGGGGAAAAGAGCAACAACTTGGCCGGTCGAAGAAAGCTCTGCCGGAACAGCTCTTTGCCCGAGGTCTTCGTTGCCAACTTGGAACGGTACTTCTTGTTCTGGGTTTGCTTTCGCAGCCGTGCTGCCTTTTTCTCCAGTATTACGGGGGGGTACGTCTCTTCGAAGATGAATATGGCCGCCACTACGACCAGTCCGGCCTATGTTCTGATTAACAATCACTCCACGTCTCATGCCTACGTAGGCTCACCATTATGGCAATGGTCCAGAAGGTCCACCTCCAATTTGCTCTCTCCACAAGAACGCCGCCAACCACGGGCCCTACCACAGGTCCGAGCAACGGGCCCATTGCCCAGAAGGACATGGCAGCGGCACGGTTCTCCCTAGCCACCATGTCGGCAATTGTACTGCTTCCACAGGTGACTGTCGCGACACCAGCGAAACCTGCCCAGAACCTGGAAGCAAGGAGCATTCCCGAATCTTTTGAAATGGCACACATTATTGTGAAGCATAGGAATGCGACGTTGCAGACATGGTAAACGGGAACCCGGCCATACAACTCGCTGAGCGGTGCCAGGACCAGTGGTCCGGCTGCGAAGCCGAGGACAAAGATTGACACGACGAAAGTGGCAAACGTGTTGGACGTATTGTGGAAGTCTACCATGACGACAGGAACGCCAGGGGCGAACATCGAGGATGCCAACGGCCTGTGCAGAAAGTCAGCTGCGGCTTCTGCGACGCGATGTTGAGACTCAACGTAAGGAAGGTGGTAAAGGAGAGCAAGGCAATAGTCCTCCATTTCTTGGTTGGAGGCCAGTTCATCGGGTTGGATTTGTCTTTGTCTTCTGGCTCTTCCCACGATACAATGTACCTCTCCTCGTCTGCTCCGTCTGCGCTACTCAGAATGCCGGCAGCTCCGCCATCTTGGGTCTTCTCAATATCCCGTCCTAGGGTGGGACATCTCTCACGGTCAGAGGTCGGGTCGATAGCTTCGACATCAGGAGCCGGCAACATCTCCAAAGAGCAGGCCATCCTTTCGACCGTTCGAAGGAACGGCTGAGCTCAAGGACTTTGAAAATTGGAACAGACATATTTAGAGGCTGGCTTATGAGCCGACTGGGGTCCCTGTGCGCCATCACGATTTGCAAAAACTATGACTTAGGTGAAGACGCCTGGCCGGCGACAAAGTGGATGCTGTGGGTCTCGTTCTTGGCATACACCTCGACTCGTGTAGCCAATACGAGTACGCGGGATTTGGTTGTCTCGTGTAGAGCTCGTATACCAATGTATATGCCCCACACCTTGGATCGGCAGGTCTAGAGACTCGGAAATAGTGCCGTCGGATGCCTCCCTGCTTTCAGACCATCTTTTCAGCCTTTCAACACCCGCCAAGCCGCCAAAGGGCTGGACAATACGAACACGATTCTGTGCAATAACGCTCTATCAGCAGGGGACTAGATGTGCCTTTGACACAGAGCACGGACTAAACTATGCATGCAGTGGCACTGGATCTACACGAACACGACCAACTTCAACAGATACACTAACTGATTTCAGGGCCTGAGTTGCGCCTCGAGCATAGTTGCAACGATTTCGGCTGCCCTGTCTGCAAATTCTTAATTTAGGACCAGCTCCAGGAGCTGAACACCAGCATGTTCGTGACGTCGGCGGTGCTTCAGTTGTTTTGTCGCACACCAACGATCTGTGAATGGTGGTTCATAAAAGGCTCAATGGAACCAGCAGTCAGGTCTTTTGCTTGCACTACTTGGCCTCCATTAATCCTTTCTTGACTACATCAGTCCTTCTTCTGAAGCCTTACATTGTACACTGTCCTCTCTCAAGTCATCGACCCACGCCGGGGTATTTCATCTTGTTGAGCATAGCAGTAACAATGGCTGTTCAATACGTCCTCTGGTACTACACGCCTTCACTCATTGGAGCTATCGTTATGGCCGCATACTTCGGACTTGCGTCTCTTGCCCACTTGGTCCGCCTGGTCCAGACCAGGGCGCGTTTCTGCATCCCTTTCATCATTGGTGGCATATGTACGTCCACCCTTTCGCCGGTCCTTCCAGGGAGCTAACACTATTTCTAGTCGAAGCTGTCGGGTACGGTGCTCGCGCTGTGGCTCACTACAACACCGACAAAACCCTGCCTTACGCAATCCAGTCCCTCCTGATCCTGCTGGGTCCGATCTTGTTTGCAGCATCGGTCTACATGATCCTGGGCCGATTGATCCGCGCGACCAACGGCGATTCACACTCGCTGATTCCCTCGAAATGGATGACCAAGGTTTTCGTCGGAGGCGACGTCCTGTGCTTCGTTGTCCAAGGCGTTGGTGCCGGTGTCCTCTCAGGAGCCAAGACTCACAGCAGAGTCAAGCTCGGGGAATACATCATCCTGGCCGGCCTATGCCTTCAGATCATCGTCTTCGGCTTCTTCGTGGTTGTTGCCGCAAACTTCCACTCACGCGCTCGTCATTCTCCAGATATATTGGCAACAAACATCCCGTGGCAACGGTACCTCTACATGCTGTACTTGGTCAGCACTCTGATCTCGTCGCGGAACATTTTCCGAGTCATCGAGTATGCTTGGGGCTCCGGCGGATATCCCCTGAGGCATGAATGGACGTTGTACGTCTTCGACGGAGCGTTGATGGCAGTCGTACTCTTGATCTGTCTTGCATGGTATTCGATCAACTTTACTGGGCCCCCACGACGCTACGATCAGGAGGCGAAAAGGTGAATAATGAGGTATACTTTCAACAGTCAAGTGAGGATAGGAAACCAACAGAGGCAGCCGGCCGAAGCTTGTAACACATGCGAGGCACTCGCAAGGGCTCTACATGGTTTAAAATATATTAAACAGGCGATGCATCTCAGAAGTTGAGAAAATGATTTATTGGGAGCAGATACGTCAGGCTCCATTGGTGGCAGGTGCTCGGGCATACTAGATGTTGAATCATTTGTTTGGGCTCTATGGAGGACATGGCGGCGTTGAGTTGAGAGCTTGGTCACTGAAAGTTTACGGGTTGGCGATTTTTATTTCTGTTATAGAAAAAAAGTGGAAACAATTAACTCTAAGCAGTATACGAGCCGCACAGAATTGGCCTGTAGAAACGTTCCGATCTCCGAAGCTTAGCGTCCACATCGACAGAGCTAAGAACTTATGCTATATTGACCTGATCTCACTCAATTTCGACTCAGCAGTGCCTTCTCTCTAAGATTCTCTAGTAATCACGACCCCAAGACTTGTTTTTGCCACCTCTCTGGCATTGATACTTCTTATAACATGGTGGATTTTCTTACACGGTCACAATCGTGTACTGTTGCTCGTGGATGGAGGCGGATTGGCTGCGTTAGGTTGCGGTGTCTGTGCAGTGGGCGGGGTGCCGTCCTTCAAAGCTTTGTTTTTCCGCGCATACAGTAGTAATTGTACCTGGCCAAGGACGGCCCGCAAGATTGTCATCCAGAGGATAGCGGATAGACCCCAGTACTGACTTGGCGGCAGGACATTATTCAAATTCGCCACAGCGTACCAGATAGTCAGACCGGAGGCGAAGAAGAGGTAAGCGAACATACAGAATTTCAAGCTCTTCCACTTGTAGGGTTCGGCACTTTCGGTGGTCCATCTGATCAACCAGAGGCGGGATGACTCGGGTCCAGGTCTCGGGAATGTGCCTTGACGGCCAATTCGGGCTTCGGTATCCTGCCGAAGTGAGATTCTACTTATGCTCTGTTCTGCAGAAGAGGTTCTTCGATGGTGCGAATCTCGTCTGGTCGGTGCATCACCAATGATGGACAACTCATGTCCTTCTCGCTCGTCTTGTGGCGATTCTTGCTCAGGGGAATCTTCTTGGTCGCCTGAGGGCACCTCAGACGAGACTGTCGAAGCTTTATTGGAAACGATGCTGATGGCGTCGTTCTGGACATCGGGGGTCGGACTGCTGCTGTCGGTAGCCTCCCGCGAAGCCTTTTGATCTTTGTAATCTACCCACAATTAGCGAATAAGATTTAAATCTGTCTGATCGAACCTGACCGTCGTAAGCTTCGATGGCAGCCATCAAGGGCAAGACAAGCAGCACGAGAGGGACAATTTGACCAAACCCCCAAGCATTCATACTACCTGTGCTCCCCTTCGGTTCAGCCCTCGTCTTGAAGACATTGATAATGCCATAGACCTGTATAAACGCAAGCCACATGATGCCTGCAGCATAAGATCCGAAGAATTCGTGAAAGGCAAAAGACTCCATGAGTCGTATGTCCTGGAGTGTATCCCGCACCTGACTGCGACTTTGCTTTTCCTTGGAGTTTGCACGGATCGCTAACGCTTTCGCCCTGTGGTAGTCTTGCTGAGTAGGACGTTTGTCGATCTGGTACTGCCGGTACTTCCTGTTGAAGACAAACTCGAGAATGCTCCTATCGTCGGCCTGGCCGAAAAGAGCACAGGCAGCATCGCCGTAGTCGTAGCAAAGGAGTATCAGAATGACAAATTGTGATAAGATGTCCACGGCTGTGGCGCCCTTGAGAGTAAAATCCGAGAAGGCGCAGGTAAAGTAAAGATTGGGCCACCATTGGGAACTCGTTTGTTCGATCATCAGAAAAGCTAGCATGGCCAAGTTCGCGATCATGAAGGAAAACCTGATAGCAAGAGCCGTCATATGGTCCTTCAGATGGTAGCGTATCAGCGGCAAAGTTGCCAGATGGACGCTCGAGGACTGGAATGCAAGTGCTGCGATTACATCCATTGAATACGTCGTAATGTCCGTGTTTTTGGCAAACCCGGCAATCAGCAGGGCAACGCCACTGACCAATTGCTGGTCGCTCATGGAGAGCATGAAGGATATGAGTGCGTCGCTGCGCAGTGCGTCTGATGCGTCATCGACGGTCTCTATTGTCCGTTTCCTGCTCATAAAGAGCCGCCGGAAAGCCCCGATGTAGAGAACATCAGCCTCATTCAATAGGTAGCGAGGGAGAGATAAAGTGAAATAGCCAATAACAACACTTGCGAAAGAGATCACGCTTGATAACACGAACGAGACGACGACCTGTACAACAATTTAGTGATGGACATCTGGGCTGCCATGATATACATACACCTATGCCAACGATATCCGCATCATACTCGATGCATCCACTCGTGGCAAAGGCATTTTGATAGGAGAGGTCGCAAGATCCATTCCAACCATTGCTGCAATCTAAGGCCATTGCTTCTGCTGATGAGCGGAACGAAGGCAGAATTTGTCCCAGAGAAAGGCTAGAAGCATGTGCATTTATATGCTACAGAGCCTCATGCGCAGCCTCCCCTCTTGAGCAGGACATCGAGGTCATTCGGGCGCATGAAACGCCACCGTCGTAGCGTGCATGGACTGCGTGCGTTGTGCAGCCATTGAGCCAATGAAAAGGCTTGATCTGAGACGTTGGCACGGTCGCGACGGGACGATGAGGGGTGTGGACCAGGGTCGCCATCAGGCTGAGAAGCTGGATCCTGTTGATGCTGATCAAAGCACCCAAAGTCTAGCTTCACAAGACCATAGCTGTCGAAAGTACAATCATTTCTGGCTGTCTGCAGGAGTGGCATGGGAGGCAAGCACTTTGGTGAAGGCTGTTCAAGGTATTTCTCGCACACTTCGGTCGGGAATTCTGGCGTTGCAGAGGCAGCTGCCTAGATGTTGTGTAACAAGCATCGTGCGGGTGTAGTGACTTGACGAAGTTTGGGGGCTAGCAAATTCAATAGCCAACCGGAGGCTGAGCAGCGAGCGCGGCTGGTCAAATGGGCCGGGATAATACGAGGTTCGCAGGAACGTTATGCTCAAGCATTCTCACGCCAAGCTCTTCTGGGCGTAAAACTGTCAGCATGATAAATAAGCTGTCGATAAGGAAGAGGTAGAGTAATTACGTCCCGGAACTGTTCGTGGTTGCTGTGATTGGTGGTCGGCCTAGCATCACAAGCCTATACAGTGATTACTCGCTTCATTGAAGAGCGAGTAGAGAGGCCTTATTACCTCTTCTTTACCTACGAAAAGGGGGATAATAGCGTAGCCTCACTAGCTAAGAGCTTAGCAACATTATATACGCTTTCATTGGATGGCTTCCAAGTTATACGCTAATCCAATCCGGAGATAGTACATTAGAGACTTTCTCAAATAGGTGTAGCTACAGGACTAGAGCGGCTTAGTACGACTATAATAGGTATAGTGCATGAATCCACTTGGACTATAGTAACCCGGACTTGAAGTTTATCTGAAAGAGAATGGTTTATCAGGCGTGCAGTGTGTACAAAGCAGCCAAGCACAGCTCGCATGAATGTGTATAGCTAGTGTTACCAATGCCTTTGGAATGCTGTTAATAACCACTCGAGAGGCCGAAATAAAGCGGCATTTGCAGTCTCAGAGACCTCGGATAGTCGTCGATAATCGGTACAGCAAGTAGTATGCTCGTGAACCTCCACATTGTGAAAGAAAACCTCGCCCATCTTACGATAATTTGAATCATTTCGCTCAATGTAGCGACGCCGAATTTCCCATAAACCGTGAGAATAACACGCTTCCCACAAAAACTCCCGCCAATACACTCAGGAAATACCCAACATTCATGGTCATGACGGCAATCATGCTGATTAACATTAGCAAATGTTAGGCGTTAATTGATTGCTTTTCTCGCAAGTGTACTGACAGCAAATACCCAACAGTCACCAATACGACATCAACGAATGCCGCCATGACTGCTTCCCTTGCCCGCCACGGCCTCCGAGGCGACTTCTCGTTGTGGTAGGGCTCATATTCCACGCCACCGTTACTTCGGGTATCGAAAGAAGCCAGCATGGGGTAGAAGTTGAAACGGATAGCCAGCAATGCTCTAAAGATTGCCGCAAGGGCGATCAGAAATATGCATGTGCCCGCATACTGGCCCTGAGAGTCTGGCGTCCAATTCATCGAGAAAAGTGGCGTGGTTGAAGAGAAGAAGAATGTCATGGCCATGGAGTCCATGCCCATGAGGGACGAGGAGGAGGAGGAGGAGGAGGAGGAGGAGGAGGAGGAGGAAGACATTGGCATCGAAGAAGTGGTTGGGCTGCCCATAGCCATACCGGACATCGTGCTGGATGCGGTCATCGAGGTAGGCATCGACATCGAGCCCATGGAGCTCATTGTCGACATATTCATTGCCCGAACTGGTGCAGAAGTAGTTGAGAAGTGTGAATTACTCGAATTTGTCCCGAGGCGGTGCGGCAATGTAATGTATACGATCAATGTGAGCACTCCGCCCCCCTTTTGGGCACAACGATCCGCTATAAAGTATTTTTCTTAGCCCACCCAGTACCTAGGTAGTATTCTTACCGCCCGTATGGGAAAACTTGCTCAAAAATGCATGCTCGGTCCTTATAGGCTGTGTCTGATGAAAGTGCCAAGGGTCTCCATCTGAGCACGTTTCCGGAAGGCACCAGGCCCACCCTGGCAAGTGGAGTATCGAAAGCACTCGTAGCGACCTCAGCGAACTCCATAGCGTTTACCCTGTCAAAACAGGTATCTCCTCAAGCAGGGGAATTGGACACGATGCAGCTGGCTCCCATATTATGCTGATCAGCTCAAATATGGGGGTCCAGGAGAACTTCTAAAACATTTGATTATAAAGACCGCACATGATTTTGACGAGTTTCCGGTCTCCCTGAAAATTTCTTGATCTGCTTTCACCTTCCTAGCCAAGATGGCGGCATGGCTATACCAACCTGTTATGTTCCAGTCCAGTCGGGCATTCGACTGTGAGGGCTTCACTCCCGAACAATGCGCCTTTTACAAGGAGCATTGGCATAATTGGTGAGCTTGGTGTTCTGCCTAAGATGTTCCCAGGCTTGAACTGACGAAACCTCTAGGTATGTCGCCGACTGGACTTTTTCGCTACCAACCGTGGCATTTTTTATGACAGGGATTGGAATCTTCATTATCGGCTATGCTCTCACTCAATTGCTCCCTCTTTCGCACCGACCTGGACTTCCGATATGGCGAAGATGCGTCGCCGCAACTCGGTACCTATCTTACCGAGGATTCCATATCAAATCCTTGGGATGGAACTCTGCTCCTGTCGGAGTCCTTTTTCTGGGGGTTGTGGCCACCATCTACTTCTTCTGTGCGTAACCACATTACACTGAGATTCGCAAAAGCGCTGACTTCTGGAAGGCATGGAATTAGTTCCATCTCCATACTATTGGCCAGGTACAGACACGGTCTGGGGCAACTCGCCACCGCTGGGAACTAGATCTGGCTGGCTAGCTTTGGCATGCATGCCATTTTTATTGTTCGTGTTATGGGTCAGTATCCCTACTTATGTGCTAACAGGAGGCAGTGCGACGGCGAGTAAAGCAAATTGGATTTCGCTAGTGACAGGTGTGCCGCATGAGAAACTCCAAATCTTTCACCGCTGGATCGCATACGCGTTTATGATCACCGCCCTGATGCATACGTTTCCGTTCATTGTCTGGCATATTCGAAACCACGATATGGTCAACCAGTTCTGGGAAACCAACATCTTTGAATACTGGACCGGGATTGTTGCTCTTCTGTTTCAGGCGTGGCTTACTTTCGCATCTTGGGGCCCGATCCGGTGAGTGACGCTGTACAACGAAGCAGACATGGCGTTTAAATTGATATCTGGCCAGGAATTGGGGATATGAATTTTTCAAAGCTGCACACTTCTTCTCGGCCGTTGTATTTATGGTCGTGTTCTTTTGGCACTGTGGCGGCACGCTCACATCATGGTAAATCCCTCAGTGCAAAAGTGAAATACATCTCCTAAAAACTGTCCAGGGACTACTTTGTGGCAACAGCAGCAATTTACGTACCCTGCTGGACGTATCCGTGGCTCCGAACCCTCTTCGAGTACGGCATTGGCCAGAAGGCACAAATTATCGTTGAGGACAACGATATTATCCGCGTCACTATACCGGCCAACTTTCAATGGCGGCCTGGTCAGCATTGTTTCTTACGATTCCGCAGCTTCGGCATTGGTGCTCTTACCTCTCACCCGTTCACCATCTGTTCACTACCCTCGACATTACCGGACAGGTTATCCGAGATTGTGTTCTACATTCGGCCACGCGGAGGCTTTACAGGAAGGCTCTATAAATATGCGACAGCAAATCCAGGGGTACGGATACCCGTGCTCGTTGACGGTCCGTACGGAGGCATAGACAATCAAAAGTACTTCAGCAGTGATCGTCTTATTCTAGTTGCCGGCGGCTCTGGGGCTGGGTGGATGTTGCCATTCATTGAGCAGTTCCTGCGCCATATTTCTGTCACAGAGCCTCAGAATCCTCAAAGTCTTGTTGAAAAGGAGAAAGAGACCACACAAGCTTCTGACGAGCCAATTCGACCACGAATTTCGCACGGACCTCAAACAATACGTGTCATACTGGCAACACGGGACATAGCGACTCGGACATGGTTTCACTCAGCCGTCAACAACTTAGTCTCTGCCTATGACTCATCAGGTTTGAGCAATGGTTTATCTGTTGAAGTACACTTAACCAGAGAGGCCGAGCGTATCGTGCAACTTTCGCACAAGGCTAGTTCTGATCCGCAGAGATCCGATTCCTCCGTCCAAGAGAAGATCTTTACCGCAAAAGATCAGGGCGGGCAAGAAGAGCCTCACACGGCTGAGATATCGGGGGAAGATACTTGCGGTCGTCCAGACCTTCCGGCGATAATTCGAGAAGAAGCCTCTGCGGCGGCAAGCACGAGAGGAACAGTCGGTGTCTTCGTCTGCGGACCGCTTGAGATGCAGGACGACGTCCGTAATGCTGTTGCGGATGAGAACCTGAACATCTTGAAGAGTCCAAAATCCGGTGGGATGTATTTGCATCTTGAACATTTCTCGTGGGCATAGTGAGGTGCAATTCGAGGGAGTCTTATTTCTCCCTGTTCACAGTTGAATTGAAGTCCACATCTTGAAAACGAATCAAAATGTGACAGAAATTCGTGGGCAGTTTTGTGGGACCTTATAATGGCGTCGTGCCATTGTCGAGATGCCTGGGCCTCGTCATGATTGAAAGTGCGGCGGGTGTCTTGCGTACAATGGAAATAGCTCGTTGGATGGTCGAATCTAATAGATTCGACTCAGGCTTCGGTACCTTAAGACAGTTGTCTTCTGTTCAGTATACAGCTGGACTCCGTGTATCAGCGGCCTTTTTCTCGCTCAGATTTCTATATACCTTCCCTTTATTCACCCATCATCGCCGTTTCTTGAGATTTACCCTTTCAATTTGAGACTTTCGGATCTGTCTTCCACAGCTTCGCCACCAGATGAAATCCAGACTAAACGGCGGGAATCATCGGAAAAGTTTTCTTGTTGCTCTAAATCTACCACCCGAATGCATCAATCTCGAGTTCGAAAGAGCAGCGACCTGACATCTCCTTGCCGAGCCGAGCAACGATGGCCCTGACATCGTCACACATTCCCGCTGGTCCGCACACAATGATTCCAATTTTGGAATATCCAAGGTCTGCTTGATCTCGCAACAACCGATTGATGTCTAACCTGCGCCCAACGACGACTTCCTTCTCGCGAATGGCGTCTAACACATCGGTCAAGGCATCCAAGAGGCACTGATCGTTCACCTTGACGCTATGAAATAGCTTGACATTCGGATGACACCAGACGAATGGCAACAGTCCAGTGATGCCTATACCGCCACCAATTAACAGTAGTCGATCACTCTGTAGGACATCCTTGGTAGGATTGCAAGGATAAGGTCCTTCGAGTAGCGTAAGCAATCCATCCCGCATCTCCAAAGACCGCGTCATTCCCACTTTCTTTCGAACGAACAATGTTAAGCCTGAGTTTTTGTAAGCATCATGCTCAACTGCAGACCGAGATTTCACAGTGATGGGATGGTCCTTTTCCACGTCGGTAGGAGACTTGGACTCAGCTCCATCGCTGTAAGCCTGCCCTGTGATAAGTGCTGTGGGAATCAAGGAAAACGGGTGGTTCTCCCACGGTCGGAAAGGGTGGAGCGTCGGGAAATATACATAGACACAATGCCCTGGTGACCGCCAACGGATCCCTGGGACATCGATGCGGGCGATCGTTGGGCTGATGTCAGTAACTGTGGCCCGCCTCACCCCCGTCTTCAACATACGTCCCACACGAGCCAGTCGATCAAAGGCCCAAACAGCAAACGTTGCGTAAAGGTAAGTCTCGTAGCCAAAGTCTCCCTCGTCGTCAGCCCAGACATGATACCAGCATCCCACAAGACAGACAACGGCCATGATGATGTGCGTGAGCAGGAACAGCTCGTATGCCCGCTGGCGTATAATAAGGAAGCTCGTGAGCACAATGACGACGGCCGCTACAGTACCAACACAGCCCCAATACCAAAGTGGCGTGTCCACCGTGGAAGAGTAATAGCCGTCATTTTGATACAAGATCAGTGAAAGGATTGAGTGCAGAATGGTCTGTAGCAGGAAAAATCGGGCTATCCATCGATGAAGCAGCATATAGGTTGCGTGGGACCAGTTTGTGAGCCACAGCAGGATGTTGTTCCTGCTTGAGAAGAGGAATAAGACTGGTAGCTGACAAAATGCTAGAGCACCAGTGCGCCACATCCAATAAGCCATGAGTTCTTGGTAGTGATTTTTGTACCACTGCATCTCTTCCCTTGGCCATAATGTCTTGTAGCCAACCGTGAGAAAGACGATATTTAGTATAAAAATCACCGCAATGTAACCACTCTGGCCCAACGTGGGTGCGTTGCCAATCAGGAAGGGAAGAGGTCGATCGTGGTAAGTCCCGAAGGTATTCTGATAGATCCAGGGTTTGATGCGGTCTAATGCGCTGGTCATGAAGGGCAGGTATCCAAGCCCAGTCAAAACAATCGGGAGGCCGAAAGCCGTCAGCAAAATCGCAAGTCTATTCGGAGAGATGATTCATTAGTCACGAAATAGAAAGTCGTCGAGACGGAAACATTACTTACCCATAATATGATTCTTGTGCAGTCTCGCGGAAGAAGTATATCAAGGTATCCTGAGTGATTTTCCAGGTATTGTAGGTGGTGAGCATGGTCATGTTTAATACCATGTCCTTGCCCATTGCCACCATAGCTGGAGGCTGTGTGATATTCGCCATGACCTCACCGTAGCTCCATGCTGGCAGGATATGGACATCTCCCGTAATCTGTGTTTCCCAGAATTTCTCAATTGTCGATGCCCGGACACTTTCAGGACAAAACGTGTGAATACACCAGGCAATGGAACTGAGGTAGGGGAAATCGGACGCTCGACACAGAGCTAGCATATGCGCAGTTGCGTCCGCAGTTGTTTTTCCTCCGGCGCTGATCGTTGTGGAACATTGCAGCATATATGGTGAGAAGGATCGGAAACAGCCATGAGCACAATACGGATTGTAGAAGGTAAATCCGGCGATACCAGCTAACCCAGTTCTGGTCACAGGTAGGGGACCGGTAGCTGCCACACTTGTGACAAGGCTCAACAGAGTCAGAAGCATGGATTTCATGACCGACGATGCCAACGATTGTATACGTGTACTTCTGTAATGGAAAACGGTGACGGATAGAAGTAGTGGGTTTCGGCCGGTCTTTATGGGTAGCAGAGTACGCAAATGCGCAAGCACACACTGTCTTCTTTTGAGGAATAGATCAGAGAGCAGACACTGGCGAAGCACAAACTACGGGGTAAGCTAGCTGATTTCACTGCTCCCTTGTTATCAGTTGAGCATGTCTCGCTCTTGATACTGCCTTTTTGCTCATTGGACTGTCGAAGGTCGAAACAAGCTCGTCTGGGAGAATACTTCACTGGGGCGAATTGTGGATAGCTGGGGAATTTTTGGCCTGGCATACCATTGGGGGTATAGAACTTGCTCATCATCGTGCTAACGGGAAACCTGCTCACGATGTGCGCGAACAACTTGGCAAAGAGTGGAAGGAGTCGAGGCAGCCAAGAGATTACCGCCTATTCATCAGCTACACTTTATCTGCTGATTAGCGTGTACTATACAGAACGTTGGAGGTAGAGATAATGTTGAAAAATAGAGGTAAAGAAGAGGTAGTAGAAGGCCTCGTAGACAAAGCACTGATTGGTAGGTTCCAAGAATTCCTCTCGCTGATTGGTCTTGAGGCTAATGCTAAGGTTTGCTCAGGGATACCGGGTTCATAATCGGTTCAGGAATCCTTCTGGTAACGGTGCAGATGTCAGTGTGAGGACGCACACGGCGCCATGTCTCTCACGCCCCAAAGGTTGACTTCTGCAAGGCGATAGTACAGGCTCTTTCAATTGTGGCTTCACACCTGCAGAGACCCAAAATATCGGGACCCGTACTTTGCGTCCCACAGAAGCTGAATCTACCTTTGTACTCAGGTGCATCTTGAGGCAGACGCCAATCAAGAGGTCCCACCGCCCTTTCGTCTTCAGAGTTTTTGCAACTTTACAGAACAGCAATTGGTTGCCCCTGAAAGTTTTGGCTTACACAATGCGAACAGCGGTTACCAGTTGGTCCTGACTTGGCCGAAGGACTAGCTTCCCTGAGCCCCTCCATTCAGCGGCTTAGACCTTGGTTGCTGCCCCTGAACATATGCGTGTTATAGAAACAACGCCTTTTCACGTGGGCCTATATCATCCAATGACGACAACCTCCTTTCCTCTCTTCCTTCCTGGCCTCCTTCTAAGATCACTTCTAATGTGCAAATCTGAATGTGAGCATCTTGTTTCCCTTATCCGTTGTTGTCGCAAGGTAGTGGCGTTGCTCTTCCTCCGTCATGGAGTCCCACTTCCGTTCCCGGACTCTGAAGCGTTCGTTGTCAGCAAAGCAGGCGAAAACGTTCGAGATGGCGACCTGAAAGACTCACTTGTTTCTCCAGACATAAAACCATTTGGCGAGGAGGAATAGGACAACATTGTATGCGCAGATACCGATCAGGACCTTATAGCCACGCCTATATAAGGGTGCGTCGTCTGTCCTGAAGATCTGTATAGGCATCCATGTCAGCAACAACTAGACTCTTTTCTAACAGTGGGGAAGAGATCTTCACATTTGACCCAATGATGTTGCTGGCTTGCACAAACATGTTGTACAACGCCGATGCCACGGTCCTCGTTCGTACTGAACCAGCATTACGACTAGTGATACCTACATGTATGGCATGCACATATGGAGCGCCGACGAGCAGAGTGGCCAACGCGTATTTCACCCATCGAGACGCCTCCCCAGGCAAGAGCTCAGATGCGATGAGTAGCGGCATACACCTGAAGCAGGAATAAGTCAGCGTGTCCTCGCGCAACCGGGGTCGACTCACCAGATCTGACTGAGCAATGCAACGAGAAATCTCTGGTTCGTTTTCTCTGACAACCAGGTGAAAGCAAGGAGATTGATGATGAATAGAACGTATGAGGGGATGGTGAGCATATTGACCTCGAATCTGCCAAATGATTGCTTCAGGATCAACGACAAGTACTGAGTGACAGGGTAGTTGGGGATCAGGAAGGACAGCCCAATGGCGTAGATTGGCCACATCTCCCAATCGCAGAGAGCGTAGAATAGCAGTTTTGGCGTCACAGCTTGTCGGTTGTGCATGTCGGCTTTGCTAGGGTCGTCACGCAAAATGCGATTGGCGATGATCTTTTCCTCTCGCTCACTGAACCAGCCATTCTTTCCACGAAACCAGGAGGCTGTCTGATATGGCGATGGGGGTAAATAAAAGTAAGTGGCGATGCCAATGAGCCCTGTGAGTGTTCCCTCAAGAGCGAACAGCCAAGCCCACCTATACAATGTCCAAGTCAGCTGCCCTGCTCATACAGACATGTACCACAACGTACCCTGGAAGGCCATTTATGCCGCGCATGTTGAGGATGGCAGCAGCCAGAAACGCGCCGACAATTGATGTAGCTTGATATGCGGTCCAAAACCAGGCCAAGCGTGCAGGAAGCTCTCTACCCTTGTAATAGTATGATAAATAAAGAATGGTATCTGGAATGAAGTGCTTTGGATGTCAGTTGTAATCTGGAGCGACAGAGGGGTGGTGACTTATCCCTCCTTCGATCAACCCCAATAGTGCTCGACAGGTATAGAAAGACGACTTTCCACTGAGAAAGGCTTGGAAGCTTGCAACAAGACTCCAGCAGATCATTTGGATTGGTATCCAACGGTCTGGGCCCAGCTTCTTCGATATCAGTTGGGAAGGTAGCTCCGCCGACAAAAAGCACAAATAGAAAATAGTCTGTCCGTAGTTGTAGTCGTTGGTTGTCATGTGGAGGTCACCCAGCATGTTGTCCGTCAAGGCTTGGACGATATTTGCTCTATCAAGCTGCACTGATATAATATCAATACTCAGCCTCGCTTTGAACAAGTACACAAGCACTCACACGCAAAGAACGCCAAGCAAACCCAGGAACAGATCTTCAGATCGATCTTGCGGACAATTCTCTTCTCCTCGGCAGGGGTCCATTGGAAAGATGGATCGAAACGATGGCGACCTTCCCACTTTTCGATAGGGACGTAGTTTTCTTCACCATGAACACGAAGAAACGTCTTGTCATCGACAATGGAGACGCTGCTGGAACCAAGACCATCCTCGATTGCAAGAGTGACCGGGATAGTCTCCCCCTTCTGATCATAAGATGGCTCTAAAGAGCTGTCATCCGACTTGGAGGACGCCATATCTAAGCCAGACAAGAAACGACTCGAAGAAAATTGCGGCGCTGGTTCAATACCTGGGTATGAAGGGATTTCGCCGGCAATCGTTTTATCTTATACCTACCTAGAGAAACCCAGGCTCTAGGTCCTGAATACCCCTTCCTTGCCGTCCTCGCTTCTACTGCGTCGGAAAGATCAGCGTACACATTGCATGCTTGCGACCTTCCATCCGAGGACGTATCCACCACTGAAGATGCTGTCACTCGGTAGATACAAACGCTGGGACGGGACATGACATCGACCGCTTGGTGTCCAATCCATCAGGAGGGATCCAATAAGGTGGTCTGCTCAGGAAAAGGTTCCCTGCCGATCTCAGTTTGCTGCATCAACAGACACAGCCGGACGTCGTCCGAAATGAGGCCTCAGCGACAATGAGGCACGTTGTACCCATTCCAGTAGTATTTCTAGCATCTCGCACACTCCACGCACCATATTCATCGCAATTGGTCCATATCGCTTATCAGTTTGCACGCGGCGGCGTTCCTTTGGACGTGCAGAGACATTTGCGCTGCGTAGAGTCTGTACCTTCCCACTTAGTACATCACGCAATATCAACCGAGAAGGCGTGCTCACCACTTACAACATTTCAACAAATCCTCAATTCGATCGCAATCATGTCATTGACGAGAAGACCCGCGTCTGAGTTTCCACCACTGTCGTGACAGATATATCACAGGGCTCCGACCGACGGAGAAGCGCACATGACGGACGATTCCCTGCGGGGTTGTTGTTTCGGATAGAGCATTGATGAGCGAATCCCAAACTTGGAGTTCTGGGCAGAGATTTCTCGTGCCGAATACCCTTAATGTGGTATAAAAGAGAGGGGTCTCACCGGTTGTCAGTCTGGTTCGACTGTATTAGCAATCCAATCTAGATTTCCTGTAAAGAGACACATTTCGAAATGGCGACCGCGTCTGCACCTAACGCTCTAAGGGGCGCCGTGGGAGCGTACAAAGACATCCAAACCGTGAGCTTTTCCAAGGAAAACGAATTGAAAGGCACCGATAGGTTTGCTGCGGCGAGCTTTCCAAATTATCTCCCCACCTGGGATAATGAGAAAGGTGAAATGTAAGTGTTGAGCTTGAAGGATCTGCTGGTGTCTCTCTGGCTGGCTTGGGCCTGAAAGTCTAACCATTTTGCTGGATTCCCACAGATATCCGCCATTAGAACCTTTTGAGCATTATGAGCATGGAAAAGACGCAGACCCTTCGTTCAAGAACCTGTTGAAGGAGGGTAGCCAGATTGAAAACATCACGGCATCCATTGGCGCCGAGGTAACGGGGGTCCAACTGTCTCAGCTCGACAACAAGGGCAAAGATGAGTTGGCTCTTTTGGTTGCTCAGAAGAAGGTCGTCGCTTTCCGGGACCAAGACTTTGCTTCTCTTCCCATCGAAAAGGCCTTGGAATTCGGGCGGTACTTTGGAAGACTACACATCCATCCCACCAGGCAAGCAAAACTTACCGGTCCATGTCGACACGAAACATCCAAGCTGACCTTTTCACAGTGGTGCTCCAGAGGGTTTTCCTGAAGTCCACCTTGTCCACCGTGGTGCTGATGACAAGTCCTTCCTTGACTTCCTCACCAGCCGGACCAACTCCATCGCATGGCACAGTGATGTAACATATGAGAACCAGCCTCCTGGGACCACATTCCTGTATGCCCTTGATGTCCCCGACGCCGGTGGTGATACCCTTTTCTGCAACATGGTCAAGGCATATGAACGGCTCTCCCCGGCTTTCCAGGAACGCCTGGCTGGGCTGCAGGCCGTCCACTCTGGGTATGAACAGGCCACTGCCGCCAAAAACCGGGGAAGCATCTACCGCCGCGCCCCCGTCTCGTAAGTCTCATCGTGCTGGCTTGGTGGGTGCGTGATTGACTGACTGTCGAATAGCTCCATCCATCCGATAGTGCGAACCCATCCTGCGACTGGCGAAAAGGCTCTATATGTGAACCCTCAGTTCACAAGATACATTGTTGGGTTCAAGCAGGAGGAAAGCGACTATCTCCTGAAGTTCCTGTATGACCATATCGCTCTGAGCCAGGATATCCAGTGCCGCGTCAGATGGAAGCCGAGCACCGTTGTTGTTTGGGACAACCGCGTCACAACACACTCTGCTTTGATTGACTGGCAGGATGGCCAGCGTCGACACATTGCTCGCATCACCCCGCAAGCAGAGCGCCCAACTGAATAGATACGTCGAGTCGGAGTTGTAAATTGGCATGGAACGTGCTAGCCCAACGATTAGACGTGTGACAGACCTACCAGTCTTCAACACAGCATTATACAGTCGTTTGCAGCAACAAGAATAAGACTCCAAAAATAGCTGAAAATGTCTGCAATTGCAATGCCATGGCGACTTCGCATTGGAGTATATTCCGGAAGAGCGGACAACTAAATGATCGTCCCCAATTGCGACAGGGCCACGCGAGGTTCAGTCGTGTCGCCAAAGAACCATTTTCACTATCCACTCTCCGCGCAAGACAATTTTGATGTTCTGAGCCACTCCAGACGCCGAACGATGCGCATAACACGACATGCCCGACCATATGAGAATCTAATCTCCCTCAAGTCTGGCAACCACAGTGCTCATTTCGTCGTCGCTGTAGATCCGGAATCCGTTCTCACGTGTGACACTCGCCAGTTGTACGTTCTTCGCGTCCAGCTTCTCCTCCATAACCTGCTTCAGTGTCTTTAAGACCAGGGTCTCAGCCTCTTCCAAAGTCAGGGATCGGTGGTATTCTGATTGTAGCTCCGCTTGAGCGCCCTCACTGCCGGATCCAATGGCCTTTGCGTCGTAACGGTAGAACGTGCCTGAGGGTTCTGCGTGATACCTGGACTAGTAAGTGACCGATATCTCCATTGCGGCAAGTCACTTACAGTTGTGGCCCTTGGTCCTCATCCCAACCTGCAATCAATAGCGCAACACCGAACGGACGACTCATTATTGACTCTTCTCCTTGAGCTCCTTCACCGAACCTCAACGCTAAATCGCAGATGGCTTGTGTGCAGCTCTCCACTCCGAGTTTTTCGTTGAAGTTGAAGGCATGATTTTGTGACTCCACGCGGGCATGCTCGATCATACTTCGTGCATCAGCTTGAAGACCTGACATGGCGCAGCCAACGTGTCTATCGATTTCCACGATCTTTTCTATGCTGGAGGAGACGAGCAAGGGAGACGTAACGCGCTTTTCGACGCCGAGGAGGACGCCATGTGACGTAGCAACCTGTAAGTAGTGAGCAAGTGTTAAAGCGGTCTGGGGAGTAATGACCATACACCAATGGCTGTTGACCCGAGCTTGATGGCCTCTAATGAGTATTCAACCTGGAATAGACGACCTTCTGGCGAGAAGGTGCTGTCGAATGTTAGCCACAGGACTCGTCCTAAATGTCAAGTAGGGGCTCACTTGATCCCTCGGTCGTATTCTGATCGTGCTATAAACATGGCGAGAATGGGACAAGACGATGGTTAACAGAAGTTCAGGACTTTCCCATAAGAAAGGTCCGCAAGGTATTAATCTGTGAAGATCAAGGTGGTTGTTAAAACAAGAGGCAAGAGTTGTGGTATTGCGGGTGAACAGGCAAGCTCTGGATGCGCAATCCAATCTCAGCCTTCTCGAAAATGTCCCTCCGCAGCCAAGCCCTCCAACGCAGCCTCGACGCGCCAGTACATTGAACTGGATACAAGGTACACTTCGCATACAGCCCCTCGTCCTCCAACAAGTTTCCGATCTGCTGCTACGTGTCACTACTTGCCAAACGACAATGCCGGCCTGTAGATATGACGTCTCTACATTACAGAAGTGCATCTGCTACTGACCGCCGAAGCGCCAGTCTTTTAAATGGCCCCTCACGCGTCAATCCCACTCGAGCCAGAGATGACCGACCATTTTCCCGCGACAATGGCTCTCCGGTGCATGCAGATGGCTCCAGCGACCATGCTGATGGGGTGCACAGACCGTCAAAGAGCGAAAGTCGAGTGAGTGGTATCGAACATAATAGGCGGCGGGAGAAATCGACAGTTACAACAACAGAGACCCTCTACACGAGAAGAAGTCCGAAGAAAGACACGTCGGGTTTCGAAAGCCGGCAGGATAAGCGGACAATAGCAAGTCCTGTTCTCAAATACCCGCCGAAGGAGGATAAATGTAACTATTCCAATACTTCGGAGTTTCCACTCCTTCTGACAATCTTGCAGTACCATGGGCTCCCACGGTATCTCTAGTCGCCCATTCTTCTGCGCCCCTGGCCACAAGAGTGACAGCACCGCCTTTGTCCCGCCATGCTCCATCAGAGCTCGATCCTACCGCTCTCGAGACGATGTCAATGCAGGAGCAAGAGCGTGCATTATTGGACGATTTGCTCTATGTTTTTATGGGCTTTGAGGGACAGTATGTCCGTTTCCACGACAATTATGATCCTACCGAGGAGAAAGACCGTTTGAATGGTCCATCTTTCCATCCACTTCCCGGTCTTGATCCCAGCCTGAGAGACTTGACAATCTCCATGCTTTCAATGGCCACGCATCACTGCGCGATTGAGGCTTTCATCGAAGCCCAAAGTCGGGAAGAATTCGGCTCCGTCAACCACGCGCTTTGTGCAGCCATCAGAGAGCTGTTGAAAGATTATCTCATCTTGATTGCACAGCTGGAGATGAAGGTCCTTACGGACCCGAAGGTTACCTTGCACCAAATGCACATCGCGGTTATCCCAACCGCGCAATGTCTAGCACAGCTATACTCTCTTGCTCAAGAATTATTGAAAAAGAATTCCTTGCTGGAAGAGGACATTGACGACTCGATTGACGATTTTGATGCTGATAATATTATTGAGCGACTAAAGGAAGGTGGTGATTTACTCCCGGGCAGTCTCAGCAAGAAACGATGTATAGGCGGCAATGTTCTGGGTCTGTTGACGACTCGGCTTTCAACATTCTCTGGAGATCCAGCAGCTCGGTCCATTCTGGAGATGCTGTTACGTGAAGCAAGCAGACCTTACATGGTGATGCTAAATGAGTGGTTACATCACGGCGGCATCCACGACCCGCACTCGGAATTCTTGATCGGCGAAAGGGCTAGTATCAAGCGAGAACGTCTCGATGAAGATTACACGGACGAGTACTGGGAAAAGCGTTACTATATTCGCGAAAAGGAAATCCCACCGCAGCTAGACTCTGTTCGAGATAAGGTCCTTCTGGCTGGCAAGTATCTCAATGTGGTACGGGAGTGTGGTGGTGTCAACATCAGTAGCAAAATCGACGACACCCCAGCAACATTCGATGATCCGCGATTTCTCGATAATGTCAACAATGCCTATTCCTTTGCGAATAAGGAGTTGCTTCAATTACTTCTCACGAAGAATTCGCTCCGGAGTCGGTTACGGTCGATGAAGCATTACTTCTTCCTAGACCGTGCGGAATTCTTCCTCTATTTTCTGGAACTTAGCGACTCAGAGCTTCGAAAGAAGAATCGAGATGTCAACGTCGGCAAACTTCAGTCTCTGCTAGATTTGGTACTCCACCAGCCAGGCAGCATCGCCGTAGCAGACCCATTCAAGGAGGATGTGAAAGTGAAAATGAATTCGGTTGGTTTGACGCAATGGTTGATTAAGGTCGTCAATGTGCAAGGTATGGACCAGGATAATCCAGATTCCATGATGGACCCATACAAGACGCCGGCTACTGCCCAGGCGTCTGTGAATGACAAGCTGAAGGATGAGAGGAAAAAGGAGGAAGAGAAGGATATCATCGGATTTGAAGCGCTAGAGCTTGACTACACTGTACCCTTTCCCCTCTCCCTCATCATCAGTCGAAAGACGGTGTCGCGATATCAACTCATCTTCCGGTACACACTGGCACTGCGTCACCTCGAAACCCAGCTGGTGGGTTGCTGGTCGACTCACACGAAGGAGAAAGCTTGGATTCACAAGTCCTCTGATAAGAGGTTTGAGTTGTGGAAGCGGCGAGTATGGACATTACGTTCTCGAATGCTCGTGTTTGTTCAACAAATGCTCTTCTTTGCCACTGCGGAAGTGATTGAACCGAACTGGCAAAAGCTTATGGTGAAGGTCGATGACGCGGAACGAGATGATTTCGAAGAGACCAAGTCAGGACTCAACCCGAAAACGAAGCCTACGGTGGATGAATTGATGCAAGATCATGTTGACATGCTGGACTCTTGCATGAAGGATCTTGGATTGACGCAGGCGAAACTGCTCCGTCTACACGCAAAGCTCATGACTGGGTGCGGGATGTTTGCCTCATATGTTGAGCACGTCACCAAGTCAATCTATGAAGCTGACACGAGCATTCAATCTAACCCGGTGAAGCCTGGGGCAGCTGCGCCCCCAGTTGCGCCGACGGATCCAGCACGAATGAAGAGGATAGAAGAATCTATCAGGAAATACGAAGAGCACTTCAATAGGCACCTGAAGATCTTGATTGATGCTCTCAATTGGTTTGCAACTACCGAGACTGTCTCTCTGCTCAGTCTCTGTGGAAGGTTGACGAATGCAGAGGTACAGAAACGCGATGACTTATTTCTTTGATCTATGGAGGAGTAAAAACGCGTCTCTACTTCGACCTGCCTCCATATTCAGCAACGAGGAGTTTTTTATGGAACCTTGGCACTTAGTGGTGGTGACGAGATTGATGAGAGTGCATAGATGCACAACGACAAAGACTATGAATGATACCCACACGCGCCATTGTTGTTCATTTGATTATGCTCCCTGTGTTTTCCTGCCGCACCCTCGACATTCACCGCTACAAATTCCGCCAAGCTCGTTTGGATCTCTCTCTTTATATATATCACAGCATCTGTATCCGACGTCTCTTCCTCTCTCTCTCTCCCCTTCTCTTTCCTCGAACCTTAGGAGTTGTCTATGACGCCGGGAGACTTCGACGGGGTCGCCTGGCTTCGCTGAAGCGCTTCATCAACATGCTGAGGGAGGACGCATCGAACTTACAGGCATCGTTCTCTCCCGGGCGGTCGCCCGACAGGAAAGAGGTAAGATCTATGCCTCAGCTGCGCCCAGATGCCATCCTGACAGAAAGATAGAAAAGCAGTGTTGAGACACAGGACGTGGGTCCCGTCACAGTCCCCCTGTCCAGCCTTCCACCAGAATTCTCCTTCACTAAGTATCTCTCACCGAACTTAGTCAACGACCGAAGTCATCCCACGATTGTGACATTGAACGAAAAAACCTTGGACGCCACATATCTCGTCCTGCTGGCGCTCAATGAAGAATGCCGCGGAATGCGGCGAGGCTGCTTCTACTACCTGCCTCTACGGCAGGATGTCACGAGAGGCCATCCCTGTGACATGGTCTTTATTGACGAGCCCTGGGGGGAGAAGAGCGTGAAGACATGGGACGCGTCGAACTGGGAGAAGAGGCTTCGTATGTGCCGTGCAGGTATGAGTTCCTTTCTTACACTTGTCACCAAGACACGACTCTATTCACCGACAACCATGTTTTTATTGATGATGGCGCAGAAGGGAAGATAAATTCTCACGAACACGTCATGCCCGTTTGCTCGCGTATTCTGAAGTTCTCCGAGCCAGCAAAGCGTATGGACTCAAAACTCTCATTCCCCATAATTCCATGTGATCAAAAACCGGCTAACAATTCTGATTGCTTTTGCTTTTTTTAGCATTTGGACGTCCTCATGTCTACGCCAGCGACTCCGATCCCGCTGTCGCCAAACATTTGAACGTCCATACCTGGAGTCGACCTCTGATGGACACGTCGAGGATTCTGATCCTGTACATGCATCGTCATGCACCGCCGTTGATCGCCCACGTCCACGCGATCGAGGGTACCTCACAATGTACGACGTTCCCGACGCCAAACGACCCCTCCCTGACGGCGCTCCCGAACTGGCAACCGAACACTGTCGACGTGTTTGGCAGAAAGTCAGACTGCGACGCGCCCAGAGCTATGTCGTCGGGTGGTGGTGGTGGTGCTCGGCAGCAGAGGAGGTTGGCGGTCATGGTGACAAACAAGGAGGTGGTGCTTGCCCTGCTGTATATCTGGAACCGCGGCCGGGATGTGCCTCCTATCGACCATGACAACAGCGGCGACTTGAACCTAGAGGTCTTTGACGACTGGGAGGCCGACTTTGGCCGTACCAAGGTCTTGTGGCAGGAGTTGGAAGACCGAATCCGGAGTCACAGCCTCGGCGCGCACGAGGCTATGTTGAAATACTGGCCTAAGGAATGAATGACTAGGGCCATGTTCTCATGTCTCGTGTCTCATGTCTCATTATAGTGAATGTCAGGAAAGGCCAGACTGTGCTAGGTAGCGACCCGCCAGTTGAGAGAGCAAAGATGCAAAGATCGAGTGGCAGGTGAAAAAAGGACACACCACCGGAAAGCCACCTGCAGAGTGGAGTAAATAAAAAGGAGGGACATGTTACTGCAAAGGGCTTGAGAAGCTACAAAACGTTCGCTGCTTGATGTCACTTTAACTTTTCAAGGAGATCTGGGAACGATGGACACATGTTGAGAGCAGCCGATACATTGAACCAGGATCAAGGCTCCTCTTCTACCTACCTCTACGCTGGACTCTGCTCTGACTCCATCTCAATCACCGTGTCTTATAAACACAAGGCTTAAGAACTTTGGCCTCTTCCTCAGCCGTTACTTCCCTGTCATCCGCTTCATGATCGGCTCCCCGGCCTCTTCCCTTTAGCTTCACCTCTTCGATCTTTTGATATTCCCGGCCATTCCACTTTAGCCCTTTGTATTTCCCAGCGGTCGGCACGCCAGATTTGACAAACACCATACTCACAAACATCTTGTTCGATTTGTCCACACTCTCCTCGCGCAGCAGGAAGCCGCGGCGGGAAAGGACACGGACAAAGGCAGATATGTCTGTCTCCTCCCCAGTGGCCTCGGTGGGGGTTGTAGAGTCTTCCGCGAAGAGTTCTTCTCGAACTTCATCATCGCCATCTTCCGCGCCGTTGGCACCGGATTTCTTCTTGGGCTGTTGTCCTCTTCGTTTCTTACCTACACTATTCTCCACGCTTTGCCCAGGTTGTCTTTTCGCCCGTCCAAAGCGGGATTTGACTTCACTCACCCAACACTCTCCCTTTCCATCCCCCCGGAGTATTCGCCACGCCTCTTCCACAAAGTTAATCCAGTTCGTGCCCATCAGGCTGAGACAAAAGACCGCGATATCCACCTCACCATCTCGCAACGGCAGAGACGAGATGTCTGCTTTGGTGACGAAGGTGTTGGGAGTATGGAGGTCGAAGTTGTGAAATTTTAGTTTTAGGGCTTTGATGGCGGATTGACAACCACGGGCGAGAGGGGCGTCACCGCAGCCCAGGTCGGCGATTGTGCAGGACCCTGTTTTGCGCCGAGGTAAGGGGGAGTTCTGTAAGAAAATCTTGGAGTCTTTGCTTGACTGCTGCTTCTTGGATTCGTTGGCTGTCGTGGGGATTTGTCCCCGGGTTCTAATTGCAGAAATGTATTTGTCCACGGGATTAACCGGCCATGAGTCTTTGACTTGTTGCGAAAAGCCGGCGTGGTACTCGGCGAAGAGGTCCGGAGAGTTGGTGAAGAGGTCCATTGCGGCCAAGGAGGTGGTCGTGTACAGGGTCTCGTTCAGGTGCCGGAAGCGGGCTGCTGTGAGTTTACTGCGCATTTTGGCTTGCAGAGGAGTCAGTTTCGCAGGCAGAGGCGGCTCTGGCGGAAGAGCCTTGTGTAAGGCATCGCGTGGAAAAGGTCTCGAAGACGACGTTTCCGCATCGCCACGGCTGTTCCTTTGGTCGCCGTCCCTTGATGTTCGCCGTCGATCGTCCTGCCCTGACAGCTGTTGGACATTGGGGGGCGACCGTGTATTGTCCTTGTTCTCCCTCCTGCGCCTCTTCCTATCCGTTGTTGGGATGGTCTCTGCGCCAGCCTTGTTTCGATCACCTTTTTGGTGGCCATCTCCCTGACGTCCATGCGCCTGCTCTGTCCTGGCAGGTTTGGCCCCTGCGCGCTGGTTCCATAGTTTCTCGAGCTCAATCCCCGAGACCTTAGAGGCCTGAGGACGATCAGAGAATGTGTTCCTTCTCTTTTTGGAGGACGAAGTGGAAACAGGGTGAGATAGGTGGGCATCCCCTGTAGGGGCGGGTTTCTCTTGGGCGAGGGAATTTGAGTCCACGGCCCAACCTGGGACAGCGAACATGATCCGTAGTAGACCGGCAAGGCAGGGGTTATGAGAAGAGCATTGTTGAAGGGAGTTAATTAGGTACGAGCTATGCTGCAGGTCTCAGATGGTGTCCAAGCCAGTGTTACTGCAAAGTTGGCGCGGGCACTTGACGGGTGGTTGTCAAATGATGCACGGTGCAGGCCACCAAAAATTTTGCGTTCGCGCAGCCGTGGTAGCCACTGCGCCCACTCAACACCCACTACTGGTACTGGTAGGTGCCTGGCAAGAGCCGCAGTTGCAGATTTTGGGGGCGGGGCGAGGGCAGAGTAACCCCCACTTAGGGGATTGCTATTGGTTTGGCCAGGGCCCGGAGGGCGATACTTCAGCCCAACGGGCAGACAGCGCCTTATCCACCCTTTGGGCATTACCGAGTACGATACCTTACAAGCCATCTCCTGCACAAACCGAGCAGGTACTGCATACAGGTACCAAGTTCCCGTCCTACTGAGTACCTAGGTACCTACCTAGGTAGGTAGTACTACTATACCGAGTACCTACCTACATGTACCTAGGTAGGTACCTATAGGTACCTCTGGATGGAGTACGGAACATCACCCGTCGACTCCATCACCCCCCGCATTGCAGCTCTCACGAGACACTTGCATCATGCCAAGAGTCGCCCTCGGTACTATGTGGTGAGGTTATCGGGGTGCTCCTCTTCCTTCTCCTCCATTCCCCCCTCCACTCTCGCATTGATTGATGAAAAGCTACCTTGATTTTCGGCCGCTTACTGATGGCATCCCCTGCTCGCTACACCTGCAATCGGATGGCGTCTTCGGCCGCGCTGTCCAGGCTAACAAGACGTGGCAGACAAGGATTCAGACCAGGGTCCCGGCACCTCGTCCCTTCTACGAACTGCATGGCGCTATACCTCTCCATCATGAACTGCAAGTAAACCCTGCAATCCGTTGCTGCCCCGGAACCAGCCAGAACCAAAAGACGCAACAGCCATACGGATTGTGCATACGTGGCTTAACCTCTTTCTGACTATAGTTCTAGAAACCCTGCCAATGGTTCGACTCCATTTCCATTGCCACCTCCACCATAGCAACCCTTAGATACGAGTTGCCTGATATCATGTCTACCTGAGAAATCTCCTTCTTGACTGGTCTACACCCTGTCCACGGCTCCACCGTAAACCGTCAAAGCCAAGTTCTGCGCCGGTGTTCGACCTGGCTCTTTCAACCCAGGCGGCGACTCGGGGACCTGATGCTCTCGGGCTGCTTCGAAACCGTCCATGCAGCTTCAATCCTGCCATCAGGCAGCAGGTGGTCCGGAAAAGGCCATTGTCTCAACGCCGATTTCAATAATTCCTGCTTAGCGCCCCGCTCGAGGCTTTGTGCGTGCCACGTGTAAGCATGCGGTCGAAGATCGTCAGAGGAAGATATTGAATAGGAAGGCCGTGGCAGACTCGCCAACCCCCAAAACTTGAAGTTTCCCAGCCGCCATGCTGCGAAGAACTATTGAGGGCACTCCAGTGGGGCAATGAGTAACGCACGTTGGGGAGCCTTCGAGCTCGCATGGCTAGCGCAGGCTCGTCTCCCCTGCTACCCGACGGAGTACTGCGCGGAATGTACTCGGTACATCGTCTTTCCCCTCGCTGCCCGTCAAAGCGGCAACCACTTGGGGTTGACGACCCTCTTGTCGATCCAACAATCCAGCTGCCAGCCGATTGTCCACGACCGACAGTCATAAATGTGACCTGCGTTGTAGCATTGTAACACTCGAGGGTAACCTTTGACAGGTTTGGCCACTGAGAAAGCACCCAGACACCCATCAGAGCCAGATGATCAGCATCTCCACCGCAGAGAGTGACGAAAAATACAGGTACTTCCGCCGATACTAGGCTCTTGGGTTTCGATATCACGATATCTCTGTGGGGAGCTTATAGCAGCGGAGCGACTCCCCAGTGGTGCCGGCCCGTTCATGCTGCAGGCTGGGTTGTGAAGAAAGCACACTCTGAACTAGGGATGGAGGCAGACGGGACCCATGTCGATCCAACGATATCTCGATGCTCAACATCTCGGCAACGCCTTTCCCTCTTACGGTACCAGGTGCTAGGGACCATTTTCACCAAGTACAAAGCTTCATTAGCACCGCCTTTTCGTCGCAAATCAGCCCTACGCTCTCCCTTCTGACCTTTCCTTCTTGGAAAACGGCTACTGGCCAGTCCCCAGGCCTGTGACTTTGCTTCTGCAAGCCGCCACCTTACCCGCCCCCACCTGAACCTAGTATCCTGTGAGGTACCAAACTGCCCTTCGCAGATTTTTCCTCTCTACCTATGCTGGCTCCTTTTGACCACCAGACCTCTCTCGGAACTGTTACTATTTGTGCGCACTGCAAGGGTGCCCTTCCCCTAGTATTGGACCACATGGAGGGCCTTCTGTCGCCCTCAACGAACCCACCAATCATTTGAGACGTCCCCCGTCACTCTGCATATGCGGCTGCACAGCCTGTCTGTATCACAACCTCTTCATATTGGGGGTGCCGGTAAGTCGAGCACCGTGTCTCAGTGGAGACATATCGGTCCTCGGCAGATCCCAATGCGTCTAGAAATGCTATTCCACATCCCCAGCGTGTCCTCTTTTCTTTCCTCACCGCAATCGGGCCTAGCAAAATGCAATGAAACCAGCTTCGAGAAAATTGTGCGCTATTGAAAGGGGTATGGAACATCAGACTGGTACCCAGCTCTGCTGCCCGCACCAATAGCTCAATCGCAAGTATTTCTCCACAGTGCATATCCTGACTTCTCGGAACTTCCCTTCCCACTCTAAACTATTCTGTTCCCAATGTGCGGTCCAGCCTTTATTTTGTTATCAGCTCGTTGCTGGCCGCTTTCAAAATTGCAACTTCCAGATTGCCCTCAATGCTTGATATGTCAACAGAATCGTCCTGATGCCTGACGCTTAGATTTCGATGTCTCCTACGCCTGAAGAAGAGGAATCCGTTAATGACAAGCGACCTGGCAGTAAGCCAGAGGAGGAGGAGGAAGATGCGGCGGCGGTAGTGGACGCCACGCCGAAGCAGGCCGCTAAGAAACGGACCAAGACTGGCTGTCTCAGTGAGTTTGATCTTGTCTTCGGGTACTACCTGCGGAGCATTGACACTGATATCTTCTCTAAAAAGCATGCCGTAAAAGACGGTAAGCTCTTTCCACTGTGGGATACCTCTATGCTCGGAGCTATCGTTGTTATTGCCATTTGACGATTGTCACAAGCTGACAGATCTTTCCAGGATAAAATGCGGCGAAGAAAAGCCAGTAAGCCTGGTCCTCGGTTCCACATACATTCGTCGAAGCGTCTCTAACTCCAGATCAGGTGTGCAAGAACTGTATCAAGTCGAAGCGCGAATGTGCCGGATACTCTCAACCTGTTGTGTACAAGGAGCAGAACCAAGGACAGATTGATGCAGCCCCCGAGATTGGCGTTGGGTTACCGTTTCAAAATCAAGAAGTCACAACTGCACTCAACCAACATTGGCACCCAGGACAAGAATACCTGGGATTGCCACATGGCTTTGGTCAAACAAATCCTACGCCTTATCATCAATCACCATTTAGCGCCAGCTACCATGCAATGCCATTTGCCCCGATCAACCTCCCTGGTCATACAAGCGTTCCAAACACAGAGTATGGGTGGCAAAGTACTCAGCATCTCCCAAATCTGCAATACCATGGTATACCCGAGGCCTCGGGAGGAAGTGTACCAGGGTTTAACTCATCGGACAATCAGGCTGGAAGTTCGACAGCCTTCTTCCCTGTCGACCCTCGACTGATGGACAAGTCGCAGGCGTGGGCTTTGGACCCTGCTTTGGCCCAAACTCAGACTTCACAGTCCACATTCCCCTCCAGCAACCACACTCTCGCATCACAGCAGCCCGTTCTTGCACAATTCCAACAGCGACGTGCTCCACTGCCTTACCACTACGGTGTATCACCTCTCCCTATAGAGGGTATGTAGGCGAATACAATTATTATCCATCAAGTTCTTTTATCCAGTGCTAAGCTCTTGGCAGAACATGTGGCTAGGCAATACAGTGTCCATGGTAGTTCACATCAGCCGAAGTCTATAAGTGCCTCATCCCGTGGTCCATCTGTGCTGGCCCAACCTACAGTCCACCTGGATGACGATGATTATGAGGATCCAGAGGACCCGTTCGATGTTGACATGGAAGATTTGAACCTGTCATATCAAGATGCGGCAAACAATCTCACAGACATACTCGGTCGTGCCGGGCAGCTCGATGCACAAGCTGCGAAATTGTATGTTCCAAGAAGGACAGAGTATCGGACTATCGCGACATACCGGCCGACAGTAACACAATCACCGCTTCGCGACGAGAGAAACGAGCATATATTTTGCCATTTCGTTGAAATCACGAGCAACACTATATCCATCTTTGAGCGTCATCACTACAGTCCCATTGCAGCGCCTGCTAGAACTCTCTGGAATTTTACAATACCAGCCCTGGCCTTGTCGCATACGGCACTCGCACATGCAATTTTGGGGTTGGGAGCCCTTCATCTTGCGAGATTGAACAACTCTTCAGAAAACCTTGCGATCAAGCATTTTACCTTTGCAGTTCGAAGGGTTGGGAGGCTCTTGGGACTCCCCAAACGGCGGCATGAAATAGCGACCCTGGCTACGGTTCTGCTCCTCGGATACTATGAGGTGGTTTCTGGCGACCATTCACGGTGGAACCTTCATTTGTCAGGGGCTATGAGGCTACTACAGGAGCATGATTATGCCGGCTTAACACGAACGACGAGACGCATGCGAATCGGGGCAAAAGCACGAGTCAATCAGTGGACGGCTCAATTCGCATTGACCGAGGAGAACTATGCCCGTGTAGCGGGTATTCCTCTTGCCTTGCTTGACGACACTGACTGGGAGCCTGATCAGGCACTCATCTCCCGGCTGACGGGCCTCCGTGTAAACTATGACCAACAATTCCAGCCGAATTTCAGCTCTCGTCCTGCAATGCCGGATCTTACGGAGAAAGACGTCGAGGATTTCAAGGCCAAGATGGATCTGAGGTGGTGGTACTGCAAGCAAGATGTTTTCCAGAGCATGGTCTCCGGCGACCGGCCACTGATGCCTTTCGAGGATTGGATCCACTGTCCACCTAGAGGTCAAATTGGCCGGTCGGACAATCCGTATGGCACTTTGGATCATCTGCTTCTAGTCATGGCACGCCTAGCTGATTTCGGCGGCAAAGATCGTGGGCGCAAACAACGAGCGGTGGCTGCCCAGGGAGGGCAATGGAGGCCACCAAAATGGCTGTTTGGACCTCAAGGGCCGCCTGGTCAGTCAGGGAGGAAGGACGGATCTACTCATCCTAGGCAAGCTGCAGAATCGCCTTCTGAAAAGGGTTCCGCAACCGCCAAGTCAGCAGCTGCTCAGGCGGGAGCAAGGCCTTCACCAGCCCCTAGCGCCAATGAAGGCAGAGTCAGGCAGAGTAAACCCGGCTTACAGTCTGGTCCAGGCCCAGGCCCGGGTGTCGGTCCCCCTATGCTTGGGATGCTACCGCCTCCATCCGAGCCTCTGCAGCTGGACTCAGCTTTTCGATCCATGGACGCCAATATTAAGGACTCAGCTTTCGTGTTCACACGTGAGCGGAAGGAGACCACACCGCCCAGCGACCTTGAGGACGACACTGCCAAAGCATTGGCAGAATATAATGAGATCAGCAAAGCCTTCGACACATTCGCAGAATCCCTGGGTCCGGAATTCGAACCTCTGAAGCAAAACGGACCCCCAATCGCTACACCTTTTGGACCGGCGCTGATATACAAGAATGGCGCCGTTGCGTGTATATGGGCATGTTACTATGTCGGACGCATCTCGTTGCAAAGACTTCATCCCGAGATGCCGCCAGCAGCGATGATTGCTGCTGGTGCCACCGCACATCTTACTCGGGAGTATGCGCAGATGGTGGGCAAGATCTGCGCAGGGCTATACTCAAGACAGCTATATGGCCAGAGTGGCGCCCTTGATCCCAATTTCGCAGGCTATCTCATGGAGAGTACATTCTTCCTGCTGTTTGCAGCAGTCCAGTATACAGACGCCGCACAGCGAGGCTGGACGATAAGCAAGCTCAAAGACGTCGAACGCAGATGTGGATGGCGTACGTCAGGCGCCATTGCTGGCGCTTGCGAGACTGCTTGGGAACGGATGGGCCAAGCAGGAAGAGGTCCTCCATACGAGCGAACTCTTGATCCCCACAGCGAGGACATCCGCATGAGCAGAACATCAGCAAAGTCATCTCCATCAAGTGGAGAGGCGTCGGATGCTGCCGCCGAACAACATGAGTCTGAATTTGTGACCCACGATCGCAGCCTTATTGATCGGTCCAGCTCTACTCGTGTGCATTGGGCGCTGGGCTTGCTTTCCGTGGAAGAGGACATCGAAAGGATGGCCCTGGAGGACAAGTAGGTTCCAAGTGCCGATGACTGGTCGCCCTTGCCTCTGGTGTGCTCCTGCTTCACTGGCACATGCCTTCTTCGCCATGAAAGACCAAGTCGCCACCTCAGTCCGGCATTATCTCTGCTTGGACTTTCTATCTATACCCCGTTTGCTGCATATCCTAGACGTACTATTCAGCTCACTACCGCCTCCTGGGCTTTCATCACCTGACTGCAGAGACCTTCCCTCAGATCACAAAGTCCTTTTTTCTGTACCGCCAGCCCTAATTGTCTGCGGCGTCGAGACCCTGGTCATGGCATATCAAAATGACACCTCTGCGAGTGGCCCTTCTCCCGTCAGGTTTCAGAGACAACCAGTAGACCAAGATGGAGCTCTTTTCAGGAAAGATTGCACTTCTTACTTCGACATCTCTCCCAGTCGTGGCGGCTCGCTTGAGAGCAACTCCACTTCCGAGATCAGTCCTGGGAGTCCTGGGGCGCAGCTTCAACAAGATTCGCACAGCACCACACGGCCTTCTTATTTCCGGTTCTATTCAGAAGCGCTACACAAGAGAGTGCCCAATCATGCTACTAACATAGACCGGCAGAGTGCTGGCGCGTCAGCGCCGGGGTTGCGCTCCCCTCCCTCTGAAGTGACCTTTACCCCCAAACCAGCAACTGGTCGATCCGCACAACATCCTTCTCTCCAGTCGTCACGACGCTCGTCTGCGACATCCGCGAAGACTTCGCCTCTATGGGGATCACGTCCGTCGAAAGATAGCCATACATATTCTGTTCAACGACCGAAGCTGAGACGTGTCCTGGCGACGTCCTCTTCTTGGATTAGGAGCATCAAGGAAAAAGAGGACTCGGCAGATTCCACACGAAAACTATCTTCGGCCGGTTCGGAGGCGCAGACAAGCACTGGCGATATCATTGTTGTCCGGACAGACCAAACCCCTCTGAAGCCTCCGTCGAAGAGTATTCCTGCTACCGACAGATCCACACCCAGCTCTATAAAAGTGGAGACAGACTTCGGGGAGAACATTCCTAGTGGCAGAGCACAATCAAGGGCTCACTCTTTAGGGGAGCAAGGTCAGACTACATCTCGTAGGGGTTCGATCAATCCCAAAACAATCTTGACGCACCCACTCCATTACATCCGCTATGCGAGTTTGCCCAAACGGGCAAAGACGCCAACAGCAACTAAGACCCCCAGACCAACTCCGATCGCCCGAGATACGCTATTGCCAGACCATACCAGCCAGCTCAAGCGGAACTATACATCGGAAGTACTCCAACGCGCGGCGGGGATCTTGCAGGAGATCAAGCATGCACCTCAGAACGCACTGTGGCCGCCCCAGGTCCTAAAGCCGTTGAGATGGAGAACGTTCTCCGATAAATCGCTCTCGCAGCAAACGAAGAAGGAACCGCGGACCGTGCAAGGCATTATATCTGAGATCGGCAACAGTAACAAAGGCAGTGGTGAATCACCCTCCGCGGTGCAGTCATATACATCCAGCGTGAGAAACTTGCAAATGGGCATCGTGCCTACGAATACTCCAAGTGAGACGGCGACATACAAAGTTAAAAGAAGCCCTAGCGCAGAGACCGAGGAATACCTAAAGGTTGATATCAGTATCAGAGGAGGTACCAGCTATCTACCAAGCGAGGCCCGTCGAATACACACGCCCCCCCTTCCGGAAGAAGGAGCAGATGGCCGGTGGAGGGGCTTCTTCTTCGACTACAACGCTCCAGGGCGGACTGTCGCCCTACCACGTACAGAAAGTCTTGAAGGTGGAGCGGGCAGCAGTGGTAGCACCAGTCAGGACAGCAACACGACTTCGGCTCACAGTCGAACCACGCCGCCCGGCAAGAAGCCAGAGAGGATCAAGAGCAGGAACAGGCGGATCCTGAAGGGGGACTGGTACGACGTCAAGCTGGCAGAAGTCGACATGGACATCGAGCCCGACCGAGGGGAGATGAGCCACGCCAAACAAGGCGACAGAAGGGTCAACTCGCCCAAATGTCTGTCCAAGATCCGCAAGCTCCTGCACGACGCCGACCAATTCGACCTGACCATCCCCGAGCATCTGCCGAGCAGCCCGCTGTGTCCGCGACATCCGAGATATTGGCGCGTTGCCAAGGGGCGAGGCATTCAGTTCAGGGGCTGTTGGATGCACGGCCTGGGTGTGTTTGAGACAGAATCCGAGAACAGCAAGTAGCAAATCAAAATGGTCTGTCTGTACATCCTTCAAGAGGTGCCGAAAGTCCAGGACTAGTCCATCCTCAAAAAGGCGGATACGTGAATACCCCTTGCCATGGCTGTCTGTGGGTTCTTACCCTCCGCCGAGGATTCTACTTGCTCTATCACTCGACTCGCAAGTGCTTCAATTGCTCACTGATGGCTAGTCGCGACGCTCCACAGACAAACGTGTTCGCCGACTAGCGGGATGATGTTGCTGCCAACATCGACCGACCGACAGACCACATCGTAGAGCCGCAAAGCACCGGATTTGTACTGTACCAAAACGAAATTTGGATCAGATGAACCTTGTACTTGTATGTAGTATTGGAGACCACTTCTCAGAAAAGGACGCATTTTGTAGAATGGGGTGGATTTTGCAGGCGTCCTACTATCCTGATCGATCCTCTACAACCATCGGCCTAGGCCACCTGTGCGCTTTGTCACTGACTACCATGCAATACCCATGTATCAAGCCATCCCCATAACGTCAGGCCCTTGTCTCAATTTCTGAAAAAAACTAAGTAGTACTCCGTTTCCATGTGGCAATTGTTCTCTATTCTTCAGCCAGAGTCTGACCCTCCCTCAACCCCTCCACTTTCAACTCCTCGCCCATTGCCCTCCGATAGATATCTCGCACATTCTCCGTGACCGTCTCAAAGTGGCTCGACGCGTCAAAGCTGTTACTGATGAAGATCTGGTCGTTGACACCGCTCTCCAACGGCTGGTACAGCGGGATTGGCGGGCCCATGAATTTCTCTTCGATACGGCCCAGTCTCTCGAGGCCCGGCTGCAGTTCGAGGTGGTGGTTCGCCGAGGTTTCGGCAATGGTGGAAACGATGGCGATGTAGTATCCCCTGGGACAGACGTTGTGGGCCGAGGATACCATGGCAATGTAGATGTCATGTTTTCGACCGACCTGAGATTGCGGGATGATGAGTTGCAGGGAGTCGGCGTCTCCGGTCTTCTCGAGCGGGTGGTTCAAAATGCAGATGGCCTTTAGTAAATGGCCGACTACTTGGACCTTGCCAGGGAAATAGGAGGGGTCGCCTAGGATCATCTTGGTCTTTGTGGTGAATTTCATGCCTTCTGCATTCTCTTCGCCTCGTTCTTGCATAGTCGCCTTGATCCCTGAGATTCGCTTGCCGTCGTAGAGAAACTCATCCACCGAGGTGTTGAGCATGTACGTACCCCCGTAGATAGCGGAGAGACGGGCAAAGCCTTGTGGAAGCTCTCCTAGACCGTATAGCGGGTAGATGTATGGTGATTTGCCGTAGCGAGCCATCGAGTTGGCGTACAGACGGATTCTTTCGACGGTCTCCTTAGCCATGCCGGGGCTGTTGATGTAGTCGTCGGTCGAGTAGAGGGCCATAGAGTGGCCGATGAAGTCGCGTGTGGAGGGCTCCAATCCGAATTTATCATAGACCTCTTTCATGGTGCACTGGTTCATATTCAATCCTGCAGTAGATTATCAGCTTCGTCTCACAGTATGCCCTCATGTTTTTGTTCCCACCATTATGTGTGGATGGGTTGTTCTCCTCAAACGCACCCACCCACTCCAGAAATTTCTTTGCCCTTCTCTTCTCGAATAGGCCCATCAGTGGTGAACTTAGTGCCTCGGCAGCGGTGGAGGGGACTTTGGCAACTGTTGCGCGAGGACCAGATCCTTGCTGTACGAAGCTGCCTGCGATCTGTTTGAATTCGAGGTATCGTGTGACATCGGTGGAGACAAGAATGTTGGTGAGTTCGCCATTTGCCATCAAGAGCTTGGGCACTAGATCAATGTTCCAGTCGTTGGTGCGGCCGTACTTCTTCCATGGCTCTTCGCCCGATTTATGGTTTCCATATCTCTTGAACAGCTAGGTAGACGGGGTGGTCAGACAGATTCCCCCTCTTGTGGAGTAATCTTGCTTACAGCTTCAATGTTGACAGATGCAGCCTCACTGTGTGGTCCTGGTCAGTTAGGATTCCCATATCATCCGGTGAAGGCTGCGATTCTCATACCCGCCGTAATGGTCGTTGCGATCGATGTGGAGGACTTTCTTGCCCTTGACGGAAAGGACCCTGCGGTCGAATTAGCAAAGAATGCTTCAAACACATAGATGCGCTGGTTCTCACCCCGAGAGCACGCATTCCGTCAAGCCTACAGGAGGTCTAGTCAACAAAAGGCGGGGTTGAGGGCTGAACGACGGTCATACCTGTGCCTAGAACGATAACATCGTATTCTGGGGCGATCTCTTCCATTGTTCAAGGCCTGAAATGAATGTCGGTCGTGGGGCAAGGGTCGTGAGAAAGCAGGTATAATGGGAAGAATTGCACAAGGTCAAGGGTCGGTGAACATTGTTGTCGCGCTATCCCGCCACAGGATGCCAGGTCGCTCTTGTCGAAGCGCAGCGAATGAGGTCATAGCTGCCAAGACAAGCTACAGTTTAGACTCAGCCTCGTCAGTGCTTCCCCGTGAAATCCAAGCCTTGCGCAGGCAAGGCTGGGGAGCTCAGCCTCGTCACCGACTGCTGATACTAGTGTACAACATACAAGCAAAGTCTAGATAGGGGTCATTGCAGCACCTTGCCCTCACTAGAACGTAGAATCTCTAGGTCTTGAAAAATGCTTTAATCATGGCAACCATCATCCGCATTCAACGAGCACGGTCATGCCTCGCCCGACGCCGCAGATAGCTTCTGGGCCTCTCACTTCTTCCGTCCTTGGGAAATATTAAGCTGCTCGGTCAATCTCCACGGATAGTCGAATGTGTCCATGAAGATCTCACACAGCTAGAAACGCATTAGTCCCGAGTTCCTCGGTGGTATTAATGGCAAGACATACCTGGATATTGTTTCCACTTGCGAAATTGTCATCGTTCAGGACAGCCTCAAGCTCTTCGACCGTCTTTGTGGCCCGACTGTCTGCCTTGACACCAGTATCCTCTCTTGCTCCGAAGAAGCTGAGCATCTTCTGGTGGTCCCACATCATGCTGACATCGTTGTAGCCTTGCTGTGGTCCATGGATTGCTCTCTCGATGGCATATCCGTTGTTGTTGATGACAAAAATGATGGGTTTGAAGCCGTACCGGATGTATGACCCGATCTCTTGCACTGTCATCTGGAGGCTTCCCTCACCGACGATCAAGACTACCCGTCCGCTATGCTTGAGTTCCTGTGCCGCAATCATGGCTCCGAAGCAGGCACCGACCGTGTATCCGATGGATGACCAGAAAGTTTGGGTGATGAGTTTGACATTGGGCGGAAAAGTGGCGTCTGGCATTCCGAACTGGGCTGTTCCAGACTCTACCAAAAGGATGTCATCTTTCCTCAAGAACCGACCGAGACGTTGCCAAACGTACGACTGTTTGATCTCTCCAGACTTCAAGTCGTTCAGTAAGGGCGTCTCAGTTCTCAGCGCTTTGTGCTTGAGTGTCGGAGGATTTGCCCTAAGGTGTGCGACCAGCTTTTTCAGGACCGGCAGGAAATGGACACCATCAAACTTCTGCCCTGGGACTTGACAAGAGTCGTGTCCGAGGAGCACAAGATGTTCGTCTTTGATCTCTCTTGTGAATCCCCCAGTGTTGGAGTCTGAGAGAAGTGGGCCAATATTTAGGACCAAATCCGAATTCTCGATACCCTCAGCCACCCCAGGGAAGGACACTAATGAATGTTCAGCGAATGACAAAGAATGATATACAGGCGACTTACCTTTCCCATTGTACAGCCCATTGTAATAAGGGAGAGTTTCGTCGATGATGCCTTTTGATAGTGGAGTAGAGTAGCTGGGAAACTGGGTGATCTCGGCGAGCTCTCTAGTCAACTCCCGGCCGCCATGGCGTATAGCGAGCACGTCAGCCAAGATCACTGGACTTGAAGCTTTCTCAATCAGATTGCAAATGCTGTCGACGATCTGATTTTCGGTTTTGCTGTCGCTGTTGTGCACAGTCACGTCCAGCGGCGTCTCTAGTCGCTTTGCGTCCAGTTGCACCGACACAGTATCAGTAGGGACGTAGATATAGACCGGAAGTCGACTGCGGACGCAGGCAACAATGGTTCTGTCTATCTCCTCGGCCATCGTCTCGTCATTCATCAGATAGGCGTGAGTTTCTCGGATTGGTGCCGCCATGTGGATGTAGGTCGCGTGGTCCATGTTAGCTTTCATGGTGTGATGCAGCATTGCACGCGTCTTCTGCAACGATCGTGCCGGCATGCCAACGATATGAATCATGCCCGCATGCTCCGCGTACCTATGCTCGCCTGTGTCAGTGATTGACCCCGATCTGACCAACTTGTGAATCCACAATCGTCACAGTCAAGGACAAACGTACGCTCCTGCCACCCCGTTCATCGCAGACAGTTCCCCCACAGCATAGGTCGTGACCAGCGCTGCCGGAGAGCCTTTGATCCTCGTGTAGCCATCAGCAGCATATGCGCCGTTGAGTTCATTGCAGCAGCCGATCCATTTCAAGCCTGAGACGTTGTAGATCTCGTCAAGAAGAGCGACTGAGGGGTGAGGAAGACATGAGGTCAGCCTGACAATCTTGTACATATTGTTCACAGGGCTTTGTTGGACATACGATTAAAATCTCCAGGGACACCCAGAATATGTTCCGTACCGAGTTGCTTGATTCTTCGGAAGAGGTACTGTCCCATGCAAATAGTTGGCGCAGACATGGTGGTGGTGTTGGTGACGTCGGTGTCAGATCAACGTGAACGGAATGAGACAAGTAAGCAAATGTGATAAGTTTGTTAACTTGAATATCTGGGGAGATTTATACTCTAGTTGGAGGATGAGGACCATACTCCGATGAGCTGAGTCAGGTCTCAAAGAACGCGTTGAGGCCGGGGAAGATGTTGGGTGAGAGAAGATGTTACGGCCGAGGCTGTGAGGGGGAATTTGAAATGCGTCGCTTATTCGCGGATCTGGCTTTATATATTCTAGCGAGAGGCAGTTGTGGGGGAGTCACTCTGTGCAGTCGAGTGAAGTGATATCTAACTGTCACCCAATTTGGTGTCACTGTCAGATCCTTGCTTTTACTTCACATTGCATCTTAATGGCACTCAGATCGGGTCAATGGTCGGTCAAAGGTATGCTTTCAAGACTAGAGAGTGTTATCAGTCCTTTACCGCTTGCCTCGGCGATCAAGCAGTGTCCAAGCAATTGACGAAGACTTCCCATGCTGCTTCAAGGATATCTACGGATATTCCCATCTTCCGACGTTTGCTCGCCCTGTGACGGAATGATCCGGGAATCCAAGGGCTGATCGATTTCCCTCCTTCTCTTTATGGGAAAGCAATCCCTCCGTCCACGTGGATAACCTGACCGCTGATATACGATGCCCCCGGACTTGCCATAAACAAGACTGTCTCGGCAACCTCTTTTGGTGTGCCCTCCCTCTTGATGTGCTGGTTGTTCCTCAATCTTGTTGCAATGGGTGAACCCTCCATAGACAGATCAGTGGCGATAGGCCCTGGCGACACCACATTGGCAGTGATACCCTTAGGACCGAGCTCTTCTGCAATTGCCACTGTCATTGAGGTCAACGCTCCTTTAGACGCGCAATACACGGGCAGCATCCATGAACCAAGACGCGAAATGATGCTTCCGATGTTGATGATGCGTCCCCCGGTCGTCATATACGGCAGCGCTGCCTGGATGAGGACGAATGGGCCTCGCACATTAATGCGGAACACAGGATCCCACTCGTCAAATCCCACAGACTTGATGCCTTCAAAGTTGGGTGTGGCGAACCCAGCATTGTTGACGATAATGTCAATGGTCTTTGTGTTGAATGCCTTCAGAGCAGCGTTGACCAGAGTGCTTCCAAATTCGGCGCTCGACGCATCGGCTTGGACAGCGACAGATTGAACTCCAAAACTCTTGATTTTGGTGACAACTTCCTCTGCTGGCTTGGCCGAGCTGTTGTAATGGATCAATACCTGAACGTGTGACGTTAACGCGGGCGGTGATCAGAATGGTGTCAAGGAGCATACGTTGGCACCATGTTCGGCGAGCGCAATTGCAGAGGCAGCTCCAATGCCGCTCATCTTTCCTGCACCGGTGACGATGGCAGTCTTGCCCTTGAGATATTGGTCCGCCATAGTGTTTTGATCAGATTTGACGGGTGAGTAACCACTGACAAGGAATCTCTGGAAGTAGAAGGTTGATGGTAGTGAAGAACCGGGACTTCAGAAGAGCTTCTAACCCCATCCTTTAAATACGAGCATGTCTACCTAGTACAAGCAAACACGGGCCCCGCTTCTTCTGAGCAGGGTTCTCTGCTGTCATCTGTCATGGTCGGAGCATAGCATCCACCCCAATTACACAGCATCTGCACTCAGACGGAGGCTTCGCAGCTGCCCATCTTCCATGTCCCGTTGCTATAGTGGACCGCTGACTGATAGTGGAGGGAGTCAAAGGTTCCATTTGGAGGATCCCGATGGGGCATATTGACAGTAGAAGCCAATGCAGACACTCGAGCACTTTCTCAAGTTGAAACCCGCAAACTCGCCTCAAGAACGATTAGCTGATCATCGCTGGCAAACTCAGCCTGGATTGGTTCGCTCGCTCGGCGAGAAGAAGCTTCGGCGAGGGTTTGGCTTAAGCCTTGTGCTTATCTAAAACCACGCATCTTCAGGAACCCACCATCCGACAGATCTACTCCCGTACTATGGATTCATTTCGAGGGTAAACGATGGACGAATTACCAATCCATAATTGTCATATACCAGGTGGGCGCATCTTCGACCATGGCAGTTCTCATCGCAAATGGGTATTTGATGGCCTTCTGCACGCACTTGTCTGCCTCCAGGAAGCTCGGTCGCCACAGCCATCACTTGCCAACAGAAAGAAGATTTCGACTCTAGACTACTAAGACTGGTCAACTCTCAGCATGCCCTCCGTGCTCCTTCTTGGGGCGACCGGCCTCATTGGATGTTGGTAACTTCATCAACGCCTGAGACCGTATACTGACCGAATTTGAAGCTCGTTTGGCCATTGATCTCAAAAAGGCATATCCCGAATGGCCGCTGACAGTGCTTCTGCGCAACACGAATGTTGATGAGTGGTTCAAAGTCACTGCCAAGGTAGATCGAATCGTCCATGGGACAATCTCCGATACGGAGCTGGTGCGCTCTTTGAGCAAGGAACATGATATCGTCATCAATTCCGTTACTTCTTTCGATGGCGATTTTGTCAAGACGATTATCGCAGGCATGGAAGAAAGACCAGAGCACTCCAAGGGCACCTTGATTCACATATCTGGAACGGGCAACTTTATTGATCATGGCAAGAGCGGCAGTTTCAATCCCAATAGCAAAGTGTGGAATGTCCGTCTCTCCCTCCAGGACCGACAAGGCACGAGTATGATTCTGACCTGGCCCATAGGACGACAACGAAGATGACATTCGAAAGATCGTTCCGACTATGTTCAATGGACCCACAGACGTACCGTAAGAGACCCTGGCGTCCTGTTCGCTGGATTTGTCGCGTGCTAATGTGAAACAGGGTGCTCGAAGCAGGAGAACTAGGAAAGATCGTCACCTACATCGTCTGTTTTGCGATGACATATGGTTCTAACATTGGGCCCGTGCCAAACCTGGGCGTTGCGTACAACATCCTGACTTCGAATGCAAAGCAACTTGGGTTCGCCCCTTACGTTGGCGACGGTTCGGCCAAAGCTAGTTTGCTGCACGTCGGAGATGGCGTCCCATTCGTCACAAAGATCGTTGGCATCGCTGGAACGGAGAAGCCCTCGGGCAGTGCATACTCCAGGTATTACATTCTTCATGGGGAGAGAGTGGCCTGGAAGGAGTTGAGCTCTGCATTGGCCAAGGTACTGCATGCCAAGGGTGTCGTGGCTTCACCAGAGCCCAAGAGCGTGCCATCGGCAGAGGCTGGGCAAGGAGAGATCGGGTCGCTGATAGCTGCGAACATGCTGGTGAAGGGAGATCGGGCCGTCAGGTTGGGTTTCAAGGCCACGCATCCGTCGGTCCTGGTGCAAATGCAGGAGGATCTTGGGGCCCATGACTTCTAGACACCCAGCACCTCGATCAAAAGCACCAGCTTCCAGACCTATTGACCTCTAGGCTTTTCGTTGATCGTTCCTCTACCAAGTACAATATCATAGGATGTTTTGAAATGACACTGATGTAAGCTGATGTGTTGATGCAATCCTCCTATTTGCGACCGGAGCTGAGACGACCTTGCCATGTTTTTGTAGATCAGTCGACTGGTACTCCTTCATCCTGACGATTTCTCTAATGTTCTGAGCTTGTTGCGGTCCGCCTTCACCTGTAGAATGGTCAGAAGAGTCAGGCTTGGGACATCCTGACCAATTTGTTGCTGTAAGAGTATGCAGCTACATACAAAAGTACCCGCCAAGTCGACTTCAGAAATAAATGGCATAGTCCAATATAGAGTGTTCAAGAACGACGAGGTGATCACCTAGTTAGCAACAGTTAGTATCTAGTAATAAGTATAAGGATCCCGCCGTGCTCAAGAGTATCGCTTCTCCTCCCATCCAGCAACCTGAGCCTCACCAGCCGCTGCGGAGGGTCGGCGACAAACAAGCTCCGTGCCTGCGCCACTCTGAGAAATACATTCTGTCGTCCACTTCATATTGTTTACGTATCGGCCAAACCGCGTCGCCAGCAGAGTCAATCTTGCCCTACTTTTGCCAAAGTCTATAAAGTGCCGAACAGGGCTATAAGATCTGATTCCGTCATTGCATGTTGACGAAAGAGATGATTCAGCTGCCCGGGATGCCTACAGCGGCCTCGCTACTGTGGCTTCACAGCCCAACCGTCCGAGACGCCACTTAAAGAGTATAAAACGTCCCCGTCAAAGTCTGAACTTTCAAGCCATCGTCCCACTTCTGCGCGTCCACATTCGACCAACGTTTCGATGCTCCCTCTAGAGATGAGCCATCAGTCACCTCCACAACAATCGCCTCTACCCACGCAGGACCTCCCTTGTATTGATTGCAGACGGAGGAAGGTCAAGTGCTCCAAAACGGAGCCATGTTCCAATTGCCAACGCTTCAGGGTCGACTGCGTCTACGAGGACTCAAGTCGTCTGGTGAACAGGCGCACGCCCAAGTCGAATGATTCCTTGGCCAAACGCGTCGCCGAACTCGAAGATCTCGTGCGAAACCTAAGTGGTCGACCGCAGCAAGGTCAGATTCCTTTGCCGTTACGAGCTCAGCAGGGATGTGGACTCTGATTCTGTCCTAAATGTAGGAAACCTCATGGAAACCATGACTCAGAACATCTTACACAAATTTTGCAGTCAAAATGCTACGCCAGAGGACAGCGCTGCAGATGGCAAGCTTGTATTCGACAAGGACAGGTCCCGCTACCTCCACAAAGGTTTCTGGGCTGCCATGTATGACGAAGTTCGTTCAAAGCAACCCTTCAATCCCATCGACCCTGCGATTTCGTTTCCTGGACCAGGTCTGATCTTATTGTCGCGCAGGTTGGAGACTTGAAATTTACCTTGCAAGCAGAGCCCCAGTCAACAGGAGACGCTTTCTTCTTCCCCTATACAAGTGGTCAAAGCCAACCTGCGGTGGTCCACCCGTCCATACCCGAGACCGACTTCTTGATCCAGATGTTTTTTGACAAAGTCGATCCGTTTGTCAAGATCCTGCACAAGCCGACGCTGCGGCGCGAATTGAATCATTTCCGCCGCGGTGTCTGCACGAACCCGACCGAGTTCGAATGCCGTCTATTTGTGATCTATGCTCTGGCACTGCTGTCGATGTGTTCGGAGATGATTGAATACCGCCTCCACGAGTCCAAAAAATCGTTGCTTTCTCGATTCCGATCGTATGTAGAGCACGGTCTGAGTCAAGTAAACCTGACCACAAGTCACTCCTTATTCACCTTGCAGACATTCTTGCTATATATTGTAAGTTTCCATGTCTCGGTCTGAACTTTGAGCAAACGGGCTCACTCCTCTCACCAGACCCTTTTGTTCTGGACGGGCGAAATGCTTCACGCCAGCAGTCTGTTGGCCATGGCCTTCTCGATGGCCAGACGGATGGGACTCAATCACGATGGGGCGCACTTCTCTCTTTCCCCGTGGCAGATTGAGCTCCGACGGCGACTCTGGCACCACCTTGCGCTTCTGGATGCCTGGTGTGTTGAAAACCATGGGCTCCAACCGATCCTACAGCCCGGAGACGCTAATACATCTCTACCCCAAAACCACGACGACGCAGACTGGGATACCACCGAGTTTGCTTCAACCCGTCCCAGGGAGCAGAACAAATTCACCGACATGACATTGGCCCTGATTCACTACGAGGTGGGCGCTCTCACCGCATTTGTCATGAAACACACGTACACGTCTTCCATGACGGTTCGTAGCTATTTGGATCTCCAGAATGAGGTCCTGCGACAAGCCCGGGATCGACTGGACATTCTCTACATGAAAAACCTGGACGAGACCGAAATACTGCAGAAGCTTGCCAAGGATCTCTTGCACCAAGCATTCAAACGGATCAGATTGATCCAGCTCCAACCAATCCTGAATGCCAAAGGTATCGACGAAGGACAGCGCGCCGGGCTCGAAGCCAAAGTCTACCAATTGGCCATCGACTACTGCAAAAGCACCCAGAACCTCATCAGCTTCTACACCCCTTACAGCCTCGACTGGGCCGTCATCCGCGCCTTTTCGTGGCACTCGGTCGCCGCCATGCTCTCCATGGTCCTCCGCCACGACGCGCTCAGCGAAACCCCCGAAGCCCGCGCCGCGAGCAGCCGCATCGAGCGGCTCTTCCAGAACCGTCCCTCGATCGACTACCTCGCCGGGAACGACAACCTGTGGGAGCCGCTTAGGATCTTGCGGGCCGAACTTACCGCGCGAGAGGCCGCTGTGGCGGCGGCTCGGATTGGGATGGGAGGAGTCGACGTGGCGGGCGCAGGAGGAGGGTCTGATGCTGGCACGACGGACGGATGGGCGGACTTGGTTTCGACGACTTCAACGAGCATTGATCCCGCGTTGTTTGGTTTGGTTGGTGCTAGTATGTGTGAAGGCGAGGACCTTGGTTTTGAGACATTAGCAGACTTGGAATCATTCACTTGAAGGGATGCATCATGTAACAGCGCAATTTGGGAGCTATCGAAAAGGCCAAAGATGGCAGGTATGCGGGCAAAATTTCCGGGACTCCAATAGTTTAGGTATATATGCTGTTATACACGATCCGAGGATCTTTCTTCTTGAGTCCTCCTAAGCTTCAGCGGGCGGCCGCTGGTTCACGGTCACTGGGCAGCTCGTCCGATATATCAAGTCAACAGAATTTGTTTTCACTTTCTAATCATTGCCGTTGTGGGGTTGATTCCGTCGGCTCCAACTGATTGTCATCCTCCAGAACAGACCGTGTTTCATCAAGAATTTCGGCCACTTCTTTCTGACCAACCAATATTCGGGCTTGGTTGTATGACAACTGGCGATCGACCAAGACTTCTCGGATAAGGGTCATCGTTTCTCGTACCTGTCAAGACCCATGTGGTCAGCTTTTCTCTCAAAAAGAGGTCCAGCGTTGAACAGGAGTGTGCGGTATTCTGGTCTCAGATAACTTTCCAGTAATAGTCGAATCATGGCCAACGAGGATTAAGCGGTCCCTGGAGGCCGAGAGGTTTCATATCGGCGAGTGAAAGGGTTGTGTTTCATCATTGTGACTTCAAAGAGCAAGCAAGGAGAGGTGAGATCACTTACAACAGCGACTCTCTCTTCGCTTTCCACTTCCCCGTAGCCCGCCCTCAGACGTTGTCTCTCTTTTTCTCGAGTCAAGGTTCGGTTCTGTTCCTTGACACACACCCAGTATAGTTTATGGAGGTCTTCAAACGATTTGGCGGACAGTTCCTTGTACGTCCAAGCCCGTCCTGTTGTCATACAGTTATAGTCAGCCCGCATTCGTTGCCGCGCTCGGCATAAGGGAACAAAGGCGCTCTTGACATACCATGACTCGACTCATCATCGGGGGGAAGCAGCGCCTGCTTTGACTTATCGAAAAACCCCCAGAGTCCATGGTCATCAGAGTCTGCATAGTCCGCTGCCGTTCCCCTGTGATCTCGTGCCACAGGCACCGGAAGGGGATATTTCCACAGTCCTCGCATGCTCCTGGGTCCTGTCCGTTTGATGGCGGAGACGCCTCTTTTCTTGTTCCTGTCGATTTTGGGACGCGCATGTAACGCCCAGTTTGTGTGACCTGTCTTCTTTTCCGCCTTTTTGGTTGCATATGATCGAAGGGTGGGAGTTGATAATGTCGCTGCGGTAGTGGGCGGTCGTGCGAAAGCTGGTGCCAGGAACAGGGGGATGCTCGTCACGGAGGGGGTCCCAGCAATTGTCCTAGACAACGATGCCATATTCGGTTCACAGGGTCTTCGAAAACCTTAGTAGGAAACGCAGTCAACTAATTACAAGTCTGGATGAAGGGCAGCATCTGGAGCTGCAACGAAGCTCGGGAACTGGGAGACTCGATTGAAAACTGCGCCAAGACCGACTCGCTGCACCTTCCTCCGAAGGCAAAGCAGACTAACCAAATCGGGAGTTGTCAACAAACCAACTGTATCAATCAGTTGAACAAGGACTGCTCATGCGCCTGGACGTGTTGAAGTAGAATGATCGCGTTTATTGCGTAAGTAGGCATCATGAAAATCATAGAGTTGGTCATCGATGGGTAAGTGCCTTGCAACTGTCCTCTTCATCATCGTTACTGACTAACGTTCGCAGCTTCAAATCCTACAGCCAGAGAACCGTCATCTCCGGCTGGGATCAAAGCTTCAATGCGGTGACAGGACTCAACGGATCGGGAAAGTCCAACATCCTCGACTCAATATGTTTCGTGCTGGGCATTACCAACATGTCCACCGTCCGCGCGCAGAACCTCCAAGACCTCATCTACAAGCGCGGCCAGGCGGGAGTAACAAAGGCGAGCGTCACGATCGTTTTCGACAACAGCGACAAGAGCACTAGTCCGATTGGCTTCGAAGAATATGCGCAGATCAGCGTGACGCGACAGATAGTCATGGGCGGGACAAGCAAATATCTCATCAACGGCCACCGAGCGCAGCAGACAACGGTCCAGAATTTGTTCCAGAGCGTTGGGTTGAATATCAACAATCCGAATTTCATCATCATGCAAGGACGCATCACAAAAGTCCTCAACATGAAAGCTGCTGAAATACTGGCAATGATCGAGGAAGCTGCGGGGACCCGTATGTTTGAGGATCGCAAAGAAAAAGCCGTCAAGACCATGGCGAAGAAGGAGATGAAGGTGGTCGAGATAGAGGGCCTATTGCGCGAAGAAATAGAGCCCAAACTTGACAAATTGCGCGGAGAAAAAAGAGCATGGCTAGACTATCAGAAAACACAAAGCGAACTCGAGAGATTGACTCGGGTGGTGGTTGCGGCAGATTACGTTCGAGCTGGTGAAAGGATGAAGAGTGCAACTCAAGAACACGAAGTCAAGCGAGCGAAGGTACAACACCTGGAGGAGAATGCCGTTAAGCTGAAACGCGAGATTGAGAACCTGGATGAAGACGCCCAACGCGTTCGTGCTGTTCGAGAGAAAGAGATGCGTAAAGGCGGTCGGTTTCAAGCGGTCGAAGCCCAGGTAAAAGAGCTGAGCCACGAACTCGTACGGCTTGCTACTGTGCTTGATTTGAAGCACTCCAGTCTATCTGAGGAAGAGCAGAAAAAGAAAGACATCGCGAAATCCGTCAAGAGTCTGGAAAAGCAAGTGAGTGACAAAAAAGCAGGGCTCGTGAAACTGCAGTCGCAGTGGGACAGCGCAAAAGCCGAGCATGATTCACAAAATTCCGAAGTTGAGAAGAAGGAGGAGCTCCTGTCAACGCTGCAGACCGGAGTCGCTTCTCGCGAAGGCCAGGAAAGTGGGTATCAAGGTCAATTGCAGGAAGCTAGAAATCGATTGACGGCCACAACCACCGAACAAGAACAAGCCAAGATGAAGATCTCGCACCTTGAGAAGCGGATAAAGGAAGACGAGCCACGTGCCAAAAAGGCTCGCGAACAGAATGCTGGTCTACTCAAGGGTCTTGAAGTGCTCCGGAAGGAAGCACAGAAGCTGGAGAGCGACTTGCAAAACCTAGGGTTTGAACCTGGCCGGGAGGAGAGCATGCGGGAGCAGGAGATTGCTCTTCAAAAGAGTATCCGCACTCTCAATCAACAAGCAGACGAGCTCAAGCGAAGAGTTGCCAACGTTGACTTCCATTTCAGCGACCCTTCGCCAAACTTTGACCGCTCGAGCGTGAAGGGGTTGGTTGCTCAGCTCTTTACTTTGGACAAGGACAAATCTGTCGCCGGGACCGCCCTTGAGATATGTGCCGGTGGTAGATTGTACAACGTCGTCGTCGACACGGCAGAGACTGGGACACAGTTGCTTCAGCACGGAAAGCTGAAAAAGCGAGTGACCATCATCCCGCTCAACAAGATTTCGGCTTTCAGAGCTTCAGCAGAGAAGGTTGGAGCCGCACAAAGAATAGCACCCGGCAAGGTTGATCTTGCCTTATCCTTGATTGGGTACGACCACGAAGTATCCGCGGCCATGGATTACGTTTTTGGGACTACTTTGATCTGTCAGGATGCAGAAACAGCGAAACGAGTAACTTTCGATCCAGCAGTTAGGCTGAAGAGCGTGACGCTCGAAGGAGACGTCTATGACCCGTCGGGTACACTTTCTGGAGGAAGTGCCCCGAATTCCAGCGGTGTCCTTGTGATCCTTCAGAAGTTGAATGAGGTTACAAAAGAAATGCAACAGCGTCAATCAGAACTTCAGCAACTCCAGGAGACCATGAGGAAGGAGCAGTCAAAGCTCGCCAACATCAAGTCGGTTAAGCAAGTTCTGGATCTCAAAAGCCATGAAATCAAACTTGCAGAGGAGCAGATCTCGGGAAACTCTTCCTCATCGATCATCCAGGCAATCGAAGAGATGAAAGCATCAATCGTGCAGCTGAAGCAAGAGATGGCAGATGCCAAAGCCAGGGAAGCCGAGACAGCAAGAGATGTGAAGCGGATCGAGAAGGATATGGAGGATTTCAGCAAGAACAAGGACAGCAAACTCAAAGAACTCGAAAAGTCATTGGCCGAGCTGAAAAAGTCACTCAGCAAGACATCAGCTGCCATCAAAACGCTTCAGAAAGAGCTGCAAGACACCAAGATAGATTGTGAACAGGCCGAAAGCGATTTGAACGCTGCCCTGGAGCAGCTTTCCGAGGCCGATACCGCGATTGAGGCCCAGAAAGAAGAACTCCAGAACCTGCGGAAAGAAGAAGCGACTGTGAAGAGCAACCATGATATTGCTCAGGCCGAACTGGACGACGAACGAGCAAAATTGACAGGGTTCGATGACGAGCTGCGCGAATTGGAGCAAGCTAAATCCAAGAAATCCAAGCAGATCGCTGAAGAGGCACTCGAGGCACAGAAACTGGGCCATGCGGTCGAGAAGGCTCAGAAAGACGCCCAAGCGGCGGCGCAACTGGTGGCGGCGCTGGAAAAGGAACATGACTGGATTGAAGACAACAAAGATCAATTTGGTCGTCCCGGCACGCCGTACGATTTCCATGGCAAGAATTTGTCCGAGAGTCGAGCAACTCTGAAGAATGTTACGGAGAGATTCCAGGGAATGAAGAAAAAGATCAATCCCAAGGTGATGCCCATGATCGATAGTGTCGAAAAGAAAGAGGCATCCCTGAAAAACATGCTGCGGACGGTGATCCGGGACAAGAAGAAGATTGAGGAGACGATCAGCACGCTGGACGAATACAAGAAGGAGGCTCTCATCAAGACATGGCGCCAAGTCACCGAGGACTTTGGCAACATCTTTTCGGACCTTTTGCCAGGGAACAACACGGCGAAATTGGTGCCGCTGGATGACAATATTGATCGGATCCAGGAAGGGTTGGAGGTGAAGGTGTGTTTGGGAAAGGTGTGGAAACAAAGTCTGACGGAGCTTTCTGGTGGTCAAAGGTAAGCCATTCTTCTTGCCCAATCTTCGCAGCACTAATCGGTTGTCATAGATCGCTCATTGCGCTATCCCTCATCCTTGCCCTGCTACAATTCAAGCCCGCTCCGATGTATATCCTGGACGAGGTGGACGCGGCATTGGATCTTTCACACACTCAAAATATCGGGCGGATCATCAAGACGAGATTCCAGGGCTCGCAGTTTATCGTCGTCAGTTTGAAAGACGGCATGTTTCAGAACGCCAATCGTGTTTTCCGGACGAGGTTCAGCGAGGGAACAAGCGTGGTGTCGGTCATGACACCGGGGGAGTTGAAGGGTTGAGGTGCTTTTGTCGCGAGGTTGTGTACTCATTTGGAGGCGTCTTGGGATCGATGTCTGGAGTGGCGATCTTCATCTTGTTGGGTAATAGCTTTTGATTTGGATGATGAGTTCATGACATGACGAGGCAAATTTCGCAGTGATGAAGTTGATGGTGTTCTGCTTTCTGGTGGGCAATCAGACGCTGTACTCGATGCCAATGTCGCCATGATTCGGCGCAAATTCAACTTGTTCAACAAGCTTGGTTGATCCTTCACCTTGATTCTAGACTTTCGACAACTTCCTCCACAACTCCTCTGACACCCGAGATCTCATGGGCGAACCTCCCCAAAAACAAGCCATCGACCCATTTCCCCAGCCCGTTTCCTCCATTGGCCTTGCCACTCCACAGCCCCGGACCGGCGCTGCCTCCATAAACCACCTTCGCCTCGGCGGTTCTCTGCGGCGCGATCTGCCTGGCCAGCTCTCGTATGGCCTGCACCACGGGGCCGACGTAGTCGACACCGGCGGGCTCCGCGGCGCCAATGGCCCAGACGGGCTCGTAGGCGAAGATGACCGGCGCGTCATGCGGGACGGCGGTCAAGACGGCCCGGATCTGAGGATGGAGCTGCGCCATGGCGGCACCTACGGACTGGCTGAACGGTCCTCTCAGGTCGGGCTTTTCGAGTTCGCCGATACACACGAGCGGAACCATGTGCAAGGCGCACACGGCGGCGGCCTTTGCGGCGGCGGTGGCGTCGGTCTCGCCCAGGTACCGACGGCGTTCGGCGTGGTTGATCTCGACGATGGAGCAGCCTAGTTCCTTGAGTCCCGGGACCGTGATCTCCCCCGTGAACGCGCCGTAGGTTGTGGAAGGGTAGACGTTCTGTGCGCCCAGCGCGATGGGCCACGACGACGACGACGACGACGATGTGTCCAGCTCGTTTCCCTGCGGTGGTGGAAAAGAAGAAGAAGACGACCAAGATGCGAGAGCCTGCGCGCACGGATAAATGGTGAGAAAATCCGGGATGAGCACGAACAGCACGCCCTCCCGGTGTCTTTGGAGGAGGGGGAGGATGTGGTTTTTCTCCCCGTCGAGAATGCTGGAGAGGTACGTGAGTGTGCGCGAGGGGGAGAAGTAGGCCTTTGTCGAGGTGAGGATCAGTTTGGGCGGGAGACGCGGGTATGTTTGGGGAGGTGAGGACATTGTGTTTCGTGTGGTTTGTTGTCCTTTGGTTAGAAGAGAAGAAGGAGAGTCGAGGCGGGATTAATATAACTTAATAGTATGGGTGGAATTCAATTGGAGGTGCAGTAAAAGTAGGAGTACCGAGTACAGGTAGGTGGTCACTCTCGAGAATACGAGGTACCTAATTACTCAAGGATGTGTGCTTTACCTACCTACTCAGGGTGTAGTTCTCATCAGTTGATATACATTTTTCTATAGAAGTACCTGTCCACATAATATTCGCAGTATATTGTATCTCGTGCGCGTAAACACACTTTCCTCCGAACAAATACCTACCTACCCTAGTAGTACCGACCCAAGCACGGCCTCAGACCGAAAACCTTTCCCAACCAACCCCTCGCCCTTCTTCGTCCCCCCACTCATCATCGACTCGACTCTTCTCCCCCACGTGTGGTGAATTTACCCGGCCCCGGAACTCCCGATGCGGCAATCCCGAGCAACCAGAAATTTGGAGAAAATACTTGAAGATGACGCCAGGGTGGTGGAAATTTCCCCCCAGGTTGCCGATCCGGACACGGCAATGGACGCCGTTGATGTCGCGGACCAGTTGGAGCGAGGAGAGTAGAGATGGTGGATGGTGGATGGTGGGCAATTCTCAACAAACTGTTGTTCTGGAGTTGTAAAGTTGTAGTTGTATACTTCCTTCGTCTTCAAATACTATACATACACTTACCCTTTGTCAGTTGAGATATTGTTGAAGAAACAGGGAAGGAAGGGAATATTCTACACTACATACAGACCCTAGACTGCATACAATACACCTACGCAACACATATCACCCCCACATACGACTGCGCCTACTTCTCCCCTCCAATTGTCCTCCGTAAACCACACACACACGACTGTACAGAAAGAACCCAACGCCTCCAAGCCCCTTGTCAAAGAAAAGATGGCGACCAACGGCACGACCAAAACCCCCCTCCGCGTCGTCGTGGGCAGCGACAACGCCGGACACGCGTACAAGACGGCCCTGAAAGAGGTGCTCAAGAAACACGCGGGCGTGACGCACGTTCTGGACGTTGGGGTTGTCGACGCCGACGACGCCACCGCGTACCCGCACCTGGCGGTCGATGCGTGCAAGAAGATCAAGTCGGGAGAGGTGCGTTTTACAAGAATTTAATTACATTTAACCAATCCCCAACTTCTGCCGGGGGAAACAGAATGCTAATGCTAATGCTGTTTCTGGTACAGGCCGACCGCGCCCTCCTAATCTGCGGCACGGGCTTGGGAGTGGCCATCTCGGCCAACAAGGTCGAAGGCATCCGGGCCGTGACGGCGCACGACCCTTACAGCGTCGAGCGCAGCGTGCTCTCCAACAACGCCCAGGTGCTCTGCATGGGCCAGCGCGTCGTCGGGCTGGAACTGGCCAAGAAGCTGGTGGATGAGTGGGTCGAGTTGCGCTTCGACGAGACCAGCGCCAGCGCGGAGAAGGTCGCGCATATCACGAAATATGAGGAGCAGTTTGGAGAGTTGTAAAAGGGTTATTAGGGATGATGTGGAGGGGGAAGGATGGGTGAAGGAAGAAGATCAACCCTGAAAGAGGAGGGTGGGATGGGCTGGAAGGAATAAGGAGTAGAGGAGAAGGGGAAGGCATGAATGTCTGTCTGCGCCACTGATTCTTTTGCATTTTTGAAGGTCTGCAGGTTTTCTTTTATGGATGTGGACTCACGGGTGAATCAGAAAAGCCAGCCCAATTGCGCATATAGACGAGCTGTACCTGACACACAATACTTTTCAATATCAAACCATGCAATGATAACCGCAGCCTCGCTATCCAGCACCAGAAGGTCGCAAGGCCGGAACGAGTCCTGTGCGAGTTACAAAGTCTTGCCCTTTTCTGGGTTGATGCCGCGCAGAATCTGTCTCTTGACTCGGACAAACGCATCGACGCCCATTAGGCACGCTAAAGCACAGACCGTTAGCCAGAACCCCCAGGTATGTTCCTAAACGGGCACCCAAAGGATCATGTCTCTCACTCTCGTATAGCTAGAGGGGGGTCGAATGAGAGAAAACGTACCAAGAACCAAGTAAGGCACGTACAGCCCGTACAGGTCCGACTTCTGAGCAGAGGTGTAGCCTGCCCAGGCGGAGATGTCGACGACGCAGGTGAGCGTTGTGACGGCGACCTCGAGGGAGAAGATCAAGAGGTGGAGCGGGACGAGAGGATGGTCTGGACGAGGATCAGCAACTGTACCTGAGCAATAACTACCTAGGTAGGTATTGACCCACCGTTCAAAATCCCCCAAACCATCCACAGACTAATCGGCACATGATACAGTGCCTCGATCCACATGTACGCCGTGAACCACCGGGGCGGGTTCACGAAGAACTGGTCCTGAAATCGCTCGAGCTGGTACGCGCGCAGGGTGTGCGAGAGGGGCGAGACGAGGAACGGTGGGAGGAGCGAGGCTAGGTCGACCACTGCAGGAAGAGAGAGACTTGTTAGTCTTCAGGTGATGACCAGTCGTGTCTTTGAATGCAAAGCTACCAGCTATACATCACTGGCAGTGCAGAGCAGCGAGGACGGGAGGTAGCTAGAGGAGGTGAAAAAACACGACAACAACGACCCAACCAACATGGGACCCCAAATCTTTTTCGATGCTTCCTTTCCTTTCCCTACTTCCCAGCCTGCCCGCCCGCCCGGCTGGTTTGGTTAGACTTACAGAACATGATCGGCACATGCACGACAAAGAAGACCAGATACACGGCGTCGAGTTTCCGGGCGGACAGAGGACGGCGGACTGCTACTGCTGCTTGTCGCGTCGCGGCGGAGGCGGCGCTGGTAGGTGGTGTCGCCATCTGTCCTGCGGGCCTGTTCCAAGTGCTCTCTCTAGACAGCTATAGGGAGCTCAGGGGTAATGGACACTGTGAGTCTGCGGGTGAGGTGAGGTAGAGAGGCAAGGATAGAGATAGATTCCCAGCGACGGGAGACGAGGTCGAGGTGGATTGATTGTACCTCGTATGTCTCTGAACAACGGAAACTGATATTACCTCGCTACAGCTGGAATGTTAGAATGGAATGGATGTGATGTGCCAGTGATGTGAAGATAAAGGGGCGTCTTCCTAATCGGGCAAAACCTTGTCAGATTCCAATCTTGTTTGATACCAACTGGCGAAATCACACTCGACTGGTCATGGTGCTAATATCGGATCCTCACCAGCCAGATCATCAGGCCCATGTCAAAGTCGCCAGACCCAAAACCCTCGATAGACCCGACTACCTGCTTATGACCTTTTCAGCACATGGGTACAAATTACATGGGGTCGTTTGTCCCGACCTCACCCCAAAAGTCGCCCGATCCTCTCGACAACCTCCCTGGCCACCCTCGTTGTATCTTCGTCCAGCCCTGCCGCTCTGCCATGCTGCAACAAGGCCTGCATCGTCTCTTGCACCTTGGTCGCCGCCACTTCGCTCCCGAAAATCACAGACCCTGCTCTTGTGGAATCGTGGAACCATCTCCCAACCACATAAACCAACTCCGAGGCAATGTACTTTCGATTCGATCCCACAAACGGAGGATCCCCGGAGAAAAACATCATCTCCAAGATCTCAAAAAGCCGTTCACATGGGATCTCCAAGGACAAAAAGATGTCAACGACCCAGTGTGAAGGCGCCACGGTGCGCTGGTGTTCGAAAGAATATTTCTCCAGGATAGGCAGCAAGGTCTGAACCGGAAATGTCGTCTCCGAGACACGCAATTTGCTGCCCAGACTCCTGACTTCGTCGGCAATGGCTTCAAAGGGTTCGATCTGCTCTTCTTCCTGGACTTTGTCATGCACCGACTGGAGGAGCTGTTGCCAGGTCTGCTTGATCTGGGCTGGATCCCGGTGATCCGCAACTTGGTAGATCAAGAGACAAAGGTCGTAGTACCCAGCGTTGTCCGCGTAGTTGTTGAACAGCGTGTTAATGTCCAAGATCTGTCCATTGACTTGATCGAGGACTTCTTGTCTCCGATCGGGCCCCAGTCGGTAGTCGTCACGCAACCGCTGGAGAACTTCATCTTGGATGGTCGCAATGTCGAGGAGTTCGGTGATTTCTTGCAGTATCTGCTGTTTCGTCTTGCGGCTGCCTCCTGGAGTGTAAGTGGAGGCATTGGCTCTGGCTCTGCTCAGATACTCGATTCTCTTCTCGAGTGAAAGTGGAAACGAACTTCTGGCAAGTTGCAATTGGATCTTGGCGGCCTCGGAGAACTGATTCGTCTGGCTGTAGTATTTCCAGAGCAGGTCCGCGTAAAGAATGTCCTCACTTGACTTGCGTTGAAGGTAAGTCACTATAAACGGAGACTCGGTCGCGAGCAGGCGATCGTACCATCCCTGCTGGAGATACCAATCGTACAGATTCGTCAAAAAAGCCTCATCTTTGGACCGGCTGATGACATCGTATGCTTCGTTCCGCCTGGTGGCGGCCAGCGTTGGGTGACCATCCACAAAACTCGGACCTTGCTCTGTCGTCCTATCCACGGCGACAATAACCGCATGTATTAGGTCGTAGCACTGACTTCTGAGATCAAACTTTGCTTTCCGAGGATCTGGCTCCGGTCGACCTTCCGCCATCCAGGATAATGCTTCGTTCGCCTTATCCTTTTCATGAGCCACTCGAAGCACAAGTTGGATGGCTCCAGCGAAGAACTGCAGATCCGTGTATTGTTTCACGGCCGATTCCAGGTAGTCATGGGGCAGGCCGTGAGCCACCTTTTCGAAAAGCTTCAAGCTTTCATTAAGAAGATTCCGGGAAGAGTCATTGTTGGCCCCTGCTTCAGCCGCTCGTCTGAGTTGTTCTTGTGCTTTGAATATCACCACATCGTCTGCACTGCAGAAGCTGCCACATTTTCTGCGCAGTGCTTCAGCCACCGTCTCCACGTTGGACCCCTTGGCAATGTTGCGGTTCACAATGGCTTTGACGAGCTCTTTTGCAAGTTCGTAGCCTTTCTTCGTCGTGAAAAGCTCCTCAAAAGTAAGCCTCAGCATCTCCGGTCTAGAGACCTCCGGCAGCAGGGGTACTATCTCCGCCACCTTCTCTTCGAATAAGACCAGAATAAACGAGAGACCTTCAATGGTGTCCGATGTAAACTTGACCAACGAATGCAAGGCACGGTGTTCCCCTTGCAGAGCGATCTCGTCGTCCTTGGTGCTGGTCGCCGAAAGATCATCAGGCCCGCTGAGACCTTTGATGAAACTCTTGTTCGTTTGGAAGAAGCGCTGAAGCGCAGATAACGATTCTTGAACGTCCCGTAGCTTTTTGAGAGGCACAGCAGGATTGATCTGGAAGCCGGCCGGTGTAGTTGACTCCACAGCAATTATGTTCTTCCACGTCGACCTCAATAAGCGTGAAAGGTACAAAGCAATGGCCGCATGGCGCGGCGATGGTCGTACAGCATCGATCAAGGGGACAGACCTGTCCGTGATTGAGTTCTGATTGATGCTTGGCTTGCCACCATACTCGATGAAGGTCTTGCGAGCAAGCTCGAGGACTTCTGGGTCATTAACCCGTACCGATTGAGCACTGCCTGTGTCTTCAACTCCCTGACCACAGGCGACCGCAAGTGCTGTGGCCAGCGTCTCCGTCCTACCATACGCCCGGATCAGGTTGCTGACCTCGTGCTGAAAGCCTTCGGGGCCACCACCCTGACTGCTTAGAGCTGCAAAAATGTCCACCAAGCGGCGTCTTCGGATGATGTGGATGCCCGTATTCGTCAAGATGGCAATTTCTGGAATGGGCTTGTCGAATTGGACAGCCAAGTCGTTCCCGTAGCCGATTGGATTGGAGATCGGAGCAGAGTATGGGGTCACCAACCCAATGTCCTCCGCGCGACTGCCCAGTGAGAGCCATATTGCAGATTCAGAAGTTCGACTCGTCTGGCCAGGTTCGGAGCTCCTCAGTAGTCTTCCGGCGTCGGGGGCTGAAATGAACAATTGATCGGTAGGTGAATTGGCGTCCCTGGCTGTGAAGCAAAAGAAAAAACCCGGCGGGTACCGCGCAGCGAGGCGGGTCGTTGTCAACGTCTTGATGGGTTGATGGACGTCACTGGCTGAATCCGTTCCCCATGTGCTCGAATGACCAGGATTGGGGGTTACTGGCGGTACTTTGACATGTTGCGCCTGTACACTGATAGGCGCACCGGCCCTAGCTGAAGACCCGTAGCTATAGCTGGTGGCGCTTTTGGCACTGAGGTATATTCGATACCCACTTGCCGTAACAGCTACCAGGTGATATCTTGAGGCTTCAGAGGCTGGAAGAGCTGATATGGACACAATCTTGACTCGGCTGTTCAGGGACTCGCTCTGGTTGATGATATGGCCAATGTTATCGTAGATCTCGGATGCGGGTTTTGTGACCAACAGAGGTAGGCCCCCTTCCGGCTTGATGTGGAATACGCGAATATTCGAGGCGGAAGAGAGCGTGTATAGCAGGTCCCTACTGTCATCCACCACGATCTGTTCCACATGCTCCCTCTGTCCGTGGGCAAAGCTGCTGAACGTCCATGTCAAAGATTTGGCAGCACCACTAGTGTGACAAATCTTCGCACACTTACTTGCAAACCACCGATCCTCTTGCTGATATGTGAGCTCGTATATATCATTGTCCGTCCGGCCACCAAAGAAAATCCTCCCGGTTTTTGCAGAGGAAGCGATGACGCTAACGTCGAGACCTCTTACAGAGACCGACATACCAGTTTGGAAGAGAGATAGAGCAGCTGAGCCGCCTGGACCCGATTCCGTCCCGAGTCCCAGCAGGAATATGTCTGCAGTCGTTGCAATGACAATGACGTGTCTGATGTTCGGCAGAAAGACTCCAGGACGAGGGACGGCGAGCTTAACAGCAAGGATGCTATGCGACTGACCCTCAAACCCCAGTAGCTCGGGCCTTGGTGCAGAATAGTCCCACATGTACAAAGCGTTGTCGATTGTTGCCCATGCATATTTCAACTCCGCAAACAGCCCCATACTCGTGGTCAACTGCGCATTATTATACTGCTCGAATATCTCATCGGGAATCCTGTAGAAGCCGGCTCTCTGAAATGGCGCCCATGTGGTCGAAGACTGGATGTCATAATCGGCAGAGTAACCCTGAGACAGGTAATTGTCGACCTCTGGGAATCGCGATTCACTTGCAAGAGATTCGTTGATTGTGCGCGCAGCTCTTTCAACGGGTTCCAGCGCCTCGGGCGGGCGCATCGACGCTTGGACGGGCATATCGGAGGGATTTGCGGTGATGAGGCTTGTCGAAGGCTGAGATGGTGCGAGGGCAGGGCGAGAGGCGGTCGCGGGAGACTGGAAGGAGGGCGCAGGTATTGCCGGAGGGCGCGCGGCAGGAGTCTGAGGCCAAATACCCGGCACAGGCCGGACAGGCGTCTGAGTAATTACAGAGCCCATCGTTGGCCGGGATTATTGTCGTTGTTGTCGTCGCAATGGGAGGAAACTTGGTTCAATTGTGAACAGACATGGAGGAAGGTTGTCGCCAGGGCAGTGACAGCACAAAAAGGGCGATCTGGGATGTCGATCCAGAGGCGACGCGATGAGGACAGTTGCGGGGGGGACAAAGGGAAGTATTCAACCCATACACAGCTGAGCTGCAGGCCTCACAGAACTTGAAGTGTGAACTTTTGGTTTATAGACAATGATGGAAATATAGACGCGACTGCGGATGGAAAGTAATGCGGTAGTCCCAAAAGGGGTCTAGCGTCAGGTACCATGACTCGCGTATACAATTTTGTGTCACTCATCGACTTGCAGGTTGCAAACTCACCAGTTGTGTGACTTGTGTCTTGATCCCTATAGCTGGCAGCCCGTACCTGGTCCTTGACGAGGTGCTGAACCATGGCGTCTATCCGCAGTTCCAGGCTTTTAGTTCTCCTCGACCAGCCGATTTGCCTTCGATGCATCCGCAGGAATACACCCTCCGGCCTCCGCTGGTCGTCCACATCGACCGAAGCTCCAGCTTCACCTCTGCTGGCCAAGATCAAGAATGACTTGAAGAGTGCCATGCGCGCAAAGGACACATCGAGGTAAGGGCAGCACACTATCTCACCACCCACACGTGTACCGTCTGCTATATACACTCCCTTTCGATACTTCTAGATGCTGAGACAAACCCCCCGAGGTAAGATTAACGGTCCTCCGGGGCACCATCTCCGAGATCAACCAAGCGGCCTCCTCTTCCACGCCGGTAAAGACAGACCTTCAAATCCTCGCTCTACTGCGCAAGCGGAAATCTGCCACAGAGACAGCGATCAAGGAGGCCGAAGCGGCCAAGCGACCGGATCTGGCAGAGAAGCAAGCGAAAGAGATGGAGGTTATTGATGAATTGGTGGGGAGTGTGAGGTTGATGAATCCTGGGGATGTCAGAATCGTGGTTCGGGGGAAGATAGAGACATTGAGAGCCACGACGCAGGGCGAATTGAAGCAAGGCGTTGTTATGAAAGAGCTGTTGAAGCCTGGAGGTCCGTTGGACGGGAAGCCATTGGACAACAAGATATTGGCAGAGTTGGTGAGGGAGGAGTTGTTCAGCAACCATAATCCCTCGTGATTGAGATCACGATTGTTCAAAATTACACCCGATATTGGGTAGCATTACTTTGTATTAGTATATATCATGGGTGAGAAGGATGAGATGGGCCAAAGAACACTCGAGCTCACCGTTCCCATTTCATGAGGGGAGAGCCGCTCCTCTGGATCCGCCTGCCTGCCATCAACTATATTCACAACGCCTCTCAGCCGGAAGCACCACTATTCCATCATGTCTCATTGCTCGAGACGAGACGCTCCATGACTCCGAACCCAGGTCCTCCTGCTTTCCTGCCTGCAAAACCCCGAGCCATCCCTCCCTTGGCGGTCGACAATCTTGGGTAACCCCACAAACTTGTTGATCCAGTTGATTACGACGAGATGCCAGACGAGGCTGTTCTCCGGCTTCAACACCCAGTGATTCTCGTCCGGAAAACTCAGGAATCGACTCTCTATCCCCTTCATCTGCAGCACGTTGAATGCCGACAGCCCCTCGGCGACCGTCAGGCGGTAGTCGAGCTCGTTGTGGATCACCAGCATGGGAGTCTCCCAGAATTTGGTGAAGCGACTGGGGTCCCACTTGTCGTAGATCTCTTGTCGCTCCCAGATGGGCCCTCCGAGGTCGTGGACGGGGAAGTATTGCTCCTCAGAGGCCAACTGGCCAGTCATACTAAACACCCCGTCGTGGCAGACAAGCGCCTTGAATTTGCGGCCCAGGTCGTGTCCTTGAATCCAGTTCATCATGTACCCACCATAGCTAGCGCCCAAGGCGACTGCTCGCGAGGTGTCAACGAACCCCAACTCCGACTCGATGAAATCAAATCCTTTGACGAGGTCCTCGTAAGGGAGACCACCCCACTGATTTCGAATGGCGTCGGTGAAGGCCTGGCCATACCCTGTCGATCCCGTCGGGTTAGGACAGATGACCACATACCCCTGCTCGGCGAAGACGGCAGGGTTCCAGCGGGTCGACCACTGGTCGTTCCAGGCACCTTGCGGGCCACCGTGGATCAAATATGCAAGGGGGTATTTCTGATCCGCCCGGAAAAATGAAGGCCTCATCATCCAAGCGTGCACTGGATGATCATTTGCGCCCTTCCACCACACCGAGGAGACTTGCTCAGGGGAGAGGCCGAACATGCTTCCGTTTCTGCTGAGTGACGAAATGACCACCGGTTGCGCCTCAACAAGAGGATCCGGATTCACAAGAGTGTATGTGCTGTTGTCGACCAAGCTGTTGCTGGAGACGAGCAGGAGATTAGTGTTGGCCGACATGGGCGCAAAGTCAATGATGTATCCGGTATGGGTCAATTGGCGAGGTCGCCACTCTGGGCCTGGAGTGGCTGCCATGTCGAGCGCAAAAAGACATCCTCGGCCAGTGTCTTCAGCCTCCATCAGCAGCATCTTGCCGTCCACAGACCACTTCAACGCCGTGGGAGACCTGGCCCAGCCGCCTTTGCCATCGTCTGTCCGCATGAGCTCGACCGCAGACACAGACTCGCCCTTGTCAAGCCCAGCTAGGCCATGGACAAATACGATTCGATTTTTATCACTCTCATAACCATCGGTGGCCATCTGAAGGAATGCCAGGGATTCTCCGTCGGGCGAAAAGACAGGCGACGAAGCTGCTCCATTCAGCCCCTGCACGTGAAGCTTGTGGAAGCTTGCGGGTTTCGGATCCAAGACATCCCGTTTAGGGATAAACCAGCAATCACACTTGGTGTGCGTGGCAGGGTTGAGATGGGCATCCTTGGCCACAATAGTCAGGCCTGTCGGGCCAATGTCGAAATGGTCGACTCCGCCAAATGGTGGAATGGGGCATTCCAGGTCCGCACCCAGCAACGCGTTCTTGAAGCCCAGGAGGCTGTATCGTCCTTGGCGTGAAGTCACCATTGGCTGTGACTTTTGCAGCAAGGCTATGAAGATGGCGTTTCGCTGCTCGGTGATCCAAGAGTCCCAATGTCGCACAAAGAGGGAGTCGTAGACACGAGCCGACGTGTGGGACTTGGGGACGTCCTTGGGGTTGTGCAAGCTGCCATCTTGGTTTGCTTGACCGGCAACTGCAACGGCGACTTTACCCGGTTCAATGACATAGAGCTTGAGGCCGGAGACCGGGCCTGAAATGGTGCCAGCGGTGTAGCATTTTCCGGGAAGAGTGGCATCGCTGACGATCAAGCACGTGTTGCCATTCTCGCACTCCTTCAGCCAGACGACTTCGTGGTTGGTCCCCAGCCACTTGGGCTCGCTGGCCTTGGGGTCTTTGCTGATAGAGACAGAAGTACCCTGAGTGAGGTCTAGACAACAGATCTCGCTGGTTCTGGTGTGAGTGTCGAACGAGTAGGAGGACTGTGTGTAGAGCGCGAGCTTCCCATCCGGACTCGGAACCGCAGCTGATCTTCTTGGAGCACTCAAAAGAACCCTGGAACTGTGAATCGGTGCCTATGTGGATGAGCTGGTCAGGAGGTGGCTTACTCTGGGGTGTAGTGCTTCCGGAGTGTCATGGCTTCAGTGTTTGGCGACACGGACCGGGTACAATGAAGGTAGATGGAGTCCCTGACACTCTCGGTCTCGAAAGATCAGACCAGAGACTTCCAGAGAAATGAGTCGTAAAGCAGGGCTCAGTCTCGTGTTGACGCGGTGAGTCTGGGGCGCTCAACAAAAAAGAAGAAACGCGGGGAGAGCTAATTAATCTCCCCCTGTTGCTGTTGGCTTTTGGCTGTTGCTATTCTTGCGTCTCACGGGACAGCAGGCCCAGAGGTCTAGACCGCCACGTGCCGCTGCTGGTGCTAAGCAGAGCGACATGGTGAGCTCTCCGTTCCACCGCCATGGGCTGGATATATGGCTCAATATGTCGCAAGAGACCGTGATGAGCGCGTCGACCGACGCCTGACGTAGAGAATGCAAAAGGTTTAAACGCGCAAATCATCCCGGCCGCTTGGATGGATGGAAATAACACGGAGACCGACCGAGTGTCGGGAGAAGTAGGAAGCGCCTTTAGATCACCACAGTCACGGCTTGTACCTCCCGGCATGAACCGTAGAACCGTAGAAGCAGCTGCATCTCACTCATCAGCAGAGGAATACAATGAATACTAGTATCACTCAAAATACTATATACAACACTCACAGTCATCATCATCATTGACGAATATCTATCACATAATATACATTAACGTCTGACACCTCGGGCCAAGTCTAGAGGTATCTCATTTTACGCCCAATGTTCCTGACCAACATTGGGGTGGCATCAAAGAATAAAAAATCTCTATAGATCGTAGCATGGCCAGCCAGTGCTTTCTCAGAACACCTCCGACATATCGTAAGACATGATGCCTGCAACGCCGAGCTCAACCGAACTTTTGACGAGAGCACTCACACCCACACAAATAACATGACACGAAGGTTTAGGCCACCTGGACGCCGAATTTCCACACCTGCTGCACCGTCAAATCTCCCTCGAGACCTTCTTCCAGAACCACCAGATCCGCGTCCATGCCCACCTCAAGCCTTCCTTTAGTGTTTTCCACGTCCTTGCCAAGCATCCTGGCCGGGGTACTGGTCACGCATTCCAGCGCTTTTGCCGTTCCGCAGCCCGTCCATCGCTTGAAGTTGTTGACACAGTCGATCAGGTCAGCCACGCTGCCGGCGATACGCCCGTTGCTTTCCAGCTTGAGCAGCTTGCCTTCCTTGACGAATCGATCTTCTCCTCGCCACTCGTAGGCGCCGTCGGGACATCCAGCAAACATCTGCGCGTCGGTCACAAGGATTGCACCTTCCGGGTGAGCAGAATAGGCAATCTTTAGAGTCTGCGCCGACAGGTGGATGCCATCGGCGATGAGACCGAAGTACGGCTGCTTGTAACGTTCGGCCTCATCTTCCAGATCCGACATGGAGGTGCTGATGCTGAGGCTGGAACGAGGGGTGGACCTCCTCGACCGAGGAGAGCCTTGTGGTGAACCTGCCGGGCTTGACGGGCGGCTGGTCCTGGGCGTGGCCACAGGGGTCGATGGCGCCGACTGTCCCAAAAGACCAAAAATCCCAGGATCACGATGTCCAAAGGGACGCATGGCGTTGAAAAGATGCGTGACCATCGAGGCGCCAGCGGCCATAGCAGCCTGCGCCTGTTCGAAAGTGGCATCAGAGTGTCCGACGGAGAAGACGATGCCCCGTTTGACGAAGGCCGGGATCAGGTTGATCATGTTCCCTCTCTCGGGAGCGGCGGTGATGTATCTCACGTTGCGAAGGTTTCCTGCACCGTAGCATTCCTCGATGTCGGCCCAAGAATGCGCTTCCCGTAAGACCTCCTTGTTGTGGATTCCATTTCTCACCGGCGAAAGAAAGGGTCCTTCGACGTGGGCCCCAAGACTCTCTGAGCCGTTGCTGGCATCACGTACCTTCCCCGTAGGACCGAGATAAGGGAGCACAGCATGATAGCTCTCTGGTGTTGTGCTGATGACGGTCGGGACGAAAGAAGTGAGGCCAGCCTTGATCATCTGCTGGGTCGTGTGTGTCAACTTTGAGGCAAAGTCTGGGTCGGGCGTTGAGAAGTCAAAGTTGTGGGAGCCATTGATCTGAACATCGATAAAGCCTGGGGATAAGATTCTGCCTTGAAGGTCCACTGTTCTGTCGGGTCTCAGATGCGAAGAATAGAAGGCTGACTGAGGACTCATGATCCGTCCCGTCTCGGATGAGACCCAAAGATCACCGGGCACCAATTCACCATTTTTGAGGAGGTAGCCATTGGTGAATCTAATCACACGCGGAGATGACGTCGACATGGCGAGATGCAGGTTCGAGGTCAGTCAGCGATAAGGGCAATGCTTGTTACAACGCAAGGAGGAGTGGGACCAGAATAAAGGAAGGGACGATTGCTCGTAGGGAAGCCCTACAAGAATGAAGAATCAAAGAAGCCTCGAGCGTAGGAGGCAGCAGTATAGACATTGAAATAATATGGATGGACGAGGGTGGTAGCCGAATAACCAGCGAGCCAGGCACTCGCATCGAAGGTCACGTCATAAGGTTTTGGCTGGGAATCTTTTTTTCTCTCGCTGTGACAGGCGCATCGAATCTTCTACTGGATCCCACCACATCCTGACATTCCGGGGCACGGTAGGCGGCGGAAATGAGCGCAACCAGGCATAGTCTCGTTTGTAATGGAAAGTGAAACTCGAGATGAGAAAGGTGAGAGGCCCGGCCAGAAAGGGGGCAAAGGCAGGCTACTCTCCTGGGTGCCTGTCATGTTGCAGCGTCTAGGCACGTTGTAGCCACGACGGCAACACAATTCGACGGCATCTCTCTGGGCATTTGGTCGAGTTGGTTCTGGAAGGGAATCGGCAGGTCATCCAGACCGTCGAGTAGCAGAGGTGAGATTCGAGGGTCTCGGCGAAGGAGCAGATGGGAAGACAGGATGGATGCAACGATGGCGAGGTTGTAGGAGACGTGCACTACGTCCTGAGGCAGGGAGAAAGGCTGGTGGTAAGGTAGCACTGGGTTAGCAAAGGGTGAGATTTGGTGTATGTAACGCTGAGGCGGAGAGGCGGAGAAGAAATGCGACTCTGTTATCGACGTCACGTGTGCTTGGCACTGGCCTCACACCAGCTGCGCCCATCGCCCACTGCAGGATACTCGCTACTCTACTACTCATACGAGGTACTGGACAGATACACACAGCCAAACAGCATCCCTAGGTACCTAGGGCCTTGTAAACAAACTCCTTTTCTGCAGGGAATCAGGATAACACGGCTCACTTGGTTACTACTGGCTGAACTACTACTACAGTACCACCACCACAACCCCAATCCTCCCTCCCTATCTCCTCTCCCCCCCATCTTTTGCCGCAATCATTCCACAACCCTCCTTCGGCCTTCCTCCTCTCCCTCCATATGCGCCCTGTCGCTGCATCTGTGTGAGGCTACAATGCTACGGCTCTATCTCTCTATCTGTCTATCTCTCTTGTGAACCTGTTCCCCTGATACCTCCAAAGTAACCATTCGCCTGGAGTGTGACTGGTGACACTGTTGGACGGAACTCTACCATTGACCTTGGGACCTTGTTGTCAGTTGATACCTGTTCTATATTATTTCCTCCTCTCCTCTTCCCTTGGTCCCCTCGGTCCCTCCAGCTCTTGTCCACTCGCGCACGCGACCTCATCTGCTCCTTCGAGGACTTGTACCTCGTACGCATGAGCCAGACTCCACTAGGAATCTGCCCCGAGACTCCGCAATTGATCTCCGCTCGCCACCTAAAATCGTCCCAACTTTAAATCTTCTGAGCCTCGCCCCGAACCTCGTCCAACTTCTCCCTCTCTTCTTCTCTCCCTGTCAGCATTGCTTGAGTGTCCTGCAATGTCTGACCTCTCCAACGAAAAGATGGCGACCACGACCGAGAAGTCTGGCGGCACCGACACGCCGCCTCCCGAGATCATCCACGGCATCGAAGAGACACAGCCCGTCGGGAAGCCATGGATGTACAAGCAATTTAAACTGGGGCCCATCACCATTCCCGCCTATGCAACACCTCAGTTCCAGATCGTCTTTGTTGCCCTTGTGTGCTTCTTGTGCCCGGGTATGTTCAATGCAGTCAATGGTCTCGGTGCCGCCGGCCAGGTCAATGCGCACGATATCAACAACGCCAGCACTGCCATCTACGCCACCTTTTCCGTGGTCGGCTTCTTCGCCGGTAGCATTGCCAACAAGATTGGTCTTCGCTTGACCCTGGGCTTTGGAGGCTTCGGGTACTGCCTGTACATTGCCTCGATCTTGTCCTACAACCACAACCAGAATGCCGGTTTCCTTATCTTTGCTGGTGCCTTGCTGGGTGTCTGCGCTGGTCTGCTGTGGACTGCCCAGGGAGCCGTCATGATGGCCTATCCCCCGGAGAAATCCAAGGGCCGATACATTGCCGTCTTCTGGATGATTTTCAACTTGGGTGCGGTGATCGGTGCTTTGATCCCCCTTGGCCAGAACCTGCATTCTACCGCCAACAAGGTTCAGGATGGCACGTACATTGCTTTCATCGTCCTGATGGCCGTGGGCTTTGTCCTGGCCGGATTTCTCTGCAACCCTTTCCTCGTTCGACGCAGTGACGGCTCGCGAGTCATCCTGATGAAGAACCCGACCTGGAAATCCGAGATCAAGGGCCTGTTCGAGGTCCTGGTGACCGATTGGTACATCCTTTTCCTCTTCCCCATGTTCTTCGCCTCCAACTGGTTCTACACCTACCATTTCCAGGACGTGAACCTGCCCTACTTCAACATCCGTACTCGTGCCTTGAACAACGTCCTGTACTACCTGAGCCAAATCATCGGCGCCTGGATTTTTGGCTTCTTGCTGGACACCACCTACTTCCGCCGCACCACCCGCGCAAAGATCGCCCTCGGCGCGCTCTTCGTGCTCACCTTTGTCATCTGGGGCGGTGGCTATGATTTCCAGAAAAGGTACAACCGCGCCGAGACGAGTGCAGCCGACTACCACAAGCTCGACTTTACCGACCCAGGCTACGTCGGCCCTATGTTCCTGTACATGTTTTACGGGGCTTACGACTCTGTTTGGCAGACCACTTCGTACTGGTAAGTCAGACTGACTCTCTCTCTCTCTCTGTCTCTCTGTGCCCAAACAAACGAACCTATCCGACTAACTTGTTTTGACTATCAGGCTCATGGGCGCCATGACCAACAACGGACGCAAACTCGCCAACTTCACCGGCTTCTACAAGGGCATCCAGTCTGCGGGTTCGTCCATCTCGCCGCAACTCGACGCCAACAATGTCTCCTTCATGACCGAATTCGCCGTCAACTGGGGCATGCTGGCTGGTTCGCTCGTGCTCGCCGCCCCCGTCATCTGGACCAAGGTCAAGGACACGACCGACATTGACGAGGATCTCAAGTTCACCGACGAGACGAGGGAGGACGTGCTGCCCCCGAGCCCTGTCGGACCTATCGTCGGTGCCGAGGGCATGATGGCCGAGAAGGAGGAGAGGAGGGTGTAAAAAGGGACTAGCCGCGGGAGAGAAAACCCCCCCGGGCTACACCTTCTCACGTATGTAGACGTGTTCCGATGTCCAAAAAGGAGAGGACAGGAACCCGCTTTGTGCTTCTGCTCCTCGCGCACCTCCCTCTCTCCCCCTCTCACACACACAGGAATGTACCCGTTGGAGACCGGGGCGGGCGGAGACTCAAGGAAAGGAAAGTCAACACCATATTTTTTTAATGAGCATAGCTGCAGGTGGCTGGCTTGTCGATGTTGTACGAGAGAAACCCCCCTGATGGGGGACTTACTAGGTAGTCGTGATAAACGGTGATTAAGTATTGGATTGATTTGGTGAAGTTGATGATTGATTCATGCTTTGTTTTGTCCCAAGCCCGTGCGCGGGACAAAACAAAGAGCAGAATACCTACCTAGGGAGAATCAAAACCTCTTCTTGCGTCGTCCATTGCCGCCCCCATCTATTCTATCCGTTCTGCCAATATGAATACAATAATAAGGGGCCAAAAATTCCCCCGGTTTTTGTTCTTCTATGATACCAGGCACTGGGTGGGAAAGTTCGCTGGAAGAAATGATCAAGACTCAGCAAGAGTAGGTTTCCCCCCTGGCATTGACTTTGGCCGGCTTCTGTGGGGTTGGTGGTAGCGCAGACAAAGGATAGGTAGAGAGACAATTAAATATATATTTCACAGAAGACATAGTGAACAAAGGGCTATACAGACGCTCCGCTTTGCAATAGCCACCAATGCACTATGTTTCGAAGCATGACATACAGCATGAGGCTCAGGAGTCCTCATTTCTGCCTGTGCTCCTCTTTGCTTCTTCTTCTTCTGGTGGCCAAGGCGATCTGTTCTGCCACGCTCGGAGGGCTCGTCTCCCTTCTCCATCTCTCGTCGACATTCTCGCCCAGGGACAGTCCCAATGCCGCGCTGGTACTCAGTGACGGGATGGAATCAGGCTCCCGCTGTGTCTCCTCCGCCTTGTCTTCCCGGCCACTACTGGCATGGCGGGTGGGCGTAGGCGTGCTGGTGCCCGCCGAAGAATGTGAGAGTGGCTCCAGCTCGCCAGGTTCCGCTGAGAAAGGCCTTTCTGGATCAGTAATGAGGTGTCCTCCATCATCTTCGCGTTCTTTCCCTTTCTTGGGCTTGCTCAGCTTCGTACTGTGCGGACTCTCCGTTAGCGGGCCATCCACAAGCCTCGACATGGTCGTCCCCTCATCGGCCGAGTCGATATCGAAGTCAATATTGAACATCCGATCGAGTTCTCCTCGGTATTTCGCTTTCCTCAACTCCTCGCGCAACCCGCCATCCCCTTCCTCTTCGTCTTCCTCGTCGCCATCCTCACTCCCCTCGAAAAACCGATCACTCCATCTCGCGCTGTCCTGCCTGACAAGCCTGGCCAGCGCTGCTTTGCTGGAGTTCATGCCGCTGTAGCTGCTCTCTCCTGTGGCACTAACCATGGATACAAGCTCTGATACGTCATCTCGAGCCTCGCGGATCTCGGATTCCGTACGCTTCGTCCCACGTCTGGTGGGATGGACCTGCTTGTCGCGATCACGCACTTTCCAGGCTGTGTGCAACTTCTGCAGATCCGCATGTATATCCGCAACTTCAGTCGGGCTTGTCTGCGTGACCCTGATGTTATCAGTCGTCTTCGCCCTCCTCTCGTCGTCATCACCGTCTCGTTCGATCCCTTTCTCCTCAGGTAAGTCTCGCTGGCCTCTGACACTCTCTCCTGCCTTTTCTTCACTGGGAGCAAGGTCGTCGCGCTCCACGGCTCTTTCCACATTCTCTTCATCTTCATCTCTAGTCATCGCCGCCGCCGTGTATGCAAAATGTGTATCACACATGTGTCGCACAACCGGCCAGCCGTACGCATTAGCAAACATCCGGCGGACCACCATGTTGTTGTGCGCATCAGGCTCGAGCCGCACCAAAACTTTACGCCACGACAGATCTTTGTGGTAGGCCCGAGCGATTTTCTCCTCGATCTTCATGGCCCCGACGTCTTGAACCTGAGGTTGTTGTGGTGTCTGATTTGTATTCGTTGGTGTGTATGGGGAGTGTCCTGAAGCAGGGCGGCGAGAGTCAGATGGCGAAGTCGGTGTGGACGGCACGTGAGAGGACGAGGATTGAGACCCGAGGCTCGATGCGGAGCGCCTGATCCCAAAAGTCCGCTGCCGTTTCGCTGGTGGTGGAGGGATATCTTGTGGATGGTATACGCGGTCATGGAAGATCGTCCTCGGCCGAGCCGCAGGATCAAGAATGAAGTCCTTAGGAGGTAGCGGTGGATTGAGTAGATCTCCTGCCGATTCGAAAAAGGTAGTTTTGGGAGGCGTTTCGACGTCTCCGGTGCCGCTGTCCTGGGAATTGTTGGTATATAATGATGCCCCCCGAACCAGACCCCTCGCGGTATTACCATTGCTTTCTGTTTGGGGGATCTCTCGTGACGATTCGCCAGAGCCTTGTTGTTCTTGCTGGTGATACATCGTCTGCCCTCGGCGGTAAATTTTCTTCGTCTTCCTCGGACTCTTGGGCGGACTGCCCGGTGGTGACTTTCGCTGTCCGGCATGTGGCTTGAAAAAGTTCAACAGTTCCGTCCACAAATTCGGCGCTGCTGTCGGCCTAACTTCTGTTGAGTTTGACGACCGCTCCGAAGAAGGGCTCTCCGTTTTTTCTAAGAATTGACTCTCTTCCGGCTCTGTTGCCCGCTGATCGTGGTCAAAGCCTTCGCTTGTTTCTGCCTGTGGGACTTTCGATTCAGGATCTGGGGTCGATTTGCCGGACTTGTGGGTGCTCACATCCTCGCCGCTGTCGCTAAACAAATTGTTCCAGGCCAGCGCCTTTCTAGGGTCGCTGGCATTCTGTCCCGTCATTTCAGCCCAGCCCCATCCCACCATGGTCCCAACCAAGCCGCTTTCTCGCCTGGCCTTTTCCACACGACCTAGGCCTCGCCAGTCCAAGAACAGCAAGCAGGACGTTCTCAATGGCACGATGCCATCGTTGACCACATTGGAATAGACGGTGCGATTTCGGAATTTCTTCAACGCCACATGCGCCGGACCCGTCGGGAGAATCCTCAGCAATGGCTTTGCTCCAGGATCAGACTCTTTATCTGGGCCGCCCTTGTGAGAATCGTTCGTGAATCCAGCCACCACGGCTCCCCAGCCGCTCTTCGCCAACGTTGGCGGCCTCCAGGTCAGGCCAAGGTCCTGGCCCGTCCTCCCAACCAAGCCAAAATCCAATGCAAACTTTACATATATAGGATTCTCATTGCTGAGTCCTAGAAACGGTGTAGCCATCGCGACAAAATTGATTGGTTTGATCAGGGTGAAGAACTCGGGAGAATGCTTCTGGATGTACGCAATGGCGTAAGTCTGGATTAAGCCGCCCAGACTATGACTGATGAAACTGATGGAGGTGATGCGGTATGGGAGGTTGTGAGCTCGGTGGTTTTCGTCCTTGATAATGCTGCTGTTTTTATGTGCCGGCTGCGTGCTACTCTGGTCTTGTGGGCTTGGTTTGCTCGACAACGACGAGGCTAGAGATTTGGAGAGGGACTTCCCCATGGACGATTTTACCGGTAAGTAGGGTTGGTCCGGATAGGTTATGGAGAGGACGTATTTAGCGAATCGTTTGCCGAGATACTGGATGCCTCTTTCGGTCTTGACGGTGTTGCCGGTGAAACCTCGTACGTAGATTTCTTCTTCGTCTTCCTCCTCCTCTTCCTCCTTATCTTCCCCAGAGGCAGTAGAATTAGCAGCTTCAGGGGGAAGATCACCGGCACTCGTGATGTCCGGCATGGATTTGGATCGCTGTCCCAGAGCATCTCTTCCAAATTCATTCTCCCGCGCCACCCGCCGAGCCCTCAGCTCGGCTCGTCTTCTTTTCGCGTCTTCCTTCGCCTGCTTCGCGGCTGTATCGATACTCTCCTTCATAAACAGCATATCTGCACCCACGTTACTGTGAATGCCATGGGTGAGAAGGACCAGGTGGATCTTCTTCTGCTTCCTTTGCGTTTTCTCTGGTTTGGCAGCGGCATCTCTCTTGTCACCGTGCTGGGGCCCTTCCTCCACTCTGACTTTGGCTTGCCCGTAAGCTTCCTTCTCCCATTCAGGAAAGGGAGGGGTGTTCCAGAGGCTCTGGGTGTCATCCACCACTAATCTGACTGCCTTGGAGAAGACGCCCTTCGGATGCTGCGGGGAGATCGCCTTTTGGGAACGAGCGTGTTGATGGTCTTCGAGTCGACCAGGTGCACCTTGGCCCGATCCAATAACGCCGTGGAACCCCAGTTCTACTGACTTTTCGTCGCGTCCAACAAGGACTTCATAGTCGACGCTGGCCGTCTTGGAGAAGATCACCTGCGAAGCAATCTCGATGATCCAGGTGAAGCTCTTTCTCTCGCTTGCCCCCCTCTCTCCGCGTCGCACATCTATGCTCGGTCTCTGAGCATCCTCCCTGACATGTTCAGGGACTGTGAGTTTCGCATTCCATTGCCCACCAGCCTTCAACTGCGGTTCAAAGTCCGGCGCCCCTTCCGTACTGGCAGTTTCGTGTTTCTTGTACGGATCGAACGTGGACGGGTAGCAGGCCACGTATAGAGTATAAGGTCCATGTAAATAGGCAGCGCGAAGGGGTGCGGCGACCGTGTTCTTGATCTTCACATGCAAATGTGTAGGGGGTGGAAGGATGCGGTCGAGGCTGGGAGTGTAGGTTATGGTGTATCTGCAAAGTCAGATGTTAGCTCGCAGGGATACAGACAACGAGATTGACGCCGTACCTTACAACCTCACCGACCCGGACAGCGCCAGTCTGATGGAGGAGGAGCATGTTTCTGGAGGTGAGAGTCTACATGCCGCGATTTGCACTAACACATTGCTGAAGCCCGAGATAGTCTCATGTATTTTGAACCATTCTTGACGGGCCTAGGTAGGATAGGTATCGGTGTAGAACTCGAAGAGAGCCTCAGCTGCATGGTCTTTGTTGGCCGAGGCTTCGTAAATCATTTCCTTGAGCCATCATCATGTCCATGGCATGAAGAATCACTGGGTGAGAGTAGTAGGGCTGCCATACCGTCGGGGATCCAACCTGCATGACATAACTTTATGGAGCAGTAACAATTCTTCGGTGCAATGGTGCATAGTCTAGTCACGCGCCCGCCGCTCGCGTGCTGCCGGATGGGGCCAGAATAACTGAGTTCAACAACGTCTGAGCGTCATACCTAGGTACCTAGGTACCTAGGTATGTATTAATCGTTGCCGAAGCAGAATAATGCATAGATTAATTAACATTTTGTAAGAGCTATCCACCTATGGACCACTCGAATCAACATCCCTCTTCCGCGATACATCTGATCAACCTTGTATGAATCACACTTAACCTCTCAGGACCCTTGCCATGTCGGATCAGTACATACTACAGAAAGACAACAGTGTGGATAGTTTCATGTTGAGACCGGTCTTCAGTAGTAATAAGTTTACGTTGCGGAGGAAACCTCCTCTATGCTCCAAGTTTTGTTCACAAGCACATTGATAGCCCTGATCGCCCTTGTATCGTGTATCCCTAAACCATATACAAATGCTGCTCGGCGACCTTGAACGTAGATCTCACTGCGGATTCTAGAACTCACAGTCTTGCCTTTAGCATCTCATGGGGTGTAATCAGAGGATCGTAGGCTCGAATTCCGAGAGTGTCCTGTGGGACGGTCGCTGTGTGGTACCGCAGGCCAGCCGTGTCGACCATATCAGGGGTCAGGTCTTCCACCTTGGAGGCACCAATAAGCCTCATGTTCATCACCATTTCGTCTTTCAGCAGTTGCATGGCACGATCCACGCCGGGCAGCCCATAAGCAGACATCGCGAAGAGGAACGGTCGGCCGATACCAACACCTTTGGCACCCAGACACAAAGCCTTGATGATGTCGGTTGCTCGGCGAACGCCCCCGTCAATGAAGATCTCCAGCTTATCCTGCAAACCTCTCTCACGCAGAACGGGCATGACCTCAGCAAGGACCTCGACGCCAGAGCGGGCAAAGTCCAACTGACGACCACCGTGGTTGGAAAGCACAACGCCGTGGACACCTGCCTCGATGGCCTTGAGGACATCCTCGACCCGCTGGACACCCTTGAGGATAATGGGCATCTTTGTGATACTCAGGAACCAGGGAATGTCTTTCCAGCTCAGACTGGGATCGATGAAGCTCGAAATGGCTCTGGCGGCACCTTGAGATCGATCCACGTTCTCGCCGCTCGTGTTCTGGACGTTGGAGCCGGTATCGTCGAACTTGCTGCGCATGTCTTTCTCTCGTCTACCCAATTGGGGAGCATCGACCGTGATGAAGAGGCCTTTGCAGCCCCGTGCTTCTGCGTGTTGGACTATCTTCTTTGTGATCTCGCGGTCTTTGTTGACGTACAGCTGAAGCCATTGACATTGGTCGCCTTCCCGGGCATCGCAGATTTCGTCGAAACTGCACGAGGCCAAGGTTGGAATCATCTGGATGACGTTGTGCTTCTTTGCTCCTCTCGTGAGGATGACCTCTCCCTCGGGATTGCCCAACTTCCCCAGCGCAGTTGCGGTGACGTAGAAGGGAATGTCGCATTTTGTCCCGAGCATGGTGGTGGTGATGTCCACCTGTTCCACATCAATCAATACCCTCGGTCTGAACCAGATCTTGTGGAAGGCGGAGTGGTTTTCTCTCATTGTGATCTCGTCGTCCGCACCGGAGCTGTAGTATGCCCAGGCCGGCCTCTTCATCACTTGTCTCGCAACACTCTCAAAATCCATGAGATTGTAGCATGCTTCCAGAGGTGGCATATTCTTGATGCGCTCTTGTCTTGCTTTCTCCTCAGGAGTCTCTTCCTTTTCTTCTTGCTGGACAGTCTCCATGTTTACGGGACCCAAATGTTTCTCTTTAGGCAGATACTTGTCCAGGGTATCGGGGGGGTGGATGGGGTCGAATTCCTCGGTGGCATCCTTGCCAGCATACTTGAGAATGATCTTGGGACCGCCGGGGTGTTCTGGTAGAAATTCGGTCACATCATAGGCTTTCCCATGGACAATAACCCAACATGACTCTTTAGAGTTGTGTTTGGCAACTTCTTCTCCCGTGAGGGTGCCCACGTCGGGCCTTTCGCCTTTGTCGTGGTTCATCTTGGATGGGTTTAATCCGAGAGCAGAGGCCTTCTCTCGAGGTCAGGGTCAGAGGCCGGAGATTCCAGAGGCCGAGGCGGAGATGAACAGAAGAAGACAATGGAGAAAGCAACCACGACAAGGAGACCAAAGAGGAGTATAAATGCAGGAGCAAAGCTTTGAAATTGAAGAGAGTCAAGAGAATGTCGGCGGACAAATTTCCTGGGGAAGATGTAATGATCAGCCATCTGTCCGGCGATTGGTGAGGGATGCACTTGAGGGAGCTCTAGAAGCCATTGTGGGAGACGAGGCGGGGACAAGATCGATCTGTGAGATGACGGTCTTCCCGCCGCCGCTGACGATGCCCACCTGGTCGCTGGGCACCTTTAGGCTTTCACCCACCTGGGCGCCGGGCCACCGAGCCACCTATTGGTGCTACTGGTAACTGCACGGCTATATTGCCTTGTCTGGCCGGGCATGAACAAGTGCCGGTCGGTGGTGGCAGATGCCCGCAGAGGCGATCACCAACAACACCAACAACACCACCACCACCATCATCCACATGGCCCACCGCCGCACACCTCGTTGCTGGCCACCTGCACTTCCTACAACTACTGGACTAAGTGGATAGTCTGCTCGTGATCTAGTCGTGATTCGTCGGCTTTTTACCTATCTTGAATTTTTCTCTCTCATTGTTTGCTAAAGAGACAGCGTCCATTGGCCGTTATTTGCTCCTATTCCCCCGCAAACACACCAACGGCCTCCGCCATGCCCCAGATTTCGACGGCCACATTGCCTACAATAATGCCACCATCGCCACCACGACAGCATACCTAGACGTCCACTCCTTGGCACTTCGCTTCACGCTTCAGGGCGGTTTTCGTCGGCGCAGGGTCCATGCTGTACACCTTACCTCGTACTCCTCCCAAGATGCTGTCACAGTTTTACTTGGGTGTGACGATCAATTGGACTGGCCACCCCAGTCCAAAAGCTTCGCACTGGGCAATGATGAGCTCGTTGACGGGTTCAAATAATGCAACCCCTCTTAACTGGCGTGGTTCGTCTTAAAGCTGCGTGCAACCCCGGTTTGTTCGCTCTCTTCGCTCTCCCTCCAGTATTGCTTCCTTCGTTTGACCTTGTCTGCTACCAAAGATGGCGGAACCCACTGAGAAAGAGATTGTTTCGCACGATGAATCTGCGTCTTCGCGGTACGATGCCTCTGGCACAAATCGTGACATCGATCCGGAGAAACTCAACGATCCCAAAATGCAAAAATTGGCCGGCGAAATCACTTATGAGGATGAGACAGATCCGGTGAACAGACAGCACAACCCGCTTGCTCAAAAGCTGCGGTCGCGTCACATGCAGATGATTGCAATTGGTATGACCGTCCTGCACACCATCCAAAGCTTGTCCCTGCTAAGACACATTGCAAGGCGGCTCCATCGGTGCGGGTTTATTCGTCGGCTCGGGCAGTGCGTTGCACAAAGGCGGGCCTGGGAGTCTGCTACTTGGTTTTATCATCATCGGCTTCATGTTGCTCTGCACAATGCAAGCGCTCGGTGAATTGGCCAGTAAGTGCCCGAAAGTCCGTCTCATTCTTGCACTTTGTTCCTAACAGTGGTGGCTAGTACTGTATCCCGTGAATGGCGCTTTTTATACCTACATCGTCCGATTCGTTGACCCGTCCCTCGGCTTCGCAGTGGGTTGGGTAAGTGCTCCTATTGACCTGTAGCTTTGTTGAATGGCCCAGAATGTTGACCACTGGACAGGACTACGCCATTGGGTGGTTGACCGTCTTGCCCTTTGAACTTACCGCGGCGTCAATCACGATCGAGTATTGGAGAGATGATATCCATGTTAGCGTTTGGATCACCGTTTTCTTAGTATTCCTGTGCCTGGTCCAGATTTTCGGCGTCCTCGGTTACGGCGAGGTCGAGTTTGTGCTGGCGATGATCAAAATCACCGCTTGCATAGGCTTCATCATCTTTGGGATTGTGGTTGACTGCGGCGGCGTTTCTTCCGATCACCGTGGCTATATTGGTGCCCGCTATTGGCACAATCCTGGCGCTTTTCAGAATGGCTTCAAAGGCTTTTGCACGTATGTAATCTGGGCGACTATCTCGATCGGAATCAAGCTGACTGTTCAGTGTGTTCGTCACAGCCGCTTTTGCCTTTGGTGGAACCGAGCTCGTTGGACTGGCGGCCGCAGAGGCTGCTGATCCTCATCGCTCCCTTCCCAAAGCGACTCGGCAGGTATTTTGGCGGATTGCGACATTTTACGTGTTATCCCTTTTCATTGTCGGTCTCATCGTGCCATCTGACAGCAAAGACCTTCTGGGAGCCAGCGGTGCCAATACGAAAGCCTCTCCATTTGTCCTGGCCATCAAGTATGCCGGTGTCAAGGGCTTGCCATCCGTGATGAATGCTGTCATTACCATCTCTGTCATTAGTGTCGCCAATAGCTGCACTTACGGCTCGTCGCGCACCATGCAGGCCCTCGCAACGAGAGGAATGGGTCCGAGATTCTTGATGTACGTCGACAGGCAGGGAAGACCACTCTGGTGTATCGTGATCCAACTGTTATTCGGCTGTCTCGCGTACATTGGTGAGGCAAATGCTTCGGACACGATCTTCACCTGGCTGCTTTCGCTATCCGGGCTGAGCTTTTTCTTCCTGTGGATGAGCATCAATCTCGCGCATATTCGTAAGTCAATTTTGACTTGGCTTTGGCTGATGGTGAATATCGTGCTAACAGCCTCCAGGGTTTCGACGCGGATGGTAATGTTCAGAATTCATCGCTCGTCCGTGATCGAGAACTAACTTTTCGTGCCAGGTATGCCCACGGTTTCACCAAGCACCAACTTCCTTATCAGGCCGCTTTTGGCGTCTGGGGATCCTACATTGGATTCTTATTGAACGTCCTGGCCATCATTGCAACATTCTACACCTCTCTGTTCCCACTAGGATCTAGCCCCGACGCTGAGGTGTTTTTCGAGAATTTCCTCGCCGCGCCGATCGTCATCGCTTTGTACCTCGGATGGAAACTCTACTCACGCGACTGGAAGCTCTTCGTTCGGGCGAGCGAGATGGACGTCACAGCGGGGATTCGGAGAGGCAGTCTCGAGATTGCGGCAGAGAAAGGACGGAGCGGGTGGACCAAGGCACTCAGGGTGTTTATTTGAAGCCCAGGCGACTTGGGTCGAGCATCAACGACAAGCCGGATGTCGTCTTCGAGTACTTTGCTGATCAGCACGGGACCTGTCAATTAACAACACGTTTGAGAGGGCCCATGGGAAGCTTTCCTTTCGAGACAAATGGGCCACAGCCCTGAATCTCGTGCTGCAAGAACGACAGCCCTATGAGTAATGGGCTGTACTCGGTATTAGTGACGCTATAAGCACTCGGTCATAGCTGATGACTACTAGTCATACTAGGTATTCGCTAATTCAACTTATCCTTGAGTCCTTGACTACATAGGTGAGGTGCCAAGCCCCACTACCGAGTCCAGTCACACTGGCACTGGCACTGGCACTGACAAACCTCACCCAAGCCCGTTTCCAACATCACGTCTCTTCTACTATTCTTACAACATCTCAAGCTTTGCCTGCTTTGCTTACATACTTGTTGTTTATCTGCCCAATGACCTTGCCGCTTTGAATTTTCGAACCCCATTGCTCATTTGGGCTCGGTGTCGATGCACTGTCTAAAGATTACGCCGCCCACGACGGGGGCCAGGCCAACATCCATGCTTGACCCGGTGCTGACGTTTATTCCGAGTCAGCAACAGCTGTTGCCTCAGCTGAGATATCCCACAAGGTGAATAGCCCCCCCACCTCGGTCTAGCATCGTGCCGTCAGTCAGAGTCTCGTATCACCACGACAGAGTGTTCCGCCTATACGAGTCTGGGGCCAGTTGATACCCTTTCTGGAGCAAATGAGAGAGAGGCTAGAAGGCATGACCTAAGCGGTAACAGGCGACCAAGGGAGACTTCTTGCTTGCGTAAGTGGAGAGATGCCATGAAATGGATCTCATCACAAGGGTATAGTGATCCCCCCCCCGGTTTGACACCCACATATCTCGCGATGCTTCTTTGCCATGCCGACGCCGAGCGACACGATCTCGCGAAAACTTCTCCCCATGCCGACGCCGAACGGACACACTGCCACCAATTGCATGGCTCGACGAGAGCTTACACTTGGGTCAAAAGTTCGACGCGCACCTCGGTGGTATCTTCAGGCGAAAGTACTCTCCGGGGGCAAGGTGGTGACGCCCTGGTAAGAGTCGTCGTGCGGTAGGTCCGGCGAATGGCCTAACTCCAGATATCCTTTCCCCCGTCTTTGTCATACGCCCATTTCTCTGGGACGTACGTGCTGCTGTTTTGAAAGGGGTGGGGGATCCAAAAAGCAATGCCACCTTACCAATCTCGGAACCAAGTTGGTTCGTTGTCATATATACACAAGCAAGCCCAGCTCACCCCGACCGTAACCCCGGACGCAGCGATGTGAGATGTGCATGGCTGGAGAGAAAAGCAAGGCGTATAAGGAGCAAAGACATTCCCCAGGCCAATTCTATCACGACGCTCAGATTGAACTCGTCAGTTTTGAGCATCTTCTCATCCCCACACCTGGATTGCCCAAACGCCCTTTGCACCCTAACTAGAAGGCTCTCAACAACCATGCCATCCACGGGCCAGAACAACAACAACCCACAAGGCGTCCACTTTGTGGGCTCCCTGCCCTTGCCCACGACACGCGACGTGTTCAAACTCCTCGGCTCCACGATGGCGTCACACATAGGACGGATGCCCGACGGCGAGCCCGCGTCGCGGGGCCTCTTCGTGGCATTCCAGCGCGAGCTCTTCCTGCCGTACCCGCAGCTGATCAACACGCGGCACAACCCGACGCCCACATCGGGCCAGCCGCTCCCCAACGTCGACGAGGTGACGCGGTATTTGGAGACGCTGGAGACGGGCTACGACGCGGCGGCGATCGAGTCGTACGCGACCTTTGCCGAGATGCGAGCCGCAGGCGTGATCCCACCCGGCGGCGTCAAGTTCCAGGTCTGCATCGCGACGCCCCTGAACACGATCACCGCGACCATCTCGCAGAACTATAAGGCCTACGTCGAGCCGCACTACACGGCGGCGCTGGTCCGGTCGCTCGAAAGGATCCAGGCCGAGATCCCGCACGCCGATCTGGCCGTGCAGATCGACTGCGCGCACGAGTTCGCCGTGCTGGAAGAAGTGTGGACCCGGATGGACGGCATGGAGCGGTCGAAGCCGTGGTGGTGCGATGTCGACAGCAACCACCACCACCCTGCAGACGGAGAGGAGGAGGAGGAGGAGGAGGACCTGCACGAGACCATCTTCCGCGGCGTGGTCGACCGCATCGTCTCCTTCGCCGGCGGCTCCCACATCGCCGGGGACGTCGAGCTCGGCCTGCACCTCTGCTACGGCGACTTCGGGCACAAGCACTTCATCGAGCCGACCGACATGGGCATGATGGTGCGGGTCGCCTTGGCCGTCCTGCCCCGCCTCGCCCGCCGCCTCGACTACATCCACATGCCGGTGCCCAAGGAGCGCGACGACGCGGCGTACTTTGCGCCCCTCCGAAAGTTGCTCCCGCTGCTGCGCGAGGGAGGCACGGTCTTGTACCTCGGACTGGTCCGTGAGAATGACGAGGCCGGCACGAAGCGGCGCATCGAGACGGCGCGCAAGGTCATCGATGGCCTTGGAGAACAAGACCGTAACGGCGGCGGCGGCGGCGGTGGAAACATCACATGGGGCATCGCGACCGAGTGCGGCATGGGGAGAATGAAACCCGAGGACGTGCCGGGGACGTTGGAGATGATGAAGAAACTCGCGAGGCCGATTCGTTAGGAATTCAAAAAAGAAAGTGTGAAAGGAGCAGGAGTCTGTTAACGAGAGAGGTCGAAGGCTTAAGGCACATATCGACCGGGCTGTGTTGTGCGTCATCCAGGCAGACTCTATAGTATAGACCGGCTCCAATAATAGGTACCTAGGTACCTAGGTAGGTATCTAATACATCATCACAAACAATCACAATTTTTGTACATACAGCTCTTTCAAGCAGACGCCAGCAAGGAGAGAGAACAAAAAATTATCTACAGTGCAGTACACAATACCAGTATAGCACCAAAACAACATGCACATGGATCCAGAAAAGAACCAGCAATCCACCCACACGGAGCACCTTTTCATCTTTTCCCAATCCGTCCCATCAACTCCCAACAGGCAGGAAGGAGCAGGCGGCCTCCCTATATCATGGTGCCCCCTGACGCGCTTCATCACGAGAAGACACATACCTATCGACAGCAACCGCTCCCCCTCGGTCAAGAACAGGGGTCTCGATAATGTAGCGTACCCAGACAAGCTCCAGCTTCGCCTCGTCTACCAACCAGAGCATTAGTTCTTGTTTTTCATATCCGCATCTCGTCGACTTTTCAAAAGAGATCTCCCCTCTAGAAAGCCTCTTCAACAGGACAGTCGACGCTCTCGTGCCCGTCGCGCTCGCACAATGCACACCACTTCTCCGGATCAATGACTCCCGTCGTCCGCCCGGCCAACATACCGGCTTGTGCACCTGTTCCTTCGATGAGCTTCGTAGGAGCTGGAGCTGGAGCAGCCGTGAGTGTGGATATGGATGCGGTAGGAATGGGAGGATTCGCCGCCACATTTATTGTTGGAGAGTCTGGTGCTTCTGGTGCAATGGGCGGAGAGGGTAGGTCTTCTGTAGGCGGCGGGTTGGGGTGCACGTCCGACGGCGAGGTTATGGTGTTGTTTGTTGATTTTCGACTCATAAGGGGAGCTGGTCGATCTGCATCCCGTGGTCCTGCCGTCACTGCCAGCGTCTGTTCAGCATTGTCGACGTTCGCTTCACCCTCTCGCCGAGGGCCCTCAGGCACGACGTCTCTGCCATCCTTGTCGTCCATACCAGGGGGTTCGACGTCTGCAGTCATCTTCTTGCCAGTGCCAAACATATTTCCACAGGTCAAGATATCATGCCCGCCTTCTTCGCAGATCTCGCACCATAGAAGGGCGCTTTCAGCAGTAGAGACATCCGTTACGCCATCGTCAGACCTCTCACGATCCCCCACGCCAGTGCCGTATTCGTGACGCTGTCTTGACGGCGACGCTGCCCCGGTCGGAGCATCATGCCAGGCTTCCTGACCCGTAGTCTGGCTGTCTTGTCGCTCATGCCCACCTGCTCCGTTTCGTCTCACCGGCCCAAGGACGACCGTGCGCTGACTCCCTACAGTGCCAGTGCTGAGGTGCTTGCGATCCAATTCTTCGCTGTTTGATCTAGAGTGCCCTGTGCGCATACCTGTGTGGATGCCAAATGCAGCCCCGCCCATAGGCATAGGGAACTTTGAAAGAGTGACGCTATTCCGTAGCTGTCTGACTTCTTGCACCAGTTCCTCTTCATGAGCGCTTTTTTGCTGCAGGAGAACCTCAAGATCGCGGATCTGTTGCTGTAGGGCATCCTCCTCGCCATCAGCACCAAGCGGCGAGTCTTTTCTTTGATGTCCGTTGGCAACCGCGCTGCCGTTGGGTCTTTTGGGGCTGCTGGCGTTCAGATTTTGAATGATGGCTTTCAGGCCCCTGATCTCATCATCCTTTGCGGTCAACTGCGCCTCGAGCTCTTGCACCTTTGAGGAAGACGAGTAGCCACCGCCACCATTCAACTGCTCTTCTGTCTTCATTCTCTCCTTCTCCCTCCTTAACTCGCTTCTCGATCTCTCGACCTCGCCTCTCAAGAACTCAACCTCTCCCCGCGCCTCAGCCTCCCCTCGTCGAGCATCCTCGAGTCCTTCTTCAAGCTCCTGCACAAGTTCTTCCAACTGCTTAAGTTGCTGTGCGACTGTCTCGACATCCTCACTTCGGTCCTGTAGGTTTCTCACTTCCTCTAGCAGCTCATCTACTCTCTTCTCGTAGACACGTTCGGTCTCGGTACTGGCCATTTCCAATGTATCGATCGTAGAGCGAAAATCCGCGCGGTTGGCGTCAAATTCCGCCGTGAGCATTTTGATCTTGTCATTCTTCTCCCGTAGGGCTTCCCTAAGGGAAACGACATCCCGGGGAAGGTCATCTTCACCATCCTCTCTGTTTCTTTTCGCGGCCTCCTGCTCTTCTTCCAGTCCAGGTAGAAGCTTTTGTATCTCGTTGAAATTGCGTTCCATCTCGGCAAAACTCGTGCCTTGTTCGTGTAGTTGGCGTCTTGCATTCTCCAGTTCTTCATTCAGTTCGCGGATCTTGGTCTCGTACTTTTCCACGTTCGTCTCGGTCGTCTTTCTGCTAAAATTTGGAGTCGGGGTCGGCGTGGATTCGGCCTCCTGCTCGGGGATTTCATCAAAACTTGATTCAGGGCCCAATGACGGGCTTGCAGATGCCGTCGAGCTGCCCTGTCTCAAACTCTGGCTGAAGTTGTTGACACCGCGTTGCTGGCCCGGTTTGGCGTAAGGACCGCCTGGCCCGCCTCCGTTTGTGCTCTTTGCGAGACCAATACCGCTGGGCCGCGTCTTGGGCGTGGCCAGCGTTCTGGGTGTAGGGGTATTGACTTTTCGCAGCGGACTCGAGGGCCGCGGAAGGGACTCCCTTCTCAGGGGCGGTTTGAGGGCCGGGCTGGCGGCGCCCGATGGTCTCATTGCACCGGGGCCTATGGATTGACTGAAGGAGGGTTTTGCAATCCCTGTTGTCACGCCAGGTGTTCTCCCGCCCTGATTAAAGCTGGCAAGTCTGTTGGTGGGCGTGCCAGGACCAGGACTTGCCCTTACACCGCTGAGTCCCAGTCCTCCAGGCCCTAGACTGCCAGCACTGCCGGGCTTCTTCACAGCCTTCTCCAGAGGCAGGAATATGCCCGAGCCCGGGATTGTGGTTCTGAAATAGTATTTTCCATCCACCTCGCCAGAATTCTTGCCGCGAGGTGCATACTCTGTCGCAAGTTGTACGCCTGCAAATATTCCCTTCTTCCCTGTGACGGGGCCGATGAATTTGACGACGCCATGCATGTCGCCGGGGACCATGACGGTGTCGCCGACGTTGACGGTCGCCATGGCGGACGAGGGAGGCTTCTCGGAGTGATTGGAATCGGAGCTCGAGGCTGACGCCAGAGCGGACGGCACGATCTGGCTCGCTGATTCCTTTGGTCTCGAGTTTTCGCGGAGTCGAGCGGCGATTTAAGCCACGTTGGACGTTTCAGTGTCCATTGAAGAAAGGTCGTGAAGGAGATTCGGGGAGATCTGCAGTCCACCGGTACTTGTGGGGAAAAGGACCTCGGAGGTGATGACCCAACGCTGTCAGATGTAGGTTACGCCGATAGTCACCATCGACCCGTGGCTGCTTAAGATATGGTGGCCGTAGGTGCTGCGAGGGAGAATGATAGGTAAGGGAGAGGAGACAGGGTGAGTGTTGGTGTCGATGCGACGGGCGCTGGGTGTTTGCACGGGTCGAGACAGGGAGATAAACAAAAGACGTTGCAGCAGGAACTAAGCATAGTTTTGGGTCGTGCCGAATCGCCTGTCAAGAGTTACCCAGGTAAGCTGAGGCATTGGGCATTGTTGTGATGATGGATGGTGATGGATGGTGGTGAATGGCCATGGAGACCCGACCGACATGGGGACTTTTTTCACGCAGGGCCACAGGGTCGCAGGCTGCGCAGGCTGCGCAGGCGAGAAATGAGGGAGCAACTGGCACCCATTGGCGAAGAAATTGTCTGATTTGCTTAGCGAATCTGGAGCCAAATCCAAGCCTGAGTGAATCCTCCAGTCACGGCGGCGCTGGGCCTCTGACGCGCGCATTGGCGACAGGGATACAGGCTCAGCGAGCGATGGCTTGACGGCCGGGGCTGCAGGGTTCCAGGGCACCAGCCTCCAGGCCAACAAGATCCCACTGGACTGGTTCATGGGCTTCTGATATTACTAGGTACCTAGGTAGCCAGCGAGCCAGATGCCAGATGCTCCGAAGCCCAACATCCTCGCATATTCCCACCTCCGGCCACCACCACCATCTCCTCCCCCGGTTCCCTCCATCTCCGAAATTGCAGGGAGGCTTCAAAAGAACTCAAGTTCGCTAAACATATCTGACTGCTTCAGCCTTGTCGCGCACCAGTAGCCAATCTGGCGCCACGGAAAGCCAATTTCCACCCTTATTTCAATTTTCAAACCTCTCATATACGCTGTACTCGGTATGGAGGGTAGAGCGCGCCCCCCTTTTCTATCGCTATACATGATAAACCGTGGTGAAGGGAGAATGCCACTAGAAAAACAAGCAATATGATTGATACTTTTGTCGAATGCCAGAGATGCCCGTTCCGTGACAACACTACAATTGCAACCTGAATGTCTTGACCTCAAACGCCCGCAGTTCGATCGGAATACTGATCTTGTTCTTCCCGGACATATCCAGTTGCTTGCCGTCGTCCTCCAGCACGTTGGTCTCGTACACCTTCTTTACCGGCAGGGTCGTCTCAATCACGCCGCGACTCTTGCCTCCCATGCTCTCGTAGATTCTCAGAATCACGCTCTGTCCCTTTCGCTGGGTAAGTTCTCCGCGGGAGACGTCTTCATCGTCTTCTCCACGCTTGACGCAGTCCAGGATCAAGGACGGCGCACCGGTGACGCTCACGGCGTTGAACAGTTCCTTAGGCGGTTTGTCATCCACCAACGACACCAGCGTCATCGGATGGTTGAGGTTGTAGGCTGCTCGGACAGTGTCGCTGCTCATGGATCCTTGGTGAGGCATGATAGCCCATTTGATATGGTGACGGCCCATGTCGGCGTGGGCATCGGGTGCCTTGGGCGCCCGCAAGAGTGACAGCCGCATAAGATTGCCGCAAGTCGCAAACCCATACTTGGAGTCATTCAAGATCGACACACCATAATTGGCCTCTGAGAGATCAGCAAATTTATGGCAGCACACCTCGAACTTGGCCATATCCCAACTATAATCGTCAGCACTTAATGTCGTCCTCGAATAGGAGTTCAAGATCCTTACCTCGTGTTGTAATGTGTCGGACGGCGGATGATGCCATATTGAGTCTCGTAGTTGGCCTCCGTGTTGACCACGTCCACGGGAAATTCCACCTTTAAGAATTTCATATTCTCATGCCATTCCACTTCGGCTTCCACCAGCAGATACCCTGTCTGGGTCTGGCTGTCGCATGCATCGAGACTGATCGTGGTCTTGATCCAGCTGTCTTTACTTACCTGTGTCTTGGTGGCCACGCTCACCCTGTACGGTCCATGTTCGACAATCTCAGATGCTTCCGACTTAAGCTCTTTTCTGGAGTCGAGATGGAACACCTCCACATCCCAGGCCTGCCAGTACAGAGGCTTGTCGTCAAACATCACCAGCTGGTTGCCCTTGCCCCCTTTGGCAATCACCTCTCTGTTGGCTCTCAGGTCAATTAATGATGTGATGCAACCGGCCTCGACTTCTGCCTGGAACATGCTGTTCTTCAACACAAAGACACCCTTCCGAACCTCCTCAATGGATGCCGTCGATTGAATCGCCGAAGCGGCATGTGTCTTGCAGATGCCCGGCCCGCCGGATATGTATGTGTACTTCTGCTCCTGCGACTTTGCGTTGGCCTGTGGAATCTTGACTAGCTCGGAACGTTTCCAGGGAGCGGTATTGACTGCTGCAAGCTCAGCGTTGGCTTTCAGGTGTTGGGACAGCCCCAAAACTGTAAGAGCTTCCTCCTTCACTTTCTCTCCTAGTTTCGCGTTGTGAGCGTAAAGCTCGTCCGAGTCATCATAGCACATCTCAATGGAGCTGCCAGGTAAGCAATCATGGAACTGGCAGAGAAGCACATTTTCCCACATCTCATCAATCTCCTTCTTGGGATACTTGTAGCTCTTGCTCTTCAGGCTTGCCAAAGTTGCTAGATATTCCACGTCGTGCAACATAATTTCTTGCTTCCGGTTATTGAGTTTGTTGTTGGCTTGCGTCGTATACGTGCCTCGATGCAGCTCAAAGTAGAGCTCGCCGTACCATGTAACGAGCTCGGTACCGTCTGCAACTTTCTTCTCCAGGTTTGCATAAAAATCATCCACGGACTTGCCCATGTGCACGCGAGGGAGGAGTCCAACCGTGTCGCTCAGACCACGGCATCTTCTCAACTTCTCCAGCATTGACCAGGTAGGTCCACCTCCTCCATCTCCTTTGCCAAAGACGAGCAGGGATGTGTTGTCCTGATCCATGCTTTTATGTTGAGTGACACTTCTTCTGACGTCTCCAAAGTGAGCATCTGCCGTGTACGTCTCACTGGGGGCCATGTGGCAGATGACCTGACTCCCGTCCAAACTCACCCAATTGAACGTGGTGTGTGGGAAGTTGTTGATATTGTTCCAACTAAGCTTCTGAGTGAAGAACCGTGTCATTCCCGCTAGGCGGCATATCTGCGGGAGTTGAGCTGAATAACCGAAGGTATCGGGGAGCCAGAAAGTCTGACATCGTTCGCCAAAATTGCTCTCGAAGAACCGTTGGCCGTAAAGGAATTGCCTGACCAAGGATTCGCCACTGGGCATATTTGTGTCGTGCTCAACCCAGCTGCCACCTATCGGGTGGAATCTCCCTTCCTTGACCTTGGCTTTGACCCGGTCGAAGACATAGGGGTAGTACATCTTCAGCCACTTGTACTGCTGTGCTTGGCTGACCGCGAACCGGTGTTCGGGGTATCGATCCATCAGGTCGCACTGGTTGGACCAGCTTCGGGCAACTTTGCGCTTGGTTTCGGCCCACGGCCACAGCCAACACGTGTCAATGTGACAGTGTCCAATTCCGTACACGATGCTTTTCTCATCAGAGTCATAGACCTTTGCCGAGTCGACGTTCTTGCCGATATATTTTTGAGCGATTTCGCGGCCCTTTTGGATTGAAGCAGCCGATCCGTTGCCAGCGATGAAGACATCCATGATCTGGTTGCAGATCTGCAAGGCTTCATGCTTTTCCCAGCTGTCTCCGGGAAACTCCCGAGCTGCGTCGCCGATGATCCAAAAGTCGACATACAGATGACGAGCGGCAAGATTGACATCCACAATCTGCGCTTTCCAGAGCGTGTAGTACTTGTTTGGGTCTGGAGGTTGGATGCTGTCACCCCCAGGTGCATTGCCAAACATGCCGTTGCATGCCATCTCTATGTAGAAGATGTGCTCTTTGCCATCCCGCCAACTTGTCGGCAGAATCCATTCAGTCCGATCTCCACCACCAGTAAGACCCTGCAGAGGGTTTCCATCCTCTGTCCATACCATGCCTTCATTGTTTGCGTCCCAGTGGAACTCTAGATGTTCTCCATCTCGCATGTGTTTAGGCACAGTGAGTTGGATCTTGAACCAATGTGTAGCCCAAGCCGGACCGAAGGATTCACCGCGATGTGTTGGACGAAAGGTATGAGAAGTGGCATCGTGAAAAGTCGGTCTGGAGAGATTTGGGGGAGAGTAGACGGAGAGCTTCACATGGTCTTCGTCGTCGCAGACATTGTGGTACAGCTTGTCGAGGAGGTTCTCCTTTTCATATTGGCCACCAGATGTAAACTGCCGTAAGCGATCGGTATAGATGCTCTGAATCTTTTGTCCAACGGGATGAGCACTGAGTCTTGGGTAGGATGAGGTAGCACGAGAAGACGTCTCGCCTCCCATTGCTTCAGGCTTGAACAGGCAATCGAATGGAAGGGGAGGGTAGAATGCAAATAGAAGGTAGCTATCAGAGCTACTTTCAGGGAGACAGTTCAAACGAGAGACGATGCATGGAACGCAAGGGATAGAGCAGGTGAGCAGTAGGAGGTTGGTAACAGCTTCGACAGCTTCAGTGAGTTGAGGGTGCGGGGTAGCTGTGCGTTAGCTGACTGCGTTCTTGGAGAAACATTGACACGACGTTGAACAGATTGCCAGTATCCTTCCAGGTTTCTATGGTCTATGTACCTCTATCAGACCGAGCTTGGGGGAATATGTCTACCAGATATGTTCTTTCTCTGCGGAAAAGACGACCACCGCCTTCAAATCCACGAGTTGTTGTCGTCGACTGCGGGTTGATCCATGGGATTTTCAGCCCCAGTCGTTGCACTTGGACCAACGAAGATAATGCTGTCCTTTAGTTTGCGCTTCTTCTGCGATGACTTTCGTGTCAATTTGCGTTTTGCCCCTTCAAGGACCCCGACAATCTGACTCTGACTGTTTTGATACGCCGTGACGAGACTGATCGATTTCCCCCTCTGGCGCGTCCGCTGAGCCTGTCGCGCCTCTTTTTGCTGCTTCTTCTGCAGTTTGTCCGAGAAGATCTCAGCACCGTACACTTGATATGGCGTGGCTGGGATGGCGAGCTGCCTTTCTCGTGGTGGATTATCCTGTCCATGGCTGCCTTTGCCTCCCGAGACTCCCTTCCGCGACAAAGACCTGAGAAGGTGAGTAACATTCTGTTGCAGACTGGATCTCCGACTGCTATTGCGTGGCGTCTTCCGCTCCGCGCCGTCTCTTTTCATGGCTGGGTACTTGGTTTCGGCATAAGATAACACTCTCTCTCGGTCCTTCTCAGCTGTACTCTTTCTTAGTCGGAAGCTCTTCCGGGGGTGTAGTTCAACCGGCGAAGACTCTGGACTCTGGTTGACGAAGCCGTCCTCCAACCAGTTCTGTGACCAATTCTTGCCAGAGCCGTGCGGTTGTGACTGTGCTTCAGAGGGATCATGATGTCGAGCAGGATCGAACTCGGCGGGCTTTTCCCAGTCGTCGAATGGTGGTGTTGGAAGACTCGAGCTACTCAAGCCTAATGGGGGTGGAAGAAGATCAGAATCGGTATCGGAGATCGTGCCGGACATGGCATCGGGCAGAGGTGGGGTTTGAGAGAGGGACACGGATTGTCCAACGAACGAGAGCTGCGGCGAGGGCGGGGCCAGTCGATCGTATGTCGCTTGGCGATGCAGTTCAGCTGACGACGCAGAAAGGGGCGAGACCAATTCATTCCTGCGCTGTTGTAGCTGACGGGAGAAATCGGTAAATGAAGGAGCTGACTTGTTGCTTGGGACTGCATTGGCATAAGTAGCAGCAGATCTCAGTGATGAGTTCGAGACTGCCTCTCGTGGCGCATCCTTCATTGGCGGAGACGGACTATGGCTCAGACTCAGCCGCCTGATGAGGAGAGGTGCAACGGTGTCTCGATAGGCTTGAGGGTGATGCAGTGTTGGCAAAGGTGGGATGTCGTCCAAGTCACGACATCCTCCGCCGTACATGTGGATGATGTTGGTGATTGTAGTATCAGTGCTATACACGCTTGACGATCTCCTCTTTCCCTCGGATGGCTCAAGTGGCAATGGTTTATCCCGGTCTGACGGCGTCGATCTCCCGGATGCGTGATTTGAGGTTGGTGGGAGAGTATTTGGCGGAGGAGAGACTGACAACTCTAGGCCCTGCTTCTGCAGTTCCAGAAGTGCCTTTGACGGAGGCGGAGAGGTCAGCCGCAATGGATGAGATGATCCTGGACGCAAGCTCATTTCGGCCAGAAATCAGACAGCCGGACAGAGCATCGTTCTCGAGCATCTGAGGATCTTCATGTCTCAAAATGCACCAAGTTCAATTCGACTCCATGATTGCCGTAATTGAGATTCACAAGCTGAGACGCACGCAACGCAAGACAAAGAGGACCTGGTTTCGGCAGCATTGTAAATGTTGGCCCGTGCTCAATGAATGCTCATTGTTCACGATGCCGCCAACCATCGCATGCATGCAGCTCACACAAATTCGGAAAAGTTTTGTGGGCCGCATTCCTCGGAGAATTGGTACCGCCATGAGAAGCAAAGCATCTCACTGAAATTTGCAGCGATGGAGACGAGGCGGCGAGGCGGCTCAGAGGTTTGCAGCTTTGACCAAGTCTTCCTTTGACAACTCATCGCTTGGCTTTCTAATTTCACCCAAGAACCCAAGTTTTCTTAGTCGAACAATCATGTCTTCGTCTCCAAAGTGCGAATTGTGCTCGAAGGTGGGTTCTTGGTCATATGCGAAACGAGCGGCGTCGACGAGAATTCGGGCGGTCATGCCAAACACCCGATACCTGGAATATTTGTCCAAGTGGCTTGCTGCAACCTTCTGGTCCTCGCTTATTTTCGGCTTCGAGACGATCTGGTTGGTGACGGGGACAAAGAAATTGTGCATGCGCCATTGACTCTGATGCCAATCCGTCCAGCTTCCCTTGTACCAATCACTTGGCTTGCCGGGAAGATTTGGCTGATCCGGCAGATCTTCCATGTACAAGAAGTTCCTGAAGGGGGCTGAGAAAACCGCCGCCACCTCTCTCGCGTCCAATCTTGGGAGTAGTTTTTCAGCCACATTGGCATCTTCCCCGGTCTCCGGGTCATAAGAATGTAGAAACGCGACGCATGGACGAACCAAAAGTGCATTCTTGCTTAAATTCGTTGCCATCTCGCATAAATGCTCGACTTTGAAAGGTCGTGGTAGAGCCGATGCGCGCCTGGGAAGGCCTATCTCTTCCGAAGCCTCACGTCTTGCACATTCAAAAGCTGTCTCGCCCTCTTCGGCTTTACCACCCGGTAAGGCGGCTTGACCGGAGTATGAGCTCAGGGTACTTGCTCGCATGGTGATGACCACTCTCAGCTCCCCATTTGGATCTGCAAAGAGCAAGATCAGGACAGCGGCCTTCCGCGTGATCGGCATTTCCGGCCATATTGTTTCTGGAGATTTGTAGGATCTCAGCCGATCAATGGCTTTCTGGATCCGACAATCAGCGGGAGAAAATTGCTCGGGTTTTGGAACATACCGCTGAGATTGGCGACAGACGCGGCATGTTGACCGAAGATTTTTGCGAGAGAGCCCTTCTGCACGATACAAGATACGGAGGCCTGCAGATGCTTGATACTCGTCTGGAGAGCATTGAACAAGCCTGGAAGTCGGTGCTGATATGTGGTCGGTAAGATGATGAAAAGATCCAAGGTTGCCAGAGACCGAGGGGAATAGCCGAGGCACTCCCGTGAACTCCCCGGCTTGTCGTCCCCAATAACGACTCTCCAACAAAGCCCGTGGTGCCGGTGGTTGTACCGCGATGTGTCTGAAAATGGCGAAGGTGAGGCGGAAGAGACCTGAACACATTCTCTAATCATCATGGTTTTTGCGCGCACCACCGAAAGAAATCTTCTGGCGTTTGTTCGATCTCCCTTCTGTGTCTTCATCATTCGCCGTGCTCTTCTTCTTCTTCTTATCACCCGTCTTTTCCGCAGTAAAACTCCCCGTCGGCGTGGCTGCAGGGTTGGGCGTGCTCGTAGCGCTGCTTGGGGAGTCCGAATCTCTCATGTATGAGACTGAGCTCTTCGAGAACACTCGATCTGTGTCGTTCACAACCGCCTTCCGACGCCCTGCACCTAGACCGCCGCCAACTGCGCTGCCTGAGATTGTCCCGCCCGCTGAACTGGCTGCCGCCGTCACTGCGGATGCCTTGATGTAGTTGTCGAAGCCTTTGACTATGTTGCCTGCGACTGCGGTTTCTTCGAGGTAGGCAGTTTCTTGTCGGAAGATCTGGTCTTCTATGACAGCCTGAGAAATTAGCCTCGCTCTGAACCTTTGCGCAGATTCAAGACTCACCAGATTTCGATCAAGGAGCCGCTTCTTCTGTAGGGTGTCCCGTAGATCGCGCCTCAATTTCTCGTAGTCTGTTCACCGTCAGAATCGAGGAGTGCGGAGGGGGCCTCCGTTTGACACTCACAAGGCAATCCCGGCCGGTCATTGCCTGCCGCAGGCTTTGATGCGGAGCCTGACCCAGGAGGGACATTCTCAGCCATTGTGAGCCAGGTGTTTGTGGGTGACGGTCGTGAGTTGCGCGGAAGTGGTGAGGTGGTTGGCAGAGTGGTCAAGAAATTCGAAGTTCCTGCGGAAAGTGCTCACGCGCTAACTCGGGGTAGCAACCGCGTCTCTACCGTTGGGAATCTGACAACTTTCACCTCGTCCTTCACTCACTCCATCACTCACCTCCCGCGCTCTTCTTCGCATTTTGAGCTACCTATTTGACGAGATGGACCACAGCGGTATGGACCATGGCGGCATGGATCATGGAGGTATGGACGATGGCCATTGTTCCATGAATGTAAGTCAAATGTGGAATTATCTCACGGATATCACTGACAAAAAAGATGCTCTTCAATTGGCAAGTAAAAGGCCTTTGTATAGTCTTCGAGTCATGGAGAGTCACGGGACCCATGTCGCTCCTCCTCTCTCTGGTCGCCATCGTCCTCCTTACGGCTGGCTACGAGTGTGTTCGTGAAATAAGCAGGAGATATGACGAGAGATGCAAGGCCACAATGAATGCATACAGCACAAGTACGTTGCCCTTGCCGGACGTTCTTCTACGCCTCACTGAGACTCTCAAGGCCGTCCAGAAGAATCAAGCTCACTGCTTGCAGGACCGGAGCGGGAAGGAGGCGGCCAGCAAGGACTGATCAACAGAGCTGCCCTTTATGCCTTGCAAGTATTCTACAGCTTCTTCATCATGTATGACCGATACCCTTTGTGCCGATTCCAACTAACTCACTCGAGGCTCCTGTTCATGACCTACAACGGATTCGTCATGTTGGCGGTAGCGGTCGGGGCGTTCATCGGATATTTGGCTTTCAGTTACAGAACTTCGCCCACCAAAGCGGCAGCGTGTCATTGAGGCTGCAACTCGATAGAACATTTCATTAACCTCGTGAGGTCATCAAATAGAACATCTCATTCAACCTCTCATCGAGGTCGTCGCCGATAGAACATCTCATCAACCTCCTCATGAGGTCATCACCGATAGACATCTCATTCAACCTCCTCATCGAGTTCATCGCTGAATCCAAAGCTAAACCCTTGCCGCTCTTCGTCCGCTTCGTCTTGACCAGCCACGACTTCCTCCCATTTGCGCTTGCGAGCATCGTCGAGAGTGGCCGCCAGATCAGGATCAGTCTCCTTTAAGCGATCCATAAAGAGGTTATAAGGGTCTGTTACTTTGTCACTGAATCCGGACACTTGATCTGCCCTGTCTCTCAAAAAGCGAACCGCTGATCGGACATGAGCTCTGGGGACGAAGTTCTGAGTGATTGCAATCGCTGGCTCCAGGTTGACTACCAAATGCCACCACCCCGATGGAACATGGAGGACCTCGCCTTCTCGACAGATGCCCTCAAGACAGCCACTGGTCCTCCGTGCTTCAGCGTGGTATGAAAGTAACCATTCGGCAATGCTCAATGGCGAAGTGACCTCGCTCTGGTCTTGGGACATGTAGACTCCTGGGGGGAGGATCGAGCTCGGGAACATGATCCAATATTTGGACCCCCGGATGATAGCGTTCCAGGCACTGGTGGCATTCGGGTCTTTGTGAAACGTGCTCCCGCTTCTCTCAGGTCCAATGATCAGCCAACGTCGATCCGGTCTCTGGTCCTTGAGGAGGGTGAAAAAGTCTTCCTGGAATGGCTTTGGCGGGTCGTACGCATCCTGCACGCCCATCTTCTCCACAAACGCCCGATCAAAAAGGTACAATGGCGACTCCTCCGTTGAATTCTCCATGTACTTGACGTAGGTTCTCAATGGCCAATCGACCGCTTCGCAACGAAAGGAGACATTTCCATACTTGGAGAGTAAATACTGGAGGTCCCACGTCCCAAAGGCCTTCCATTTCTTCACAGGCGCTGTCAAGATGAAGGGCCTGCCTACCCAAGCCTCATTGAACTCTTCTGGCGAGATGTTGTCCAACCGTGGAATCTCATTTTGCGGCGGGATGTTCGAGATGTAGGGAGTCAGCGGCGTGCGGGAGCATTGGAACGGCCGATATAGTGCATCAGAGAAGACATATCGGCAATCCACCTTTGCAAGCTTCGGCGATGGAAGCCGCATTAGCGATGCTCGCCAGCTCCCCCGCCACTCAAAACGCTCCTTCATCTCGTTGACCGCAATATCTCTCCACAGCTGGTCGTACGTACAGTAGGCGTAGAGGCCTCGGCATGTCGCCCCGAGGTTGGCAAGGCTATGCCGGTTAAGGCACTCCAGGAGTATCAGGAGCAAGGTATCTGGCAGAAGCCCGAAGCATCCCATGGAGGCTTGTGCGTTGTGTGGAGATGTCAGGGCGTTGCCTGAGGGTTTCACTCTGAGGGGATGTTGATCGGCCTCCATTTCCGACGAAGCCTCTGAGTCGACGGCATTGTTGTTCTTGACAGAGATGCCATGGTCGATATAGGTTGGACTAGACACAAGGGTCTGCCCCGTCTGGAGAATCGTGGTTGAGCTCATTTTGGACAGCATCTAATAAGGTACACGCTCACCGCGGCCAAAAAAAAGGGTTTGGTGAATTTTTGGTGATGGTTAGTGCCTCGCTACACTTTTGCCCCGGACCCACTCAAGTCGTGGTGATCTCGTCCTGCTTGTCTCCACCGTCATGGCCCAAGTCCTGCGCCACAGGCTGTATCCCTGTACGCATACTTTGTCGTTCTGTCCCTATTAATTTCAGCCTGGTCTCTATACCTGCCCACATGTTTCGTTCCTGAAACATCTTGCATGGTAACATCTATCCTGCTCAAAATCTCTGTGTCGGTGGCTCTGCCATTGTCTTCGTCAATACCTAGCTGACCCCATCCTTGTATCTACTGCCCTGAGAAGTCCTGCGGACGCTGGAGACTTTTTGATTTCGAGGCGAGCAGGAGCAGTGATTGTGTTTTGCTATCAAGCTTGAACGGTGGAAAGGGAGAGAGGCAACACAGTCCCACAGGAGTGGATCACCGAGTGGGTTCAAGTCAAAACAGTCAAACGTTACCATGGGAAAGGTCGATTGGCAGAAGGACTTCAGCAGCGTCCTCCACCAAGCCGGCAGCGCAGCCATCATCATCAATGTCCGCCGTCACATCTGAGCTTCCCTCTCCGCGCGCAGCACACAACGGCATTCTCGCGGCATTCACCAACAACAACAACCATGAGAACTACGAAAGAGCGGCAGGACTTCGGTTCAAAGTTGGATCACAGGAAGCAAAGAGCATTGGGCGGGCTTTCACGGTATGGGAAAGCTATTTTCTTGGAGGACACAGCGAGGAGGCAGCGTTACCCTGAACGGAAAAAGAGGGTATTTGGGCAAATCAACGGAACGAGAAAGTGCACTTACCGGAGCAACTTACCACTGCCGCCGAATGTCCAGCAATCAACGTCAATCCTGGTCGTGCGAGATTTGATCTGGAGTCGAGCTGCGAGCATCATCGGAGGATTCGACATCTGATGTTGGCGGATGCTGTCTTCTGTCATTTCGCTGATGTTCTCATTTCGGAATGCCTCGAGGTGCGAGTTGTATAGTCGATTGTATTCTCGCAGTCCTTCGATGAACATGGCTACTCAATGTAGCAGTGGTTGGTTTTCTCTGCCGGTTTGAAATGTTCGATTTCTGCTTTCCAATCAAAATGCTCATACCAGGTGTCGCCGTGCCGTTGGGCATTCGATATAGACTACTTTTCTTCTGATGAGACGGCTCAAACTTGCCAGGCTCGTTTGTCTCAAGTAGTTGTTCTCTGGTCGGGAACTCTGATTTCAGTGTTCATCACCAAGCAGCGTATCTGGGCGTGGGACTGTAAGGGTCGAATCGAGGCTGTTGAGACCGGCTGCAACTTGTGGATGTCGTCCATCATGAGACTTTCGTGTCATTCCAGAAGACTGAGATATTATGATAACACATTGTTGGTTTTCCGGTTTTGCTTCCACGTCAGAGTTGACTAGCCTCTGACGCAATCTTGCATATGAGGAGCAGATTATTTCGTTTGGCAGTGATGATTGTCTGCTTGGTAGGCAAGATTTGGGTGCATGGACGACCCCTTCAAATGGACTTTCTGATAACCGACCAGTTTGGGAATCTTCCAGCCATTCCATGGCGAATGATCGGCCAATTTGCGAGGACTTCAACAATCCTTTGCTTTGAAGGACTGCCCACATGACACTCTGACAATGTGCAGATTAAATGCGTGATGAACAGGACAAGCTGAAGCGTTCTGAGAGACTCTGGAGTGTTTTGAATGGCAGGAAAGAGTCAGAAACAGTGGTCTTAGTAAACCAACTAAGGATGAGTTTCTGATTGCGATCCTCGATGTGATGTGGATTTGGCGGAAAGCGCGTATTACTTTTCCACAGCTGGCATGTGATAAGCCTTTGTGAAAGCCTGCTAGGCATACAGACCAGGTATATGGCAGCTCGTGGTACAGTATGGGTAGAATGTCGAGTTGATGGCGTCGAATATGGGCGATGCGCGGAGACGGACGCCGCCTGTAGGTATCCTAGTGAAGCTGTTTGGATGCATAAGGAACCTTGAGGTTCAAAGGTTCGGAAGCTTTTGGTGTCTTGTGATGGACACGCGCATGGACCGTATGTACTCGGTCGGATAAATCTATAGGAATGTTGATGGATACCGGTTGTGGTCGGAGATGATACTTGCTGTGCCTAAAGTTCCATGCAGGACAGACACGCAGAGACTGAATGCTGTCTGGACGTAATGTGGCCCAGTGAAGAGGATGTCGCGCATGATCCTCCAGATGCATTGCCGGGAAACTCTATATAAGTTTGAGATTTCGTGTTATGAAAAATGTGACGCTTGCCGCGGCCCGGCGGTCGAGTTGGCATTGATTTGAATGGCGGCTGTTACCAAAAGTCATGTATACTCGCCCGTGCGAGCAAGTGGTAGTGCTGGTCTTGATTTGTGCCGTTTCGCTGGACGTTCACGGATGTCTTGTGGATCTGTGGGTCAAAATTCGGCTTGCACACAAGAGTTGTGCAAGCACTGGCAGGTTTCGTGTCAACTGACAGAAACAATAGTCATGGGTTTTGTTTGTAGATGGTGTACAGAGAAGAGAACCCCACAGGCCACTAACCTCAGGCGAGGTCGTAATCTCATTGAATCCAGCCTAGGCGGGGATTGTTAGATATGTGGTAATGTGAATCAGCGTATCTTGAATGGTTGACGCGAACCTCGACAATGAAGTCAGGATAGCAGGGTGTCTGGCAAATTATAGCGTGATGTACACCAGGGTTTGACAGTGGACGTGCCTGTGACCTGGCTAAAATGGATGACTGGCACGGGTGAGCAGGTGGCTGCATATTCCAGATTTGCGAGGCCGCAACGATACAGGAAGCTCAAATAGCTGAAGATAATGGTGAAATTCTTGGGTGTGTTTCTGTGTGGATTGGAAGAAATGGCAAGGAAGTGGTTAACGTGGACGATCCAGGTTGGGCGTGTTCTTATGGGAAGTGTATACCTGCAAGGAGGATACTGGTGGTAACGTCGAGAACGTCATTGGATCTTGATGAGAGTGGACTCAATCTGTATTAGGATGCAGCTTGAATCGCTGATGGTCGAAGTCGGTATATCCGTTCTCATAGCAGAGAGAGCCATTACAGGTGACGTGTATGCGGGAGTACTTCAGAGTGTCTGCGGTTTCGCCGAGGCGTCTCCAGCTGACACCACGGAGGTTTCTTCTGTTGGAGGAGAACAATTCGTTCCGGACGTTGAAGAGTGGACCAGGACACGCCCTTCTGGTTTCGGAATGGATGACTTCGAGTTCACGTCTGGTCGGGGTTGTTGTGTGAGGCAAGGGGGTCGCCTTAAATCACACAGGCATGATCATGAAGAAACAGGCGGGTGTGAGGAATTCATCGAAAAAGACTGGTACCAGGTGACCTCTGTAGTGAGACATGGCGGCCGCTGTTGTACCAATGTGTAGGACCTGAACAGCCTGTTTTTGTGGCGACAAAATGATTGACTCGTTCGTCAGATGATCCTCGTTGTTGTTGAGTTTGTTGGTTCGCCTGGGCTACCGATCGACAATCTTAAGCCCTGGCTCAAGCTCCAGCACCGCGACAAGGTCGTACTCAATATCGCTGGAGTGCTCGGGCTGGCCCATCTCCCGAGACCAACCGTGGTTGGATTTGCTGTTTATTCTCTCATGTTCCCCGGCTATCAGTTGTTCACACCTTGCGGCGTCGTCAACTGTTTGTCGGTCTCCATGCCCCGTGCGCACGTCGAATCTCAGATTCCATGAACGCGAAGTTCATTTTCATCTGGTCGGTACCACACTGAGAGAAAGATGGTGTGGATAGCCTCCCCAAGCATAATATATGGTTTTGGCATCTTTTTCTTGTCAAAGACAGCCAGAACGCGAAGGTTGGGGTTGGCACCCTCTCTACTGAACAGCAGCAGGAGGTGGCAGCAGCAGGAGGTGGCAGCAGCAGGAGGAGAAAAACAAGAGAAAGGCCGCGAAGAGGAAGATGTGTAGTGCCGGTGTTGCTCTGGCGGAGCCCTGCTTAAGCCAGACGGCCGGCGAGAGCGGCTTCTGGATAGACAAGGTACTGATGTGTGATAGGCGAGGAGAGCGCCATAGAAGGAGAAGAGGACGGCTAGGCGATATCCATGAAGCCCGTCTGATATCTAAACAAGACCCTTGGAGAAGGCTGCACAGGGTACACGGTTGGCAATCTGCGCCTGGGCGGTGGGAGGTTTCGATGGTGCTTGGTGACTTGATTACCCCAGAGGCTGAGGCCCTCAGCCTCGCCAGGACCCCCTTCGTCAATTTCGAAGCCTTTGGCGGCGGCGTTGTCGATGAAAAGAGAGAGAAACTGTCTACAAACAATGAAAGATATAGCGGTGCACACATGGCTGTCACGCTAAGACAAGGCTTTGCAATACCCCTCGATTAGTAGATGACCCCATATACAAGCACAGGGAGGTAGTTCCACGAAGGCACCTCGTACAATAGCGCGATTCGAACTGCCTAGTTTCTATGGGTTCATCGATGCTGGTCACTTGAAAAGCTATTTACTAACCGGCCAAGTACTCCACGAATTCGGGTTTCTTTGTGGAGATTGGGACGAGCTAATCAACAAGTGCAAAGAGTTGGTGGGTCCGGGAAAAGGGTTCCTGATCTTCGCTTACTTCTCACTTATGTACCACGGATATAGTCTCCAATTTCAGATATAGAGTGGCAACTGGCGAGTTGAGGATCTATCTCCGACAGCTATCCATCTGACAGGATTTGGTAACATGGGAAGAGAACCACGTCTTGCTGTCAACAAGTATATTGTCGAACATCGACTGAATTCCAAGTGAGATCACCTCACCACTGATTCCCTTGTCAGTGCCATAATTTGTAGAAAATCAAGGCCAAGTTTTGTGAAGAGAAATGAGCTATAGAGTGGAGATACTGTACACTGATGGAGAGACACAATGTCGATATGTCTTTGGGAATCAACTGAATCTGGATCTCTTTCATTCTACTTGGTTGACGTGAGGGCGACCGCCAGTTGCGCTGTGTGGGGCCAACGCTGGGAGTATCATGTGAGGGGGACTGTGTAGAACAGATTCTCATCTTCGACGTTTTTCGAATCTCTTTCTTGTTTCCCATCAAACATAAAATGGCCAATTTCTACTTTGCGCCTGGCTGCAACCCGACCTTCATTTACGTAGTAAGTATCCCATCATATTTTTGTATCACCCTCAGTCATATCGCCACTACAAAGGCCCCTGAGCAAGCCAGCACCTTTGAGGGTGAGATGTCACTTTCCGCCATGCAAGAGAAAGACAGAAACATACATTGGAAGTCAAAGACTACTCCCATATGCTCGTATGCCCTTGAGGAGCTAGGGGCCTACCGTCTCGACTCTGTTCTTCAAGCTCTTTAGCACTACTTTTCCCCGAGCACCCCAGCAGTTTTGAATTTCAGATTTCACTTTCCTTGATGGCAAGAAAAACATACATTGAACTCTTGAGACTGCCTGCCTACACACGCAGGGCCTTGCATAGCAAAGAGTCAATCGTCTCCTCTGTTTCGTCAGGGGTTTTTCGCAGCCATTTCTTCCATCTCGTTCTGTTCATCTGCATTTCAGACGGAGACTGACCATGCTCAGCAAGCCCCAGCCACCCCTGCCGCCGCCGCCGCCACCACCGCCGCCACTGCTGCTGCTGCTGCTCCTGCTGCTGCTGCTGCTCCTGCTGCTGCTGCCAGCGCCGCCGCCGCCGCTGCTGCCGCCGCTCGCCGCGCCCGGCCTGCCCTGCCTCCCTCCGGGCCCCGCCGCCCCCACGCCCCTGCCCCTCCCGCCCCCACCGCTGCCGAGCAGCAGCAGCGGCGGGAGGAGAAGAAGGCCAAGAAAAAGGCCAAAAGAAAGGTAAGTACAACCGTTGCGGCTCTGGCGGACACTGTATCCAAGGGGGGCTGCCGCCGTTTCTCGAATCCAGTAAATCTTCAGAGACAAGGCTAACAGAATATTCAGGCCAAGAGGGCCGCCAAGCGCGGTAAGTGATGTCCCTGAAGCGTATCCAACAAACACTAACATGACTTTCAGAGGAGGCCAAGAAGGGTACGCCAACGGTATCCCGTGCTGGGCCTTATACTGATGTTGGATTCAGCCAGAGAAGACGCTGCTGCTGCTGCCGCAGCAGAGCCTGGTATGTTTTCCTGGTTGTCGCCCTGGAGTCTGCCTGTGCTAATAATTGGGTTGAAGAAGTGAAGGTGAAGATCGAGGCCGACGAGGCTGAGGCCAATCCCGCTCTTGGCGAGGTCACGGGAACCGGGTAAGTTTCCGCCTTAAGTTTTCTGCCTCGCCGCCACTTCAGCTACATGGTTAAATTTTTCTCGTTCGACTGCAACCATCTCTTTTAATCATACAAAAACCCACACCCGCGAATCTCGCTCTCGAGATTCTCTTTCTGCATTGTTCATTCCACTCTCAACTGACACACACGCACTTTTCAGCGCGTGAAAATCTCGATTCCACCATATTTCCGCATCACAGCAAATTCAGCAACCAAACCGCAATCATGGCCGACACCGGTCTTTCAGAAGTTCCAGAAAGTCAAATCGAATCAAACTATGACGAAGTCACCGATTCTTTCGATGCCATGGGTCTCAAACCCGAACTTTTGCGTGGTACGTCGTCGATTTTCGCCTGCGCTTCGCCGCACCTCGTCGTCGCCTCCCCTCCCCTACACTGGCCCCTCCAAGCCCTATACAACTTCAAAACATGTTCACGATGCTAATATCAATCGCTAGGAGTGTATGCCTACGGTTTTGAAAGTTATGTAATCCAATTCTATCCCAATCAAGTCGGCGCCGCCTCGCCCTTGATCCTCCTCTACCGGTCCACATCGAGCCCTGGCGTACTAACATTTGCTATACAGACCTTCAGCTATCCAGCAACGCGCTATACAGCCTGTCATTCAAGGTAAGAGGCGAATTCTGGCATCCAGTGTTGATACCGGGTCTCGGGATCGACCTTGGACCAACCCGGACCAACTTTGGATCAACACAAAGACATCAACTGACCAATTCGCGTGAAGGCAAAGACGTCATAGCGCAGGCCCAGAGCGGCACAGGCAAGACGGCGACATTCAGCATCTCGGCGCTCCAAAAAATCGACCCGAACCTCAAGGCATGCCAGGCGTTGATTTTGGCCCCGACGCGTGAACTGGCGCAGCAGATTCAAAAGGTGGTAGTGGCGATTGGGGATTTCATGAACGTCGAGTGCCACGCGTGCATCGGAGGGACAAACGTGCGTGAAGACATGAAGGCGTTGCAGGATGGACCGCAGGTGGTTGTCGGTACTCCAGGTCGGGTGCACGACATGATCCAGCGCCGAGTGTTGAAGACGGACAGCATGAAGATGTTCATTTTGGACGAGGCTGACGAGATGCTCTCGGTAAGTGGCGACTTTGGACCTCGATGCCGCCACGTCGTCGTATCGGACTAACATTTGCAGCGCGGATTCACCGAACAAATCTATGACATTTTCCAACTCCTCCCGCAATCGACCCAAGTCGTTCTGTTGTCGGCTACGATGCCACAGGACGTGTTGGAGGTCACGACCAAATTCATGCGCGACCCGGTCCGTATCCTTGTCAAGAAGGCGGAGTTGACCCTCGAGGGTATCAAGCAATTCTACATCGCAGTCGAAAAGGAGGAATGGAAGCTCGACACGCTGTCTGATCTGTACGAGACAGTCACCATCACACAAGCCGTCATCTTCTGCAACACCCGGAGAAAGGTTGACTGGCTCACCGACAAGCTCCAAGCACGTGACTTCACGGTCTCTGCCATGCATGGTGATATGGAGCAGGCTCAGCGTGACGTGATCATGAAGGAGTTCCGCTCGGGGTCGTCGCGAGTTCTGATTGCCACCGACCTTTTGGCGCGTGGGATTGATGTCCAACAAGTCTCACTGGTCATCAACTACGATCTTCCAGCCAACCGTGAGAACTACATCCATCGTATCGGACGTGGTGGTCGATTCGGCCGAAAAGGCGTTGCTATCAACTTTGTCACTGCCGACGATGTTCGCATGATGCGAGAAATCGAGCAATTCTACAGCACTCAAATCGAAGAGATGCCCATGAACGTTGCCGGTAAGTGCTTCCAGGAGGTTCAAAACACCTATGCTAACACTCCTAGATCTCATCTAATCACTCACAATGGGCATGTGGATGGCGTTTGTTGCTACACCTGTCTGCGACTCCTCGAGAAAAGTGGGATGAAGCTTGTCTCCGACTGCTTGGCTCAAGATTGTCGCTCCACACAAAAGTCATGTTTTCCTTATCATGAGCACGGACGTGGTGATATCACAAGCTGACGGCTGAGGTCGATGTGGGCAGATTTCGCAGGCGTTTCTGCTTCTTAATGCTTAGCTGACAATGCGTTGTTGGCCGTCATTCAACAGAGTGCATTCTCATGTACAACGCAGGAACGATGGGTTCTTTTGCTTTGCGATAGATAGGTAGAAAATGAAAAGGTTCATGTACCCCAAAAGCTGTCTGCAGGGAGAGTGGTGCCGAAACAGAAGTTCTTCTTGCACGCTTATCACTAACTTTGACCATCTCCTGCTCAAACCTACAGTTCTAACAAAGCCCATCACTCCGCTTTCAGATCGAAAGATGATGGTTAATTATGCCATCGACTTGCTGAAAGCCCATCAAATCCGTCGAGAAAATGCGTTCCTGCACGAGGAGCTTGCAACTTTGCGTAAAGAGATGCAAGACTTAAAGGCCAACCGCCTGCTTGCCATCGAAAATGAGATCAAACCCATCAGGGAATCAACCACCAAAGCCTCTGCTCTCGTGGAAAGGCATGAAACCACTCTCAAAGACCAGGCTCGTGAGATACACACCATTCAGCAGTCCCGCAGAGCAATGCAAACCGAGATCTCAGACACCAAAGCGTCATACCGCGAGATAAAGGAAACCCAACAGACACACCTGGCGAATGTCGAGAAGCAGATTGAAGCAGTACGTGCTGCTTGTCAAGACCGAGCTACGGCACAACAACGACATCAGCATACCCTAGATTCTCTCGAGAACCTGCAAAGCGCTCTTGATGGCAAGGCAGATGCCGCAGCTGTCAATCTGCTGGAGACTCGCATAAACAAACTGTCGAGTGACCAAAATGCCGATGCTGTTGCAGTCGACTCAGTCAGCCGCGTCTCAGATACTGCGGAGCGCAGGTGCTCTCTTCATGACCCAGGTACACATCCATCGACTCAGACAGATCAAAATGCAGCTGACCTCTTCGCAGTTGGGTCGGTCCAAGTTCAGGATTCCCAGTATGGAAACCACCCATGCCACGAAACCCTCGGCCGTCTACCCCCCAATCAACCTCGAGAGATGACGGTGCCTGAAGATCTCGACCTCGATGACAACGCACATACCATCAGCTATGCTGGCCATGGGTGCCATGTACCACAACAGAATGACTCTTTGAAGATGTTGTCACCGTCCACAGCGCAAGCTACACAGCTCGCCGAGATCAAAACGCTCCGACAGAGAAGATTTGACGGCTGGGATGCCTACTACAACCAAGGACAGAAACTTGTCCAAGCCTTGCCGCATAACTTCGAAGGGGCAATCGTGCGCAACTTTGTGGACGGTCTCTTCAAGGACACTCATAGAAATCAATGTCAGCAGTGGCTCGATTCGAGTGGATGGACTTGGGCCAACGTTACCGTCTTTGGCAATTTATGTTCACAGCTTCTCGCAGACAACGCATCAAACGAAGCAGTGGAGACGGAGACTTCGGCACGTCCACGACAGATAGGAGCGATGCTTGCTGCAGCTGGCAAATGCGAGCAGGGTGTGGACGGTGTGAAAAGCAAAAAAGGGAGCAAAGGCAAAGTAGCACGGGTCAGAGTCGATGCACCGCTGCGGCGAAGCCAACGCGTGGCTCAAAAACAGAATGTCAACCGTTCCCATACAGGACAACAGCCCGATGTCAAATCGAAAGGAGCTTCGCCCGTTCACACAGCAGATCAGGATATGGCCCAGGGATCAAAACTCGAGACCAAACCCGGCAATGTCTATGCTGGAACGCAGAGACAGCCGCAGTCTGACAATGCCGCCTCCCCAGAAAGCCGGTTTCAGAGGGCAGGTGCAAAAACCCGAGAGGTAACGGACATTGCTCAGCCGACAAGGGGTACGGCAATCTCAGCAGAGCATCACAAAAGCCACAAGAGACATGCCGCCGCGTTTGAAGCTGGACAGCAAGCCAAGCGACTGAAACCTTCGACGGCGAGGGCTGTAGACCATCACGATATCTCAGTCCCTCAGCTTGTTTCATTTCGTGAACGAATCGATAAGTCCGTGGAAGAGAGCAGCAACGACGAAGTGTTTTTGTATAACAAAAACTTCTCCAAACCTTCAATTCCCGCGAAAAGAGACCGACGGACAGGGCACAGTAAAAGAGGACTACCTCTGCCACCGCCACCAGAAATCCCTATTCTGCCTACCACAGACGAAGAGTAGGTGGCGGGCCATCGCGAATCTCAGGCGGTATGGCGATAAGATCCAAACTCATGTTGATGGGTGGCCCTGTATGGACGTATTTGCAGCCGTTGAATGGCGGAAGCCGGGACATGCCCTTCATTACCTGACCTTTCGCTAGTCTCAAGTCTCCTTAAACACATATCCGTTTTCGGACTCGTCATCGACGACGTCGACTTCAATTTTTGCCTCTACCACTTCAAGTCCATCCGCCTCAAGACCGCATTGCACCTTGTCCCCGCCCTTGAGCGGGCCCACACCCTTAGGGGTACCCGTCAGGATAATGTCGCCTTCTTCGAGTGCCATGACCTTGCTTATGTCACTTAACATCCTGGGGATATTAAACAGCATCAGGTTGGAGTTATCCTTTTGCTTGACCTCGCCGTTGACCTTCAGCCATAGAAGGACATTGTGGGGATCTGGGATGCGGTCGAAGGGGATCTCGTGGCTGATGGGCAGAAAGGTATCGAACCCCTTGGAGATGCTCCAGGGAAGACCTTTCTTCTTTGCCTCATCCTGTACATTGCGAGCGGTCACATCGATGCTCAGGAAATAGCACTTGATGTGGTCGAGGAACCGGGTATCGTCTGCTTGCAAGTTCTTCAGCGGGGTTGGTGTTTCTCCAATGACCAGGCCAAGCTCGACTTCATGGTGCAGAGTTACGCCACGAGGGCGGACAATGGGGCCTTTGCCCGGCAGGAGGATAGAGGAGGGCGGCTTGAGGAAGAAAAAGGGCTGCGCCGGACGAGCAGAATTGAGCTCCGTGATATGATCGCTGGGCCAGAATGTGTCAGTCTATTCCAGTTGCTGGGCAAAAGAGCGGGGGAGTGCATACGCATAGTTCCGACCAATGCAGATGACCTTGCGACAGTTTGCCTTGATGGAGGCCATGGTTGAGAGCTTGCGATAGCAAGTAAGCCGCCGGAAAGGAGCACCAGGTGGTTGGAAGCAACTTACTAAGATCGATTTCGTCAACCAAGTTCTACACCATGGCCATCGAAGCAGTTTCTAGCTTGCAGCATCTCGAGGTCTTCCCCTCAGCATCTCCACTGTTGCCAACCGTCTGGGTGACCGTCACTGTGGGAATCGTGTGCCTTGCATGACTGGCCGGTCTCTAGGTGTCGGTAAGTTTCGGGGACGCGATCATGGGCATAAACATTCATCCTTTTTCACGCAACTCCTTCACATTCTTCGTGTTGCGTGGGGGGAGGGTGCCTTTTCCATCTCCTTTTGTCTTTCCTGTCCCTTCCGCCGACCCTATGCGAGTCAATTTTCGATATCCAGTGCAGACGAAGATGATGCTGGTGACCTCGCTGCTTTCGCCACTGGTGACGGCTTCTCAAGAGCTTCTAAAGCGGCAATTGGTTGATCCAGTCCAGCTCTGTTCCGTTTCACTGACGGCATGCGAATGCTTTTCGAGGCTGCCAAGTTGTTCGGCTTCGTCGGCTTTCTGTTCGCTCCGACGCACGGCTGCTACGCTCTTTGTGACGGATCTACAAGATTCCAGAGTGAGATTTGTTCGATGAATGTATACCTCGATATCAGAAGAGTCGCCCTCTAGAACATAAGGCGAAGTTCAGCCATTGCCCGCCCGGTTGGGATTACAAAGGCTCTCCTCATCACCTTGCAGCAAGGCTGAAGAACCACCTCTGCAAGGGACAAGATCGCCTCTGCTCTATCTCAATCTGTTCATCTCGGAGCTCGCGACATGGTCACTATTCCGCACTTCTGTGGACTTTGGTCCACGTGTCAATCCAAGGCGAGTCCCACGTAGTAGAAAGGTGAGATCGATAAGTTTCCCTTCGGAGTGGACATGGTGAATCCAGATACCCGGCGGATTTAGCTGTACGATGGCGAGGGCCCATCTCTGATGCTTGCACAAACTTCGTCGCACAATTAGCAAGCATTTTTCATGGGCGTCATCCTCGACGCCCCTAGAAAAAATTTCTCTTCTACACAACTCTCCAAGATACCCGTGATACCAGTGCCTCACTAGGTGGGATGTGACGTCTGCCATGGGGTGCGCAATATAGCAGAAAATTGGCTCGATCCGCACTCTGCTCCAAGAACAGCCGGGGGCTTCCCGTCTGTTCTACAGGCGTGAACTCTATTGTCATTCCTGTCGGGCTGCTTGAAACGCAGCCTTGAACGGCAGGTCTTCGCTACCCTTCTGAATCACGGTCCAAGGGACAGCGGATTCACAGATCCGCAGGAAGGAAAAAGTTCCGACTTGGCTGCAGTAGGTTGGGGGTGCTCCAGACAGGCCCGTCAGTGCCGGTCACCAGTCGCTGACTTACTAAATTGTTCGCAGTAAAGTCGGAGCTCCAGCGGAGGGCCCTTTTCCTATGTACAGAGTACATGTGCCATGATCCGATACCTGTCGCGATGAGCGGAACTCGGATCGTGGCCTTCGAGAACGCAAAGGTAAGGCTAAAGGCCCGTCGTTGCAGGGCTTACAGGGGTCTTCCCGCACCAGGATTTAGAAAAACCCGCTACCTAATTGCTATGTTGTACGATTCGGATCCAACCTCGCGGTCCAAGGCAGAGCGGATGAGGGGCGTGGCGCTAGGGTGAATGATCTGGGCCATCCAGAGAATCTCCAGGAGAGCAATAGATAGCTCGAGTCTGATTTGCTCGCTCGCTGATGGAGGAACATGGATGCAGCTCCTGAAAGCACCACCACTCACATCGCAGCTCGACCCCCTTGTCGCTTCATGCCGGCCCGGCCGTACTATACAAATCCTAGCAAGACAATCCTGGACCCACTGTGGCCCCAGTGGCCCTTGCGGTTCAGGCTTGAGTCTTTATGGCGACCACTATCAGACCTCGATCTGTCGAACCGTGCTTTTACGAGGTTGCTTTTGACCTCATGCCTCTGACAATGGGAGCGTCCTTAGCTTGCGATCGATTAGGCTTACTTCTTTTCCTGTCGGGCTTGATTCGGTCTACCATCAGGGATGCGCAAAGTAGATATGCCGGTTGGTCCCTTGTCGCTACCATGGACACGCATCATGGACCTTGTATCATGCATACCGTACAATGTCGACGCGAAGAGGAAGAGGACGCCCTGGAAGCTCGAACCCAGACTTCCTTTGGGTCAACCGGACCCCAGACTCGGAGAGACTCTCTGCGACCCGACAAGAACGGGATGAACTTCGAACTATTACTAGCCATGCCCGTCAATGGCGCGCTGCACTGCGTCGCCAGCAGAGGCTCTACAGCGCCCAGACTGAGGCTACTCACGCACAAAGCATTGTGGGCTGGGGAAGGCAAGGCACGCTCTCGGAGACGAGCTCAGCCGAGACCTCAGCGGCGCCCTCACCTGCTGCAATGACACACATCACGGGGAACTCTACTGATCCGTTCACCTACCTGGAGTCGCCAGACGATGCGTGGTGGTCGCACAATGCATTTCGATACGCGGTTGAGTCGTGGCTGCCGTCGGTATTTCAAGGCTTGGGCGTGTTGGACGAGGAATTACCTACCTCCGAGTCCTGTCTTGCCACCATCGATCGACTCGTGCAGGGCTGCCTTGCCAGCAGGATGCACATGTTCTCGTTGCTCGCCGCGAGCACGGGGTTTCTGAAGTACGTCTTGAGACTCCAGCTGGACCGATACGACTCCCCGGAATACTGCATGGGCAAGGCTCTTCAGTATCTGCGGCACCATTTAGCCAGCGCTCCACAGGCCAACGAGAGTCTGATATTCGACCTCAAAGCGCTCTCGACATTCGAACGCTACGTGAACAACTTTGAGGGAGCTAGAACGCATCTACGAATGTGTCAACACCTGGTTCAGTCACTCGGAGGCCCCGAGATTCTGGAACCGCCCTTACGGCTTGTATGCTGGCTTTGGGATCTGCTGGTTGCCGGCGGCACTGGCGAGACTCCTTTGATGCCTCTTACTTGGGATCCCGGTCTGCTTCCACGCCAGCAAATGCGGGACGAAATCCTTCCTATTCTAGCCCAGAGTGGCGTCATCCCCAGTGGTTCTGGTCTTATTCAGTATGGGTCGCTGGTGCAGCCTGACTTGTCACCTATCCTCTCCGACATCATACAGTGGTTTCAGGTGCAGCAGTACAATCGTATTCACAATTTCAGCCGATCGCCCATCGAGCAATGGGCCACGAAGCGAGCACACGCCATTGTCCACCGTCTACTTTCCATGGGTCCTGCTTCGCCGAGTGACAGGTTGCAGGGTTTGCTGTCGGAGTGTATCAAGCAGAGCTTCCTGATCATTCTAGCGGACGCAGAAGAAGCGAGGCAATCCCGAGCTCAGACCGACTCCTACAGAGACCCGACCAATTACTCCTGGTCTGACGTTGGTCGCCTTCGGCAGGCGCTCAGCGCGCTCGTGCAGTCGGACGAAAACTGGCAGGAAAGACACGAGGAAATCGTCCTTTGGATGGCGTGTTTAGGTGTCCAGACAGCATCGACCACCGCATCCGGGCCAAACGTGCCCGCAACGCAGTCAGCAGCAGCAGCGTCATCACCCAGCGAAGAGGCCAGCCCTCGGGAGTGGTTCCTCGGGGTAGCAAGGCAGCTGTTCTTCGAGTGGCGGAGCCGGACTGTAACATTGTCTTCGCCTGCTCCTGCAGGAAGTGACGACCTGGTGCAACTCATGAGCCGCTACCTCCATCGCTGCGAACCGTCTGGGCAGCCAGATATCGTGGGGCTCGAAGAAGTGCTTTCTCCGTGATTAACCCTTGAGACACACCACGCAGACCCTCTCGGCGGCGACCCAGGTGGGTGAGCGAGCGTGGCTTATCCGCCGGATAAGGGCCCTTGTCACGTTAACCCTGGACTCCCATTCACTCCGCTGGCGAAGGCGAAGCGAGGCAAGGAGAAAAGTAGGGAACGGCCTGCGCCATACCACAGTTTGAGCGATACGAGTCCCGACTAAGGTATCTATCCTATACGGAAGTATTTGAGTTCGCCGAGAATCACGAGCCAGCCGCCAATGACCTTTGCCTTCAAGTTCCTGGCAAATCGAAGGGCCGGGGTTCGAAGTAAGCTCGATAGCTACGAGCGGCTAGAAAAGGCCAGCAAAGGCCAGAGACGGCAACAGAATCAAGGACCCTAGCACCAACAAACAAGAACTCAGAACGAACAATTCAGAGGCCAGGATTCACCAAGGCAGCCAGAATACCAAACAGAGAACAAAACAAACCATACCCTATGATACCCATGGCGGAGCCGCATGTACGAATAAAGCGCAGTCAACGATAAACCCTCAAGATTTAATGGACTATTTTCAATACCTACCCCCAGTCTGGTCTTTTGATCCATCTTCGAGCCCCGCGCGGGCCATTCACAGCCGAATGCACAACCGATGCCACTGGCCCCCAAAAGGTGGAATGAAACGTCACGAAAATCAAGCCCATGCCGCTAACGACTGATGATGACGATGATTGATGAACGACCAAGATAATGCCCTGCGGTGATGATACTTTTCATGAACGACACAAACATGAGGCCCCCTAAGCAACTCCCTCCCTCCCTCACTAATACCGACCTGGCGATAGACGGGACTGAGGCCAGACAAGAGACAAGGCCACAGGCTACAGGCTTTCTTGCCGGAGCCGCAACTGTACGGCCGCGGGGTGATTTCCGGGCGATGGAAGCTGACTTTCCTAGCTCCCATGGGCCTCTCTCTCCCAAGGATTCCCATAATTAGCGACTCCATGCTCCCTTGGGAGGTACCGGAAAAGGTCCCAAGTACCGTGAGTACATCCATCCGCTACAGCAACGGTACCGACAAGAAAGCTACCTAGGTGAACTGTAATCAACTATCCTAACTAATCACCTAACCAAGCAAACTAGGTAGGTAATGGTAACTACATACCACGCAGAGCCTCAAGGCTTTTCCTTTTTTCAACCCTCTCATCTATCCGGCCATATCTGGGTGTTCCATCGTGGAATATCCGGGTATGGGGTACATACTTATGTACATGCTGTTTTTGTGGCTATACCTATATTTCATGTGCCAAGTACAACTTGTGTACAATATTATTATGTATATATGAGTTATGACCTATGAGCTATGTATGTTTGTGTATGGATTTGTATATATACATGTATCTAGACCGAATGTACAATATACAGGATGTATGAAAATGCAGCGAGATAGTCCAAATACAGAGTTCTGTAGGACAATCCTCGCCCTCGTCTCGTCCCTTTCTCCTTCCTCAGGCTCTCCCCCTTTCTTCTCTGCTCTTCTTTCTCAGCAAGTCCCCCAACCAAGAGAAAAACAATGCCGCGAGCTCAATCAAACCCCACACATGTTTTTCTCTCGCGTCCAAGGTTCGTTGTACGAGTCCACCAGGAAGACTGAAAAACCGCGCAGTCGCAGTGCTAGCAGTAGCGGGCAGCAAAAGGCACAAGTGAACGGAGACCCAGATGCTGAAGGGTCTTTTTTTTGGGCGGCCGCGTGTGGAATTTTTGTATTTCTCAGCTGGGGAAATGTCTCTCTGAGGAGAAATTTTCCGCCCCCTTGATCGAGCGGGAGAGAAAGTTGGAGGCGGCACGGTGGTCGTCTGGTGACCCACCTGCTAAACATGCTGGCGTGAATTGGGAGCTCCTCCTGGCCGGTCAAAATCTTGGATATTCTCAATGGTGGGCTATTCAGCGTAGACAATGGCCGAGCTCAACAGAATTGTGGAAACATCAGAGCAGTCTTGGGGGGCACGCGTGGTGCACCACCTAGACAAGGCTCGAAGTCTACCTATACCCCCGAGGGAGCCGCCGGTTTCATGACTTCATCATCCCGCTGGAGGTAGCGGTAGTGGTGATGGTAGTGACGGTCGTGGTGGCGATGGCCCCCTCCATCACATGGTGCTGACTTGATAGTGCTAAGAACACCCTCGTCAAGGTGACAATGCTCTTATTCTTTGAACCGGAAGGAAGACCAAGGAGGAACGCTTACCAGTTGCCTCTTGTCGTTGCCCTTGGCCTTGGCGCTCTGAAACGGACTCGGCGAGTATGCCGTGCCCATTGCTTTGTGATGGAGTGTAAGAACTGCGTGTGCTCTCACTCAAATGAGGATGTGACGTCCTCTTTTGGTCTATCGCCTGCTGGTGCATATGGTGGTGGTGGTGATGATGATGATGATGATGATGATGCCATGCCTTCTCTTCGCCGAGATAGGGCCCTTACCTTGCTAGACCACGAGGGACTTCCGACAGTAACTTGGCGTGCCTGCCTGGAGAAGGTGATGATGCTCGCCCATACTCGATACCCTTAAGTGTGACCTCCGGACGGATGAAAGGGAAGACGAGATGGGCAAGCAGGTCTCGTCTAATCTCGCTTGACCGACCATCACAGGAACAGATAGGGTAAATAGCGACGCATTGATTTTGTTGGGCCGATAGCAAATCGAAGAAGAGATGATGGAGGAGAAACGGATGAGAGGGAAAACGGGGCCACCAGCGACAATCCTGAGCGAATGAAAGTCTCGGCCAGCCAAAGCGATCGCGGCTCAGATCGCGATGTACCGAGTAACCCGGTGATGGATCCAGCTTCCTGGGCGATGTTCGGAGTATTCACTGGTTTCGGCGCAAAGGTCAACATTCAGCAGAGATGGCTTATTGTCGGGGGAATCAGGCTGAGGTGGAGACGAGGGAACAAGGGATTGGCTTCGCACACTGCTGATCGCGAAAGACGCATTGACGGATGAGGAGGACGGGACGCAAGGACACTAAAAGGAGGGTCCTCGCCGAGTCGTCAGAACGCGGAACAGTCGACTAGGACGCGGGACCTGCACACGGCAGTCTGGAGGAGGAGAGACTGGGATGGATGGATGATGGTGTACCTCGTAGATTCCACGGAGACATGGCTGGAACATATACCTGCTTGACCTGGTACCTAGGTATACGAGACTGGCTTCAATAATACTGCAAGACACAAAGGGAGAGAAAAGCAAAAAGAATGAGTGGACAATAAGAATGGAATGATGGACATGGACGATGGTTGCATGCAGCGCCGATCTGAGCCTTTGAATTGAGGCCCTTGCCAGGCTGCCACTGGTCAAGCTGCTCCTTCTCCTTCTCCTCCTCCTCGTCTATCCCAACTATTCGATTCGCTGCCCGCATCACCCATTGACTGCTAACTGATTGCACCATCACATCATCACATCATCGTCCTCTCTCGTATCGACCTCCATCAACACCACCACCACCACCACCATAGCATGCGGTTCCGCAAAATGCATCCTACAAACCGCAAACCGCAAACTCGTGTCAGCCTTGTTGTCGGCAACAACACGCGGACAATTTTTACAACGGTGAGTCTCGATGCGGACATTTTTCCTTCTGGGATCGTACACTTCGGGCAGGAGAGATGTACAACTGGAAACAGACAAAAGGTAGAATAGGGAATAGCACGGCAATCCGCATGACGGTAAAAGGCAGCCAGGAGGGAGGATACAGAGTTGCGACATCGAGGTTTGAGCAACCACCTCCATCTACCCCATGTCGTTTCCCGCTGCCTGATCATGCGTATCGTCCTGCCGTCGTCTATGCAGAGACTCTAATCTGACGAGAAAGACGGACAAGCAAGAAGAAGGAGGAGTAGGAGGAAGACACCAGCACAAGCCGTCGACGATGAAGTCTACAGCATGGGCAATGGCTTACTTCGTGCTGAACGCTCGGGACGACTCATCTTATACAATGCCAGTGTCCATAGTATTTTCTGACCGGCAGATGGCGCCACCAAAGGCATGGGCCACTCTTACAGCTGAAGCCACATGCCTTGAGGTACTTATGACATTCCTCCCCATTCCAAATGGCTCTTTCTCCTCTATCCCACACACGAATTGTGTTGTAACCTGATCAAAATTGTATCCCCGAAGAACGTTCGATAGGTCGTTGGAGTGCCATATCTGTCAATCGCCTCTAACCGAACGACATTACCCACAAATCTGTAGACGAACTGAGCGTGTCAGACATGGACATCACACGTTCAAAACACCGCTGGTGGAAATCTCGACAGTGGCAACGCTGACATGCACAATGACGAGCAGATCAAGAATGTCCCTAATCGAGGCATCGGCATCTTTGGGAACACGTATCTTTGCCTCCGCGGCCGATCGCCGGCGCTTTTAGACTTATGCAAGGCTGCACACTCCCTTTTGGTTTTTTTGGAGCTTGTCCGAGCTGATTCAAGCCGACTGACTCAGCCAGATCTTTTGCATTCCGGCTGACTAGAGGCCATCTGGACAGTGGCGGAGGCTATCTTCGATTCTGCTGGTCGGTTTGTTGATATTTTTGGTGAGTCTGTCAGGTTCGATCTCGTCAGGGCGCGTCGGCAAGCGCCACAGCAACAGCCGCCCCAAAAACAACAGCTTCATGAGTCGGTTCAAGGACCACCTTTTCTGGACAAAAGCCCCCTCCAGCTGATGACCCGGTGGAGATCATTTGTCTAATCAAATCCTCACATCGATCTTTGAAGCCGGGATATTTCAAAATAACACTGCCGTTGCACGCAATCGACGTTTTGGGAGTTCCATTTGGGGTAGTGGGGTTGATATCGGTGTCTTTCTGCAAAGCCCAGAGCGCGTGGACGGCAACGGCGATGTAGGCAGATGCTCGATAGGAGATGGATTCGGCCGCATCTCGGAGGAATGAGACCTCTTTCACCGTCGGACTCTTTTTCAACCCGAAAGCCTTTTTAATCATCGCGATAGAGCTTCTCATACTCTTCGTCTGGTCCAGCTCAAGCTTGGCCATTATCTCGGTGTCCAAAGAATAGCACTCACGTAACACATTGGGCATGACGCCGTTGAATAGCTCTCCGGTTGCAACTCCCTCAATAATGATCAATCTTAACAGCTCTCCCAAGTAGCGACCGGTAGTCATGTACTCGAGAGGCTGAAAGTCCGGCCTCACATGCTGCTGGTTCAGAACTTCGTCCCACCGCGTCTCTGGTAGAATCGACTTGCCGAACATCGACACCTCTGTATTCGTGATGACCCGCTCGGCCTTGTCGAACCATGAATGATCGCGAACCCCGAACTTGGACTTTCCCATGCAGGACGTTGGCAGGTACGCTGCGGCGTTGGTGCCAGTCCCCAAGATAAGCCCCATGGACGTAGCGGGATCAAGATAGGCTTGAGAAAGGAGGGTGGCAGAAGAATCATTGACAATGGCGTCGACACGGACCTTCAAACTCCTCCTCGCGCAGGCGGCTTCGATGAGTTTGCCCAGGTCCATACCAATTGTCTCTTCGTGGCAAGCAAATCCTTTGCCCATGCCTTGAACCTTGCCGCCCCGGTGACTTGTCTGCTCGATCGGAAAACTCCATGCCAATCCCATGGCCAGTGTCTGGTCAGGCGACCATGCGTCCTTCTCTTCTTCCAGCATAGCATGTATTCTACTTGCCATCCAATCAAAGAACTCTGTCCCAGGGAGTTTACGTATTCGCTCGTCAATCTTACTGGTGAACATATGCTTGATCACCATAGGGCCGTGTCGGCTTTGTCTTCCTCGAAGTTCGATCAATGCCACTCGGAAGGTCGAGCCACCCACGTCGAGAGCGATAAAGGTACCCATCTCTTTCCCCGTTGGTAATGTGTCGCAATACGAGGGTAGCATGCACGCCTCGCTCTCTTGAAGTTTGGCCTTGTATTGGATGCGTAGGGCTGAGGACATGGACAACATTCGACGCATGGTACAGGGAGATCGGAAGAGACGCATGATCTCGTCCTTGAGTGAGTCCAAGGAATGGAGACTGTCCGTGGTCTCGACCACCGTGACCTCGGTGTTGGGGGACTTGACGGAGACGTTCATGGTCTTGAAGGCGGAGGGAAAGAGGATCATGGCGGCCAGCCGGCGCAGGATGCTGCGGAAGAAATCGAGGAGGGTCATGGTGCTGAAGAAGGGAGACTCGACAGACCGCCTCACGGGTTCGGTTGATAGTCTTAATCGTCGAAGGGATCAAGGAGCATCATGATGGGCTTGAAGGGCAGGTTTTGTTGGTGGTGAGTACACCCTCGTTGTGGTGGTGTGGTGTTGTGGTGAGGTCTCAAGGGTAAGGAAAACAAAGAGAATTCTGCTGTGACATGGAGTCGGAGAGGGTCAATCAGGATCGGTAGTGTAGCAGGAGCAGCGAGGACAATGCCAGCAGGGACAGAAGGCGAAGTGGTAATGGCTGTGGTATTGGAGATTGCTGGAGTAGTAGCATAGCGTTCAATTTGAGCTGGGTTTGGGGGGCGGTATGGGGGGATGGGGATGCGATGGGATGGTATGGGATGGGGGTGGACGGATTGGCTCGCTCGTCAACAAAGCATTGTGCCAGTGGGAACGGGCACAGGATGTGCATAGGGCATGTGGTAGGAGTGAAAAGATCAGTGCTGCACACAGGGCCGTGCAGGGCCGTGCAGGGCAAAAAGGCGCAGGTGGGCGCAGTTGGGAATTGTATGTAACTGTAGATGTAGAGGATGCTACCGTGAGCTGAGCGCAACTACGACTTGGCGATTATCCGGCGCCCACCAACCGCCGGCGCAGGCAGCGCAGGCACGCCAGGTTACTCTCACCCAACTCTCACTACCTAGTACCATCTCCGCACACGTTACAGGCAGCGCAGGTTACTCCGTACAGGTTACAGGTTACAGGTTACATTGGTGGTATTTGGATCGTCTCTCCGCGCTGCCTCTTTTGCCCTCGTCTTCAACCATGGGGTTCTCCAATGTAACTCACTCATCAGATGCCGAAGTCGCTTTCCCAATCGCCAGAACTAGCCATCCTGCCATCCAGCCATCCAGCCATCCAAGCTCCGAGTACCATGTCGTTTCCGCATCACCGTCGTCACGTTACTCCTCTCTTCAAATCTCAGACTGGCCTGCGACAGACCTTTCGTTGAGCAAGCCAGGTGTCTGCTTTGCTTCGTCCTGTCTGAAGTCCCTCCAAGGCTCCAACACAATGTCTGGTCTTACGTATGACTCACAACAACTGTTTCGCCGATCGCGAGCCCATTATAGCATTTGACAACCCGCTCCTATCCTCCTCTGTTATTCCTTTCCCTAATCCCGCAGAGAATCCGGGTATAATGTGTCGCTATAGAAAAAGTCGACCAAGAATCATCCTGAGGATGGTGTGCGATTTTGAAACACAGTCGAAGGGGCGAAAAACAATAATTGAGACTGACCGGCCGATTTGAGATTCGCATTTTCGAAAGTCTAGCCTCGTCGTGTATGACGAGTGTCCATCTATATAATTCGGTCAAGACACCCCAGCCATCCCAGTGGTCTCAGTCCGGATAGGAGAAGAGGATCTGCACAGTTCGGTGCAAATCACTAGCTGCTTATGCATGCCAGAAGGCAGGTGTCAGCAATTGTGCGACATCTGGGTCGTGCCGGCGATGGCACAATGGCTAGGAATATGCCTGCATGGCTATGCTATTGACAGTGCTCCTATCACCATGACTATGTATATACTATCCAACATTGTCGTCGTAGTTCTCAGGGTCATTTTATGGGATCTTCACAATGGTCTCGACGGCTGAACACTTTCCCATCCGACGCACTTGTTCGCGACAAGTGCCCGCTTTGCAAGAGACAAGATTACCGGGTACATGGCGAAATTGCGACGTCTTCTGACAGAGTGGGCTCGCCCATTGATCGGTCGCTTGACATTTCCGGCACCAGGAGGTGTAACCCGATTCGGCAGGATTCGAGTACATAGTGACTTGTTCTCTCGATCAGTCTGGTCCTGAACCCGACTGAGGCTGTGGAAGGGCAAAGTCCAACCTCGATATGTAGGGAACCGAGAAGGTCCTGCACACCAGCCTCTGCTCGCCCTTGACCGCCACTTTGGTGGTTCGTCGCTTGCGATTTCCGCATGGTTAGCCATCGTCCACCATCACCAGACAAGAACAGACGTGGCAGCGGCCGAGTATTTCAGAATCTATGCTCGGTTGGGGTACAGCATGGGCTGATGGAGTGTCGGACAAGGCTACAAGAAGGTTCGCTCCCATGGTCATCCAACAGGCATGCATGCACTGTCAGAGGCCGTGCCCATCACCATTGCACATACTTGTATTGTGCATGAGGAGCGGGAACGGAACTGGTGTGTTTACTCCATACGAGTTGCGAGGACAGGTATGTTTTTCCAGTCAGCGCATTGTGAAATGCTCGAATCGAGTACTCGGAGGAGACGATGACTGCCCCTAAACTCTGCCTAAGCCCCCTATTTCAATAGTCCAGGGCTTGTCAGAGGCCCAGTCTTCTGGGGTGTACCCGTCGAGAAGGCTCACTAGGCTGATCGGCAGGGGTGCGGCTGGATGTCTGTGCACATGTTCGTCTTCCGGCTCGCCTCTATTCGCTTATTTCGATAAGGCCTCGTCTCGGCTGGCCTGGGGGCCCTTGGGCCTTGGGACCATTGTCCTGGGCGTCGAGGGGTCACCCATGGCTTTTGCTGGGAGTTCACGTCAAATTCCCCATCATCGGGTCCCGCGCTCGATCAACTGCCGGCCACACACTGCTCTGCAGTTGTTCGTCGTTCTCGACGGCTTCAAGAGAAGGGGAGGTGCTCAACAATCCAAGCCCCATGCGCGCTTTTCGTGTTTACCTTGGAGTGGTTTGTTTGTTTTGGCTCCAGTCCGGGGTGTTACGGCTATGCCTCTCGCGTGCCCCGTTGGGTTCGTCGCGATCTAGCGACGTCAACACTGAGGCAGCCCACCCACTCATAGATGGCCAGGCGGACTCGAGTATGACAAGTCTCCGAAAACTCCAGGACCCGCGTGGAGCCCGAGGACGAACCAACCACCGCGTTTCCTGAGCCTTGTTCTGCCTTGTTGTGCCTCGTGTCATGAGATCGACCCTTGTCCCTTGTCCCTTGTCTGCGCCAGCCTCCCCCATGCTTCAAGCGACTTCCCTGTTCACTGTTTGACTTCCAAAACGCCCTCTTTTTCTCTTCTCAAACGACAGCCCCGGTCCTGCCCGTCAGAGATTATTTGCTCCTTTCTCTTGCTCCTCACAGAGCCATGTCTGATCCTCTTCTTGCGTCTCCGACGTGTTTCTCTTGTTCTCGACCAGAACATTGTGTTTCCAATCCAACGCATGGTCTCTTAAATAGAATCTGAGTTCCCTCTATATACCAGCGCCGGGGTCAATACAGGCGCCATCTTTCTATTAAAACACGTCAATCGCCCTTCTGACGTGCCTACTTGACACCGGAGCCTGATCCGCCAGCCGCGTCTACCACCTAGTCTCTCGAGGTCAATGCTTCACCATCAACTTTCAGCATTTCCAAAAGATGGAAGCGCGGTTACGGAAGTTGCTGTCGCCCCGAAGACACAAAGCGCAGCGGCGAAATGATGCTGCTCCCGAGTTGGATCTACATAGCGTCCCGTACACGACAGCTCCACCACAGAGCCGAATACCTCTGTTCAACAAGTCCAGCGGTGTGACAGCAAAGCAAAGCAAAGTCAACCCGCCTCCAGATCGTCTGCGGTCTTTGTCTTATGATGAGGCCGCACCCGGGAAGCCGCCTGAGCTGGGAGACCGACCTCACCGGGGGAATGGTCCTGTTAAGCTTCAGACAAGTCGTCGCCTGAGCTCTGGGGAACTGCTGGTCACGGAACAAGACTACGATCGCACACTGGAAGACATCAAACAGGGCGAGTATATCGTCGGTGGCAAGGAACGAAGGACTTCCCACACCTCCTCACAGCAAAAGTCATCCACGGAGCCGCCCCATGCCAAGTTCATCTCGACTGCTCCCAATTCCCCTCGGGATCAAGTCTTCTTTTCCAGTCCCATCTGGCAGCCTCCATCTGTACTTAGTGATATGGCACCACCCACGTCTTCCAGCTGGGCCTCAAGCAGCTTCGGCCCCCAAGAACGTTCACAGTCCGCCCAGGAGTTTCATTCTCACGTTCTCAGCCCTGGTTCGAGCCACCACGGGCTCGGCATCTCCAGCCCAGCCCAGTCATTCTTCTCGCCCTACATGGCGTCAACCACGTCCCTCCTCGAGCCCCATGAGGAACAGAACCCAACGATCCAAGCGCTGTGGAAGGCTGAATACGGCCGGCTAGTCTCCATATACGGACAAGCGGGCGTCGACCGGACCATAGGGGAGCTCAACAGAGACCGAGCTCAGGCGCTTGGGCCACCGCCGTTGCTCTCCACCCGCGACAGCCCTTACTCTGCGTCGTCAATGTCACTGAGCCAAATCATTCAGCGGCCGCCAGAATCAGTGAGACGTGGCCTAGGAATCAAGGCCTCCGGATCGACGCCCAACCTCGACCTCGCCTATATGGACGAACACTCTGATCGCTCGTCTCACGCCAGATATTCGCACCTTTCTTCGAGCGGGGCGTCATCTTCCTTTACGACGCGGACGAGCATCGCCGAAGACCCCAGCATCAGCAGAGACGATATTCGAAAGATTGTAGACGAAATGCGCACAACCTATCTTCATGCCATCGAAGCTCATACTCCTACCAAGCCTCTGCCTGATGTGCCGGTCAAGAAGTCTCGATCCAAGAAGCAGACTCCTTCGCTCGTGTCGTATGCCTCTGTAGATAGCAGTCTAAGATCAGCAAGTCGGCAGTCAACTACGCGCACTAAATCATGGCAATCATCGACGACTCTTACGACGACCCCACGGACATCTGTCTCGTCGCCTGTGATCAGATCGAAACGGACAAGCTCCGCAACGAGTCGACGAACCTCGGGGCAACCTGTAGCCGGCATTGCTACACTGCCAGCCATTCAAGCCAGCCCGGCCAAATCGCACAGAAGCGGGACGAGGAAGCAGAATGATGGTGATGTGGGCTTGAAACGCGCCGACTCCACCACATTGGGCGTCATGGCTCGAAAGCTGACGATCCTCGACGACCGCCAGTCGAGCACCTCGTCGCAGCCCACCGTTGGATCGCCTCCTACAATCTACAACTCATCGAGGTCCGGTTCGGATTCGTGTTCTGAGGAGAGTCGTCCATCAGTGTCGCCTCCACTCTCGCCCGCCAAACCCTCGTCTGTGCAGCACACTCCCGAGAAACACAAGCCAGCGATACGCGAAATTTCACCCCTCTCAAAGCAATCGTGGCAGATCGACGTCGACCAGATCCTGCCGGACGAGGAGCTCGAGTTGGCCCTGGACATTGACGATTTCGAAGCGTTGTGCGACGGCCTCTTCAACACGCCGGCCATGGAGGCGGAACCGCAATTCAACGTGCTCCGAACATGGAGTGGCGACGGGAAAGCAGAAGACGGTGATGATGTCCTCGGCAGTGATGACGGTGATACGATCGCCATCGACAGTCCCACATTATTGAAGATGCCGCCAGTCTCGATCGACCAGAGGGGTCTTAGTCTGACTGGACTTCCCACGATGATATGAACATACATTCTCGCTCTCGCGGAGTCAAGATATGCTGAGACATCCAACTCTTTCGACCATCTACCTACTTACCTACAACACCCATACATAACCCCCGCAACTCCCCTACCTACCAATCGAGCACACTTTGACGAATTCTTTTTGTTTATCACGTTATAACCGATCGCTCACGATTTCCGGCCTTTATGCCGGGGGAACATGAAAAACGGGGTCTCGGTTCTCATTCGGAAGAGGAAGAAGGAAAAATGGTGTTTTTTGATCCCTTTTTTTGACTTTGGGAAGCAAAAATCCTCGCTATATATTCATTCTGCATCTGCCCATTTTGTGTTTGTTTTGGTCTTTGTTTTTCTCGGCTGGGATTATTGATGTGGCACGGGGCACGAAAGCACGACGATTATGCCTCTTTTCTTTGTCATTTTTTCTTTCCTACTTCCCTGGTTTTTCTTTTGGGGTAGAGATTTTGAGCTGAGGGCCGGGGGAGGTTAGGTTATCCAAAAAAAGGGACGGGGGGGCTCGACTCGGCCTAAAAGCAAAATCATCACGGGTCTGAAAAAATGGGTCAGGGCAAGGGGCAATGGTACAAGGTTTAAAAAGGAGGAGGATTTGGGGCTGGCGCATAAAAGCACAGCACACCCACACGAGGACAACGGCCTCGGAGGAGAGAGTTGGGAGGGCACGGGGCAAACATGGTCACGAAAGGGTAAATTTTGTTTGGTTTTTCTCCCTATTTATGGAACGCACCGCGATGATGGTCCCTCTGCTGGGGGTTGGATGGATGAAATAGGATGAAATGGGGATGAGAACAGATAGATGTTCCTTGCGCTCATATCAGAGACGGTCACTCCAGTAGTGATGGATCCGTACGAGAGCAAGCGAGCCCATCGTTCTCCGTCCAGTGGCCTTGGGAATATACGGGCCCCCCTTTTTGACTCCAATCCACTACAATGCGTGAGAACCCGTTACGTTAAATCTTTGCTTTCGATGCGCTTTACGGAGTAAAGATTCACCTGTTTCTGCTCTGCTTGCACGTATTTTTCATTGAGCCTGTTTCCGTATATCACAAAACAGATCATCATGTAGACTCTAGATTGAACAGTCCAGAAGACAGGCAGGAAAGAATCAAAGAGACGCACGCCAACCATGTTGAAGAGGGTCTCGGCGCGCCTCTCTCCCTTTCTGTCGTTATTCCGTCCTACAAAACTCGGTTCCCTCCACCTTTTTCTCTCTGCTTCGCTTTGCCTGCTTCCCTATATCTCAATACTGCAGGGGCGTACCACCAGCAGCACCCTTCGTGTAGCAAAACATATATTTCCTTTTCAAGGGGTTTCTCTCTGTCTCTCTCTTTCATAAGTCGTTTCCTCGTCAAATGATCTCGTCTATGTCTGGGGGTATCATGTTGAAATGAGCTGTTTTGCTCTTCATGCGTGGGGGTATCATGTTGAAATGAGATGCTTTTCTTTTTGACCTCCCATCCTTCGTGTATCGCCTTACCCCACGCCAACCCCGTTGTATTTGTTGAAATGAAACGCCGTGACAACTCCAATCGTGCTTTTCAAAAGTTAGGGTCCATCCAAGTTAGCAGAGTTGATCATGCTTTGCGTCAGATAAACACCAATATAAGAAAACCAAAAGTTAAGGAAAATCCGACTAAGAGAGTATGCTTAGTTGAGTACAACCTCTCCACTGGCTTTAGAGGGGACTTTGTGTTGGTCGCCATTCGTGAGGCCTTTTCCAACGCCAGCGGGCGGCGCGTCACCGTTCGATACGTCTTTGGCCCCGTTTTCGAGGTGACTGGGAGCGGTGTCTTCGAGGACCAGATCGAGATCCTTGGTCTCCAGACCCTCAAACACCTTGAAGATCTCCTTGTTTTGGTGGAAATCGTTGTTGACAATGTTGACAAGGTAGCACTCGTCCATGATCTTCTCGATCAACTTTCGGCTTCCGGATCCCGCGGGATAGCACTTGGCCCAGTCCTGCCCGAGACGAAACGCTTCGTCTTTCCAGGCCAGGAAGGAGACTGTTTCCACAATGGTTGGCTGCACAATCTCCCGGTTTGGGAAGATGCCCCAAGTGACGGCGTTTGGACCTTCGTCTTTAGTGTTTGTGTACAGTTCGCCTTTTCGATTCACCGCGTAATAGGTGAGATTTTTGTCGGCATTGAGTCGTTCCATCACCGTCTCGAACATAGAGGGGAAGACAAGCAGTTCCAGGTATGCTTTTTGGTAAACCCAGCCGCCTGCAGGACCCCATCCATAAACTGGATGGGTGGAAGACGCACCATCCACTGCGGGCTGAGAATTAATGGTCAAAAATCCGTGCTTGTTTAATTGTAGCAGATCATCTTTGATGATGTCGGCTTCAGCAGAGATGCCACCTTCGCTCCATGGTAGTCGGTCCAGGTCACCTTGCAGAAAGCGAACGAAAAGACCTGTAACATCGCGAAGCGATCGTGGTTTGCCCCATAACTTGATGTTGGCGTCGTTTGTGCCCTTCAACCCGATGCCGTAAGCATCCAGTTCCCCAAAGGCGGGAGATCTGCTATCGCCCCAGCGACCATTAGGAAACTCATCCCAGTCGGCTGTCCTGCTGATGTATGATGCATTGCGATTTCTCCAGAATATTGGCCTAACCGTCTCGTCCCGGCGATTGAATCCCAGAGACTGGCGCCAGGGTAGAGGTTTCTCAAGGGGCATTCCGGAAGTTTCAGGCGTCAGGGACAATTCCTCCAGAACCATCCGAGTAGCTTGCGCCAGATTCATGGTGTAGAAGTGGAGATGTTGAATTCCGGAGTCGAGAATTTTGCGGCACATGTCAGCTACCAAATCTTTTCCAATAGCCCTGACAGCAGCATCATCGTTCTTGACCGGCTCCAACGCCTCGAACCATCCAGGCGGGATGTGACATTTCGTCCAGTTGGCCCTTCTCAGAAACGCAGCGTAGGTTTGGATGGGCATGATCCCAGGAAGTATGGGAACACTAATTCCTCGATCACGGCACTTCTTCACCCAATCTAGAAAGATGTCGACATCGTAGAACATTTGTGTCACGATGAAGCTAGCTCCAGCGTCAACCTTTTCCCTGAGGTGGTCGATCAGAAGGTCCACATCCCTGTGGTCGTCGCAGCCCTCGGGGTAGCCGGCGACGCCGATATCAAAATGGTCACTGTATCTTGCTTTGATGTATTTGACCAAGTCCTTTGCATACCGGAAACCACCTTCTTTTGCCTCCCACTTTTCTTGGTCTCTGGGCGGATCCCCACGGAGCGCCAGGATGTTTGTACAACCCGCCTTGTATGCGCGACGAAGAGCTTCGTCGACCTGATGTCGTTCCATGTCCGTGCAGGTCAAATGCATGCAAGTTTCCAATCCATAGTAGTTCTGAGTAGCATTGACCATCTCGGAGGTCAACTGGGAATGCCTCCCACCTGCGCCCCAGGTGATGTCGATGAAAGTCGGGCCCAAATTGTGCATGCGGTCCATGCGGTCGTACAGATTCTGAACGCCCTGCGCCGTCTTGGGAGGGAAGAACTCGAAGGAGAAGGTTGGCTTGTTCTGCTGGTGAGCCAGCTCGAGTTTCTTAGAGACGTGCATGTCGGAGAGTTGGGAAAGGAGATAAACGAGGGAACAGCTGTAGGAAAAGCGACTGTATTAAGGAAAGAGAAGGACCGGACAGTCTGGAAAGAGCGTTTGCTTCTCGATGATCTTCTCTGCTCCTGTGTGACCGAGTTCGTGGTCACGGTGTAGGACGATGTCCTCCTCCAAAACACCACAAACCCACTCAACCGAAATAACGGTTGCGAGCCCACCTATCGGCCAGCTCTCGCAGCATGGAGGGTTAGAACTTCAGTGGGAAAGACGAGTCCAGCAGACAAGGGAGGGGCCCGGGTGTTGAGAGGTGTGGAAAGGCCAAGTTATTCAGGCCCTCGGGAGAAGTAATGAACTCAGTTGGACTTTTAGCAGCTCACCGCAATGTTGGGTACATCATCTTGCATCCACTCAACGCACACCGGAATCCTTTTGCGCCCACGCCCGAATCCGCTTTTACGCTACAAGGAACAAAAGGAAGAAAAAACTTTGCTCTTGGCAGGCACCGTGGGGGTTCAAGTTGTCCTCTGCTGAGCGCGCCACACAGATCTCGCTTGCGCAGCACCACCAGCCATACGAGGTACGAGGTACTTGGTACATAATTCAAGATAGCCTCAAAAGCCCTTCAATCCTCTCATACAGACAGCTCCTCTCACGCTGCGCCCTTAACCATGGCGACGGATGCATCCTACAAGGACGCCCTCCTCACTCTGCTATTAAAGGCGTCTGCGCTCACCTTTGGCACCTACACCCTCAAATCCGGCCGCATATCACCATACTTCTTCAACTCTTCCCTGCTGCACACCTCGTCCCTCCTAGACGCCCTTGCACGCGGGTTTGCTTCAGTGCTGACTGCCCCTCCTTATTCTCTGCCGCTTGGTACCGAAGAGGCTGGTGCAGAAGCAGACGGCTCGTTCGCCCCTCATTTCGACGTGGTCTTTGGTCCGGCATACAAAGGGATCCCATTGAGCGCAATCGTCACCCGAGAGTTGTTCTTCGCCGGAGAAAACTTTGCCGGTGTATCATATGCGTACAACAGGAAAGAAGCAAAGGATCATGGAGAAGGGGGTATCGTCGCCGGAGCGCCACTCAAGGGCAAGCGGGTAGTCATTGTGGACGATGTCATGACCGCCGGCACCGCCCTGCGCGAAGCTGTCTCCATCATCAAGGCTCAAGGCGGCATCGTGGTTGGAGTGGTCCTTCTTTTGACCAGACAAGAGCGTGTCTCCGATGCTGAGCCGAGAAGTGCTGTGAAGGTGGCCGAGGACGAACTAGGTGTGCCAGTGAGGGCTGTGCTCACATTTGAAGACCTGCTCGAAGCCATCCAGGCTGGGAAGGTTGAGGGAGCCGGACAGGAACAACTCGAGCTCATGAAGGCCTACCGTGAAAAGTATGGGAGCAAAGATTGAACCTAGAGGTGATCTGACAGGCGTCGATGCTGTCACATTTGCAGAGGATAGACATGTGAATGGATGGTTTGGGAGTGGCACATGAACCAACAACAGATTCTTATGAATGCATGACTTTTCAACCCAGACTTCCTTCTGAAAGAAGCATCTTGCTCCCCGAACTGATCTGCTGGGTTGCTCTATCACCATGAGTAGCGTGGCAGCGCAACGTTACAATTCATCTTTCCCTATCCCACCATCCAGCTTCGTGGATTTCATCACGCAGCCACCACTCCCATCCTTCTCACATCCGCCAGGACAACACCCATTTGCGTCAAATTGCCATTTGAACAATCCCTCAGTCTCATTCGCGAGCAGGTCGCCGATGATCCGCGTGCGGTGCACAGACAACCGTCCAACACTGCGGGCGAAGATCTCTCTCGACCGGATGACGATCTGGGGCCAGCCGTGGGAGCGCAGCGTGGGGATCGACGTCGAGAAGATGTATTCGCGAAACCCGCCGTAGAGGATTGCCGACGAGCACTTTCATTCCATCACAGGTCAGAGGGAGAAGACGATTCACTAAAAACAAGAGAAAAAGGCACTGCTCATTCAACTCTGGGTTTGGCTGGGCATGGCTGGCATTCTTTCTTACCATGGGACATGCTTCCGCCGTGGTATACAGGCTCAAATCACCCAGTGCTTTGAGCGCGTCGGGCCCAGAGAGCTTGTAGGGCCCGTCCGGATCAGTCAGGATTCGGCTGCAGTTGTTGATGGCCGCTATCTCGCCTTTTTTTGGTGCAGGTCAGCACTTTTGCCGTCTCGTGGAAAACGTGGTAGGACATAATGAATTGGGAGCCAGCGAGGAGGGCAAGAGATGGAGAATGCTTCCACCTTCGACGCAGCATCGTACATAGCCGCAAACCCAGCTTCTCCGAAGTCTCGGGCATCAACAAAGAAATGGAGATGATCCAAAGCCATGCTTGTTCCTCCTCCCACAGATATAGGCAGTGTCCACTTGGTACTTACCATGCAGCGTCGGGTTCCCATCCCTCACGAGCGAATTCGCACCAATACACACCTCCACACCCAGCTGGTCGGTCCCGTCGCCCTCCCCGGACGCAGTATGGTTCACGATAACAGAACCAAAGGCCGCAAAAGGACACGGACTACCTTCGTTGATATCCGCTAGGGCTGCAATGGCACGCCGCATCCAGTACGCCCGGATTGATGAGGGGACGGGGTCAGGGCCCAGGTCACTGCCGCCAGCTCCAGCGATATAGCAGGGGTTGGAAGGATCATGGAGATCACAGCCGTTTGATGTGGCGAAGCTCCACCCAGAGAAGAGAAGGAGGGCACAGCTGATGAATGGTAGCTGCATGATTTTGGGTACTGTAGGTGTGAATGATACTGGCGTTGAGCGACGTAGCATTGATCTTGCTCTCTCAAGGATTGATTCCCAGTTCTTGTAAGATAGATAGTCGAGATGAAGTCGAAGAAACGCATATGCAGGGACGAGCGCTCATGTCCGGTCATCAGATCAATCCGTCTTTGTGCGCCATGCAAGATGGTCTCATCCATTTCCACAGATAACGCTGCCATTATTCCGTGCGATCCTCAGTCAATGTCCTCGGCAGTCTCAACCATCTGCGCAAGATCGAGACGCGCCACCACATCTGCTGCTGCGCGCTGAACTCTGAAGCCAACTCCGTTGGAAACCTTGCTCATCGCTATATTCGGGTCCCAGGCAGGCACCAAGTCCAACAACTGTGGTGCTAAGCTGGATCGAGTATCTCCAGAGGTTGTTGCTGGTGTAGACGCACTGCGCTGGACGCGTGCTGCTCTCTGCTTTTGCAGTTTCTGCATTTCTTTCTTGTGCTTGGCAACGGCATTGGCAGGCATCGTCTGTACAGCGAACACACTCGGCCACTCGACTGTTTTGAGCCCCAATTTCTGTATCTCAATCGCGACGTACCCCGGTGAGACCAGGACGATCTTTTGACGAGCCACCGGATGGTCACTATACTGCTCAAGCATCCGAGCGAACCCGTTGTCGAGACAGGCGGCAACAAATATTGCGCGACAGTTTGGCGTCGACAGAAAGAGATGGAAGTTTTCTGTAAACGTAAACAGTCAATTGATTGAGCAAAATTCTCAGCGAAGTTGTCGAGCTATACCTCTAATCTTGTCGTCTGCCCTCTCTTTCCCTCTTCCTGCATCGAAGAAATCGAACAGAGGGACTTTTTCGGTGAACTGCACCGCAAAATCGGCCACGTCCACACCTGTAGGAGTACTTCGACGTCGGCTTTGTAGCATGCCCAGTCGAGCGCCACTCCCGTAGTTGAGGAAAACCCGAGTGACGACCTTGGATGTTATCGGAATAGTTCCATTTTGGTGCAAGATGTACTTGACAACTTCATTACGGATTCTTGTAGCGGCTATGGCACCTGGACCAGTAGCATCAGCATAAGTGGCTGTCGAACTGCCTCCTTGCCCAGCACCAACGATGCCGATATCAGGAGCCCACTGTTTGATGCCCCCAGGGTTAGTGGATCGTACGGCACAACATGCCCAGATAAATGCTTACAAAGTATGCATCACCATCCACCAACACGACAACAAATGGTTGCGCTGGTAGAGGAAAATCTTGTGCAGCGGTGACCAAAGGATCCTTCAGCGGTTCAGGACTTGTAGTGCACTTGAGGTATTCTAGATCCAGCTGCATGTCAATCAACTTCTCCTCAAGTTTCCGTGCGTGTTTAGTCATGTTTTTCAAAGCCGCGGTTTCAGCATTGAGCCTTGCTTGGAGTTGACTGGCAAGAACAGACCCGTTTCTCAAGCTGTTTTGGAGGCTCCTGAGCTGTGCCTGGAGAATTGCATTCTTTTGTTGCTCCTCGACAAGTAAGCGGTCCACTTTGGCGCCCCTTTCATGCGCAGATTTCAGCAACTTCCGGAGCTCGTAAAGTTCTATGCGGTATTTGTCAAATTGAAGGTTTGCTTGGTTGCAAAGTTCATAAGCATATTCTTGTTCAGACCGTAAAGCTTCCACTTTGTCGGCGAGTGTATCAAAGTCCATACTCTCAATCGGGTTCACAGAGTCCACTGTTGCGAGGTTGGTGGTGTGAGTATCATGGCTTTCACTGACACAAGTCTTGCTTTTGAAGGGTGATAGCCAGGGGAAAAACGGCATAGTTGTGAAGATCCGCAGTCCGGACACCGATGAGCTGTGGACGAGGCTCAGTTGTCTTGTGAGCCACGGGGACTTCGGCACTAGAAACAACGGCGGATCGAGTACGAAGTCTGAGTGCCGATAGCAATGGTAGTATCAGAATTCAAAAAATAAATAAGATAGATATGCTTTTACACATCCATACAATCCACGGTGCGAAATAGAAGCGCAAAATGTTCTGCAACCTTAATCTGAGGAATACAGATAGAGAATGACCATTGAATGACTGATGTGTGTGAGAGGAAACCAACAAGGAGAGAATGTCGCGAAAACGCGCCGAAAGAGGTTTACCTACCAAGACGGTAGTGGCGAGTTGAAGAAATTGAAAGAGTCGTCACGACGGACGAGGATGAAGCAGTCACGGCGCATCTCCTTGTGAGCGGGGCGAGGGGACATCTACAGAGGCCTTGGCTCCACGTGATATCAAATTCGAAATAGAAGATGCGGAAGATGCAAGAACTGCGCATTGACATTCGATCAAGTACAACTCAGCGTTGTTGTCTGCAACAGGAGACTGCGCTGGTCTCAGTGAAGCGACAGAGGCGTCATTTGCAGGACTCGAGTCCCTGCAGCACGCGACACATTCAGCTCTTGGTGATACACCCTCGAGCGTGGCGGCCTAGAAGCCTCTTCCAGTGGCGGCCATCCTCTCCAGACTGGGCACGGCGTTGAAATTGCCGACACCCATTCCTCCGTTGATGTTTCCCGACATTGCACCCATGACACCTGCATGAATTGGTCGATTGCCCATACTAGGTTGTTCTTCCAGGTCTTCATATCTCAACGTGTAGATGCGTCGAACCTTCTTCCACAGTTTGGTGTCCCACCAGATGTAGTAGCCTTGCTCGCTCACTTTGTCATCTAGCAACACTGGACTAGGAGACGCGTCATCCCTAGTGAGCCACTGCTTCTCCCTCATGTGGTACCGCCATTTGCGCGCCACCAACTCTTGGGCCACCAGCATCTGGATGTAATCCCGAGGCATGGTGTAGAAGATGAAGAATAGCGTTTCGTCCACAAATCCCGTAATCCGAGTCGACAGTGGTGCAATTTTCTTGACAGTGTAGCAGTCTGGGATGGTGTACTCCGAGTCCAGTGGTCGCAGCGGCGTCGCGTTGGGTTCGGCCCATGGCCCTGGGTAAGATGACAGTAGCGGCTCTTGAGAACCCATGTTGATGCCCAGTGTTGACAGGTCCACTCCCCTCATCAAACTTCTTGCCGCTGGACTCGCGTTGTCCTGTTCGGCAACGTAACCCTTCATTCCGAATCTATCTTTTTCACTCATGCCTGCGAAGATTGAATCATGGTCGGCTCTTGTTCCGATTTCTCGATCAGCGAACATGTCTCGCGGCTGCATTCCTAGCGACTGCGACGGCGATTCTTGTAATTGCGTCCTCCCATCTTGTCCTAGAAATCTCTCATGGCCTATGGCCGCATTGATATTCTGAGATATGGGCGACCGAGCTAAAATTCCGTCCGTTAGCAATCAGCTCGGTCACGTAAGGGGGAAGCTATACAAATTTGTGTCTGCCCGGACGGCGAAGTGACTCTGCTGGGATCACCTGGCGTGCTGTCGCCCTGTTGATTTGGTTGCCGCTGTGCAAGTCCGGGAGGTCCGCCGGGTGCTTGACTTGCTCTTCGTACAGGCTGGGAAGATTCCGAAGAGAACTCCATCGGAGCATTCCTGGAGTAGGTATCAGTAGGGTAGAAGCCGTCTCGACCGGCGTTACCCTGTTGCTGCCGAGAAGAGATGTGGGCGCGTGAAGTCTGTATTTGCTGTCTTTGTGCCTGTTCGTTCTGAGGTGGCCCAGTCTGCCATGCACTGGAGCCTACATTGTGACCCTGTGATTGGAGGCTGCTGTTGTTGAGGCTCGGGAAGGAAGATGCGGATAGATCAAGCTGAGTATTTGCCCTTGAACTCATTGCTTGTGCCCAGCTGTCAGGTGCTACAGAGTCTCGAGTTTGTGGCGAGGGTGCAGGAAGGCCACTTTGTCCCCAAGTTGCTGGCATTGCGTCAGGGTTGTTTCGTTGTGACTGATCGATTGACTTACCGGGCTTACCCCCAACCATCCTGCCACTGTTAGCGGCCCGACCTTGTGTATGTTGATTCATGTTGTTCACAGCAGGAAGTTGTCGTCCTTGTCCTAGAAAAGATTAGTTAGCACGTGGCACCAATGCAAGGTACAAAAACCAGCAATATTAATGAGCTATTTACAGAAAGGTCCACTTCAACATGAGAGAGCCACGTGACATGGCAAGCCTGCCTGTGCGAATTCCTCCCAACTGGAAAGAGGCGAAAAAAAGATCTGGGATTTCCGCGAGAAAGGACCTCGCGAGACTGCACGGCTGTTAAACTGGCGTTGAGATGCCGCTGCGTAATTGTGGACGTTGGCACTCGAAAAAGGCGTCCGCATCGGTATCCATCTGCAGAAGCACATCTCGCAACAGCAGCCGCAGGACAGAACTGCTGCCATTGCGTGGGGTCCGCGAATCTTTCAAACGACTGCCGTTTCGGCGTCGCAGTGTCACTGTGCCAGGCTGGTTGCGGTGGTTCCCTGAACTGAATGCATCACACATTCGCCGCATATTCCTTCATCCTTGGTTCCAATATGCGCCCAAAGCGGCCCGTTCTTGTAGAAAAGCATGGTATCTTCGACTGATGCCCCGACCTCTTTGTGTTTTCGCCATAAAGACGCACGAGATAACATCCTCATTCCGAGCTGATTGTGCAAACTGCCACCTCTTTCGACCCATCCAGTATCCATAGTCCTCGTTCTGAGCGTAAAGGCGATTTACAGATTGCTTCTCATTTCCCGGAGTGCATCGAGGAGAAAAGTGAACGCAGAGTGCCGTGCGAGGGAAGCGTAAACCCACCTTGTCGATTCATCTCGGTCTTCGACCTAACAGTCTGGACCGGCCTCCAGATGCTCCCGCCCAGGAGACAGTAATTGACCAGTGCGCAATCTGAGACTGGCCGTGTGTTGGCGTGCGAATTAGTTGCAGGGAGTCGAGGAAGGTGTCGTCGGTCACGAATGTTGTTCACAAGTCGCTGGGGAGACTCAGGGCGCAGTCCGGATTCAACCTTCCTAGCCTTGGCGGCTTAAGTAATAGTAAATCCACTCGGACCTCACTTCTAATAAGAGTAAGCTCCGAGATAGCTCTATTAAATATAACTTAAAAGTTCTTTTATTCTATAAATACTTATTATACTTAATAATTATTAGATAATTATTTATTTTATTAATCTATCCATATTTAAGTTAGTTATTATATGAAATATAAAGTTATAAAATAGCTATTTAGAAGTTATTAGACTTAGTGATACTTAGCGATACATAAAAGTAACTAAGTATGTTAAGTCTACTAAACCGTGTTTTATCTCTTTTATCTTAGTATAGTTGCGCGATATATCTTCCCTCGGCTCTCCTTCCTTCTTAAACTACTATGCTACCGCTGATATAGGTTTCTCCCGTCACAAATAATAATGAAATGTATAGACCTCTAAGCCTGTGCTGGCAGGACAGGTGATTAGAATCAGCTGTTGTAGTTCATGGAAATAATGTCATGAATATATCCATGATCATACCCAACACTGAATCCCAAGAACTGTTCCTGCACCACAAGACGAGGAGCAACAGCTCGAGAACTTTATACCAACACCATCAATGCTGTGTAACACTTCGTTTGTTGAACAAAGGTGCCCGAGACTGACGCTCATACCTGCGCATAGTTGAGGGAAGAAGAGCAAGAAACGTCATGCCAAACATTCGAGTTTGGGAATTCCTCATATGGATACTGACAAATGATTTAGTATTCCATAGAGATCTGATTCATGGCAGCGCAGCAAGTTTCTCTCAATGAGCTCCTATCCAGTGATCTTCGATTTGCCATTGCGCTCCTCTTCATGCTTACCGAGAACGCCTCCACCTCTGACAGACAAGAAGGACACTCCCAATCCTCACCTAGATAAATCGCGATCAATGTCTTTGGAAGACGAAAAAGCAATCATTAGCTTATTTACCTTCATTTCTGCCACCAGCAAAGATCCATGTAAGGTTACCGCGTTATGTCTACAGGAGGACCTAGAGGGCCACTCGCTTATTCTGCAAATTGCTGCCAATCGTGGGGATCTGTTGAGTCTCGAGACTGGACTGGAAGAACCAATCTAACGTTGATCGTAGAACCAGCTCAGAAGTTCCAGAATGTTCTTTTAGAACTTATCGTACGTCTAAATCGGGATCGGATCTTGAGCCGGCTCCAATCGCGCCATGCGAAGTGGTTGGGCAATTTCCGGAAGCTCAAATCGACGAGACGTCCTCTCCTACCTCCCCGTGTCATCTGCTCGACTAAAAAGGCTTGCTACCTGTGCAATCTGCTTTCCCCCCCATTGTGCATGGTTCATTTTTGATACTTAGAACCCATGGCAGACTTTATCCGAAGTGGACACTTCGAAGAGATATCCTATCAGATTCGCAGATACAGCCAAATGTCCCTGAAGAGAGTACCATCAATACGGACTGGAGGAGAGTACTACCAGCACAAGATGTCGTTATGGGGGCCAGAGCCCCAAGAATCTCACCAGGTTTTTTTTTTTTGCTGCTCTCACATGTCACAAGTCGGATCGGCTTCTTGTTTGGAAGGATTCAGATCAAACAGAAGTAGCAGCAGATTCACCAAATACGTGGCTAGAGCATCTGAATCCCAATATGTTTCCGTTGTCCACGAATGAGATACCAAACAATGAACCTCTGACTTCCAATTCTCCTCTGTCATAGCATCAAACTGCGTCGGTCATAAAAAAGTGTACCATCGCGAAGCAGCCAAAGAATTCGAGAATCTATTATAGGAAGCACATGTATAGTAGATACCGAACCAAGATAAAATAAGTATTGTCCTCATGAATAATGGAACTAAATACTAAGGGCTGATGTCGTACCACCAAACCCCAGGTTTAGTTAAAGCTATCTTACGTCCCATCAGGATTGCAACACCTCGGAGCCTCTCCCGTATATTGGACGCAGCATGAATTACAGCATTCTGTATATGTAGTAAAATCACATGATGACAATGGTGCACTGTCTGCCAGACAGGTTGAGGTGGTGGCGGGAGAAGTATCAGTGGTGGTGGTGGTAGTGGTATCGGTGGTGGTGGTAGTGGTAGCAGTGGTGGTAGTAGTGGTATCAGTAGTGGTGGTAGTGGTGGTATCAGTAGTGGTGGTAGTGGTGGTCGGAATGGTGGTAGTGGTGGTCGGAATAGTAGTGGTAGTCGAAATAGTAGTGGTGGTCGGAATAGTAGTGGTAGTCGAAATAGTAGTGGTGGTCGGAATAGTACTTGTGGTCGGAATGGTACTTGTGGTCGGAATGGTAGTGGTAGTCGGAATGGTAGTGGTGGTCAGAATGGTACTGGTGGTCGGAATGGAACTGGTGGTAGTGAGGGTGGTAATTGTCGTAGAGATGGTTGAAATGGTTGAAGTGGTGGCGCTTGTGGTAGAAGTACTCGTAGTCGGTTTTGAACTGCTGGTAGATGTAGTAAAGGTACTAGGGGTAGAGGTGGCGGTCGAGGAAGAGACGCTGTTACTGCTCGTGGTTCCTGTAGATGCCCAAGTGCTACTGTCCGCTTGTCTTCCATGACTGCTGGTCGAGGATTTATGAGCGAATCTTGACCGGGTAGCACTTGCAGGAGTGGGGTTAGTGTGAGAGGATGTTGAAGCCTCACTACGCCCTTCGGACCATTGTGGAGATGCAGATTTGACTGGCCTGGGCCTCGAGGAACTAGTGCCCCCTCCTTCCCGTTCTTGCCAATGCGAGGTCGATGTCGATGTCGAGAATGAATCCCACCGGGAAGAGTCAGGCCTTGCAGGTTTTGCCACAGGAAAGGCGCTGCCAGACTGAGAGCGTGTCCACTCGGACCAAGCTGGTTCAGCAGCTGAAAGAGTGTTTGTAGATTGAGCTTCTGTCCACTCCGACCAGGGTGATGCAGACATCGCTGACCGGACGGGCGTGGATGGTATGACAGATTTCTGTCCTTTAGAGATTCGGAAGGCCGTCGGGTGGGGAGAAAATGCAGAGAACTCCTCCGAAGTCGCCGGGGTCGATGTAAAATCGGTGACTGGAGCAGGGGAGACGGTCTCACCCTTGGGCTCTGTTACGGTCCAGCTGTCGGGATGCCAGATAAAGTCACCGGTTTCAACGGCGACAACTTTGCGACAAACATTTCTGTCTGCTGTGTCTGGGTCTGCGTCTACGTCTGGTGACGACGCCAATGTTTGGCTGATGGCTGAGAAGAAAAAGAGTGAATAGAGTGAACGAACGAGCGACATGCTGAATTTCAGTGACTATAACGAAGGCTCTACGGCCCAAGCGAGTGTGAGAGGATAAAAAGAAGGCAGATGTCGATGTCGGGTAGACATGAAGGATCCAAGCTTTTAGTATATGAACCGGGTTGAGTGAGGCTCCCACTTTTGTGGATCACTGGATCGTGGAAAGTCGAGTGGTGGTGGCCAAAGTCAGGGGCAGCTGCACTAGTAGTATCGGCCTTCTGCAGAATCTCATTCTCCATTTCAGCCAAATCGAATGCGGGAAATACAAATCGGTCCTATGGTCCCCTGTAAGTGGTCTAGATTCGGTATGTGGTGGTGGTTGTTGTGGGGGGGGGCGGGAACTTATCCCTCGAGAGATTTGCACCGTACTAACTAGTACCACAAAGCTGAAAGAAGTTGAAGTTTAATTCGAGGAGAGTTGAATCGAGGAACCGGCGGTGGAAAATTCTTTCCAAGAAGAAAGAGAACTTGAACTTGGACGTCTTCCATGACTCGAATACTAGTAAGTACTGAAGTTCTGGGCCATCTCACTGCCACTGCACTGCCGTGTATCCCATAGAGTGTGCCTTCTGGGCTCGTTAGGTGCTCGCTAGCAGCCTGACAAAACAGAGCAAATTGAGGAGTTGTTTCTGGGCGAGACCGGGACCTAGGCGTTATGTACTAACTACCTGCGAAATTGGGGTCCTACCTTGTTGTTAGGTACTCCACGTTAGGTCCACCCTGCAAGTTCTAGGAGCAAGTTCAGCAGTAGCTTACCTGGAAGCCCTACGTATCGAAAATCGACAAGTACTTTCATTTCAGACCAGCATTGCTTCACATCGATGGACTTGAGATATCTTTGAAATACCATAGGTGTGTGAGGGCCATGTTCCGATGATTGAACCTTTCTTCTGATCAATCAAAAATACATGCAGGTTGATGAATTGGTGCCTCGTGGAAACTGGGAAAAAGTTTTATTGCCCGAGGAGAGGGTTCTAACTAGAGAGGGCGCTAGCCCCAAATGGGTAGGTCCAACGACGCTGTTTTCTCAACGCCCTACACGAGCGACTCTATCCGTTACGTCGCACTGTCGAAGCTGCGGTGGCCCATACCTAGGTAGTAATGTCATGAACACCAAAGACACGAAGCACCACGCATTCATGAATCACTTGCGAGGACTTGCCTCCTAATATCAGGTCAGAAATGGGGAGAATCGGTGGGGTCCTTGAAATTCGCCAGCCATCGTCATCATTTGAATCGCTTGTCTACAATGCTCTTTTGGTCTCGGATTTTCCCAAACCCTCCATGCTCTCTGCTCAAGCCTGCTCTTGTGCCTAATGACCAAGAAAATGAGCTATCAAATACCCGCAGGTCGATCAGACTGGACTGAACGCCCTCCGTATATGGTTCGTCCGCGCAGATGCTATTTGACCAACTAACGCCATGCTCACTGTCCCCAAAGAATGATTCAAAGCAACAAGCCAATGGCGAGTTCGACATTACCGCCTGTCTGTTGGAGCGCTGCAATGGCCTCCTCTCTCGTGAAACCCAGCTCGGTCACTTGGGCTATCGATTCTGCTGTAATTGGCTGTGGTTCGCCAAAGTTGCTGGAACCTTGGGGCACGGTCGACGGGACAGCTCTTGCGGCAGACCCCGACTGATCCGCAGTGCTGCTGCTTCCCTGACCGGACCCTGTTTGATTTGACGATGTAGATGCTCCTGGCATAACAGTTCCGGTCTTTGCGCCAACTGTGCTCCCCCCAGGTCCGTCGACTTTGGGCTCGTTTTCCAGAACTTCTTCCATCATCTTCGGGATCTCGCTTTCCGGTAAGAAGGAGATCTCGTCGTTTTCAATGCGCAGACAATTCTTTTTCAGATCGATGCACATCTGGTGCCGCTTGAGCATGTCAAGCCCTAGTAGCAAATCCACGTCTTTGCCTTCCATGACCGTGAAGCTGCTGGCTAAGTTGTACTGTCCGATTTGAATTTCGGCCGAATGAACTCGACCCAAGATTTGCGCAGTGCCCACACCTTTAGCTATTCCTCCGAATCGTTTGTCGACCAGCCGCAGAATGCCACACCGTTCGGCGGCTGACGGAGACATGATGGTCGTTTGTGCGCCGGAGTCCACGAATGCTTTGATAGGATGACCGTTGACGACAACATCGATATAAAGCATGGTAACCTTGCCAAATGCTGAAGGATACACGTCAGCATAACCGCCCTAAGAGTAGGTCTGTGACTTACCTTCAGGAAACTCCTCCATTGCTTTTTGCAGATTTTCTGCGACACGTTCTTGTCGGATCATTTCCTCAATCTTCTGTTGTGCATCGACGTTGAAAGGGTCGGCCTCTAGCAGTGCAATCTGCTCTTCCTTCTCCCTCTGCATCTGCTCATTGACCCTCAGCCTCTCTGCCAGCAGGTCGTGGAATCTCTGTTGATCCTGAGCGGCGGCTGCAAGTTCGGGATCTTGTCTCCGAAAATCAGCCATAACAGCAGGGTCTTGTAATATCCGGGTTCTCAGTGGCTCGGCATCGTTGATACCTCTGGCCCTCTGTGCTGAGGGCTGGCCGCTCGGTTGACCCTGTGCCGGCCGCCGCCTTGGAGGGTTGGCTTGGATGGCCATTGGTATTATATCGCCTTCCTGGATGTTTAACTGCGCGAGGGTCATGGAAGTGTCTGCGACTGCCCTTCCCTCTCTTAAGAATATTTGGGCAGATGGAGGAACACCGATCTCAGCTTCGACGAAGGCTTTGATGTCGTTGAGGGTCATATCGGGGCCGACATCGAGAGTAATGAGATCTGCCGGTAACTCTCTGTCGGACGACACAATGGTTATGGACGTGCGCCTGCAAGGATGTCAGCTCAGAACAGGGCCGAAAATATCACTATATCGCCTGCACCTACATGGTGGCGGTTGATTGTTGAGGACAGGTTGGATCAGTGTGAGGTGAGACTGCGGCGGGAGGACCTCAAACACCGCTTGGAGCACGATAGTGACGATCTGAATGAAATGCAAAGACAAGGAGTCAAGATTGTTGTCTGAGAGGTGCGGAGGAAAGGTGGACACTTTTTTAGAAGTGATTTCTCATCAAACTTGGCCAACAAACAAATACCGCCTCATGGAAGAACTGGATGTTCGTAGAATGAACCGCTCAGGCATATTTACGATGACGCACCGTGGGTGGCCAGGCCGCTTAACTTGCTGTATACAGGCATGCCCGCTAGTACCTGGAGCTGTCATCTCGGAGGGGTCCATCAATCCCCGACAGGCTCTCCAGGTAAGAGGCTAAGCATACCACTTGTACCTGAGCTACCTGAGCTACCTTATATCCATTTCCAGGTAAACTCTTTGGCGGGGTAATAGTGGATGGATTGCTGTGCGAATCCTGCGGAAGGGTGTCGAGTTTTAGTCCTCTCATATCGAATGGAAATTTGCTCCTGCTCCCACCGCTGCCCCAAATAACTACCTGGTACCTAGGTATGCAGTAATTAACATTCTTACCTTGTAGGTAGGTACGTGGTGCATACCTGCTCGCTGGGTACCTGCGTTGTACTCGGATGGTCCGTGGCTGTTGATCGCCTCCATACCTAGGTAACAAGGGGAAGAGTCTCCCTCATGTCGCTGCCTCCCTCGAGAATAGCCGGACTCAGTACATGTTTGTAGATCTGGAGTGGAGAGTTGCTTAAGGGGAACGGGACCTTCTTACTTGCTCACAGTTAAACCACAAGCGACAGGGTCCAGGCAGTTTTCCCCCTTTGCAACCAACCCCCACTGTCCTCCAACTGTGCCTGCGGTGCCCACTACTCGTCGAGTTAGGAGGAGAAGGAGGGACACTGGCACCTGTCAGCCTCTCGCACGGTGCCCGCCACCCACCCGCTGCCCTAAAGTCGCGTGCCCTTGCAATTTCTTCATCTCACTTCGAACTTCAGCCAGCGAGCCACATCATATTCCATCCACCTTACACTGCATTTTGTCACTGAACTTTTCCACTAATCAAGCGTCTGGCTGATTCTTCGGACATTGACTTCACACAATTGCTCTGCCAATATCGACATAGTGGTTGGGCCGCTGTCACCACTGCTCCTTCATCGCGTCTTGTGTCAGGCCAGACGCAAATTGAATTTTCACCTCACGCCATTATTTCTAGGTCCTTTTCTCCCCTTGAAATTCTCTTTTCGCCTGGGGTCTTATGACGGAGCCTGCTTGGAGCTTCCCCAATCACACAGCCAAGTCAGCTACCAGCCAACCGGCGCGAATTCTCTTGCGGTCTAATCCTTCTTCAACCGGCATCTCACAGTAGAAGTCGCCTGTTTATCCGGTTGACGACTCGTGCGAACCAGTAAAAATGGCCCCAACTCAGGATTCATCGAGCCAATCAGAAGAACCGATCAAGCCGAGTTCCGCCAAGGTCGACGAGACCAGAAGCGGTCAGTCCTCACAAGACGAAGATGGCTTTATCGACATCCAGCCAGAGGACGTGGAAATGCAAGATAGCCATTCGGATGCTGTTGCTCCACCTCCGAAACCGCCCTCTGACTCATTAGAGCTACAGCGTATTAGTCATTCCGACAAGGCTGAAGAGGTTCCAGACGAAGAAGACGATTCTGAGGACGACCGTGATTTCATGGCCAATCATCCCTTGTTGAACATGCTGACCGGGCGCCTGGGAGCTCGTCGACGAGGCTCTTCGCATAAATGGGATCACCTTCATCCTGAAAACCAAGCACTGTCTGTATCTGACGTGGACCAGTGCACCTCGCTTGAGGACGCGGCCTTTTCACCGCAGGAGAGGGCAACTCGGGAGAAGGTATGGCTAAACACAGACTTTTCCTAATGCGAGCCACTACCTTGATCGTGGTTTTGCCGATACGTGGCCGTTCTGCTGACCGTAGCCTCTACACAGTTTCAATACCGTCTTACCAGATGTCCCGAGTTGAGTTTAGGGCTGTTCACCCAACCGACAAAAGCAGAGGCGAAGGATGCGTCCACTCCGCCTCAGCGACGCCTAATAGCGCATATCGTCTCGACCAGGACTCCTGCGCCTTGTGTTACTGAGGCTTCAATGGGCATCCCTTCAAACTGGAGGACGAGGCGGTCTTCGCTACCAACCGGCGACGATGAGGAGCCTCTGGGGCACCAAGACATGGGTGGAACTATCTGTGTCCATTCTCTGGCGGTGACACCCGAGTTTCAGAAAATGGGCCTGGGCTCGATCTTGATGAAGTCGTACATCCAACGTATGAAAGATTCCAAGATCGCTGACCGGATAGCGTTGCTTGCTCATGATCATCTCGTTCCATTCTACACAGGGTTGGGATTTGCAAACATGGGACCAAGCGCGGTGACATCTCATGGTGGCAACTGGAATAATATGGTGACTCTCAGCATCATGACTGTGTGCCAGATTGGACTAACCTGAGGCAGATACTCGAGTTTAATCATGAGGACGACGACTAGACGCGGATGACGCCGCTACGAACCCACTGGACGGCCACTTTACTCCTCGCGCCTCGTTGTCATCGCTCCTGAAATTCTCCGGGCCCAGATACTGAAAATGAGACGCTCGAATTGGACCGATGCTGTGGATACTTGTACTTTTGGCCTTGATATGGCGTATGACTGAGTAGGCTGGCAATATCTTTCCATGAAAGATGATGTATAGATGACGCCGTGGAAGCACCAGATGGGATCAACGAAAAGTACGTCTGCTTGAGAGCCGTACCGTGCTGCCGGGGACATGCGTGATGTATATGTACGGCTCCTGACGCCCCAAGAAATGGACCCTGAGTCTCATCTCCTGGAAGGCCTTTGTGGTTAGCATGGGATCATTCTATTTGTATCCTGGCCCGATATGGGGCACACGGAGGCAGCCTTTGTCATGCCGACTACAATCGTCGAGTCACCTCTAGTGACCAAATTCCATTTGGACCGCAATACAGGCTGTTGACCTGATGAGGCTTATTGCTTGTGATCGTTGACTGACAAGGCAGAGGTGGATGGATAGAAGGGAAAAATGGCGCGTTGAAAGGACAGCCGAGGGAAGACCAGGTGGAGCGCAACCTCGCACACCAGCCTCACCAATGATATTCCGTATGATTGCAACTCACTCCGCTTACCATCACTTCGCCCACTTCGCTTCCACACTCCCGGTTTGTTCCTCGTCTCCATCATCGCCCGATGGGTAATAATGATGGATGGGTGGCCAGGCAGTCCCGCCGTCTGCTGGTGACGATATTGCTTCTGAAATCTGCTCCTCCTCCCACCGTGATTCATATCTAATGTTTATCTTTTCTCACATATTCCCCAGCGACGAGACCCGCACCTCTACCTCTACCTCTGCCTCGTCTACATTCGCCTGATCAGTTGCTTCCATCTGTCGAGAAACGAACGTTGTTCTCTAGCTCAGCCCTGCTGCATCTCGGAAGTTCCTGCCGAACTTGACGATACAATAATATCCTCCTGCGCCGCACGCTGCTGAGTGACTCCCCACGATTCCCAACCCTGTCCAGCTTGGTCAGAGTGCGCTAGACGATCTATCCGAGTGACATATGGTCGTCTTGCGGAGAGGCCAAACAAAATAGGGTTAAAGGTGCGGAGGGTCCTCACGGAAGAGTGCGGGTGAAGGGCGTCTACAGTGTACAGGGTCAGGCACATTCAGGCCTATCGCAGCCTGCGCTCACCAATTCCTAATCGGTTACCGAGCATCAGGTCATTCGTTTAAAAGTCCTGACCTGGGCCGCGACGACTATCTATCGACGACAATTCCCCTCTGCCTTCTGGCATCGCCCGCCAGAGAGCCAGGTCTGTAGGCACAATGCCCACCAACCGACCCTTCTTCGCAAACTTCTTTTCGGCCTTTCGAGCCCGCACGAACCCGGCGTTCCAGGCAAAATCCAGCTCGACCTACGACGCCGTGTCGCCCGGTTCGCTCGTGGCAGCTGCACATGTCTCTACAACCACAGCGACAGTGACCTCGTCAAGTACAAGGACAATAGCCACGAAAGGAACAGGAGAGACTTCAGCCCCATCGCAACAAGTGCAGTCAAAATCCAGCTCTACCACGCCTCTTCCTTTCTCGTCCAACCCAAGTTCACACAGATATGCAACGCCTCTATCCAGATCGCCGGGGACGAGTTCCCCTGGCCCGCACCCAACGCATACGACCACCAACCTATCAATGTCACCGCCCGGCACGTCGACTCCAATGACTAGAGGGCGACAGAGACGTGGCAGCGACAGCTCTAATTCTTCGGGAGGATTCATTGATGCATTGGGTCCGGAAAAGTGGTATATTGGCGGCCGAAATGCCGCGGGTGAAGAGACCTTTTACAAACTCGGCTTGGTAACAGGAGGAACGGGAAGAAGAGTACGCAGCTTAGACCGGCTGAGTCTTTAAATTTCAGGAAAACCTAGGGATAGCTACCAGAGAAACGCAAGACAGACTGAGGTGCAAGGCGAAGGCGAAGTCGCAGCGGCGATCCTTCAAAGCACGAAACGGTCATGAAGTGCTATTCCCGGTTTTCAACTTTTCACGATCAATCCCTTTCAGACTGATCGGTCGTTACTTCCCGCGCGCGTCTGGGTTCCGACATTGAAAAGCACGACGGCAAACGGAGCTTCAGAAACCATTCTAGCCTTGCATCTGGGACAAGACAGGGCGAGCGGAAGCGAAGGGTTGAGACGCGGGCAAATCACTGCCCCAGATGAGGACGTTCAGAGCAAGGCGTCAACGGCGTCAGAATTCAGATAAAAAAGCAGTGGCCATGGCCCCGGGCAATTCTTTTATAGGATCGCATATATTGCCGAGCAGGTGCTCTGCTTCACTTTTTGGGCTGTGGGAGCATTGATGGCACAGTACTTGAAATATGACAGATGATGAACTCCGGAACCTTTGTATACCGGTCTTCTAACGGCCGGTGTCAGACTTCTTTAACGCTACGGAAGGTAGGGGAATGGGACTCGCCAACTCGGTAAGAACTGTGCCCGTAGACTATCCTTGATTCACACAGCACGAATACCAAAATTGGCAGCGGCGTCAAACATGATCGAGGTACCTATTACGAGAAATGGGCTTGTATGCTTTGGGGAGGTGATCGATGAGGAAATCTGATTATGGCACGCTGCATGTGCAGATGGCGCGGAGCCACCTCAAGCGTTATTGTGATTCGGGCCAGGACGGGTCTCTGTGTAGCCCAGCGAGTCCAGTATGGCACTCAAGGAGATGATGACATTCTTGGTACAGACTTACGGAACCATGCCACAGCTTTTCGTTGTGAAACTGGGAAAACTGGAAGCCGCCTCTATCAAGCCCGCAAAAGAGCGGTCGTGGATTGTAATAGTCACGATTATTCCAAGAGTTTATGCCCCGAAGCTCCGACTCTTCTCCGGAGCCTCATCCAAATCATCAAGCCCCCCGCCCTCACCACCAGCAGCACCACCACCATTGGGTGCCATTGTTTGTTTCCTCCCAAGCCCGTGTGATCACTCTGCATGGGTTACCCTTGCCTATACCGAGTATGAGCAGCTAAAACATGCTGTGCGATACTACTAATGTGCAACAATTATCCAGGTATTCTCCTTTCCTTGGCTGCCTTTGCTGATATTTGCGTCGGCCTGTAGCAGAAAAGGAATGCTCGGCACCAAAATCTGACCTCCCCATCTAGGTACCACCACCAGAAGGACGTCCACCATTCTTACGGGGACTCGGTTATCGGAAGCTTGAGGGAATTCCCACCTTTAGTGATCCCCAAACCCGCGGACTTTCGCTCCGGGCATCGACTCCTACGAGGATGAGCGTCGAATAATAGACTCCGTTGGCCATGTTACTCGGTTCTCCCAAAGGGGGCGCACCCGGCTCTGGTCAGTACCTCGTGCCAGTCGAAGCAAACGGTCACCGCTTGTGCAGCTAGACTAAGACTCCAAGTAGCCCCCATCCGGCTTGTTTCAACTCCTATTCGCACCCCCCAACGCCTCCTGCACGCGCCGGCCCCTCGAATACGAGCACTACACAAGACGTTTCAATAAGTCCGGCTAGTGTCTCGTGGGGCATGGTGTGGAAAAATCCTGCTTTGGCGCCTGCAAAAACCAAAAACTTGTACGCAGTCTTGCCTGGAATTTGCCGCACGCTTGAACAAGCGAGAAAGCCAAAAGCCTAACATAAGGAATAACCAACCGACGCTGTCAGAGAGCTACTAGTTGCAGCGCAGATCTTGGAGCGAGAAAGCCTCTGGCGCCCCTGACGACCGCCTAGTGGCTGCATCCCAGTGGTCCCTATTTTGCGAAACCCTCACCTGGCGCATGCAGTTGCGAATCCGCTTCAAGCCGGCTGCTGGACAAGGACAACAAACCAAGTGCTACGATTCAAACTTGACCATCAGTACCTACGCCCGAGTCAGTCTACGATTAGGTGGGCGCTCTTGAGTGGCTCTGGTTTGCGGCACTGGACTCTTGAATCGTCCGCGAGTGAGAGGGCGGGTTTTTCGCTTCAACAATTTCCATCCGAACCAGACTACCCCCGAAAGCACGCTGCTCAGTCATCCTTCGGTGCTGGAGTTCCAGGCACCATCCGAACTCCAGGAGCCTCTTTGGGCAGACGAGGGACTCCCTTCCAGGTCTCAACAAGGTGCATCCCGCCGGTGGCGACCGTTGTGCCTACGCCAAATTTCGCATAGCCTTTTGCTGCAAATCGTTATTATTCATTGTAAATTCAAATTCGGTTCCGTGTCAAGCAGCCTCCCCCCTTACTCTAGGGATCACCTTTGTCATTCTACCATTATTTGTAAACGGCCTCCGCCCGCGCGCCTCAAAAGTACGGACGTCCCTCTGGCTCTGGAATCGGTTTCTTCACGAAAATAGACATGAAAACTTACTGATAAGCGAAGATGGCGTCGCGAAAACGCACCGCGGAAGAACATCCTGACGGTGTCGTCAGGGCGGCGAGCAAATCATTTTTCGCCGCCCCGCTAACAAACTCCTTGACGTCTGATCACCTCAGTCCTCCTCCGAGTCCAACTTCGAGTTGTAGTCGCCAAAAACCCGCCGGCATGGAAAGAATTTTCGCACTGTCGCCGACGCCGACTGTCGTCCTCGACAAAGATTTACGAATAGTCATCCTTTCGAATTCCTGGCAGAAACAGGCCTGTATCTCACTGGACAGAGTTCGTGGCAAATCCTTTCTGGAGACGATCGACACGTTGCACCTGCCAACAGATGCCGTCACCACCACCCAACTGATTCAGGGTGCAATCGCGAGCCGCGAAGAGCAGCGCTCTGAACCCCTACAAGGCATTCAGGCTTCCAGCTATTGGCGGGTCCGCGTGGTCCCCATTTTTGACGAGGACGAGCTCCTCTACGTGGTTATTGAGGGTGTTGACGCTACGCTAGAGGTCAACGCGACACGAGAACAGCTCGCTCAACTGTCATCGGCAGAGACATATCGCATCTTGGTTAGCACCCTTCGCGACTACGCCATCTTCATGCTGGATGCCAATGGCTGTATAGCCACGTGGAACACAGGCGCCATGTTACTCAAACAGTACACCCGGGAAGAAGTCCTGGGCCGACACTTCTCGACTTTTTACAGCGAAGAAGACCGAAAAGCACGGAAACCTGAAAAGGAACTGGAAGTAGCGCTGCGAGAGGGCAAAGTTGAAGACGAGGGCTGGCGGGTCAAAAAGGACGGGTCGAGGTTTTGGGCGAATGTCATCATCTCTCCCGTCTACCGCGACGGAGTCTTGACTGGTTTCAGCAAAATCACCAGGGATTTGACGGAACGAAAGGCGGGAGAGGCACGACTCATTGCTGCCTACGAAGAGGCATCCAAAATGAAGTCCGACTTCTTGGCTAACATGAGCCACGAGATTCGAACGCCCATGCATGGGATGCTCTCCGCCTTGTCGTTACTGATCGACACGGGCCTCACGGACGAACAAAAAGAGCTTGCCAACATTATCGATGAATCGGGAGCCATACTGTTGCAGGTCATCAATGACATCCTCGATTATTCCAAGCTCAGCTCCGGAACGTTTTCCCTCAACAAGGAGGTCATGAATATTGCGGAAATTGTCGCTGCCGTGCGACGGTGTTTCAATATAGGGTCGGCCGAAAATTTGAGATTTGAAATCGACCTGGATCCTCACCTCCCAACGTTTGCTCAAGGAGATCCTCTCCGCTACCGTCAGATTTTGCAGAACCTAGTGTCAAACGCAATCAAATTCACCGACCGAGGCTATGTACGCGTCAAGGTCGCTCTCACCCACGAGGACGAATCCTCATATGACATCAAAACCGAAGTGATTGATTCTGGTATTGGCGTCCACCCCGACGCGGAGAATGTCTTATTCACCCCATTCACCCAGCTGGACACCTCTTCGACTAAGAGATACAAAGGCACCGGACTTGGCCTTTCCATCTGCAAGAGTTTGGCCGAACTTATGGGTGGGGTGGTGGGTTATCTGCGGAATCCAGAGGGCCAGGGAAGCCTCTTCTATTTCACATCCAAGATCAACAAGTTAGAAGTCTCACCGGCCAAACCATCTCCCAAAGCAGCGCTGGATATGGATCTCAAGAAGTTGGCGCAAACGAAGCACATCCTTCTCGTCGAAGATAACGCCATCAATCAAACCATCATGGTTCGCCTTTTGCGAAGCTTTGGCCTGGAGAAGGTGGACGTGGCTGCTGATGGCGCCGAGGGGGTGAAGAAGGTAACCGAAAAACCTTTGGCCTACAGCCTGATCTTGATGGACATTTCCATGCCGGTGATGGATGGTGTGACCGCCACAAGGAAGATTCGGGGAGCTGGTCATGTGGTTCCTATTATTGCCATGACTGCCAACGCGTTGAAAGGAGACGAAGAGGCGTACCTTGCAGAAGGCATGAACGACTATATTGCCAAGCCGGTGGACAGAAGGCTTCTTATGGAGTCGCTAGTGAGATGGCTGCGTTAAATTATGATTGAATGCGGATTTACAAGCAATGCAGAACCTGGAGATCCTGAAGCTGGTCTGAAAGGGGCCACGGACCGTTACTGGGATAGCCATGAGGTGCAATATGCACTTCGTCGGCAAGCATGTCGACCCCATCCGCCGGTGTGACGCCCTTGTTCCAACTCGCTCGCACTAGCTTGCGTGGAACTAGCAATTTCACACCAGTGCTCTCGGTTCAAGATCCCTTGGGCGTCTATATCGAGACGTACAGCAGAGGCTTTAAGATCGAGTCGAAGGCTGAGGAGCAACCCAGGCTTTGAAGACAGCCGAGAAACATTGCGACTGCAGGACATCGATCCGGGATTTTATATTCTCTTTCGAAGGTTCATACGCAGTGTGCGCAGACGATCGACCTAGAGCGAGTCCTTGCAGTAATGAATGGTAAAAGGTTCAAGAGTCGTTGAATAGGTGGATCTCAAACTTGACCCAGCCAGCATATGATTCCCAGAGTCACCAAAATCCAGGGCAAGAATTCACGAGGATGAATGGCACTGCTCAACGCGCCCGCTCGGGTTGAAAATGTATTGCTCTACGACGCAGTTGACAGGCTCTGGATCTGGTGGATGGGAGACTTTTATGGGAAAGCATTCAGGAGTTGCGCCTCACGCGACTCCAGAACTCCGACTACCTTCCTTCATGGCAGGGACTCACAAATGCATCTTTGACAGGCAGTGGCAGTCAACCTCGAGGTCTGGGCAAGCCATTACCATTTCGAGTATTTTTTTGGGGTTTGGGCCACGGCTACACTGTCCCAGATTGCCATGATCACCGGTTCCCCACGCTGACGGCAGCTCAGGCTTTTGCCTCTGGGGTTTTGCGAAGGCGAGGCGCCAAGCTCAAAAAGCAAGATGGGTGCAAGCGAAGCGAGCGGGTTGCTTACGTTTCTCTTCTCAGACTGGGTGTATATACACTCGACGCCATATCGCACATTTCTGGCCTATGGCAGCTTGAACAGCCTCGGCCCCACGGCCTGACAAGCGCACCCTCCATTGGCTCTCGTTTACAAAGTCATGCTTGGATGAGACACCACTATACGAAATTTTCACTCGAAATGAGACCGAGTCTCTGTCCTCATGGCGACTGCCGAACCGACTGGCGGTGGAATAGAGGTCACGTTTGATCTAGAATTACATAAACGAAACAACCATTCGACTGCCGTTGTTCCAATAAAAGGGCCACCAGGGAAATCTCGTGGCTGACTCATTTCTTACTACGGGCTCGACTACGGGGAGATCCTGGCAACAAAAGGGCGATAGTGACCCCGACTGTCTTGATTATCAAAGCCAACTGTCCAGGCCATTCTCAGCGTCTGTCAGGCTGTCCCCGGCTTCCGGCAGCATCTCTCTCACCTGGGTAGCAAACCTTTCGCTCTGCCCCTTCATCTCACCTCTGGCCTCTTGCACTTTCCGTTTCGGACTTGGCCCTCGTCGCTTCGAGTTAGGGTCATGCGATCGTCAGGTCCCTCATTGCGACTCGTACCTTTCCTTAGTGAATGGCAATCTGGTGGACGATATCAACAACTGCTCTCGCCATGACGGATTTGCCGTACACCGTCTATCTGCATGGCTTCCGACCCGCAGAGAGAATTTCTGTTTCTCAATCAGTCTCTATCTTCCAAACCCCGCTCGCAGAGGGAGAAGGAGCTCCAAGATGCCGATCGTCGAGCTCATGCAGCTCGGAACTCTAGACTCAAGCGACCGGTCCAGCAGGCCGAAGACGAAGCCACCAGCATGGAAAGCCGCTCCTCCAAGAGACCCAATCCTCGCCCGGTTGAAGACGTTGAACAAGATGGGGACGGCCCGGCTCTTCCTTTTGTCAATCAGCAGCTAGCTGTACGACCCAAGACTCCAGAACATCCGCAGACGATGCTCGGGCCATCTCTCGTGCCAAAGACCCTGACCTCGACCATTCTTCTAGGTCAGGGCAACCACGATCCCTTTGACACCGCCTCGGTTAGTGGACTGCCTCCTTTCATCTACGATATGCTGGACCATGGTGAGTCGTATTCTCTCTGACCCCAGCCGCTTTTGCCCGTGTGAAGCTTTAGTGCCCCTGATCTCGACATGCGGTTCAGTTGGGTGTCAGAATTTTATGGTTCTGTCGGCGTTGCTGATTCTCGTGCGATCTTTCAAGCATACCGCGTCGTCTGGCCGACCGTGATGAACCAAGACCCGAAGGACACTCCACAATACATGGCCATCAGACGCAGAGTCGCCCGGGAGACTCCATTTATACTTCATGCACAAATTGTCAATGCTGCGTGGCAGAGACTACGGCTGCTTCCGGCCGGTCACCAGTCTCGGTCACTGATCGCACAAGCAGCAGCGTACCATGAGCGGAAGGCTCTCGAAACTGTTGCAGACATGCTGCAGAAGCTCCCAACACCGCCCTGGGAGGGCATCGTTGTGGCGCTGCTCTTGGTGACATGGCCGGCGGGAACCCACGCGGAGGGCCCGTCGAAGTATCCTGTGTCTCCTATGGCCACAGCGCAGAATCTCCACCTTTTCAACAACATGGAATTGACGCCCGGCAGAATCCAGCAAATTCGGCGATTCTACCACATCCTCGAGCCTCTAGGTGGTCTGGATGGACTCTCGGCGCCCGATCACTTGCATACCTTCAGCATGTGCGTGACACCCTCCCCCTGGATAGCGTGCTTTGAGCTGGTCGTGCTGATTGTTGCCTTCTAGTGCGGACACGTTCGTCTCGTCGCGACTCGGCGTCCGCCCTCTTTGGCCATGGCCCAACAAGCTACACTACGCCTTCGACGCATTTGACGATCTTGTGCTGGATACACCTGCATTTCAACTGTCTCTGGTATTGGGCCGAGGCTTCTCTTGCCTGAAAGATGCTCGGCTTGTACGTCTTCTGATGATGGCATGCAGAACCACGCTGGGAATTGATCTGTATCAGCGGAAGTCTCCTGCAGCACCCTCACTCAGGGATATATCTACGGTTCGGAATGCCGTGCAGCACCAGCTATGCTCGCTCGATCCACCGTCTGAGCTGGTGCCCACACATGACGACTTGCTCTATAACATGGTACGGCTTGCTGCGCTGATATACAGCGACCTGGTGCTTTTCCCGATTGGCGAATCGGTGAATCTCAAGTCGCAGCTTGCGTACGACCTGCGCAAAGCGTTGGAACTGTCCTTCACGGGCGAGACACGGGAAACGCAGGCGGAGCGTGAGCTCATACTCTGGTGTCTGACTATGGGCACGATGGCATCGCACGGGACGGTTCACCAGGAATGGTACGTTGTGCAGTTGGGGCGGAACTTGCGCGAGGATCGCCGACTCCTGGACTGGATTCTATTCCAGACACTGATGTCGCATTTCCTGTGGTGGGACTATGTGCTGCAGCCGCGGTGCTGGGATGTCTGGAATGAGGCGGCGCAACCGGTCCGGGTAGAGGAGTTGAGTTCAGCTCCTTCTGAGAAGCGAGAGGATGATCCATAATCGATCCTGATGTGCTCGTAGCTTCAAGGTGGAGAGATTCGTGGGTTTGCATAACGATATCTCGGTCTGCGGTGCAAGCGCCGAGAATGTCTAAGTAGTCGAGACTTTGATAGTCGGTTCCGCGCCTCTTGTGCATCGAGACTGCATCAGACATAGGCCTATAGGCTACTGGGGCATTTGGCAAATTGCCGACAGAAAATAGATGCATGATAAGACGAATTGCTGCAGTGTCTGAGCATGGCTTCGTCAAGTGCGTCTGTGGTGTGTGTGGCGGGTTCTTATTGGGCGGCAAAAGAAGAGAAGAAGGGAAGAAGAGGATACCCAGAGAGCTGGGTACCTATGCACATGCGTTAATATGACTTACTACCTAGCTACCTAGCTACCTAGCTCACTAGGTACAGTACTTTGACTCCATACCTGCACGGGGACTTGGTAGCTCTGGTAGATTCCTACCTAGTACTTACCTACGGTTCCTACCTCACTGAGTTCCTTTTTCCCCCTCCTTGTCTCTCTTCTTTTCTCGCGACAACACTTCTGCCAATGCCTTCATTTCCGAGATACCGCCTTCTCTCTGACTTCTGAAGGCGGGACCATTGATTTTTTTTTTCTTGCCCGATCAACTTCTTGTCATTAAGTCCTGAAACAAGCAGCCAAGGAAGCGCGGACCAGTGGGGGGTTTAAAAAAAAGCCAAATAATCAATAACTAGGTAGGGGCATGGCTTCCACCTCATCCTCATCCTCATCCTGGTCTTCGGCCTCCGCATCTCCCGCCGCCGCCGCCAACATCCTTTCCCTGTCCCTCGCCAAATTCAAAGACACCACCGCGGTCAGCCCGCCGAATATCGTGGTCCTCGTGTCCGTATTGCTTGGGTTTGTCCTGCTGCTGCGCCGCCACGGGAACGCCAACCCATCCCTGCCGGATCTGCCGTGGGTTGGCCGCAACGACAAGGCTTGGGTCCTGCCGGGTCTGAGGACAAGGCTGTGGTGCTCGGTCAACTATGAGGAGGCTTTGAGGAGGGCGTATGATCAGGTAAGGGTTTTTGAATCGTTGAGTTGGGGGAGCAAATCGGTGCTTTTTCTTTCCTTTTCTCTTCTTCGTTCCACGAATTCTTTCTTCTCGGCGATTGGACTTGTTATGCTGGGACGGCGGATATGAAGAGGAGAGAAGGAAGGAAAGGAGAAGAGGAGGATGCGCTTTCTGGGATTTGATCTTTTTCTATTGGTTTTCTCCATTACATGCCTATCCCGCACTGTTTCGTTCTTTTCAAACCCATCACCTCTGCCGCCTGAATGGGACCGTCGACCTGACCACACTTCCCAAACAGTATGCCCGTCACAACAAGCCGTGCATCCTCGCCACCCTCGACGGCGAGGTCGTTCTGCTTCCTCCCTCCAACACACCCTGGCTGATCGCCCAGCCCGACAATGTCCTCAGCGTCAATGGCGCGCACAAGCATATCCTACAGACCCGATATACCTTTCCCAAGCCCGAGATTATGGATCCGACTGTTCATTTCGGTGCGTTACCTCCCCACCTCACCCGGGTTCGTCCCATCCTTGGATCTGGAACATTCGGTTTTTCTAACCCGGTCGCTCTCGCCTTGGATATTGCTGACGTTCTCCTCCCTTGCTAGACGTCATCAAGTCCGAGTTGACCAGACAAGTCTTCAACGTCACGCCCGAAGTATGCGACGAATTGGCCGCCGCTGTGGATCAAATCTGGGGCAGCGAAGCTGATCCCGATTTCGAATACTACTCCGACGCCGAAGGGTGGAAGACCGTGGTGCTCTTTGACAGTCTCACCAAGATCATAGCCAGGATCTCCAACAGGGTCTTTGTTGGGCTGCCACTCTGTGAGTATCTTCACTTCTTCTCCTCGAATGGAGGATTTCTGGAGGCGGGTAAAACACTGGCGTTGTGTACTACGGGCCGAGGAAAAATGAGAGAGCGTACGGTTGAAGAGCCGTGCATCATGCCCATGACAGTGCCTACGTCCGCTTTAGAAAGATCGCGTCTATATTGGTAGTTTTCACTGAGCGAATGCTGATCCGACATTGGTTGCAGGCCGTGACGAGCGATATCTCAAAAACGCAATCGGGTTTGCCGAAGACATTGCATATTCTGCAACAATCCTGCGACTCTTTCCCGGTATAATCCGCTCTGTGGTCGCTCCGATAGTGACGTCTTCCAACCGCGAGCATACTCGCGCCTACACTGAAATCCTCACGCCCGAGATCATCCGGCGTCAACGCCTCCAGCAAGAAACTGCGAGCGACTCCAAGCCCGAACCCAAGAACAGCGAAACGGAGCAGGCTGAGAACGGCGCGAAGAATGACTTCCTCCAATGGCTCTTGACCCGCTCGCTCACCAAATCGTATCCTTCGCCCGACGAGACGAATCCAGAAATCATCAGTGCGCGCCTTCTGCATGTGAACTTTGCATCCGTACACACGACTAGTTTTATCGGGACCAACGCCTTATTGGATATCCTTGCCGCACCACTCAATGAGCGCGTCCTGGAAACGCTGCGGAAGGAGGCCCTGGACAACATGGAGCCAGATACAGGGTCTGGACCGGCTTCGAGGATGTGGTCGCGCACGGCTATCGCCAGAATGCACTACCTCGACTCTGCCCTGCGGGAGAGTTCGCGCCGCGCCAGTATCATAGGTGTGGGCGTGAACCAAAAGGTCGTTGCTCCTGGTGGTATCACGACCCCCGATGGGACGCATTTGCCCGAAGGCTGTATGGTCGCCACCCACAGCTGGGGATGCCATAATGACGAGAGCCTCTATGAGGGAGCCGACAAATACAAGCCTTTTCGCTTCGTCGAGTTGAGAGACAAAATCTCGGATGGAGTTGGGGAAGGTGGTAGAGACAAAGCAGATCGGGAGAAGGAGTACCTGGACAAAGCCCACCTCTCCTTTATCGCCACCTCGCCCTCCTACCTTGGGTTTGGACACGGTCGACACGCCTGTCCCGGAAGATTTTTCGCTGCGCAGGAGTTGAAGCTGTTACTGGCGTATCTGCTCTCGCGGTACGAAATCCACATGGCCATGGAAGGAGGAATAGGAGGCAGCTGGAACGGGAAGGGCATCAGGCCTGAGAATTACTGGGCGGGACCAAACCACGTCCCGCCGATGAGTGCCAAACTGCGGGTGAGGAGACGGAAGGAGTTCCAATAGTCTGGTGCGAGCACTGTGAAGAAAAGCATTCTTTTGGGGTCTTATGTTGTCGGCTGACCCCAAAGCCCCAAAGATGGTGTTAATCGTTAGACAGGCACGAAGACTGCGGGACGTACCTAGTACATGTGACTTTTTGGATAGAGATTGATGAGCACTTCCTGACATTGACAGACGCAAAGTCGCAGTCACACTTGCAGCCAATGTAATCAGTGAACGACATTGGCCTCGGGCTTGAGAAGGAGGTGTCTCTGGAAGTCGAAAGTCGACCCGTGGCGCACAGGTGATGCGGATGCCTTCCATGCACCGAGGCATAACACCGCCTCGCCCAGGGCTCTCAGCAGGACGGGTCGAGCAACTTCCTTTCCTAGCCTCCTCTCAGCCTCCTCCCAGCCCACCCTCCTTTACATCTTGGTCCTTGGACTCGTCCGTTTGACCCATTCCCTCGGGGTCGTGCTCGTGCTGGTGCTGCCTCGCCCTCCAAAACCCCTTGCCGTAACTAACCACGATCTCCTCACCCTTTGCGATGCCCCTCGCCCTGGACTTCCCTCGATCCTTTTTGCCGGATTTGCCGGGACTCAGCACGAACACGCCGATCCTCCTCTCCCATTTGTTGGTGGCCGGGGGGACCTCGACCCAACAGTCCCTGAACTCGGCGTTGGGGCCCTCGGAGCGAATGCCGCGGTAGTCGTTGATGAAGCGCGCCTCGTTGCCGCACTGCGAGGCGTCGATCGCGAGGTCCAGCTCGCGGTCCAGGCTGAGGTCGTAGTCTGACACGAGATCGGACGAGGACGACAAGTGTAGACGGCCGAGATAGAGGATCACGAATGATGAGGGGGTCAGAGCCCGTGTCGCGAAGAGGCCGTATTGCCCGTGCGCTGGGTGAGACGGGTCGAGGATGGGTTTTATCTGTACGAGGGGGCACGGGCAGGCGGGACGTGAAGAGGCTGGGATGATGGGGACCTCGAGTGATGCTGGTATGGATGGGGGTGGTAGAGTGGTTGTTTGGAGGAGTTCTGGCGATAGAGAAGGCGGGATGTGCAGTGTGCAGAGATAGATGATGTCTTTGGGCCAGTTCTTGGGCAGGGAGATTGAGGTCTGTTTGAAGGGCATTGAGAGGTGGTTGAGGTTTGTCGTAGTGGTAGATGGTGGTTTGGGTTTGCAGAGCGACTTTGTGTGTAGGTGATGTAGACAAAGTGGAAGAGGATTAGGGGCTCGTCTGAGTTTCCCCAGGGACCACACCTTAAGTACCTCCTACCTAGGTAGGTACCTCTAGTAGGTATCTAGGTACCTAAACCAGGTCACCCACACCACGACACCTACGAGCTCTGTTTCTTCCAAAATCCCAATACACTCTCCATATACACGATCCCGATAGTGCCTACACTTCAACTACCAACAGACATGGCAATTCTCCAAACGCAAATTGAACTATCAAAAGCCATTCACAATGATATTAAGAGCTAACATCCACCAAGCCATCAACACCCCGCTGTACTCGACCCAACCCTATTGTGCCCCCAGCGTCACCACAATCTTCTTCGCGCTGACACCCTTCTTGTGCACGTCCATGGCCTGTTGTATGCTCTCCAGACCGTGGCCCACGACCTCCGACTTTGGCGCCGCCGTAAACGACCCTTCGGCCAACGCTTCCGGGAGAAAGTGCTCGTACATGGCCGGTCCGATTTCGTTGTCCACCAGTGTGTCGCCAAAGATGAACTTGCTCTGGATGCCATGCCTTTGAGCCTTGAACCACAAGTATATCATTGACATGACATAGTGGAAAGCAATCTGAGGCACGACGAAGCGTTCGGGCGGTGTCGCGGGAAAAGGGTAGCTGGCCATGGAGAGGAACTTGTTGCCCTTCTTGCACGAGGCGAGGATGTCGAGGCATTTCTCTGCCGCGCCTTGGCCGATCGACATTGCCCCGGCTGTGGTTCGCCCCTTGAACGCTGTCCTGATGTCCTCCACCACCGTCGGGCTCTTGTAGTCGAACACTTGGACGGCTCCGAGACGCTTGACCAGCTCAAAGTTCCGCGGCGAGGCCGTCGCGATGACCTCGTATCCGGCCGCGACGGCCAGCTGGATCGCGTTGCATCCCACGCTCGTCGACCCGCCCCAGACAAGCAGAGTCTTCCCCGTCGGTTTGGCATTCGGCACCGTGGGGAGTTGCAGGGCGAGCTGGTCGTTCTGGAACAGACCGCACGCCGCGGTCGACAGACCCAACGGGATCACGGCCGCATCCTCGTAAGAGACTGTGTCCGGGATATGCGAGGCCATGTGCGACAGCAAGACCGTGTACTCCTGGAACCCGCAGTGCGAGGCGAAGTTGTGCTTCTTGGCCATCCCAATGCTGTGGCCGACGACGCGATCTCCGACCTTGAAACGCGCCGCAACGTCCTTGCCGACCTCGACAACTTCGCCCGCCACGTCACTCCCCAGGATTGCAGGGTATTTTACCCAATCGAACAGCAGGTTGCCCATGCTTTGCTTGATGTGGTCGAGGGGGTTGATGGCCACGGCGCGATTCTTGATCACGATTTCCGAGCCGCCTGGCTTCGGGTACGGCGCCGACTTGACCTCCAGAGGTTGCGCTTTGGCGGATGTCAGGTATGCGGCTCTGTTGGACGGCATCTCTCAGGTTCTGAGACGCGAAAAAGGTATGTGATGGCAAGTGTATCGATGGATCGAAATCTGTGTTGCGAAAGTTCTGTCTCTGGTTGGCTTGCGCTATCCTTTTTCCCTCCTCTGTATGTTTTCTATATGTTCTATCATCTCGATCTCCCAAACGAGCACCTGTCTATATATCTCATTGTCCGGCGTTTCTTCTCTCCTAGTATATGCACATATCCATAGTTTCCGTCCTAGTGGCATTCGGAGCATACCTCAATGAAGAGTGGGCATCGCGACCGTCCGACTCTCCATCGTCCGATCCTCCGAAATATCAAAATGTCCGCCCCCAGGGGCCCCGGGCTAGGCGGTTGGACTTTCAGCCCTCTTGTTTCAGGGTCTTTGCACAAGTATCTCAATTGGCAAGGGCTCTTCCCCTTGAGGCTTGACATCATCTACGCATCATTCTACCATACGCGCGTAGGGAGGACTGAGAGCCTCTCGGTGCCGAGCCCAGGTGGTCTCTTGAATCCTCGGATCGCATGTCCTTAAAGTTTATGGGGGAGACTTTGGGGCTGTTCAGGCCAAGGTATTCTTGCATCACTCGTAGTTGCGGTCCTGCTCGCCAACCTGCAGACACATCAGTGTGTTCGTGAAGTTCTCGAACTTAAGCAGCTTCAGGGCCTTTTCGTCTGGATGGAAGAACTGAAGAAGGCCAACCTGTCTACCTGCCTGCCTGCCTGCCTTTTCAAGAAACGTCAGTCTTGCAATCGAGAGCGCTCTAGAAGGAGCCAGACTCAAATTACTCTGTGGAGAGAGCGAGCGGTGGTCAATCGTTTATCTGGGACGATGCAGCATGCAGCATGTGCGGCTTGAGAGAGATATGCAAGCTCTGAACATACTATCGACGCCTTTGCAATGACGTTTGTGGTATATCTGTAAATGGATGAATCATGAATAGAGTATCTACCGAGCAGGTGGTAGAGGTGTGATCTGACTGTTTGTTACCATCAGCTTATGCCTGTGAAATGAATCTGTAGGGAACTCGACAACCATATCAGTTGCAGACGAATTCAAAGGCACACATTCTCATTGACGTTTTAGTAGAAGATGTACAAAATAGCGATCGCCTCTCTGGCTCTTCAAATGGTGACTTTCCCGGAAGTACCTCGTAGCATGCAGAACAGACTGTACTCGTCATGGACCCAAGGGTATTTGGCGCCTACGGTGGCCCTCTGGATAGGTTAGGGTGGGCTGGCTACGCTAACTTTAGGCAGCTAGGCTCGTAGGTGCCAGTAGCAGGCAGCCAGCAGCTGGCAGCTTCCCCCAGCGCGGGGAAGCTGGAAGCTTACAGTGCCCACATAGGGTCTGACGGGGACGCCTAATAGGCGCGGCATGTGTCACGGCTCCCCCCCGGTTCCGCCCCTGGTGGCACTAACTCACTAACGCGTTGGACAGCAACCGCCACGCCACCAGCATCTCCTCCTCCAAACACCACATCCTTGAACTTACCCTCATCTCACCATAGACCTTCCCATGTCATTCATCCTGTGCGTGACTCTCTTGCCATGATGGATCGTCGTTCAGTGTCGAGTGGCGGTGATTGCGCCGGCGAAAAGTCACCGTTCCTTCGAGACGAAGAAAGCAATGCGCCGACTCCCGCCAACCGATGTCCTTCTTGCGGCCGTTACCGACAGAAACCATTTCACTGGCTTGCCTTCGCTGGGTTCATGGTCCTGTCCGTGTTCTTGTTCTTGCCTGTTTATTTCGGTCCTCCTCTAAGTCGACCATCGGACTGGCAACATCACCGTCTATGGTCCGACAGCTGGCGTTTCTCGGTCAATGGTGAGTCCTTACTATGAAGCTGGTGGTGCAGTCTATCGGGTTATTGACGACTCGAAGCGGACAGGAAGGAGCCAGTGCAGAATGGAGCTGATGTCTGCCTCACACCCGCATGTGTCCATGCCTCCTCTGAGCTGCTTTACAACTTGTCGCCCGACTACAAGACCCTCGACCCGTGCACCGACTTCGAGGAACTCGTCTGCGGAGGATGGCGCGACCGTCATGATCTACGCCCAGACCAAGGTGATGCCTTCACTGGCACCATCATGGCTGAGAATTCGCAGATGCTGCTCCGCCATATTCTTGAAGCCTCGTACCCCGAATTGTCTGCGGTAGGTCTCGGGCAGCAGGTCGATTGATTCTATGCTTATGTTTGCCTCAGCATTCCTACTTCTCCCCTGCCACACTAGACAGTGCCTCTGGCTCGGTTGACAAGGAGAATTTCGACAAGCTTAAAGCTGCATATGACGCTTGCTTGGACGAGGACACCATCAAGGAACTCGGTGTTGCCCCATTGGTCGAGATACTCAACGACACCTCGAACCATTTCTCGTCTGGCGATCTTTCTTCCACCGTCTTATTCATGCTCAAGACTGGGATTCCGACCTTGATATCTGCTGACACCGGTGCCGACGACAAAGATCCAGACACGGTAGTCGTCTCCATCTCGGCTCCGTGGAGCGTCGGCTTGCCGGCCAAGGAAATGTATGAAGACGAAAAGCTCGTGAAGAAGTATGAAGATACGGCCTCGGAAGTCCTCTCGGCTCTCCACGAGCAAGCCGCCGCGGTCGCAGTTGACGCCCATGCTCTGGTCGAGTTTGAGAAACAGCTTGCGAAAGCTTCGCCAAGTGCTGAAGACCGCAACGACGTTACAGTGAGCTCGGATACTGCTTTGGCTATCCCGACTTACTAACCCACTTTACAGAAATACTACAATCCCATGTCTCTAGCTGATGCAGATGCTCTCATTCCACAACTGAAGCTGTCAAAAATCCTCGGCAGTCTTGCCCCTTCAGACTACAAACTGGATCGAGTTATAGTCATGGCTCCACAATATATGAAGGAGCTTAGTAAACTGCTGGCAGACACTCCAAAGAAGACCCTGCACGCGTATTTTCTCTGGAAGGCGATCCAGTCATACGCTAGCTTCGTTGAGGCCGATGCCGTTGCTCCCCTCAAACGGTTTTCGAACGAGTTGGTGGGCAAGGTACGTCGTTTTCTCCAATCCTCTTCTTCTGGTGTTGACATGAGCTAGGATCCAGATACGAAGCCGGAACGGTGGAGGACGTGCGTCAACCATGTCGACTTTGGCGTGGGCTGGATCTTGAGCCGTTTCTTCGTCGAAAAAGCTTTCTCCGCCAAAGCCAAAGAATTTGGTGATCAGATTGTGTCCGACATCAAGGATCAGTTTATTGAAAAGCTCAAGGTCACTGAGTGGATGGAGAAGGAAGTGATTGAGTTAGCCATTTCCAAAGTCCACAACATCGTCCAGAAGATCGGTTATCCAGATAAGGTATGTGAAACTCCAAGGGCTATTGACTGAGTTTGTCCAATACTGAGATCTTCTGTCTGCAGAGCCCAAATATTATGGATCCCGTGAGTTTGAAGAAATATTACGCTCCAGTGAACATCACTTCGTCCACGTACTTTGGCAATGCAGTGTCGGTCATCCGTGCTGAGCTCGCTCGCGAATGGGCAGCCCTCGGCAAGCCTGTGGATAGGAACCAATGGTTCGTCACGGCTTCTTGTCGATATGTTCGGTTGCAAGGTGCTGACATTCTCTCAGGGATATGACTGTGCCGACTGTGAACGCATGTATGTGCTTGCCCATCCCCAGCTATTTGCCTTGACACCATACTAATTTGCAGACTACAATCCTCCTGGAAACGAAATCGTATTCCCAGCAGGAATCATGCAGGTCAGTCATCTTGGCACAAGTTTCACATTCAGAGAGCTTACTCGAACAGTTCCCTGTGTTTGATGTCGAGGTCCCCCAATATCTCAGCTACGGCGCCTTCGGTTCCGTCTCCGGCCACGAGCTCTCTCACGCATTCGATTCCACCGGTCGCCACTACGACCAGAACGGTAACTTCACCGACTGGTGGACGGAAAAGACGGTCGAGAGCTTCAAGAAGCGCGCAGAGTGTTTCGTCGAGCAGTACGCCAACTTTACTGTACCCGGGCCAGATGACAAACCGCTACACGTCAACGGCCGATTGACTTTGGGTGAAAACATTGCCGACGCCGGAGGTTTATCTGCAGCATTTGCGGCGTGGAAGAAGCGAGCGGCGGAAAAGCCAAACCAGGATCTTCCCGGTCTGGAGTTCTTCACGCAGGAGCAGCTGTTCTTCGTTAACTATGCCAATTGGTGGTGCGGAAAGACAAGGAAAGAAACTGCCATTCAGCGCATCTACTTGGACCCGCATGCGCCCAAGTTTGCAAGGATTTTGGGTACCATGGCCAACTCAAGAGACTTCAGGGAGAGTTTCCAGTGCGAACAGAAGGAGCCCGTCTGTGAATTGTGGTGAGGGACGCATGTGGTTGGGAGAGTCAGGCAGGTCTGCCTGTATCGCACCCATGTGCTGGCATTGCATTTTCAGTTGTTATCATCACAAACTGGACGGATTGGAAAAGCACATTTGTCAAATAGCTGAGCATCAACCACTTTTACATCGTCATTGGAGTCTTTTTCTAGTGGTTCTGGGGCGACTGTTCTGTACCCAACGATGTCGCCATACCACTCAGGCTTTAAGTTCTGAGTCACGACTTTGGCATATGACATACTCAGGCATGTAAGGTAAAAGCACACGCAGAGAACGTAATCTTGTGTTCGTTGCCTTTTGATGCCCGCGAGGCCTCGCCATACTCTATGCCCCTTCGACTTCCACCGCGACTTGTTGTCACGAAGAGCTGTAGATGAGTAACTGGCCACTAGCTATATCAGCACATGGTGCTGCTCGTATTCGCGAAAGAGGACCGGGATGCGAACAAGGTTGTGATCCTGCTCACTGAGAAGTCCCTCACTCCCCAGTACATCTCAATGTGACGGCGAGGGAGCCAAACTTGTAGCCCACGAAGAGTATGTCAGAGGAGAGGATGTCAGAGACAGAGAATCGGTGCTTTGAAGCTCGGTGGTGAAAGACACGCCGGGAAACTTGCCTGTAGAAAGGGACTTCACTTCCAGGTGCCCTGAACTCCAGAGGTCCCACAGGGTGAGGCACAAAGTCCTTTAATCCTTGATAAATATTGAACAACCTGAATATTTTCTCAAATACGCAAAGACCCCCACACCCACTGTGTAGACCTTGCCGCCCGGGCCGGGGTTGGACATTGGAAAAGGCATCAGTGGCATGGGCGATATTGTAGCGAGCCGATCCGGGATCCAGTCCAGGTCTTGATCGGAGCAAACTACCATCGGGCAGCAGGCGTCTTGACCTCGATTGCGATTCTCCCCCCGAAGTATCCCCCGCAATCTAGGTCTTGACTGGACAAACTAACACCGGTTAGCAGGCATCAAGACCTCGATACAGTAGCTCAGCTCAGCTTGGACGGTAGAAAATCACAACAAACAGTAACGGAAAAACCAGCCCTCGCAAGGGGGTGAGTTTCGCTACCAGAGACCCCCACGTCCAGGGGTTCCTTGGAAAGTTTTTGTACTTTTTGCGCATGTAATGCCTTGTGGGATTTGCAATCCTGGTGATTGTGAACGGGTTGTGGGAAGTAAGCTTGGCGAGTCACGGACGAGGTCTTCACTTCTGCTTTTTACAAGAGAAGACAAGGCTGTACATATGGCAGCGACGCTTTTTATATGAACGGCTTGGCATGGGACTTCGGTCCCCACCGCAGCTTAGTCCACCGCGGAAACTCTCGCTAGCCTAGTCTTTTGGTGGAGGCGCGGTACGGCCTCACTAGCCCTAACGAAAGAAATACGATTGCGAGAACCTGACAGAGAGGAGCTATTTGAGGAGGATAAAAGCTTTATAACCTATGGCGGCAAGGCGGGGTGAAGACATGACGACTTCAGATCACATTGCTCCCAATCTTGAATCCATACACCATCTTTGCTCTTCTTCCTCACCTTCAGGACACGACTCTGCAAAGTTGACATCCTCACTTTGACTGCTTCGACGACCACAGCACACATCCCTCACTGCTACTATGGCCAAGTCTCGTGAAGAGCTCAACCAGCTCGCTCGCCAGCTCAAATCCCTGCATATCCCCGGCCAGCCTCTGATCCTGACAAACGTCTACGATGCCTGTACTGCCTCAGTGGTAGCCATCCTCCCTTCGACCAAGGCCGTGGCAACCGCTTCATTTGCAATTGCGTCCGCTGCTGGCATCGAGGACGAAGACACCATGTCTCTCAGCGACAATCTAGCTGGAGTGCGCAGGGTGGCTACGGGGCTACGCAATGCTGGCAAGGCCGATACACTGCCCCTGACGGCCGACTTACAAGACGGCTACGCTGACCCGGCAGAGGCCGTCAGACAGGCTATCGAGATCGGTGTTGTGGGCTGCAACATCGAGGATGTTGACAACAGCTCCCATCCACCAAAACTGAGAACCCTTGCTGAAGCAAAGAGCCGAATCGAGGCCGCCGTCCGAGCAGCCAGGCAGGCAGGGGTTCCTGATTTCGTGGTCAACGCGCGCACGGATGTTCTGGGGTTCGACGGCACGATCGACGACGTGGTAGAGCGCGGGCGCGCATATCTGGACGCAGGTGCTACCACCGTCTTTGTTTGGGGCGTGAGGAAGAAAGTCATCACGGAACACGAGGTGAGAGACATGGCCACCAGACTGGACGGAAAGTTGGCCGTGCTTGCACAGGGCTGTACGATCGAAACCCTCACGCAGGCTGGCGTTAGTCGCATCTCCGTGGGCCCAACGCTGTTGTTGAAGGCGCTCAAGTTCATTCAGAATGAAGCTACAGCTATTCTGGAGGCGAAACAGTGGTCGATGGGATAACTGAAGATCCCAATCAAGGGCGGCGGATCTTGTAGAGCAGGCCGGGTTGCCACAGATTAATGGAAGTATCATTGGCTGACTTCCTCGGGGTACAATGTATCAGCTGAGTTTTGACGACTTTCTCCTTTTTTTCGCTGCTAGCCTGCTACTTGTTCACCCCTTCCTCCTCGGAAAACCAAACAACTCAAAGTGGATTCTCGGGTTCGACACGCCTTGGGCGGAATCCCGCCATTCGCTGGGGACACGGCATCTATACGAGGCACATGCCTTGGCCAGCTTGGCTAAGGGCAGGCTGGCCGACACCGCCAATCACTCACCAACTACTGCTGACTCAGGAAGTCACGTCGTGGGACAACAGATGTGGCAATTCCGGCATGATACATTGAGGGTGGTACTGGAATGGAATGCGGTTGGGGTTGAGGATGCATTCACATGATCCTGGTAACATTCAGCATGAGCGACACCGAGTCGACTTCCGACCTACGAGGAAGTCAGACACAGTCTTGTCGCATGCATTCGATGGAGCAACACTCATAGGTGAACGGTACTACCTCTTTGCAAGGTGGCGAGAACTGTTTCTATCAACAACTACACCTATACAGACTCCAGCGACAGACTTGCCAGCCTGTGACCTGCGATATGCCAAAGGTCAGAGTTTTCTTCGTCGACTGCCACCCGAAACGCCCATGGAGAGATCGTGAGCTGGACGATGCTGAGCGCAGGGCTCATGCTGCCCGAGAGACACACAGGAAAAGGGATGTTGAGAGGCACAGACTTCAGTCGCGCCATGTCACTTCTCCAACCAGTCAGACGATCCTACATGGGGCAGATCCTTTCGACACAACATCTGTCAAAATCGACAATACTGTAGCCGGCTTGCTCCACTACTATGTCTACTTTTACCATCCCACGCTGTGGCCCAACGAAATGGCGGTCCTTCGGCAGGGTCTCTACACGTTCCAAAACGCAGTCAACTCCATTATGCGAACGGTCGTCGAAGACAGGCTCACCATGTACTGTCTTCTAAGCGCGGCGGCTTGTCGACTGCAGTTCGTCGATCGGCTTCCCTGCACGCTGGTGGCAGGAAAGGATGGCCACTACATGCGCAACGCCCTCCAGTTACTGCGCTCTCGGATTGACACCCACTGTCTGCAGACCTCCGAACAGCTGAGACAGCTACTGATCTGCATCATGTTTTTGACGTCAGCCGAGTGCTACCGCGACGACGTGTCGGCAGCCCAAACACATCTGCGGGCCGCTGTCGGCCTCTTGGAACGGAATGGCGGGCTCGTGTCCATCCAGGACGAGAACTTGCGCGGCCAGCTCGCCATGAGCGATCTATATCTCGCCTGCGTCGAGCTCAAACCTTGTCTGTTTACTTGTGACTACGACCCAGGCCCAGCCAGCGTTCTTGCACTGAAGGCTCACGAATTGTCCTCTGCCCAGTGCGAGACTGTCGCCGCTTCACTGCTAGACAGAGGCATGCGGATAGTGCCTTTGGAGCTGAGACTAGTGATCGAACAGTTGTATGAGTCGTACAGCGTCAAGAGTCGCCTCCAGACTTCCGCCATGTCAGCGTCACGAGCTATGGAGGTCACTCACTGGATCACCACACGAAACATGGCGATCAGGAACAGGCTGCTGGCACTCACCACCCATGATCCTCGAGCCCACGCTCTAAGGACAGCAATCATCATGTGGACCTTGCTCGCGATGAACGTGACGGGGCGTGCAAAAACCGTCAAAGTCATGGCGCCACTGCTGAGGAGCATCCTCATGCAAATCCCAACGCCGCTTGGCTGGGCTGGCGAAGAAGACATCAGAGCGTGGATTCTGATCGTCGGCTTCTCGTGCGCCGGCGATGGAAGCGACGTGGCCGAGTGGTTCGCAGAGCAGGTGTCTGGCTGTGCCAGCAGCCGGTCACTTAACTACTTGAAGGACCCATTGCAGTGTCGTCAGGACGCCGACCGCGTTCTGGCCGAGAGACTCGAAACGTTCCAGCGACGAGGCTTCTTCTTTGACGCGCCTGTGCAGAGGTCGCGAACCCGGCGACTCGCCCACGCGATCAGCACTAGCTTCTGGGCCAGGCTGGCCTGGAGGAGATGACAACATTCTCGTAACATATGAGAGCATCTTGCAGCTAACCTCGTCTGGAAAGAAGCCGTAATGGATTCTGATGAGGGCACCTGTTGACAACAGCGATATATATGTATACACACACACCTCATCATCCGATTATGGAACGGAGTACTTGTCTTCAATAGTATAATACCACCTCTCCATTTCTACTTCCCCGTCTCACCTCCCACCTCCGTGCGCACCCCTTCCCCTTTCTCTTTTCACTCTCTCCATCCTCCCTCCTTCCCTCCACCCCCCGCTCCCCTTCCCCCTTCTCTCTGGCTTCCTCGATATCAGCTCTGGGACCAGCTCCTCAGCCACGCCTACAGACAGTGGATGCCACGAACCACTGACAAGCCACTCAGCAAGCTCTCTTCCCCCTCGCTCAGCTCATATATCGGAAGATATGCTGTCGCAGGCCGGGGCACGACTCTTGCACTGTCGTTGTTGGTTGCCAAACAATTTCCGTCCGTTTACCTTGCTCGATGCATCGATTGCAGAGTGGGGAGTTGTTGTTGCACTCTACGTAGCTCTTTGACATTGTCACATTGAAACAAATATCCCACATGCCCAAGTTGGTTCTTGTGGAAAGCCAACCGCAACTGCAACATAGGGGTATCTTCAGCTTCTCTACCACGGCCCAGGGCAGCCCCAAAGTCTAGCCGATACTCTCGCTGCGAGTGCGGTGTCAACTTGACGGCTTGTCGATCTTGAATCTCACGTCCACATCACCCTCCCCAAGGGGGATCGGATTCGACTCTTCATCGAACAGTGTCCTCTCGAAAAACCGAACATTCATATCTTGGTCTGCGAGCACAACGGTCTGCTTCTGCGTCCCGTAAAGTCCGCTGACGCCCAGCTGTCGAGCCCTGAACGGAGGGTTGATGGACGGAGAGTGGCGCCGTACCGGTGTATTGTGCCCTACAATGTCGACTTTCTCGTGTCTTTTGGCGGCGGCGATCTCGTCGTCCGCGAGGTGATGGTGACCATTCATGTCCTTTCGTCCCAAGGTTGGCACGTAAATGGTGTTTCTTAGTGCTGGAATATACGTTTCGAGGCCGGATCCATCAGGTTCACCGTTTCGAGGCAAGGTTTCGTGGCTCAGAAGGTCAAGAAATCTTCCGATTAGCTGATCTTCTGTTTCTTCGTTCTCAATACTCTGGCGGATTGTGTTCAACATGAGTTCTTCGCCCAAAGTGACCTTCTTCCAGGATCGATCCGAGAAGGGACCATTGCTGAGGCCAACTGTGTGCACCACGTCCCCTGCTATCCAAGGAACTTCACTTTGATGCTGAGCGCGGTTCGAGATGACGGCAAGCTTCTCGCCTATGTGGCCACACACGAGACTAAATCCACCAGCGTCCTTGGCTACGCCAGTATTGACCACGTCTTTGACGAACTCCTCCACGGGACCGACATCTTCAGACAAGAACTTTTTGATGATGGCGCCACGGCTGACGGCGGTGGGGGGAGGCGTGACGTCTTCTTTGAAGTTGGTGAGGACAGCAATCTTGCCTGTTCTTGTCACTCCAAGCCATGTCCCGTGGATGTCGCGGAGCATGTCCCGTCCCCCGAGGACATGTGAGTGAGGATCTGGCCACCATCCGGCAGTGTCGGTTGGTCGGTTCAGATACTCGTCGCGGTTGTCGATGAGAATGAGTCGATAGGAAGGATGTGCGGTGGAGATTATTGCGATGCACATTTTTGAAGTCAGATGAGTGTTGTCGACCTGAGGGAAAATATGGGACCGGGAGACGCAGGAGAAATAATGTAAACCGGCCAAATTTATATGCCAACTGTGACGAGGTGATGAGTCTTTCCGATTGCTATCACACCACTCACTCTCAGGAACCCCCCGGAGTCTGGTAGCAAAGCCTCACGAAAAAGGGGACGTCCGTTTGGAGCACAAGGGCGGGCTTTTGTTGGGTTGCGCCACGTAGTTTTCGAGGGGACCTGCAGCAAACAAAAAATGACGAACCGCAATCAATCAGTCGACGACATGATCGTCGGGAACCGAGGCGAGAAGTATAAGAAGGGGTGGCGTAGGAGCCAGTAGGGAGAGCCGAGTACTAGGTAAGTGGGTTGGTCAAATGACTTCGTTTTCTCCGATACCTACCTAGGTATGGAGCAAGGAGCAGGGTCTGCACTGAGTTGTACGACAAGTCTCTTTGCTTGGATATCGCGTGGGAACAGGGATCGCCAGCCTCGATGGATATGGATTTTCCTTACGAAAGGGAAGAAAGGACAAATTGATATTGCTATTATCCCCTTCTGGATCCCTTCTGGAAATCGTGGAAGCTGCTCATGGCGTATGATAACTCCACCGTAGACGATGCTCTAGGTTTGTACGGCCGCGCATTTCGTTGCACTTGCCCCGCGCCTTATCGATAGGAAACGAGGCTGAGTTCCGGGCCCGCAGTGTGCGGAGTCCGCGCAGCCTGATCCTCTGACCTGCCACTGCCTGCCACCTGCCCATCCGTCAGGCACACACCGACTTTGAGTGACTTTGGCTTCCCTCAAATCCTTCCTGTACAGGACAATCTGTTGTCTCGACAGACCAACTTGTGCCACATGTTGTGTCTAACTTGGCTGCCTGGTGGGTGTCTCAGAGATACTTAACGTTGCTTCGTCAACTTTCCAGCGCCATTGGCCTCCCACATCATCAGCCTTCTCTCAATTCACTTCTGCAAAGTCACCATGTTCGGGATCATAGCAGACCTCATTGCGTGAGTACAGCAACAGCAAGACCAAACCCATACTCTGCGATAACACAACTAACCTCTCTTCCACTGCTTTCGTCCAGCTCCGCTACCACGATCCTCCTCCCAGCGTACCTCTCCTACAAAGCTCTGCGCACCAATGACCCGGCTCAAACGCACCCGTGGTTGATCTACTTCACCATCCTCTCCCTCACTCTCCTATTCGAGTCCTGGACCCTGTTCATCATAGGCTGGATCCCTTTCTACTCATGGCTCCGCCTCATCTTCCTTTTGTACCTCGTCCTCCCTCAGACTCAGGGTGCCAAGGTGTTATACCTGGACTATTTGGAGCCGTACATCGTCCACCATGAGAGGCAGATTGACCAGTTCATTGGCGAAACCCATGACAAGCTGCAACAAATGGGGTTGGGGTATATGAATATCGCAATCGAATGGGCACGAGAGAAGATTTTGGGGCAGAAGAGTCCACAAGGGGATGCTGCTCAGCAGCAGCAAGCAGCAGCCGCAGCAGCAGTGGGGGGCTACGCCAGCTACGCATCAGACCTCCTTTCCCGCTTTGCCATGCCCGGCGCAAGGACGAACACCCCTACCCAACCCGGCACAACCTCTGCGGGCGTGTACAGTATGGTGTCGAACTTCGCTGCCGGCCTGGCTTCCACATCCGGCGGCTCTCCTCCTCAAGGAGCAGCATATCGCTCTGCAGCCGCCGAAGCCGCTTCGATCTCCATTCCACCAAGCCTGTTCCAGTTCGAGAACATCCCCGGGCAGTCCACGGCTGAGAAGTCCTCATTCATCACCGCACAACGTGACAGGTTATTGGGGCTAGTGAAGATGCTGGACAGCGAGCAGCAGAACTTAGACTTGGCCTACGGCGCTGCTCCAGGTGAAAGCAGGACTGGCGGGCATAGTAAGCGACCCTCAAGCTCCGGATCTGGGCTGGCCATGGGCGGTGGATTAAAGACAAAATCGCGGAGCGAGCAGTCCTTTGAGAATGTCGACTACGACGAAGCCACTGGAGGTTCGAACACGCCGGCCGAGGCTTATGATCGTCGGCGGACAAGCGGCGGCGTTGAGGGTACCAGTGCCGGCGGAAGCGGAGGCGGAGGCTGGATCCCTTCGGGCGTCAGTGGATGGTTCTCAGGCAGTCCTCCCCGTGACGGAGCCGAAGGTGATAGTGGTCGCTATGACCGGAGCGAGCGGGATATGGACAGGGACCGGATGCGAGGTTCTGGACCAGCATCTCGAGGATGGAACGCCGCAAGGGATATCACGGATGAGATCTCCCGCGGCATGAGCAGTGGGGTCGATTCCTTGATGGGAGACTACGATCGACGACGCAGTTGAAAGCATCCGGGCTACCAGTTAAAAAGGGGGCGCAAAAGGCGAGACTCGTACTACCACGGACGGGAAAGGGACAGGATAGGAAAGGACAGGGATGGCTCGGGCACACGACGCAGCAGAAGCTATACCTCCTTCCCCGTGCTGTGCCATGGCAAACAAAATTCAACAAATTCTCCCGATCGAGAATGGAGCAAGGGATATTACGTATAAGAGATGCCACTGTCCGTCTTACGTCTTACGGGACAATCGGTCCAGTTCTACCTCCCTTGGTATGTAGTCATGTACATGAAAAATGTCCGCAGATAATTTATGCAGTTCTCCAGAAATCCAAATGGCAAACAAAGTACCACTGCGACACAAAAAGGCTTGTTGTGCCTGTATTGTAGCCCGAGAGTACGAGGTAATAATTACAGACGATGGATGAAACCGATCAGGTCGCATGACACTTACTCACTCACAGTGTAGAAGATCTTTGTGCATTTCTCAAGAACGACACACACACATATACATATATATTGCGCCATCGTCGTGGTCCTTCCATACCGTATATCTCATGCTCCGTGAATTCATTCATACGCATATACGCAATATGGTTAATGTTCACGCACTCCCCAAGACTCAGACTCAGACTCGATGATACACCGACGACGCCCTGTTGCTTTCCCCCACGAGTCAATTCAATACCAAGCATGACTCCCATGGATCAATGTACTCCAGAATGTGCATCCACACAAACAAACATTGTACAGCCTGCAAAGTATATGCCAGTCCACTAACCCATTGGACTCCCCTCCGTTATATGGACGAGCCAGACTCAAGAATGGCCCATGAAATCGAACACTCGGCCGAAATGCGGTATCCGCGGCTCATTTCATGCTCGCCTCCCACTCCGGCGCTCCTCTCTGAAACAAAGGTGAAAAAATTCATAATCATCGCGTCTCTGCGTCGTGTGCACCAAAACAGACAAAACTTTTAAATCGTTACCAGCACACATCCAATGCGGCGCATCCGAGCCGCCGCGATCGTCGAGTCATTACTGGCGACTAAAGCCTGTAAATAACATCCGTAACTGTTCATTCAGTCGTCGTCTCGCGCCTTTCTGTCCGAATCCGGAATCTTTCTCGGAATCTCCTGGCGAGACCGGATCGCTCCTCATCGTTTTCCGGACGATTAGATCGAGTCTCCTGCCGCAGCCGTCTCAACGCCGCAATGCGCTCTTCTCGAGACCCGGAGGCCAGATGTCGGAGATTAGCCACAGTTTCCCTTCGTCCTCCTCTGTGTGGACTACCGGTGGCGTCGGCAGTACCAGCAGGAGGTAGTGGCGGTGGGAATTGGCCATCCTGGTCCGCTGTCGCGGTAGAACCCCTTCGTTCCTCGCCCTCGATCTCTTGAGCCTGTGGTCTCAGGTCGATTCGACATAACGGACAGGTTCCGCTGACGTTCAGGAGCCACGGGTCAACGCAGTCAGGATGGAATTTGTGGTTGCAGGGCAACACACGCACTTCCTCTCCCTTCTTGAAATCCTCGGTACATATCGAACAGCCCAGATGACCTTCGGCATCAGTACCGTCGGGGTTACTGGTGGCGATGACTGCTGGTGCTCGGTCGCTGCTTGACTCAGAAGTGACGACCTCACCCGCTCCAGCTTTGTTCGTCGAGTCCGCATTGTTGGCACCAGGCGCCGGAGTGGTTCCAGCATTCATTTCGATATCTGACCCTTCGGCTGGTTTAGCGGGCAGATCTTGATGATCGCCAAACTTGACGATCGGGAGGGTCTCAAGCATAGCACGCGCGATACCCTTGGCACGACTTTGTCTGCCTCTGCCGGCGATGTTTCTAGGTCCGTACCTTTCAGGGTGTCGATGCGCCCGGATGGCGCCAGTGACGATAATGACAACGAACAGAGCGGTGATGATGCCGGTGATGGAATACAAAATGATCATGGCAACCGCGGTCGTCGGAGATTGTCCGATGCTACCATTTCCGTTGAATCCAGGCGCAGAGGAGTTGGTGTAGGACGTCAGATCTGGAAGGATGGTGGCTGTGCCGGGACTTCCTTGGGTCAGGCTCAAATCAGCCAGCTTGGACGCTGTCGCACGGTTGGTTGTTGTCAAAATTCCTCCGATCGTCGGAAGCCCATCTAGCCCGGTTGCGGTGCAATGATCGCTTGTCTCGCTGTACAAAATGACAATGTTGGCGCGCGGTGAGTTCACCACAATACGGAAGACTTCACTTGCATCCAAGTTGTCAGGATAGTCCTCCGGATCGCAGGAAACATAGGAAAACTGATCCACATCTGCGATGTCGTTGGCGTTGGACGCATCGAGATTGACCAAATGTCCTTCCACACGGACTTGGAGAAAGCCTGCATGCGACATTTGTGCATAAGGACCTAGCGGTGCCATGTCTACCACAGGAACGTTGGGGAATTCGGTGCCATTCAAGATGAATCTGGGGGACGTCGAGACTGGAAGCAGATCTTGTGTGTTGTTCGACGGTGCAATAGCCTGAGCCGCCGTCCTTGAGCACAAGAACGTCAGCGCTGAGACCAAGATGGCCAGCCATCTCTGATGAGGTCGAGCGACAGCCATGTCTGTGGTATATGGTGCCACCGCCGTCTCTTCGTGCCCAAAAACAATAATGCTCTTCCCGCTCGTCACAGAGACTCCACCTCAGATCAATTATGCAGGCGTTCGATCCGCTAGGTGCGTGCAGGTCGGACAAGAAATCGAACAGACAGGACTTGCAGTGTATTATATCGAGCAAAGAATCGGGGAGTGCGCCATGACACCCACTCGAGGCAAATCAGAGGGAAGAGTTAGCGGCCGGGCGATGCTGCTTACATCCGTCGACAAAGGATCGACAGAGAGTATGGGCGGGTAGAGGTACTTCGTTCGAAAAGGGGACGGGGATGATTTGGAAGCACGATTGAGGCTGTGTTGGCAGGACTGGCAACGGCAACGGTTTCGTGTTTGAGAACTTGTCACAGAAGTCGAGTTTAGTCGAGTTTAAAGTGCTGTCTGCGATCCAAGGGCCCTCCAAGGTGCAGACGGTGCAGCTGATCGGAACGCCGGGAAGCGTGGAGTGATCCACAGACAACCTTGGGCAAACCAGGACGTCGGGGGTGGTAATCGATTGGCGTGGGATGTCGTATGCCCACAGCACCGAGTCCATCCACCTGGCACCAACCTGGGATACGAGGTGATGGGGATATCCGGCGGTTATCCTTGGTTCACAAGGAGGAAAAAGAAAACTTGTCCTTGTTGCATGGAACGTTGTTGGGTAGCCGTTACCCTGTGATCGATCCCCTTTTCCCTGCATGAATATCGATGCGAGAGTCAGGCGGCAGGCGTCAGAGGATGCTGATGTTGTAACTTGGGTGTGAAGCAGGGGCATGAAAACCCTTGCAGCGGCTGCGACAAGCACAACCACAGCTTCTGGTGCTGGTGGTGCTGGTGGTCCTGGTCAGCACAGCTCTGGGGATAACGAAGGGGAACCTTCAACCCGTAGGGGAAGGAGAGGACTCAGAGGAGAGGGGTTCAGTCTTCAGGGTTGGTGGAAACCGTCCGAGGGGCGACAATAATGTCAAGAAACCGGAACAGGTGGGTTGCCGAAGCCGGACTCTCGTTAAGCATCGCCTAACAATGCCTGGTGTGTGCCTAGTGGGTGCTTGTGGTGCCTATCGCGTCGCCTATCAGTCTCGCAAGCCGGGGGCTCTTTAGGCGTCACTAAGCCAAGGGGCTAACCACCCACTCGCACCCTCTACCACCCACCACTTGGTAGCTAAGGGAGCCGTGACGCGTATTCACACCCATCATCTCAGTCCATCAAAACCTTTGCAATGCCAACCCGCAATCATGCACAAGTAATAGATGTACACCACAACCACAGCTGGCACTTCCTCAAAGGGCTTAAGCAGCGGCACGCGACAAATCAACCTCTGCTGCACGCGTATTCCTTTGCGTATTTCTCTGTTCTATGACCACGTTGCTATTAATACCCCAGATGATCGTCACCTCATGTCTCAAGACTGCCAAAACACTCCCGTGCAGGGGATCAATATAAGTTGTGACCGCTGACAATCCGGAGAAAATATCCCTCATACTCCTTGCCGAGGGTACTCTGGCCATTGTTCAGCAGTATGGACATGGCGCGCAGGTACAATGTACTCGGCCGATACTGACGACTACGTCCCAAACCAGACGTCAGTCTCCCCGGCATATTATTCCCATGCTTTGGCCTGGGGCACACCTGGTTGGGAGAAGAGCTAGACGCAACGACCTTATGGCTCTTTATCAATCATACGGAATATCTATCGAGCACTCGACAGCGATACAAGTGCATCTCATTCTAATCATAGGAACATGGAGGCGACATTCTCCCTAGAACTCCGCCAGTCCTCCGTACCAGGTACCTACTAGGTACATAAACGATACTTTTGCGGACATATGACTAGGCACGTGCTGAGTTAATACACAATCCCCCATGCCATGTTTCTTGGTTGATGGGCTCATTCTCTGTTCCCAGTCCCAGATACGGTGACACTATTGATCTTCAACGTCAGGTAGAGTCGACTTCCTTCTGGCGTCTCTCAAGCGGTCAAGACAGACGGTAAAAAACTCTTATGTCTCTTTTCTCTTGATGCAGAACGCGATGCATTGGACTCTAGTCCTACTACCCCGTCAGTTTGTATTAGGCCAAAGGTATTGCAGCCACTCTGATACACCGTCGCGTCACTGAAAGAAATCTCAGTTTTGACAACCCATGCGGCCGTTCTCTATTGTGCCTATGGATCCCAGCCCAGCAGCTGGTCCTCGAGAAAACGCAGATGATCGGGGAACATATTTCGTATACCTCTCTGCTAGAGCTGATTGGGTGGTTGCTGCAGTCGGGGGCTGAAGGCGCAGAGTCTACTGACTGCCGCAAAGAGGAATTCTAACCCTAACTCTGTGGCTGAGGCGGTACCTAGATCCATCAGTCTCCGAGCCCACGATCTCAGTTCATCTTGTCGCCGAACTCGAAGCTTACGGGCCCTTCAATGTCAGCGACCCTCCATTTTTGGCTGATTCCAGAATCACCGTGCTGTTCGAGGTAACGGTATACCAGAACCTCATATTATTGCCAGGAGATCCCAACAACCTGATCTTGCAGCCGCCTCCATGATCCGCTTCATCATGGCCCCAAGGCTTTGCGACCCTCCCGTCTGACACGGATCTAGGCACTTCCCGTCTGGTGATTCCGATCCTGAGTCGATGTCACAGAATAGGTGAACGAGGATGATGTACCGCGCACACAACTGTGTAGCCCTTTACATCTCAAAGTTGTGGTTTCGGCTTAGCCGTCCATGGAAGCCCTGTTTGCGCAGGCTTGATATCGGTCTTCTTCCTCGATCAGCCAGCTACTGGAAGCCGCATCACTGCTCCAAAGCACGGCACGAGTAGCCATGGCTGCTGATCGCCGAGACGTCCAGACGCCTTCCAATTCCAACTTGCAGTGTCCTAAAGATCACCATTTCGTCCAAATTCCCAGATTCGCGAAAGCCCAGAAGGCTTAGCTGATATTCCCTACAGGCTCTAGCGCTGTCCACTAATCGCGCCGGGGAGCAGAATATAGACTTGCGCTGCAGGATATTACTGTCAGAATCTGACTATTCAGACGCAGTGTTTATGAATTCTGGCATGCGCCCAAATCTGCTGCCTTGGGGACAAGCAAGCATGGCGTTGCGTTGTCTGCGCATGTTCGAACAAGTTTAGACACTGCGCATTGAGCAAGGTCTGCCTCGACTCGATGAGCCTGTGGGACGGCGACCTCTGGGATATAAACATGATTGCCACCCACTTGTCTGGGTACCTCTAGGTAAGGATCAAACCATCGGTAACAGCCTTGGAATTTCTCATCGTTTGAGCTGCAAATGGCGATCTCAAAGAACAACATCTATCGCCTATTGGGCTACACAACCCCTTTCGACAAGAACCACAGTTTTGTCTCCTCGTGGGCTCTCCCCCCAGTCGTCCACGGCGGTCTGCGCGTGCTGCTTGGCCTCTATGCCTTCACCGCCATCATCTACTCCTACATCTGGTTCTCCGGCAACATCGACATCTACCACCTGCACGACGTTGACGAACCTTCCTACACGACCGTTATCGGCTCCTCCGCCATCGGTCGGTCGTTCTCCTACTTCACCTACCTCTCCTACTATGGCCAGGGGTTCTATTTCTTGGTGACCGCGGTGCATACCTTCTTCTATGCGAAAACGGGGACGAGCTGGCTGCACGACGCCCGTTTCCCGCCGTCCTTGCAAGTCCTGCATTCCTTGTACTACAGCATGGTGACGTGCTTTCCGATCCTCGTCACCCTCACCTTCTGGTGCACCATGTACGTCGGCCCGTGGTACACGGTGACATTCGACGCCTGGGCCAACATATCCGTGCACGCCATGAACACATTCATGGCCTTGCTCGAGATCACTCTCCCCACCACTGACCCCTTGCCCTGGACGCACCTGCCCGTTCTCATGGTCATATTGTCGCTGTACCTGGGCCTGGCGTATCTTACCCGTGTCACCGGCGGGTTCTGGGTGTATGAATGGCTGGACCCGGAGCTGGGCAAGTGGAAGGTCGTGGTGCATGTCGTTGCTTACTCGGTGGCCATTGTCGTCATCTTTGGCGTCGTGAGACACGCCATCTGGACCCGGAACTGGCTCCTCAGCCGTGCACGCCGCGGGGTGGACGGGGAGAATGCAGAGAAGATCATGGGCATGGCGGACTCTTCGCGCTCCAGTAGGACCCTGGTAGTCGCCGAACTAGAAGCACAGATTCCGTCAGACGGATTGTGGGTGCCGCCGAAGCACCATACGGCACCCCGGGTGGCCCAGCGGGTAGACTTGTAGCTGGTGTTGAGTTATAGATAGATGTACTTTAATTTGGATGACACGTTACGACTTCAACTTCCTCAACTGATATGGAATCTAATACTTCACCACTTGACATAGCCATGTTTGTCGCGTAGATGTATATAAGTCGGCAATGCAATGCAATGCAATGCAATGCAATGTATCTCGGCTGCAAATAGGTGGTCAATTCTTCCGAATGGGATAATCACTCACACGCTCTAGCCAGATCTATCGTTCCGGTTGTCATTGTGTTGAACTCATGAACGCCGATAATGACCCACTTCTTTCCTATGGACGGCTGTAGCTGCAAAGGCCCGCAAGCGATCTGATCGACGGGGTGTTTGGCAGCAGTGAGGTGCCGGGACATGAAGTTTCCTGGGTCCAAACCCGCCCAACACGTGCGCCGCGATCGGCTCGACAAGGGAGTGATCAGTGATCAGTGATCTGAATACTTTCTTTCTCTTATTTTTTCCCTTTAAACCGTGTTCTATCTCCACCGCAGTGTCTATCTGTGCCCGCCAGCGATCTAGTCTCTAACACCACGTCGGGGCGACGCGGCGTAGATACTTGATGAATTTCCACAGACCGACGGCGCTTTCGGTCTTGCCTGCCGGATCGGTGACTCTCTCGGGGAAGGCAATGCCGGCGCCGTAAGCGTGTGGGACAGCATGGCCGTTGCCGTCCAAAAGCACGCCCTTGGTCGGGTCGTGGGTGATGTTATGGAGAAGCGTGCCGTCGACGGAGAGCTGTGGGAGCGGGTCCCTGGTGTAGCCGATTGCCTCGACAACGTGCGTGCACGACGAGAGCTGAGGTGTCATTGACGCGTCGCGAACGTCCGGGCAGTCGACCTTTGTGAGTACCTTGCCCACGGGCGACTCCGCCAGTTTGTCATCCTCCAAGTGCTCGCGGGCAAAATCTGCAGAGGCGCCTTTTAAACCCGTGTTGTCGCGCAGGATCCAGCCGTCCATCTCGACAGCATAGGTCAGGGGGCTACGGACGAACCACTTGATCCGGAGGTGCGGGTAGGTACCACCGGTTACCAGCTCGTAGAGGTTCATGATGGCGACGATGGCGCTGTGAGACGTGCCTATCACTCCAACAACCAGATTCTTATCCGCCGCTGCAAGGCTGGTTCGCAGGTTCTGTCGATCCAGCACGGCGTCGAGGTCGAGGATGGTAGGCAATGAACTAGGTAAAGGTATTGTCGTGGGCGACGAGCCCGTGCACATGATGACGTTTCGGGAGTAGATTTTTTGGCTTGGCCCCTGGTTCGTCGGGTCGAGACTCATTGACCAAGAGGCTGGCGAAGTTTGGAAATGCGCAAGAGACATGTTGCCAAGGTGTGTCTCGACATTGGGATGTCTGCGAAGGCCGCTTGTCAACATTGTCAACATGTCTGCCGCGTACTTGAGGCGGCAGCCGCGGTTCTGCTTGAGTGCTTCGAGCACAGTCACAGCATTTGGCTTTGGTGTTGAAGCCACAATTTGTCGGAACGGGTCGAAAGCATCGGCATACTGTCGGAACAGAGATGTTTTGGTGTTGCTAGATAGGGGGAGACAGGGATTAGCCCGTTGGTTAATATTGAGAAAGGGTAAGCAGGGTCATTAATACCTCGATACGTCCCTATATCGCTTTGATATTCTTCCCCCTGAGAAGTCGGGATCTACCCACCCGATCCTGAAGGCTTTGTGGGAGTGGAGGAGCGCACCAACCACTGCGACACCTGCTCCTCCAGCGCCAACGACCACTGCGTCGTAAACCTTCTTTGGCACAGCTATTGACATTGTGTGCTGGTCGAACAATCCATTGCAAGATAAGCTGTGAATTTATCCCTAGGCGATAGTGGTAAGTACGCCGTGGTACGGTAAGTCGGAGTTTTCCCGGTCAATATCTGACATCGCCCCATTCCCTTTTCAGGGATAACTGATGGGCTCGCATATCCACCTACAAGTGCGTGCTGCATATATTCATGGCTTGGGTGTAGCATCGTCCAAGATCCCGGCTTCCATCTAAGGTTTGAAGGTATATTGTAGAAAATAATGATCTTCCATATTGCAAGCCAAGTACGAGTCTGTTGAAGGCTAAGGCGGCTAGGCGAAAGGGAAGCTTGGCTGTGGTTTAGCCATTATGTCCACAGAGAAAGGAGAATGAACAGTATTGCGCAATGGGCAGAGTATCTTCAGGGAGCTCTATCGCGACATTTAGGTCTGCTTACCAGCTTGGACGCGGTGAAGAATCAAAGAAAGGTTGAAAAAAGAGGGGAAGCTCAACAGGTTGAAATGCAATGTCAGCCTCGCGCCTGACGAGGCTGCGTCGTGCATTGATCAATTACGTCACAACGCATCCTTTAGGCATCTTACAGTGGCTCTCAATGCTGAAGCTGCCACCAACTGTCCCTACGCACCAAGTCTGCCACCAAAACTATTTTCAAACCCAATCAGCAAGCTTCCATCGACCGTATGGCACCTTCTAGGGGGAGGACGGCGATTGCCTCAGCTGCAGACGAGGGCGACACTGCCGTTCAACAACAGTCCGATTCGGCCCTTATTTCCGCCAAACGAAACCTGAACTACCTCTTCTCGCCCACCGCAGCTGAAAAGCCTGCTCGATTTCGAACACGCGCACTGCTCCGCACAGTTCGATACGTGGGACAATTCATCATCTGGCGGCTGGTACGCTGGGCAAAATATGCTGCGGTGGGAGCTTTGGTGGCGGCGGTGGGAGCCACTGCGTTTGGAGGCATGATATCGGGAGTAGCTTGGCTGGCTGCTCCCCCGACGATAGGAGCGAGCATCATTGCAGCGAGTATTTGGGGAGTGGGCAGATTTGCAGCCAGGAGGCTACATAAGAGATGGAAGAACAGCGGGGGCGATGTGGCAGAGGAAGTTAGGGAGCGGGCGGGGGATCAAGCGGGAGAGATCAGGAGAGAGGGTTCGTATGGGTTGGATGTTGGACCGAGAGCTGTTCCATGGTGAGGCAGCAAGACGTCGGGGTGGTACGAAGATTGTCCAGAGCACTGCAGAAGGCATACTCCATGTGGTCTGCTCGTGCAAATGATCAGTCAACCAGGCTGAGAATGGTCGATAATTCGGCCGTCCTCGTCACTCCGCGCGGGCACTGATATCATGACAGGTGACAGAGCACGTCAACTTCGGAGCACATGTCACCAACGTGTTGTAAGTTCTCAACAGCATACATATTCTCATCTGTAGGACGAGGTGTATTTCCCAACACTTTTTCACAGTGCCAGAGGAGTTCACATGCTTTCAACACTCGTCCACAGAAATCATATGATAAATTCAACATATCCAAATACCCTATGGTGCTCACCAGGTGCCTTGTTGTCAAGAAGGAGCCAATGATATAGTACTCCTTCTGTACTGGAAATAGGAGCCGGATAAGAGGAAAAAGGACTGCCTGTCAGAGTGATACGAAATACGGCCACCGAAACGAAGAGCGAGGGCCCAACCGTTCCCAAGACGTCGCCCCGAGTCCCTGGAGTGGCATGTGCCTCGGAGGGACAGACCCGAGATCTGACCAGCTCCTTTAGCCGCCTCGCCGCCAAGTCTCAGAATTCGGTTGAGCCGCGGGCTGGTCTTTTGAGGGATAATCCGACTGCTGATCTAACGGGGCGATATTCAGATGAAGCGCCGAGTCTGAGTGTCCTTCGTACTCGTAGATGAGGCTGAGAGTCACAGTGCCCGACTGGCTGCCTCTATGCAACCCTTCTTCTATGCTCTACACTCGGATTCTGTTGCTAGCTATTCTTGTTCTTTCTTCGTCACCAGTCCACGGTGTTATGTTGGGGAAACCCAGTCAAAATTCCCCTAGCGGCAGGGATCTGGGCTTCTAGCGGGCTTCTAGCGCAAGGCACCAAACACGATCCACCAATCACAGGGCAGTCGGACGTCGCTGCCGGTAGGGGCTAGTGACGTTGCTCTTCCCCAACAAAAATCACAAAACCCTGCAACTGTGTTTTTCTGGCCTCGGAGGCTGCGCTGGGTTGCCGCTTCCCAACTGCAGTTTTTGGGGTTGGGTGAGCTCATGAGACGAGGCAAAATCTCTGTCAATTGCCAGATTTCCTATGTAGTTCTCGCCCGGCCTCTGTCGCTCCACCATTCGTCTGTCAGGGTCATGCAACTGGGTCTTGTATCCGCCGAGCATGATCGTCGTATCCTCGAACGCTCTATTGCCTCCGATCAATTGCCTGAGTCTCTTGAGTCTCTGACCCATTCACTCCCTTTCCACCGACTTCCCCACAATCACCTCTCAACATATCTGAGGCAGCTCAAACACACCAGCACCCTTTGGGACCGTCCTCACCCTTCTCATAAATATAGCCTCCGGTCCCAAATCCTGAGCTGATTTCCCCCTTCCGTTCCTTCATCCCATCCTCAGTTCTCAATACTCAGTACCGGCATCAGTTGAATCTTTGCTCAGCTTCAACAATGCCTTCGTCTCAACCCACAGCTGGTGACCTGGCTGTCAAGCCTGAGTTCCAGTCGTCTCAGCCACCAGCAATGGCTAAACCCTCCGAGCCCAACAGAAGTACCAAGTATGACCCCAAGAAAGTCCATATCACCGAGACGCCCATGACACGGTCGAACTGGTACAAGCACGTCAACTGGCTCAACGTTACCCTCATCGTCGGCATTCCAATCTGGGGCTGCATCCAGTCCCTCTGGACGCCTTTGCAGTTCAAGACCGCTGTCTGGGCAGTGCTCTATTACTTTGCCACTGGTTTGGGCATCACAGCAGGATACCACAGATTGTGGGCTCATACCTCCTACTCCGCCACTCTCCCTCTGAGACTCTTCCTCGCCGCCGTCGGTGGTGGTGCTGTTGAAGGCTCCATCAGATGGTGGTCACGCGACCACCGAGCACACCACAGATACACCGATACCGAGAAAGACCCATACTCCGTCCGCAAGGGCTTGCTGTATTCTCACATTGGCTGGATGGTTATGAAGCAAAATCCCAAGAGAATTGGACGTACCGATATCTCGGATCTGAACGAAGATCCGATTGTCATCTGGCAGCACAAGAACTACCTCAAGGTCGTGATCTTCATGGGTCTGATCTTACCTACTATCGTTGCTGGCCTTGGTTGGGGTGATTGGTGGGGTGGTTTCATCTATGCTGGCATTCTCCGAATCTTCTTCGTCCAGCAAGCCACCTTCTGCGTCAACTCCTTGGCCCACTGGCTGGGAGACCAACCCTTCGACGACCGCAACTCTCCCCGTGACCACGTCATCACCGCTTTGGTCACTCTGGGTGAGGGCTACCACAACTTCCACCACGAGTTCCCATCCGATTACCGCAACGCCATTGAATGGCACCAATATGATCCCACCAAGTGGTTCATCTGGACTTGCAAGCAGCTCGGTCTTGCGTATGACCTGAAGCAATTCCGCAGCAACGAAATCGAGAAGGGCCGCCTCCAACAACAACAGAAGAAGCTTGATCAGAAGCGTGCCAGGCTCGACTGGGGTGTTCCTCTCGATCAGCTTCCGGTCATGGAATGGGATGATTATGTCGACCAGTGCAAGAACGGCCGTGGTCTAATTTCCGTCGCCGGTATTGTTCACGACGTGACGGATTTTATCAAGGACCACCCTGGTGGCAAGGCCATGATCGGTTCCGGCATTGGCAAGGACGCCACTGCCATGTTCAACGGTGGCGTCTACATGCACAGCAATGCGGCCCACAACTTGCTCTCGACAATGAGAGTGGGTGTCATCCGTGGTGGCGGTGAGGTTGATATCTGGCGGCGGTCTCAACTGGAAGCCAAGGGTGAAGTCAGCCGTGACTCTTCTGGCGAGAGAATCATCCGAGCTGGATACCAGCCCACCAAAGTGCTCCAGAACACTCCCACAGCAGGTGCTGCTTAAATGCGGCTCACGTTGCACAGAAATGAGACGGGCTTGATGAGTTTGATATGGAAAATATTTTTACCTGCTAGCGAGATGTACAGTTCAATTGGGCGTTCCAGGAAACGGCGAAATGGCTAGTGGTCTGAGCGTGGATGATTATGGATACGGGATTCCTGATTCCAGGAGTGATTGATGACATAGAGCCTCGGAAAAGAAGCTTAGAAAAACACTCGAAATACCCAAGATATGTCATAGCAGAAAGCAAATTCACACTGATTGAAATTCGATTGGTGTCTTATTTGTTCAACTTGTACGAGGTACCAACATGTAGACACCTAGGTACCTGGTAGGCACTGGGCGTGAGGCTGGCTTGGCTAGGCTGCCGGCCGCCGGGTCGGTGGGTGAGTTTCTCCGCATCCAGCGTCTGTGCCCGGCACTGCCTCCGCTTCCCAATTCGTCCGAATTTCGCCTTGCGCTGGGCTGCGCTGGTCTTTCTCGCAGAGTATCCAACCGCATCCATCACCTTCTGTCCCCAAGGCTGACTTGCCACGAAATCCGACCATCGACCTGGTGTCGCACGATCGGTTCTCTGCATTGTTTTGGACAGCCATGCTTCCCGGCTGTTCGTATTTCATGATTGTAGTTGCATTTGCTTGGTCGCTGTCGCTCTCCACTGCCAGCATTCGCTCCTTTGCCATTACCTGATCAACTGACTATCGATTTATACTACTGAGATTGTCTTTCCCAACCATCATTGACACTTCGTCTCCCTAGACTCTAGAATATATATGACCATCATCCAGCCATGTCTTATCGAGAACTAGGCAACGAGAAATTCAAGGCCGGTGATTACAAGGAAGCCGAGCAACTCTACACCCTAGCGTACGTCTCTCGTTCCATGTTCATACCTGCCTTTCTCTTTGAGATGACAATGTCCTAACCTGGCCATTGAAACAGGATCGCCGAACACTCCCGCTCTGACCCCAAAGTCTTTACTAACCGAGCCCTCACCCGCATCCGTCTACAAGACTGGCCTGGCGCGGAATCCGATGCGCGCAAGGCGATAGAACTGTACGGTGTCAAGAATAAGAATGCCGCCATGAAGTCTCATTATTATTTGGCGCAAGCACTGCTCCCGCAACGGCATGTCGGTGAAGCGCTGGAAGAGGCCAAAATCGCGTACGCCATATGTCTAGAGACACACGACAGCTCTGCAGAGCTGATTGGCGGGTTCATCTTGAAAGCAAAGCAGGCACAATGGCAGGCTAAAGAGACAGCCCGGTTGAGAGAGATGAATGAGACGTTGGCGTTGGTGGAAGACTTGCTGGATGCGCAATTACAACGGGACATTGACGCGGTGGAAGAAAAGTTCAAGGCGGGCGAGATTGGGGAGACAGGCCGTCGGGAGGAGATTGAAGAACTCCAGAGAGAGGCGGAAGGTAGAAGAGCAAACATCAGGCGGGGATTTGAGGACAAGGGTGTGCCGGATTCAGCGGAGAGGGTATGGCACCGACCGATTGCATCTCTATATCACTGTTTTGCTAACCTTTCTGCCCTGTACAGGTTGTCCCTGACTGGCTCATTGACCCCATAACCTTTGAAGTGATGCACGACCCGGTTGTGACACCCACTGGCGTCTCGTACGAGCGAGTGTCTTTGTTGAAACACATCAAGGCCGTCGGATGCGACCCCCTCACCAGACAGCCTCTTAAGCCGGACAATTTGATACCCAATGTTGCGTTGAAGAATGCTTGTGGAGAGTTCCTGGAGAAGAACGGCTGGGCTGCTGACTGGTAGGCATTTTGAACTGAGAGGGGAGCGTTTCTCCGCAAGCTGGCTGGTCGGTGGTTATCTTGTCAAACAACCTCGTCCGGGTGGACGGCGTCAGCCTTGTCCTAGGTCAATGGGAATGATCGACACTTCTCGGTGTGAGTATTGCACTGGGTTATAACTGAGGAGGAGCATATTAGAACCCAGGGCTACCGAATCCTGCCAGCATGCAACGGCCTTTGGGGCATCTCTAGAGAGGATGCGAGACCAGGATCTACCTCGTCCTTTCTCAAAGGGAGAGGCTCTTATGCGGCGCTTGGATCTACACTCATGCCACGGTCAACAGATACCGAGCAATAGGCTGCATTTATTAATGACAGAGGGAAGGCGTTCGCTTGGATAGTAACCCTGCTGATGAAATGACAGCAGCAGCAGCAGCAGCAGCAGCAGCAGCGAATGGCATTGGCACCATCAACAATGGGGAGCTTGAACCATGACTGATGGACCATTCCTCTGTGTCAACTTAGGGACTTTTTAAGCCAACGAACTCCGCTGCCCTGACAGACCTCGCAGGTGGTTGAGTTTAAGGGGCGGGCCTGGCGGTCCTCGGTCAGCGCTCGGGGATTTACAGGTTGACAGGTTTCTTGTCCCCCACCAAAAGCCCTAAAGGCCCTAAAAGCCCAAATAGTTGGACGCTGGACTCTGACGTCGTTTTTGGTTGGGAGCATCACCACCAAATCCCCACCTAGTAGGCCTCATCTATGTTGACGTCTCGCTGCTGAGGTTTCCGAACTTCACTCAGATCTGCTCTGCATTCTTGCGTTGGATTTGAACATTGATTTCACCCAAGATACAGACGCTTGAATTAAGTGTCCCCTTGACCAAGAGAAACACCAGAGGTAAGCAGCTGGGTTCTACTTGTCCCTCCGACCTGATCAATGCGTCATGGTCACCACACCGACGGTGGAAGAGTCTTGCACCACCACGAGCGGGTGCGCCCTCAACGAGGAGGTTTCAAAGAAGACAGGATGCTCTACTTCCATTGACTCGCCTTGAGATCTCCCCTTAGCAGCCGTCTCATTCCTTGTGCTCGTCTCCGTCATACTTCTTCAGAGCAATCGTCGCTAACTCTGCATGTGCAATCTACCTAGGCAACCCTTTCCATCGTCACTTTCTTAAGATCCTTTCGGGATATTTCTGCCCCTACACTCTACACGTACAACCGCTCCCATTTATCGAGGAAAGAGAAAGGGATATACGTACACCTCGTCACTACTCTTGGTTGTTGAAAGCATGCCTTCCGCCGCGTTCCAAAAGGCCGCCGACGAGAGCCGTCAGCTCAAGGCCAAGCCCAGCAACGACGAGTTATTGGAGGTGAGTGCGGCTGCTGTGTCTTTCTTGTTTTTCCACATATCCGTCTAGACAAAAGGGTTTTAGACACAGAAGGCTCGGGTTAAGAAAACTGGAGGAAGTGGGCAGGGGCCCCCCGCCACATAAAGAACTAGCGAGGGCGAGGGCGAGCCGCTTGAAAAGCAGGACGTTGGATACTCATGGCGAAAGCTCTCGGCCGATGGAAAAAGGAACGGGATTGAGAGACCTGGACATATCATCTTCTCCCGATGGCTCTGTCTCGCTACCCTTTATCGCAAAGTCTCTTGAAAGCACGCCCTGCTATTCCAGAAACCACCATTTGCTCTCAATAGTTGGCCGTTATATTCCACCTTCCAAGCAAGCACTCGGCATTGATGAATCTCAAAACTAATGTTTCCGCAAAATCCAGCTCTACGCACTCTTCAAAGTCGCCAACGGCGAGGATATCTCCAAGGCTCCCGCTCCAGGAATGTTTGATTTGAAGGTAAGCCGCCGCCGACCTTGCATCCCATCTCTTGAAAACCCCCCACGCCGCTAACTAACACGGTCCCTCGTCTCTTGTGAATAAATAGGGCAAGGCGAAACACAAGGCCTGGCAAAAAGAGGTCGATGCCGGCACCAGCGCTTCGGCCGCCGAGGACCGTTACATCAAACTCGTCGACAGTCTCAAGACCAAATATGGCTTTGACCCAAGTAAAGCGCCCGAGGCGGTTGGTGGGAACTAGAGCGGGTTAAGGGTTTCGGGGAAAGGCAATAGGGCCAAGGGACGGGAGCCCCTGGTGCTGGGGTTTGCTGTCATGGCTCCGGCTACCACTCCTTTCAGACACCGGCTTTCCTCTTCACGACGGTAGTGATGGCTGAACTTTTGCCCGCGTTGTGGCGAGGGGGATTTCGGATCGGAGAGATCAATACCATTGCAAGCGACAGGCTCACGGGTGGGTATAGGAGACACATCAGAGGTTTTAAATCCTCGCACAATATACACGCTTATCACGCTTCCTGCGTCTCCAACGCCGGTTTGTCGTCCAGTTCTTCTGGTTCGTCGCCGTCGTCTTCGTCCGTTTCATCCTCGTCGTCCTCTTCGGTAATCTCCTGCCCCGCAAACATCATCCACTGTCCTCCCAGGACACTCTTCCGCCACACTTTGGTGATCCCGTCACTCCCCGTGCTCATGAGGACCTGCCCCTGGGAGTCGAAAGTGAGGGACCATGCGTCCGTGTGCGCCTGGGAGAGCGTGGTGGCCGAGGAGATGGTGGTCAGGTAGGGGAACGCGTAGCCCGTTCGCGCGGGATTCGCGCCGGAGGAGGGAGACGGGTGTGTCGCGGTCGTGGCGTGTCGGCCGCCGGTGATTTGGGTGGTTAGACTCGATTGTTGCTGGTGGCGCTGCTGCTGCTGCTGCTGTGTGCTCATACTGCGTGTCGTCGGGGTCGGGGCCCCAGTAGTGTGCTGCTGCTCTGCGCCACCGTTGCCATTGTTGCGATGGTGGCCATGGCCATTGCCGTTTCCGTTCCCGCCACCCGCGTCTGAGCCCTCCGCGACGCCGAGCTCAAAGACCCGCACCGCCCCGTCCTTGCACGCCGTGGCGATGCGATCGGTGCCCCGCACACTGAACGGCGCCCAGGCCACGTCCCTCACCAATGCAGGATGCGTGGGCAGCCTGATGGCTTCGTAGAACATCAGTCTATGGCTGGCGTTGCCGCCGCTGGTGGAAATCCCCGTGCCGCCACTGATGCCCATGCCTATGCCTCCGACACTCACGTCCGCTGCTCCTCCGGGCCCAGAGTGCGACGCGGGCACGACGCTGCGGTAGATCTTGACGTCGTTCAACGCGCAGACCACGAGACCCAGCTGGTCGCGGTCGTCGCTGACCGAGTTGATATACGCCAGCGGCGTCGGGTTCGGGTCGAAGCGCACCTTGAAGCTGGTCTCTTCGCCACGACCCGGCACGTTGCTGGGGGAGCCGCCGCCGCCGCACACGTTGAAGCAGTCCAGCAGGGTCCACTCCCTCAGGTCGTCCGGGCTGCTCGGCTCGTAGATACTCAGCAGGCCCTGTCGGTCGATCAGCGCCAAAAAAGTCGACACGTGGTCGCTCGCGAGCGTCTTGACGTCCATGCTCACAAACGGCACGCGCGGCGTTGACGGGATCGTCGCGATCCGCCGGAACCGGTGGCCTCCCCTGGGAGGCTGCGACGCGTCTTCGCTCCACAGGTGGAATTTCAGGTCGTTGCCGATGCTGGCCAGGTGCGTGCCCAGCGTTGGGTGGAGGAATTTGGCATCCCTAACATCGGAATCGTGCGCCGTGAACGTGTCGAGCAACGTCCTCTCGCCCGTCTTCGGATTGCGCTCCCAGACTTTGATTCGGTGGTCTATCGACGCCGTCAGGATGCGGGTGCCGTTGAAATTGGTGTGCAGCACGGTGACGCGGTCGTGGTGACCAGGGTCAAAGGCTGAGCTTTTGGCCATTTTCGACAATAGGTGGTGTTCACAAGCAGAGATCCGTGAGCTGACGTTCTCTAGCTACAGGGTAGACAAGCAGAGAACCTGCTGGGTGAGGGTGGAGGGGTCCGTGGTCGTCGGTCTTCTTGGGGAAGTAAATGCTTCATTGCTGAGATAGTTGGTGCGAATGGAGGTCGTACTAGGCTAGGCCATGCTGAGACATTGCGTCCCAATTGCTTTCCTTTTCGGTGATTAGGCTCGTGTAGACGTCTTGAAGCTCTGTACAATGCGCGACTGACGGTGTTGCATGCAGCAGAGCTGATTGAAATGAACAGTACCGAGTAATTAATATGGAGTTGATTGTAGCTTTCGAGGTTGGCATGTTGGATTTAAGCTGCTTCTGATTGGCGGAATCTCGGGGAGGCTGGCGACGGCGGATCATTATTGTTCCGGAGGGTCTTTGTTGGAACTGATCAGAGGACAGATTGTCACTCAAACCAGCTCGCCATCTTGATGTCCAGCGCCCTGCCATTGTTCTGCGAAAGGAGGCTGCTGTCGGTGGCTTCGTCGGGTTGTTCTCTCCTCTAGATCTTTCCACCGCCATGGCCGCCATCTACATGTGTTCGAGGTAGCATAAAGAAGCACCTGGCACTGCAGACCAACTTCACATGCCGCGGCAAACACCATGGCTTCTTCCACACTCAATCCTTCAGAGAAATGGTCGCTGCTTGTGAGCGCCGGGGCTTCTCTGGCTGTGATCGCAAACACGTTTCAGGGAGATGGAGCGCCTCTCGTGGCGTCAGTCGCCTTCTCAACCCTGGCTTTCTCCATGACTTATGCTTTTGTGCGATGGTCGGGCCCAGCGTTCGTCAAGGCGGGACTGAAGGGGAGAGACATGAGCAAAACCATGCCAAAAGAGATGTGAGCATCCTTCGAGATGAAGCACAGGGTGACATGCTAATCATCCTAGTCCTGAGGCAATGGGAGCAGTTGCTGCGGCGGTCTACATCCTGGCTCTGATGGCGTTCATTCCTTTCGCCTTCTACAAGGACATTGTCGCTGCTACATCCGGTGCTGGAAACAGGGATGTCGTGCTTACTGTCGTTGAGGTCGAAACGGGGCGCTTCTTGCACAGGTTCCCTCATTCGAAACTATCTTCGTACCAATCGGCGCTAAACACTCTCCAAGCCACGACGATTCTCGGCATATGCGACGACCTGCTCGACCTTCGCTGGCGACACAAGTTCTTCATTCCGGCGGTGGCATCACTCCCCTTGCTCATCGTTTACTATGTCGACTTTGGTGTCACTTCCGTGGTGGTCCCCAACTTTCTCGTCCCGTACATGCCAAACCAAGCTCGTCTCATCAACCTGTCGCTCTTCTACTATCTGTACATGTCGGCTCTGTCAATATTTGCGCCGAACTCAATCAACATCCTCGCAGGCATTAACGGAATCGAGGTCGGACAGTCACTGGTGATTGCGGGGTTGTTGGTGCTCAATTCAGCACTCTATCTGGTCCCGTTCCCTGGAAATCCGGTCTTGAATCACGCCTATGCCACCCGGCCACATCCCGCCACGGACGGCCATCTCATGACGCTGTACATTTTACTGCCATTCCTGGCTGTGTCGACGGCCTTGTACATCCACAACAGATACCCGGCTAGAGTCTTTGTCGGCGACACGTATTGCTACGTTGCGGGTATGACATTCGCGGTGGTGGCGATCATGGCGCATTTCAGCAAGACGCTGCTTTTGCTTCTGATTCCACAAATCGTCAACTTCCTGTACAGCACTCCGCAACTATTCCACTTGATCCCATGCCCCCGACATCGGCTACCCAAATTCAACGCAAGGACAGGCCTCCTTGAGCCCAGCGTGACGCCATGGCCGCCGGAGAGACCACCCAGCAAGCTGCTGACGGCGATTTTCTTCTTTCTGGAGAAGTTACGCCTGATTCAAGTCACAGTAGAGCCCAAGACGAACCGCATCTCGAGCACGTCTAACCTTACCATCATCAATTTGTGGCTGGTATGGAGAGGCCCCATGAGAGAAGACCAGTTGACGAGGGAGTTGCTGGTCATGCAAACGTGCTGTGGACTCTTGGGGCTGTTCGTGCGTCATACGATGGCGTTGCTGATTTTCAGCATGGATAACCGAGGCCAAGGATCTGCGGTATAGCAGCCATGATGTCTGGATTGCTATTAGATATTGAGAGACTCTTTTTATATAGACAATGGAGCTTCGTAGTAGAGAATTTGATCGGCCTTATGCCTCATAAGTTCCAAGAAGGGGTAACTTTTGCCGAAGATGATCCGAATTCAACGTCGTCAGTGCTGCCTTCAAGAGGATTCCATGTTCTTGTGGTCGAGTGCAACAGCCTCAAAACAGGTCCCTCAAGGTGACTATATGACACTATGAGGTTGTTGCGTTAGAGGGAATTCATTTTGCGGAGCCTTGATGAATGTTCGCCTCTCACTTCACGCCCAGGATCCTCCGACTCACTTCCTGCTCGACTCCCTCCCACATCTTTACTGAGACTCGTTCGAGGTCTGCATCTGCTCACACCTTCAGACGGCAGCTGTTAGGCTTTCATCAGATGGCATCAAGACCTTCAAAACGAATCAAGCTAGACTCCGGCCAGCATGATGTCCCATCAGCCTCGCAGGGATCATCTCCTGATGGCAACTTGGCAAACCCAGCATCCATCCGTGCGAAGAGAGCTGCCTTTCTCAGTTCAATTTCAAGGTCAATCTCACCGCCGGGGATCTCGAGGTCTGGGACAACGACACCTCAGCCACAAAATGAGATGAAGGGAGCTGTGAAAAGGGAGGCCACTTCTCGTTCTCCGCCGTCACCAAACCATTCTCCCAAGCCTGTACATGAAGGCTCAGACGTTCCCTTCACCGACTCTAAATCCAAGCCAGCTTCTGCAACGAAGCTCCTCCCGTCCCCCTTCAGACTCACTACGATCCGTGACCTCCCACCTTCAAAGAATGTCGACTCTGTCTCACTATATGACATTCTGGGAAACCCATTGATCAAGGAAGCGTGGATCTTCAATTACTGCTTCGATGTCGATTGGCTTATGACGCATTTCGATTCCGACATTCGCTCCAGTGTCAAAGTGAAGATCCTTCATGGCTCATGGAAGAATGACTCCCTGAACAAGATCGGCATCGACGATGCCTGCCGAAGATGGCCCAACGTTGAAGCCGCAACTGCTTATTTGCCCGACCAGTTCGGAACTCACCATAGCAAGATGTTTGTTCTCTTCACTCACGACGACCTGGCGCAGGTTGTCATCCACACCGCGAATATGTTGGAGAAGGACTGGACAAACATGACCCAGGCGGCGTGGCTATCCCCTATGCTCCCACTACTCGAGGTAAAGCAGGTGATAAACAAATCTGGAAAAATAGGAACTGGGACGAGGTTCAAGCACGATCTGCTGGCCTATCTCGCCGCATACGGATCAAAAACAAAGCCTCTGCGGGAACAACTCGCACAGTTCGATTTTAGGAGCGTCAGAGGTGCCCTTGTTGCTTCCGTCCCATCGCGAATGAAGGAGTCCGCAGTCACACAGAATAACGCGGCCGTGGACGTAAAACTCTGGGGCTACCCGAGTCTATTGCGAGCATTGAGATCGATCCTCTTGCATCAACAGCAGACCAACCCCTCGGACAAGCAGACAAGCACAGAGCCTCCCCATATTGTTTGCCAAATTTCCTCGATCGCCACCCTCCCACAAAGCTGGCTGAATCAATTCTTCCCAGTCTTCTACTCGGCTCTGCAATCTACCTCATCCAGTCCGCCACGGGAGTGGGAACCCAAGCACATCTCAATCATCTACCCGACACCCCAAAATGTTGCGACCTCACTCGACGGCTACGCGTCTGGCGGGTCCATCCACACAAAGGCCCAGTCCGCTGCTCACCTGAAACAAATCGCCTCCCTTCGGAATTCATTGTGCCAATGGACCAAGGGCATGACGAAGGAGACAAGGGCAGGAAGAGACGAGGCGGCGCCACATATCAAGACATACGTGTGTTTCACAAGTAAACCGACAACATCCCACCCGAGACCGGAGGTGAAGTGGGCGCTGTTGACGAGTGCGAACCTAAGTCAACAAGCTTGGGGGTCGCTCCGGCCGAAAGACAAGGAAATCGTGGTGCAGAGCTACGAGATCGGTGTGCTCGTCTGGCCAGAGTTATTCGCGGAGAACTTCGACGCTGAAGAAGCCGGCGAGACGGACCAGCAGCAGGTTGCAGACGGCGGAAACGGCAATGCGGTCCACCGCGAACCCACGGAAAAGATCAAGATGATCCCCGTGTTCGGCAAAGACACACCTCAGCCTCAGCCTTCACACACTTTGGACGCCGCGGTGGCTGAATCTTCCAGGCCCGAAACTCTGGTCGGTCTACGCGTGCCCTACGACCTCCCTCTCACGCCCTATGAGAAAGGCGACATGCCATGGAGTCCTCAGGGCGTGTATGAGCAGCCCGACCGATGGGGCAGACGATGGCCTCGAGATTTCGCCTGAGCATTGAATCTCACAAGTTGTCCATCTGTTTTCTTACCACGACGTTCTGAAGGGGAGACCGTTGGCGATATATCCGTTACGGTACCTTGTTACGCTCGTTGAAATGGAAAAATAGGCGATAGGGGTCCAATAGCTTGTCTTCCCTCATAGACATACATGTACCTAGCACCGAGTACCTAGTTTGGTGAGCGGGCCTCCCCAATGATGTACAATTTTCAAGAGTCGAAGGTCTTTCTTATATGCTCTTTGGCAGCGAAGGGCACACGCTGGGTTGAAGGTAGTGAGTTATCTACCTAGTAGATTGATTCAGTATCCCTGCAATTCACTGGCATACATCAAGGCTTCATTCGTTGCACTGCCCTCTCAGCCCTGGAAGTAAGGACTCGTGACCCTCGTACTGTCCCGTCTCAACCGTCGCCTGGTTCCGGTTCTGATTCCGGCTGGAGTTCCAGAGCCAGGTTGACCTCTGGACTGCAGGTGGTTCACTTTGGAGGTTTCCTCGGATGTTGGTGTGGACTTGGATGTGGATGTGGATTTGGACTGCGCCGTGGCCTTTGACTTCAATCGGCGTGTTGGCATGGCATTGCCGCTGTCATTGCTGTCGTCCGGAGCTGGACTGGATAAATCAGTAGATCTCGTTGCAGTTGCAGTGCTGGTTCTTGTTCTCGTCCGTCTCCGTGAAGATGGCTGGGACGCGGTTGCAGTGTTTGAGCTGCTCTGAGTAGTCCGAGGTCTGCGCGCCGATGTGCTGCGTTTCGTGGCTTTTGTGGGCACGTAGTTGTCCGAGTCGGATTCATTCGACTTATCATCGTCTTCTCCTTCCACGTCGTCCTCGTCATCAGCGTCGTCGACACCGTCTCGCCCGCTTTCAAGATCAGACGTGTAATCGAATCCTTCACCTTCACTCCCATCAACGTTGCCATCATCACTAGGAGGGGCCGATAAGCCCGAACTCTCCTGCTCCTGGTCCCTTTCCTCGAAAGACTTTCCAGGCCGTTGCCGGCGAAGAGGCGGCTTCAACGGCGAGGCAGAGACAGAAGCTGGAGTCGGATACTGATAGTCTGTCGCTCGTTCCTTTCCCTTGGAGATGGACTGCGGTTGCGGTTCGTCGTGGTGGACCACTTCGAGGTCACTCCCGACCTGGTGCTCTTCGTCTGATTCGAGTAAAAACCCGCCTTCTCCGCCAAACTCGTCCTCAGTAGCCCGAGGTTCAGGTTCATGTCTGTGCGATGTGAGAGCCTCCTCGTCACTTTCCAACATAATCGGCTGTTCTTTGCTCCTCCCGATCGCTAGTTCATCTGCCGCGTTCTGATCACCGTATGTGTCCCTCACTCTCTCCCTAATCCTCAACCCGACAACGAATTTCCTCCACATCTCCAACACCATCGACTCCATTTTCTTTTCCTCTTTCTTCCTCTGCTCCTCATTATATTTATGCCATGCCTCTCTCACAGCTCGCTCATTCTCCTTCGCGACGACCACGCCGGTACACACGGGCACTGCGCGCTTGTTGCCGAACTCGAAGCCCGTGACTGCCTCGGCGAAGTCGATCTGCAGCTTCTTGCAGATCCGGACAGTCCCCCTGAGAGGAATATGAACCGCGCCTTTGGGGACCATCGAAGGGACAAAGCAGTCAATGTTCCCATAGGCATTCTTCGGGATCACGCCGTTCTCTATGGGCGGAGGGATAATGTATTCAGTCTGATCCCAGCTGTACAGGCCCTGCATCTGTTTCTCCCCAGTTACTCGTTCGTGTTCTTCTGCTTCTCGCTTACGGGTCAATGTGACTGCCCGTACAGGAACGAGTTTCATTGGAGCTTCTCCAGCTCTAGGCCGTCGGCCTTCTTTATGCCATGATTCTGCTGTCAAGCAACGTTCAACATCGGACCGGCGGTACACGGGCTCCTCCTTTTGGTTCTCACCTTTTCCCGAAATGAAGGTACGGACGGGTTCGGCATCGGGTCGAAGTGCTTCTTCGCGGCGGAGGAACCGTTCGAGCACATAATCAGCAGACGATTTGAGAGACTGCAAGGTATCGATCTCTTGACCACCGCTGTCCTTCTTCTCCGGAAGTTGAGGAACGAGATCCGTTGCATCTTCCACGTCGTCGACCGTTGTTCTCATCAGGTCAGGCCGAGTGTAGCCACTCATTACGCGCTTGAACCAGTCGTAATCCTCATATCTCTTGACCTTGCCATATCTGTTGTATACCGGGATCTTCTCAAGCGGAAACCGAAATCCCTTTGTCTTGCCTGGCCAAATCCTTTTCCTCAAGTATCGCACAGTTACGTCCTTCGCTGAGCCATCCGGAGAATACGCAATGACGTAGGCCATCACGGTCTTGGTTTTCTCGGCTTTGATGCCGCGTGGTTCGAAGGTTGCCAGGATTTCAGGAGTGGTGGCGACGGGAGACGCAAGGACGAGTGGAGAGACAGGGAGAATCTTGTTGGTTACTGGGGATACTGCTTCAGTCCAGTAGATAGGGAAGGGGTTCTCGCGGTCGTATTTCTGAGGTCGTTTCTTGGGCATCGAAGGGGTGACGTCCACCACTGAGTCTTCTTCGTCCTCCAGTTCGGACTTATTTCTAGACATATTGCGTGGTCCGCCTTTTCGTCGCGCTGGATTTTTGTTGATCTCTGACATTGACCTGGCATCCTCTGAGCCTGAATCGTCGAAGGACGTATCTACATCGACCGCTTCGCTGGCCTTCCGGGGCTGGGCTTGTTCTGCCTTGGTCCAGCCGAACCCACTGGGCTGTAGGCTCGCCACTAACCTGGCCTCGATACCTAGACCTCTCAGCAGCGCGGTGAACAACTGAGCACCCACGTCCCTCGAACCCTCAGACCTCCTCGCCAGCTCGCGGAATTCCTGGATGTTTCTGATACGCTCCCCATGCACCTCGGGATTGTGCTCGTCATTGCGCTGAGACTGGATGATCTGTTTCAACCCCAGCCTGGTGCCATAGCCACGCTTCCGCAGACCTGGTGCAGTAATGGCGAATTTCTTCTTCCAGTATGCAGCCAGGACTTTCATAAGAGAGATTATCGGATCACCATTGCTCATGTCGGGCTTGCCCTGCTCAGCGCGCTTGCTAGGCCTACCCCAATCTCTTTCATTGCGCGGGTCTGCCACTTTCTGTTTGCCGGGTCGCTTGCCCCTAACTGTTGCAGATCCTCCTCCGGCCTCAGTATCTGCAACCGTCAATCCACTTGCTCTCTTCCACTTTTCGACCTCCTTCTTAATTGGAGGAGGTAATTGTTGGACAAGGATCTGTTGAACCTCTCTGTCAGAGATCCAGCTATTGCGGACCGAGTTGTGCCAGAGAAGAAATTGCACGTGTAGTTGATGAGTGCAGACCCGGACCTGCTTCTCTCGCTTCGAGGGACCTTTCCTCTTGTTTGCCGCCTGCGTTATCCAGTTGTCGGCTTCATTGTCCGCTTTGCGCAAGTTTATCTCGATAGGACCGTCCGATTGCGGTTTGTAGGCTGGGAGCTCCTTCTCGTGGTCGTAGCCCGCAGCATCTTCCCATTCTATGTCTTCATCATCATCGTCCTCCTCCTTTTCGTCGTCGTGTGTCAGAGCGGACGGCTGCTTGAGGTTGGACGGGACCTTTTCGAACTGCTCGCTGTCCACATCGCTGAGGGAAGAGTCCGACTCATCACTTCCGAGGGAGAATGTCTTTGTCCGCTGTAGCCCTGGGGTGCTTTTCGACTCGGCGTCCAAAACATCTGCGAGTTTTGCCTTTTTCGCAGGGGTTTCCCGAGCGGAGGCTGGCGGCGACACGGACAGCCTCTTTCTCGGTAGGAACGGTGGCATTGGACTCTGCCCTAGCAGGGCACAGAGCTTCAGTTCTAGGTCATGCGAGGTCAGAAATCAAAGACAATGACACTCCGGATACCAAATGCAGGCATCTGCAGCGACATGCGCTACTATCCAAGGGCGGCAATGGTGACGTCGGTAAGATCTCTGGAGAGCCTAGAGGGCTTAAGCGACAAGTGATAATCCCGCAGTGCAGATGCCGCCAATGCCGCCTAGAATGCATCCACTGGTGCCACTGGAAAATTTTGCGGGGGATGAAGGATCGAGGCGCGCAAGCGCTGCGCTCTCACCAAGTAAAACAGCGCATCCTATCAAGCACCCGTTCCTCTATCGCCCATCTTCATCCACCAGTCTGCACTCAATGGCCGACAGATCACCGTCGTCGTCTATCCACACCTACCACTGCCTATGCACCACCCTCGTCCTCACCACCGCACATGACCTGAACTCACTTCCTCGCCGCAATGAGCCTGTTCAAGATGGCGCCCTAATCCTCGCTCCTCCTGTCAACATTTCTCGAGCGGAGACTCTGGAGGCGCAACTGTCTGAATCCGCGACTTCTGTGCTTCTGAACGTGGCGCCAGAGCGGAGACCAGTCATGATCCGGAGAGAAGACGGATTTGAGAAAAGAACGCTGCTGAGATGCGTCAGGTGCAAGTTGGTTCTAGGGTACAATCTCGACGAAAGTCACTTTGAGCAACAGGAAGGGGACCCAAGGCCAGTGTATTTGTTGCCTGGTGGACTACTCAGCACTCAGGATATGGTCGAGGGGAAGCAGCCAGAGACTCCTTTGTGGGCCGAGCAAAAATAAGTGCGTTTTGTGGGATTCATGTGTTTATTTGCATCTGAGATACCCTCTAGACCAATAAACTCTGCCAGGATGCTCTCGGGTATCGTGCCCGCGAAACAGGACAATGGTGGTGGTATCCTGACCACTATTGCGCCAACCAAAACTATGCACTGGATTCCATTGCCATAAAACCATTCGCTCGTAAAAGGAAGAGTGCCTAGTTGGCCAGAATCGTTCGGACGAGTTCCATGTAGTTGATCTCCCCACTGCTGGTATCGACGGCCTTCAGCAGCTCGTCCACCTCTTCGTCGCTCATTTTCTCGCCCAGGTTGGTCAGAATGTATCTCAGTTGGCCCACGCCAATGAAGCCAGTCATGTCCTTGTCAAACACTTGGAAGCCACGGCAGTATTCTTCTGGTTCGCCAGGGTCTCGGAAACCGCCTGGTCGGTTGAGTACTTTGCTGAAGGAATCAAAATCGACTGCGGCAAACGTTAGCCCGCGTACGTGATATGAGTTGCCTCTGTTCTCTTACAGTCGCCCCCAACTTGTTTCTCTAGGTCTCTGATCTCAGCGAGGGTGGGATTTTGGCCGCAGGCACGCAGGAGGTCGCCAAGGGATTCGAGGGCAACACGGCCATTGCCACGCTTGTCGTACAGCGAAAAGGCCTCTTTGTAGTTTGTAGAAGTCTGCGCGACAGAGGATTGAGGATTAGCCATGATGAATCACTGTGAGTGAACCTGGAGATGGAAGGGGGGCAAGGAAGCAGAGTGAGAAGGTTCGTGAGATGGGAGTCGTGTCTTTGTTTGTTGGTGCAAGTAATTGATCGACCCTGGTCTGCGTGGTCTTTTGCGGAGAGTTACTGGGCGAATGGGAGGAAAGAACTCACCATCTTCCCAATCTGAGTTCACCCAAAGCAGTGTCACGACTACCTAGGTACTGTTTGCTGGAGTGATTGTTCGGTGGTGTTCGAGTGGTTTTTCTCGGTGTTGAAGAGAGATGGAAGATAACACAGATGTCTCCTGAAGCCAGATGGGGCGTGCACAGTCCCCTTCTGTTGACACTAGTTCCTGCGTGGCCCTCGACCAGACACCCACGCACCCACGAAACCCACTCCAACGCCCCCGTTGCCGTCTCCCAGCAACCAGCAACGGTTGCCAGCTGCCAGCTGCCAGCTGCTCCCAGCCTCATTCACCGCCGCCTCGAGCCCCTCCTTTTCGACTCCCCAGCATGAAAATCACATTTGCTATCACGATGCACACCCTCAGGACCTTCTGCTCCTTCTTGGGCAGCAACCGAAAGAGGATGCTCATCTGGTCTTGGACGCACTCCGTAGATCTTCCCGCCTCATCCTAAAGCACTCTTGAACAGACTGACACGGCCTTCGATAGGACCGACTGGCCATCAAGTTCTTTCAATATCTACAAGGAAACGCGATCGCACGACTTTCTATCCATCGTTTTTTAATATGCTGTCCGGTGGCAACTGGGTTCTCAGTCTCTTCTCCCTCGCTTCACGTGGCATGGCGGAACCAGACCCGTTTATTCCCTCAACCACGAATATTATCTCACAGGTCCTCATTGGGTATACCTGTCCTCCAATATGAGGAGGGCTCTATTCACCAACAATTATGTCACGCCCCTCGGACTTAACTCGCGTGGAAGTCGTTGAGTCGTCCCAATGGCCCAGGCCCAGGACATACCCTCAACAGCCCCGGTGGTAAGACCGAACCTCAAATAACAGCTGTAACGGGCATAACACGTCGCTTACGGCGTCGTCTCCTTCCCATCAAGGCCAGACCCTGGAAGAGGGAATGTCGGTCCATTGCAACCTTGGCCTCTGTCCACGCAAGTGTTTTGAGGCTTTCTTCTTTTCACATGATCGCCCAAGGTCGGTGTCCCATGCCTCAAACAGACCCCAAACACAGCCTAAATGTCCTCGGGTGGATAAACGTGGAGAAAGCGTGATATCCTGACGAACTACTGTCGCTGGCATGCTATGAATCTTTTATCCTGGCGTGTCTCAACGCCCTTGCTCATTTACAAGGTAGGGACTTTGCTCGGCCATTGAGATTGGTCTTGACTCTGCGCTACCAACAACTGCCCTTGCCATCAGCTCCCATGTTGTCCACAATCACTGATATAGAAGCGAATTGGATGCCAGTCGAGAATCCAAGTTTCGAAACAGCCTACACTCACTTGCACATTCCTTCACAGGTGTGAAGAAAAATCTATCAACTCCTATTACCTCCATCTCCAGGGCTCTTTCAGCATATCCAGTTGACATAACCCGACTTCACATTATCAACCAGCACATTCCAGAGCTACAATTCAGCCGACAATGTCTTCTCCCTCATCTCCAGTTGTTGAAAGACCTGCTCTGGCTATCCCAAATCGCCAGCACTCTTCCTCCCTATCTTCCGTGGCCACTCTCCGAAGCTCAACCACCTCACCCACCTTAGCGGGCGGCTCGTCATGCGAAATGCACTCCAAACTCTGCAAACAAATGCAGGCCCGCTCCAACAATCAACAACGTTGGCAGTCGTGGCAAGCCAAACAAATCGAATGCTTCCAAGGGGCGGCGATGGAGGCGGGAAAGAACGCCAAATCAAGCAAGGGTTTCACGTCGAAGCGGCCGCACATCCACCTGGACAGCATCTCACGGGGTTTGAGGAAATTGAGGGGGTGAGAAACGGCAAGAGAATGCAAGTGAGATGGACATGCTACAGCAGGAAAAGCACCCTCACTAATCCTCATTGAATGCGGATAAGCGGCGAGCGGCGAGTAGCGAGCCACACTGCCTCGCATGGTCGCAGAGGAAGACAAATGGAAGAATTCGTGGAAGTGTCGGAAGCATTTCTCTCCCCGCAACTCCCACTTTCACCCCAGTCTTTCTGGAATGCTTACAAACCGGTACCCAATACGCCCTTTTTAGCCAGAATGCCAACCCAGCCCTCCAAGCACCTCTCGCCAATCGAAGAAAGTCAAGTCACGCGAGCACGAGAGCGTCTAGTTCATAGGTCCAGAGACACAGAACCTCACTCTGGACGGACACAATAGGCATGCCAGAAACTTGCCGGGGATCTTGGTTCATGTGACTTGCGAATGCTCTGGTATAAATCTGCAGCGGGAAAATCCTCTAATCCAGGTTTATCCAGAGGAAGTTGACGTCTTTGAAAAGCGCAGAGCTAGGGCAGAACATCTCATGATGCCTTTTTCTGACTCGCTGTCTGAATCAATCATGCAAGCAAGTTCTGGATGGATGACGCTGTAAACCCATGTCAGGATATATCGCGAGCGTCAGAATGGAGAAACATGTATTATTCAATGGGCTTGACCGGATGGACACTGGAACCAAGCTTCAGATACCTTTGTAGCACCAGGAATCTACTTTCTACCTCGTATAGTATTCCAAATTTACACATGCTATTTGCCGATCGAAGGCTTCCCATGGCCGCCATCAGTGGCTCTGGGCTCAGAAGTCAACTCGAGTCCCGGTCGGCCAACCATGAAAAGGATATGCAGAGTGAGGGTCTTCAGGCCCAGTTGACGTACTGCGGTGCGCTTTCTTTCCTCGCAACGAAGTAAAAGTCTTCTTGTCAGAACGCCATGGATATCGTGACGTGCATCCTCGGAGTCAGGCGGCAGAAGAAGTCCGACCTCTGCAACGGTGTCTCTGCGGACCCAATCCTGAGGAGGATCGCTACCCTCCCCCTCGAGATTTCTACCCAAGTAGTCGAGCAAGGGGAACGCGGCGGTTTAGAGCCATGCGATCTGTCCCGATGCAGCAGATTCCTCCCGCAATGTGTGAGTACCAACCCAGCAAGATAAGAAGCACCTCCTGTCCGTTCATGCGCGGGCATCAATTTCACCAGAGCCGGACTCCAGCATTCCCTTTCCCTTGCCAAGATTGAAATTCTTGTCTTCGGCCTTCGGTTTAGGTTTCCCATGAACGCCCTCGATCCGCGCATGGATGTGTTCCTCGGCGGTCCGCCCGGCTCCGGCATATCGCGGCACCCAACCTTGCTTCTCCAGACCTTGCATGGGCACCAGCACGGCGTCCTTGTCCGGATGCAAAAAATACGCAAACGTGTAGCGATCGAGCCCGCCCTCCGTGGGCGTGGGGACGACTCGGTGCCAGGTGCTCTTCAACTTGCCTGCCGTCCAGAACTCGAGCATGTCTCCGATGTTGACGAGGATCAGGTCCGGCAGCGCCGGTGCGGGAGTCCAGGTTTCGGTGTCCAGAGACAGTTCCGGGGCGGTGTATTTGGGCGGACGCACTTCGAGGCCGCCGACCGTGGTTTGGAAGAGAAGCGTCAATGTGCCCCAGTCCGTGTGGGGGGAGATGCGGAATGCTGGAATCGGCCCCTTGGTGGAAGTTTCTGAGCCGTTGGGCGTGACGGGCGGGTAATGCATCAGCTCGAAATTGTCAAAGTTTTCCGTGTCCGGGTCATGGTATCGTGCGAAGGTCGTGCGCGGGAGATCGAGCGCCAAGGCGATGAGTTCGAGGAGCTGCTTGGTAAAGAGACGGACATGTTGTTGGAAGGAGAAGATCTGTTGCCGTGCCTCAGAGAGGACGGGAGGAAGACGAGCTGCTGTGGCGTGCTCGGTCGTGGGCCACTTGTTGATGCTGATCGCCTCACGAGGATCGGTGAATCTGGCATCCGCGCTGCGTGGCATTCTCTTTTGTCAAAATGCTGTAGCAAGTGATCAGAAAATCATTTTGCGCGTTAACACTCACCCATACGAACTGGCGGGTTTGTAGCCGGCGTTCTTCGAGGCAACGTAGGGCGCTTCTAGTTTGGCCGAGAGCGGTTGAGCAAAGAACGCTTTCTCCTGCGATGCTTGTAAGTGCGACGCAACGTTGGTGGTGGTAATCTATAACTGGCAACATAGATCTTGACGGCGACGAGTGAGAGAGCCCTTGTGCTATATCGGGACTTTGTTCCTCGTCTTACTTCGTCGATGATGAGAAGCTCGAGGCATCTCCAGGGCACAACGCAAGTTGGAAACACCGCGCGAGAACACGTTCTCTTAAGAAGACTTACCAGGTCAAAGATGCTGTCAATGGCGTCTTGGGGTATAGGATGGTTTTTGACGAAGAAGAAGCCTGTTGTGGGTGGGAAAGAAGATCAGCACTGGCCACATGGCATTAATGGGCCAATGGGCCATTGGGCCATTGGGCTCATGTCGGGCGCTCACCCCAGTCGGTGCACGCTCTGAGCAGCTCTCTGGCCACCTGATCCGGCGACGACGAAGCCTGCGTAAAGTCGATGATGGGGATGTCGGTGGCAATGGCCATGGCGGCGGCGATGTTGTTTTTGAGTTCTTCTGCAGGAACGGGACAGATGACTACGAAGACACACGTTGCCGCATCTTGTGGGCTATTAATTGTAACTCGCGTGACTGCAGGAGCCTGCACGATGCCACGAGGTACTCGGTGTCCATGCGCCGTATCTGTGTGATATCTACCAGGTAATAATGCCAGTGTGTAACAAGAACGAATCCGCGAGCACTCGTTCGCAGGCTGTCTCGATACGCGACTGGGCGAGTTGGTGCGCTTTAAGGTGCAAGCTAAGGGTACCGCGGGTACTTTACTACCTGGCGAGCTAGGTACGAGGCTCGGAGGGTACCTAGGTAGTAGGTACTGCTAGAGGCTAGAGCCTAGGAGTGCTAGGTAGCTTCCGCCCCGAGCTGTCCCCCTAGTGAACGAATGGTTATCATCGCCAACCGACCCAAGGCCCAGAACCAAAGTATCTCTGGTCAATCATTATTACTTGTATTTATTGATCGATCAATGATAGGGGCCAGAATCTACGAGTCAATGGCCAGCGGCCACGATCCTTGTGTGGCAAATTGCCGTCTAGCGCCATGGACTCTCTCTTGCAAATATCTAATCACGATCAAAGATAAGGTCCTTCTCCTCTTGTGGTCAGTGGTCACCGAACCACCTCTCGGGGCTGACCGAACTTCATCTCTTCCTACCTAGTCTCCTAGTCTCCCAGGCACTCTGCCAGTGACTTGCAGTCCCTCGTCGTCTCTTGTCTCCCAGGAAACAGCCCGGTCAGAGTACGAGCAATCGGCCGTCCGTCCAAGCAACTGCCCAGAAGAGCTTGATCAGGCTTGGTGGTGTGGCCAAGTTCGGCGTCTTTCATCATGATCTTCTCGCCAAGCGCCTGCTCAAGAAGTCCTTGCCGCGCAATCGAGATTGAACGCAACCTTGCGAAGTATATCAAATACCAATGGTGCCAATGAGGAGTGAGCCCAGCCGAAGAGGGGGTTGAAGATGCAGTCTGACAAGATGTCTACACACACAATATGCTATGGGACACATTGGGGAATACACCCCCTGTCCTTCTCGACGGCGGCGACTCCCTAGCTCTCGTCTGTACGAGTTTATATATTGTTTATTCCTGAGCTCCTCGCGAGTCGCACACCCCCATCATGTACTGCTATCAGGTCCTAACCCAAACGTGGGCGGATAGTGTCAACAGCGTCAGACAGATTCCACACCCAAAACGTGGACTAGCGAGATAGCTCATCCAACCACGCCCAGTACGCGGACCAGTTCCCAAAGGCAGACATGGCCCGCACATTGCTGCATCGAAGATGTGGCGCTGACCTGCCATTCCAGGCTCCTGACTGGGTCGCCCTTATCAAGGGCTCGCCTGGCATTTCCCACTTGATCTCTGGGCTTGTGCAATCCGGTGCAATCATCGGCTCTCTCCGCGTTTCTCACTCGCTAACATCTTCGAGATCATCCTTCTGTGGAGATGCAGAGTCGCATTTACGTCCCCCGGAACGGGACTCGCCCGTTCGATGGTCGTCGGACGATAGTTTAACGAGGGCAAGATACGATCAAGCTCGCGAGGCAAGACTTGCTGCGCTGGACGGTGCCTACCGTCGCGCCCATTTGTTATCTAGGTACAGTAGCATCATTGCTATATTTAATGTCCCTTGGTCGCCCATCTGTCATGCTTTCGACCTTGTGTGACTGAGATTGAGTGCTTCTCGTTCCTCCCCCTTTCGCCTGCACGACGACTTTGTTTCCTGTGAGGCACCAAAGAATCCTCGGTCGTCACAAAATGGCCTCCATTGAGCCTACCAGCTCCTCTTCTGGGGCGCCGTCCAAAGATGTCGATATCGAAAAGATGCCCGGCGTCAATGAGACATCCGCGCCCGAAGTCCGCCACGGCAGTGTTACCCCCGTCTACGAAATAGCAAAAGCAAGACATATTCAAACCAGCATTGCGCCTCTTCGCTGGCTGAGCCGAGGCGAGACATGGCTCGACGAAAAGATGGGCGTCGAAACCCAGGGTATCGACCGTATCCCCGAAGAAGAAAAACGCCCACCCGCCCTCATCAACACCTTTTTCATGTGGTTTTCGATGACCTGCCACGTTGGCACCCTCCCTCTGGGTGTGCTGGGACCCGAATTCGGCTTGACTCTGGGTCAATCTGTCGCTGCGGTTGTGGTTGGCACCATCCTTGGAGCTCTTTGTACCGCATATACCGGCACTCTGGGACCTAAAACTGGACTTCGTCAAATCGCCACATCTCGATATTCATTCGGTTTCTGGGGCGCCAAGCTCTGCAGTGTGCTTAACGTGGTTGTCGGTGGTGGTTTCGCTGTCGTCAACGTCGTCATCACTGGTCAAATGCTCAGCGCCGTTTCGGACTACTCGATGACAATTGCCGTGGGTTGCGTGATCGTCGCCGTGATCTCCTACGTGGTGTCGATCTTTGGCTTTGCGATCATCCACACGTTTGAGAAGTACAGCTGGATTGTATCCTTCATTCTCCTCTGTGTCTTGATCGGTCAGGCTGCGCCCCATGTCGGAGCCAATGCGCCTGGATTTCCTGCTTCAAACCTGGAAATTGCTGGCTCGTGGCTCAGCTTCATGGCTATCTGCTTTTCAAGCTCGTCCGGCTGGTGTTCCATTGCTGCCGACTACTATTGCCATTACCCTGCGAACACAAAGTCATGGAAGATCTTCTTCCTCACTTTGGCCGGTATCACCATCCCGACTGTCTTTGTGACTGTCATTGGTTCCTGCATTGGCAACGCGGCCATCCTGAACGCATATCCCCCTTATTCAGATGCCTACGAAAACCACGGCTTGGGTGGCTTGCTGCGCGAGATCTACCATCCAGTGGGCTGGGCCAAGTTCTGCTTGGTTATCCTCACCTTCAGCGTTTTGGGCAACAACATCGCCATCAACTACTCCTCTGGTCTCTCCATTCAACTCCTCGGACATTACTTCCACGCTGTGCCCAGATTTATCTGGTCGTTCTTGGTCGCTCTGGTCGTGGCACTGCTCGCCATTGCTGGAAAGGACCACTTGTCGAACATTGTCTCTGATTTCGTGTCTTTGCTGGGCTACTGGACCATTTCCTTCACCCTCATTCTGCTGATCGAGGACCAATGGTTCCGCAAGCGATCCGGCGAGGGATACAACCTGGAAGTCTGGGATATGCCCGATAAGCTGCCATGGGGTGCTGCGGCTGTCTTCTCGCTACTGGCAGGGTACCTTGCGGGTGGTTTGCCCGGTATGGCGCAGGTTTGGGTAAGTGACGATGTCTTGGTGCCCCATCTTTCCTCGAGTCCATTGCTAACAATCTTTGCAGTATGTCGGCCCTATTGCTGCCAAATTCGGACCGTACGGTGGTGATGTCGGCATTTACATGTCTGGCGCCATCACAATCGTGTGCTACTTCCCATTGAGATATCTGGAGAGGAAGAAGACTGGAAGGTAGAGATGCTGGCTGTGATATAGCCGCCTTCTAGAGAGTGATCTTTTCCACGACCACGCCCATTATGTACTTGATAGTGTCCAAAATCATTTAGCAGCTCTCTAATAGCAGCTCTCATTGGCCTGAAGCTGCCAAAGAGCTTTCGGAAACACCATTCCGCCAAAAAGACAAATCCAAATTCCGTTTTTCTTCAACCAGGTTGCCCGTTGCTCTTCCGTTTCTCGCCCTTTTCCAACTCGCCCATGGTAATTCTGATCCTCACCGCGACTGGTTCTCAATCCAAGGCGAGCAACGAGGAAGCAAAGAATAGTACATATTCTGGGCTCTCCAGACCCCGCCGTGTTGTCATCCTGCATCAGCTTTCGGACCAGGGTTTTGGTAGAGACTGTCTCTCAAGGCTCTTTCTCCATTCCCGTCCTCTCCGTCGTGAACTCGGTACTTTCCACGTGGCAAACCCGGTACTCTGGTTCCCTCAAACGTGTCCGCATAGAGCTTATGCAGAAGTGACCAAGGACTGGCTCGACCTAGTCGCACAAAAACCACGAGGCCCCCCTGGCTCATTGTTATCAAAGGCTGGAGTGCTGACCTGCGCTATCCACCAACAGCATCTCGTAGGAAAACGGATTGCCTAACAGCGACAGCGTGAGAACCAACGGTGAATGGGGATTCTCTCTCTTGTCCAGGCCTAGATCTCTTTGAGAGCTGATCAAGCATGATAAGACTCTCTTAGTCTCTGCCACCAGCGCTGGGACTTTTCTCCTCCGAGCGACTCGTCGTGGCTACTTCTCCGCATCTTCGAACCTCAATGGGTATGGTGGCTTCCCCCGTAAGCTCGCCGCCAGCATTGGCTTCCGTTGATAACGGACTTCTGCAATCCCAAGCCTCTGATAGGGAACCATGGCTGTCTCGCCTTCGAACGAGGCACGAAGCTATGCCCCATAGTGCAGAAGTCCGAAATGAGTTTTGCATTCTGAGGGGACGCGAAAGGCATTGCATAACTCAACTAGATAAATGAAGGATCAACGGCAGTTTCCAGGATGCGAGCCTTGGGATCTCTCTTCCTCCAAACCTGGCGTTAATCCCTCTTCACCATGGCTTCTACCGCTGAGAAAGCTTCGACACAGATGGACGTCAAGAACACATCGACTCCGTCAGACCCGCCTTCCATCAAAGATGGCACTCACGACGACGTCGGCGTCGGTGTCGGTGTCGTCCTCACCCACGACGAATACCACCTGGCCACCCTGGGCTACAAACAGGAGTTCATCCGGTCGCTGGGCTTCTTCGAGAGCTGGGCCGCGACATTCACCTCGATGAACTTCATCTCCGGCATTCCCGTCTTGTTCGGCTGGGTCATGTACACGGGGGGACCTCAGGCCGCGTTCGCCAACTGGACCATGGTGGGCGGCCTGTCCTGTATCGTGAGCCTGGTCATGGCAGAGCTGGCCGCCTCCCTGCCCACCACGGGCGGCATCTACTTCTGGAGCTACCGTCTGGGCGGAGAGAAATACGGCCCCTTCCTGAGCTGGATGACCGCCTGGTGGAACTGGGCGGGCTGGATCACCGTCGTGCCCGGCGTCCAACAGGGCTCGACCAACTTCCTGGTCTCGGCCCTGATGATCAAGTACCCCAACTCCACGGTCCTGCACAAGGGCTGGTTCCTGTGGCTGCTCACGAGCATCGGCATGATCTTCGCCATGATCCCCAACATCTACAACCCGCGGCTGCTCCGGCTGTACTTCCGCTTCGCCGTCGTCATCTTCTTCTCGCTCTTCTTCATGTACTGGATCTGGTTCCCCGTCAAGGCCTCCGAGAAGCATTTCAACAGCAGCCACGGAGCGTTTGATTTGTTCTACAATGGCATCAACTTGGGCGACAAAAAGGAGGCTTCTGACGGGTACTGTTGGTGAGTTCTGCAAGTCGCTCCTATACGCCCAATTCATGCTGATGTCGTATGAAAAAAAGGGTCATTTCTGTTCTATTTGGAGCTTGGGTCTTTTATGGATACGATGCCTCGGCGCATTTGGCTGAAGAGACCAAACAAGCCTCAACCGTTGTCGCCAAAGGCATCTACAGTAAGTCTCTTCTCTAGTGCCACCCGGCGGGAGCCATTGGCGACAGCTACTAACAGGTATCTGCAGTTTCCACTTTCTCAGCCTGGCTGTTGTCAATTCCGACCCTCATCATCATTCTGTTCTGCATGCAAGATTTCGACGGCATCATCTCAGCAACATATGCAAACAACTGGGCCGAGTACCTTGTGCAACTCATCGGTGAGAACGGCGCGGTGGCCATTCTTTCACTGCTCTGGGTCGACAGCACGTGTGCCACAGCCAGTTGCTTCATGTCGGCCCAGCGAGTCACTTATGCCATCTCCCGTGACGGAGTGCTCCCCTTCAGCTTCTTCTTCAGGAAGCTCTCCAAGCGCAAGATGGCCGTCAACGCTGCGCTGCTCGTGTTTGTCTTGTCATGTGCCATCACAACGGCCGTCATTGGCTCTGCGGTCGCATTCTCAGCCATCACAGCCACGGCGACGATCGCCACCAACTTTTCGTATCTGATCCCGATCGTTGCGAGACAGACAGTTGGGCGCAAGTCGTTTGTACCGGCAAAGTGGAATCTGGGGAAATTCTCCGCACCATTGGCCCTTGTAGCCTCGGCGTACATCTTGTTTCTCTTTGCGGTCCTTCTTCTACCGCAACTATACCCGGTGGATGCGAACACACTTAACTATGCACCCATCTGCATCGGTATCATCACCATCATCAGCTTGGTGGGATGGTTCTTCCCCGTATGGGGCGCCATGCACTGGTTCCAAGGACCGATCAAGACCATCACCGAAGAAGAACTGCGGAATGCCCGTGTCGAAGGAGGAGTGGCGACAATCGAGGAAGGAGACGCTCTGGCAAACTTTGAGTTTGGACATCGGCGGAAGAGTGTGTGAAACGGGTCATGTAGTTTTGAGATGAGTACCGGAGGCTGTAAGAACAACAAACGACTTTGCGCCTCTTTCAGTCATAATGTATCAGGTTCCAAACCACGCACCCAACTTCTGCCGCACCTCTCCCTGGCTCTCCACAATCGTGCCTTCATATATTGTAGTCGTGGAATTTCAGTCAACAATTCGGATAAAGCACAACCGGTCCCCAAACGGGACTTAACTGGGTGCTTTGGATGATTGTTGCGTGTAGAATCTCCCGAAAAAAAAACGCACCGTCGTGAAAAACGCGGATAGGACGTTTCACTTCCCTCGAGAACACAACCGCAAAATAACGGTGCGGATGTCTTCTCGAGGAAAAAGTTTTTGCTCGGTGTGGGAATCGTATTCAAAGCCAGGGAAAAAAAGAACCAGTTTGCTCACTTTCTGTAACCCTGGCCGTGGGTGGTTACATGAGGCAGCCATGCAGTGGCCTACAACCTCTGCCTCTCAGTCTTCCTGCCGGCTGCTCTCAGCATGTTCTCGCCATCGACCAACACACACCAGCCCTCGCTGCCCACCGTGCCATCCTCGAACCCTCCCACGGCCGACTCGAAATTCTCCTTGGCGTATGCCAGGTCCTGGTCCTCGAAGCTTCCCGGCTGCAACCAGACGGCCTTTATTCCAGCCGTCTTTGCCTCTTCCAGGACTTTCCTCGTCACTGCAGGCGGGGTGAGAAACGACAGCGCAGTCTGAGATGGGTGAGAAAGAGCCGAGACCGTCGGCACAGTGTTGTATGTTTTGGAAGGAAAGGAGATCGATGGCCGACTGGGATTGATGGGCGTCGCTGGCAACGAGTGCACATGGTACCACGCCAGTATCCTGTATCCGAACTTGCTCTTGTCTTGACTGGCGCCGACGACGGCAAAGTACGGTGAGGTGAAGAATCTTTTGGCGGCGGCTTCCATCATGGGTGAGTGAGGCTGACCAAGGGAGGTCACTGGCTGCTCAAGGTACGAAAATGTTGAGATTGTGCTCGTTTCTCCCCAATGGTGTGAGCAGTATGCTAAATGAAGGGAGCCACTGGCTGCTCAAGATACGAAAGTCGAGTGAATACCGAGTGCTCGAAGCTCCCCCTTGGTTAGTATGAGAGATATGCTGAATAAACTCAGAGAAACTCGAAGAAAAGCACGTCATAGGCAGCGCCCAGCACCTAAACCTTCCACCATCGGCACCCAGGGGCCGTGGCAAAAGACAGAATAGGTGTGTCTGACAGCTGTGTTCGTACTGCTCTTGCCGTGTCTTGCGGACGCCTTCACATGTCATACAGAGTCTCCTCGTGTCCCCCTTGGCCCGCTAGGATTGACCGGGTTAGGAGACTCCCGAGACTCACGGCAAGGCAGACTCAACACCGCAATATGACTGAGGGTGACTGACATGAGGTGTTTCGGTGGCTTGATCGTGGCTTGTGAGCCTCAGGCGCCCCATCCGGGACGGGAATTTTTGAGAACCCGGCAAGCAAAGGGCCAATGGCACAGGCTGCTGGCTTCACAGGCTACTCTGTGATACGGGGGGTGGATTATTGGGCATGCCGCCTAACGAACCGCCTAACAAACAGCAGCCCTGTCACCCCCTGCAACTGGCACTGGCTGGCATCTGGGAGGGGAGTCAGGGACTCGGGCTGCGGCGGTGCTGCGGGCTCCTGTCATTGAACAAAAGTGAGTCTTTCTCACGAGCTGGTCATAATACTCTCTTGTCTCCTCGACAGGCTACAGCAGCTTCTGCTGCTTCGGTCATTATCGACTCCTTCTCTCGCATGAGTTTGCCATCGTCTTGCCACCTCTGAGAGCCAATCTCGCCACGAACCGTCTATTTTGTACCAGAACCAGAGGTCCCCCAGAGACATGGCTGATTTGGCTCTCCGCACTCGGGATCAGCCTGATATTCGGGCCCGGATCAGCATCCACGACGACGAGTCTCCCAATGATATTAAAGAACTCCTGATTGCCGACCAGACACAGAGAGCTCTGCGTTCCAAACAGTCCTGGACTCCTCCTGAAGCACTGGGATCTTTGCATCGAGCTGTGTTACGCAAAACCAGGACGCTTCCTTATCCTTATCGACCGGGCCACTTCCACGATGTCCCCGCCTCGGACCCTCTACCCTGCCCGTTGAATCGGTCAAACAGTCTCAACTCTCTGTCAACCATACAACGAGAGACGGAAGCTGCCTCGTTAAGTTTATACAGAGGGTCACCCATCTCTGCAATCAGCCCACCGTGTGCCCCGCCATCAGCGTCATTATGGACACCCGACGTCGACTACGAGCTACAAGACCCATGCCCACCTCGGCCCACGCTGAGGGTAGAAACCCTCAGTCAGCAACGCAAGCAGCAAAAGCATCTAAAGAAGCTTATGAAAAAGGAGGAGAAGGAGCAGCGCAAGGCACAAAAAGAGGAGGATGAACTACGCCGTCAGACGCTGGCTGCTGAAGTTGCCAGGTCACGGAAGTGGGCGGCGGGAGATTCGATCTCACTCCGCTCGAAAAGCACGAGGAGCATAGCTTCGCAAGTGGTCAAGAGCTTGAGCCTGAAGACTCCATTGAACAAACTCAGTCGTCATGTCAGGAGAGACAGGTCGGATCCGCCGACACTGGACGATTTCGACAGCAAGCAACAGCTCCGAGACTATCTCAATCCTTCTCCTCCACCCCCACCTTCAGAACAAATCGCTGAGCTCCCTGCCGAACTGCCGGAGTATACGCCGTTCCAAGACTCGACGAGGAGTGAAAAGAACGAGCCTGTTGCGCTGTTGGAAGATCCTCGTGCACTGAAAGAAAACAATGATTTGTCACCTCTCGAGGATGACGATGCAAGAGCGAACGACGCTCCTCCATCACCAAGATCGATGAGGTGCGACTCATGTAAGAGCCCGATTCGTCTGCAACAGGTCTACTACCACTGCTCAATTTGTGACCACGGCGACCGCATACTGTGTTCCTCATGCGACCAGGCAGGCTGGAGCTGTCGTCATAATCTTACCGAAAGGGTACGGAGTGTATCTCGCCCAGCTGCTTCTCAGAAAGTCGACGTTGCCAGCATGAGCGGAGAACAAACTCGGTCAGAGGCACAGCAATATGCCACAGCCATGTGGGGTGTGAACCTGTCAGATTACCCTGCCCACCATAAAGGATTGACCGAGTCTCCTGCTCAAGCAACACTGTCTGCAGATAGTCCATGGGCCTACCACGATATTCTAGAACAGAAGAAATCCCATGAAGCTCAACAGCGGAGCATACGTCAATCCCAGAGAGCTCTTGACGCAAAGGAACTTGATTTCCGCCAACGTGAACGCGATATGGTTTTCCGCGAAAAGGAGGTCACCTTGCGGGAACGGGAGGCTGCTATGCGAGAGCAGCAGGCATCAATCAGGGAGCAGGAGGCCGCTCTTCATGTGAAACAGCAGATGTTCGCACTACAAGTGCAATCAGCGGTTGCAAGACAAATGTCGGTACTATCCACCGGAGTCGGTGCGCAGTTCCAAGATCTGTCCCAGGTAAGTGGTTCTGTTCGTCTTGTCTCCTTGGGCCTTTTTAGAGCCGGATCTTGTTCTGATAACCACCACCAGAATGACAAAATCAGGGCTCACGCCACTAAACGCAAAGCGGGGACAGGCTCCGCGACGGTCTCACCTTCCAATTCTACCGGCTCGAATCGTAAGTATTCACCGAAGCGTACGCCCAATGGCGGGCAAGATCCCGATGAAGACGACGAGGACGCTACAGGGGGCACACCGAAGAAGATCAAGCAAGACCCCGACTCGGTGGCCACGCCAGGGAAGCTATTCGCTTGTCCTTTCTGTAGGTTTGACAAATCGAGATATTCGGAACAGAACACGCAGGAGAAACATTACCGAGGCTGTTCGAGTGGGTACTGGCCCGATATTTCGCGACTGAAGCAGCATCTGTACCGTGTCCATTGGCGACGGATCCATTGTGTGCGGTGCTATACCAATTTCAAAAACAAAGACGAATTGGACCAACATGTCCGAGGAGCTGCACCCTGTGCTTTTGTCGAATGTCCATTCCCAGAGAAGTTTAACGAGGCACAATACAACGAGATTCGGCGTAAACGGCCTGCAAGCACTCCTGAACAGGTCTGGTACACAATCTTCGGTATCCTGTTTCCAGGGATGACGCCGCCAACAAGCCCATACGCCGATAATACGGGTGGGCCTTCGGCACTCAGCCCAGGGGCAGATGAAACCCAGGGCACAATGGATGTGCTAGGGGAAGTGTTCGAATCACGCTTGAATCAGCTCACGAACGTTCCTGGGCAAGGGTGGCTTCAATCAGCGGAAGCGCGTCAGCTTATCCGTGAGCAATTGAGAGCATCTATGGCCGACGTCCTCCAGAGATTGGGCCATGTCAACAGTCCTCCTTTAGGGAATCCGTCTTTTGAAGTATCGCCCGGCTCAGCCCAGCCAATGGGTTCAGCTCGCCGCAGCTCAATCTCTCCTCTAACACCGACATCTTCCCTCCCCCCTTCACCAGTTCATGGCTCTGGTTCCACAAGCAAGACTGGGGATGGCTCGCACTTTCCTTTGCGATCACGTCCCCAAAGTTTCAGTCGCCCTCGCCCCGTCCCAGCAAGGCCGGCACCACAGACTCCGTCACAACCTGTCGAGACGGCTCAGATTTTGGAAGAGTCACCCAGTGAGGTGACCTTTCCTGATCCTCTGGACTTTTATCTCGAGGATGACCAGTACGGCAACGATTGTATCAGCTGGGGCCCTGACGACGACCACGTTCTTGACATAACGACGGACACAATGCTGCCGCCCCTCGACCTATTCGAGTTTGACTTTACATCAGAATTTGAGAAGCTAAACAAAATGCCGGGTATAGCAGAACCTCTGCCGCCTTCCAAATTCAACCCGGTCAAGCTTTCCAGCTTAAATGAACCCTCTGCGGAAGCGTCGACAAGGGCTTCTGAGCTAAAACCTAAGCATTCCACAGCGTCATCTGTCGACTCCGGTTATGGAAGTCTTGGCCACGCTTCGTCCTCCGCATCAGCGTCCTCTTGGGCTTGTCCTGGGACACAGACAAAGTCCGATTCAACACCAAAGGCTAGGAAGAACAAAGGTAAACGAAAAGCACCGGAGTTCCCAAAGGAACCGAGTCCTGTGCCGGAGTCGTCAGTCAACTTTCAGGCTTTGGATGAGTCATTCCAGGATTTTTCGGGCGCCAATCTGAACTTGAATCTGGAAGACTTTATGGATGAGTTTGACTTTGGAACAGGAATCGGCGTTGAAAACATGGGGACCACGGATCCCTCTGGTGGCCTGGACATGAGCAACTACTGCGAATTTTGAGAGACGAAATGAGCAATGTATGTTGTGCGTTGGTGTTTTCAAACTCTTTTGTTGTCCTTGTACATTTCGGGGTGTTTTGGTCGTATAGGTGTTTTGCTGCTATCATGGTCACTGGTATGTTGCTGACGGGTTGCAACGATGGATATGACTTGGAAAAAGGAAAAGATACCAGGTAATTGAAGGGAAAAGGATTTTGATAAAGTGTGATATCGGCACACTCTTGAGCTTGCTCGCTTGATATTTTCCGATCTGGCGAAGATGGAATTTAATTTTGTCTGACGCGACATCTTTGTCGCTCCTGTATATCTTTTTTCTCTTCTTGACGCTTTTCCAACCTTGTCAGACACACCAGTTTTTAAAAGACTTCCTTGGGTGCATTTGAATAGTCCAACTCCGAGCCCAGGACGACTGATGTACTCGGTAGTCGTTGCAGAAGAAATGGGATTCAGGACTCGAGCTCGAGCTCGAGCCCGAGCCCGAAATTTCATATACTACAGGTGGTTCTCCATCTCCATCGAACTCGTACTCTGCTGTCCCAGCGGACTTCAATTCCGTCTTCTTGCAATCGCTTTTGCCATCCGTTTGCGTGGGCATCAGAAACTGACATCATCGGCCAAATTTACATCATGACACTGGAATTCAATATGGGCGAACCGAATAGAAGAAGAAATGCTTGCAGGTGAGAAAGGTATCAAAGAGAGAAAAGGGAGCGAAAGTTGAAAGAAGAATTTCTTCCCTTCTTTAGAGAATATACTGTTTCGCTTCGCTTAGCAGCTAAGAGACACTCTCATTGTTTGTGTTTCTTACACTGTAGATCCATCACGATCCAGGTTGTTCCCGCTTTCTACAGACATGGCCGAGTCGGTGATCGAGCTGAAATGCAATTGCAACAACTACCCCTGGGGCAAGACGGGTCGCGAGTCGCTGGCCGCGCGGCTCTGCTCCAAGACGAACCCTGATTTCCAGCTCGATGACTCCAAGGAGTATGCCGAGATGTGGATGGGCACGTACCCGGAACTGCCATCCTACTCGCTCAAGACGGGCGAGGATTTGAAGGACATCCTGACACAGCACAAGGACGAACTGATCGGGAAACAAGTGTACGACAAGTTCGGAGCCGACCTGCCTTTCCTCCCCAAGATCCTGTCCATCGCAAAGGCGCTGCCGCTGCAGATTCACCCGGACAAGAAACTGTCGGAGAAACTGCACAGGGAGAACCCGGACCAGTTCACGGATCCCAATCACAAGCCCGAAATTGCTGTCGCTCTGTCCAAATTCGAGGCCTTTGTCGGGTTCAAACCCCTCGCGGACATTCAGGATTTGATGAAGTTGGAGATTCTGCGGCCGTTCCTGCCCAGCACCACCGAGGGTCCGACGTTGAGCGATGATGAGACTCTGCGGCAGATTTGTACAAACATGCTCAAGGCAGAGGAGGATCTCGTGGCAAAGACGATGAAGGGCCTGTTGGCGACGCCAGTTCAACAATACGGGAAGCAGGCGTATGTGCTCGATCTGGCCAAGAGATTGCAGGAGCAGTACGGCAAGCAGGACAACGGGAACCTTGTGGCGCTGGTGTGTATGAATTTCTTGGTGTTGGAAGCAGGCTCGGCACTATACATCCCTGCGGACGGTATTCACGCTTACCTCTCGGGCGACATCGTCGAATGCATGGCGAGGTCGAACAATGTCATCAACACGGGATTCTGTCCCAGAGCGGATCGCGATTCGGTCGACCTGTTCGCGAAGGCATTGACCTTCAAGCAACACGACCCGTCGGAACCGATCCTTAAGCGACAAGCCAGCGATAAGAGTCGGAACGGCAAGACGGACGAGTTCAAGCCGCCGATGAGCGAGTTCAACATGCTTGTCACGGAGCTCTCGGGTGGAGAGAAGGAGGTGGTCAAGCAGATCGCGGGACCCAGTATTATGGTCGTGACGGACGGGAGCGGGAAAATGAATGTAGGCGGGCAGGAATATGGCCTGCACGAGGGGAGCATCTTCTTCGTGGGCCATGGTGTTGAGGTTGAGATGGCGGCGCAAGACAGGATGGTCGTGTATCGGGCGTATGCGGACTGAGAGCCTTTAATGATTTCTCTCCCCTTTCTTCAGATTTACCTATAGAGGGCATGTCGTGCTTAATTTTCTGTTCGTAAGCTAGATGGCACAGCTTTCTTACGCACTAAATATCAATGTGTAATGGCAAGGCAAGGCAAAGGCAACTTGGAAGTCGAGGCAAAGCAAGGCAAAAACAGCCGCCGCCAAAGGGGCTGTGGCTGGCCCGTTTTGGCTGGGTGTTTCTGGCACCCATGTCTATCCCCAGGTCCAGACCGACCACTGGACGATTCCAACATCCCACCAACCTCATCACACCAATGATGGTCACCTGCGCGTCTGCTGTGGCTGCGGTCAAATTGTTCAGCCTGACTTCGACGACAGCGGTGGCCCAAATCATGGCTCGCAGCCTCATTCTTCTCCTTAGGGAGGAGGTGCACACTCTCCCGTCTGCTTGTCCTGCTCCTCCCCTCTAGGTGGCATTGCTCCTGCTTCGTTTGCCCTACTTTGCTTGAGTCTGTGGACCCCCGCCTTGCGCAATGGCCTCTAGCAGCAGCAGAGGACAGCCACGAGCTGAGCCAGACCGTCTACCATCTCAGGACGCCCTCGAGAACACAGAAGCAGCACGCGGACCCTCTGCAACTGACAGTGTCCCTTCCCAGCGTCAACTTCCTCATATCTTGGACGATGGCATCACTGAGCTGTGGTGCCCTCCCAATCCTGCGCATGTCGTTGCCGACATCTACTTTGTTCACGGCCTGATGGGTCATCCATTCAAAACGTGGTATCACCCAAAGGCAGCATCAGCACAGAAAAGCCAGGACAACCCAGAGTCGAAAAAGTATAGGCTATCAAAGATATTTGGTCGGAAACATGAAGACAGACGAGAGACAAGTGGGAACAGTTCTGTGGAGCCTTCACCGAAGGAACGCGGCTGCTACTGGCCCCTCGATCTGATCCCTAGTGATTTCGAAAACGTACGAGTCCTTACCTGCGGCTACGATTCGCACCCGACACGATTTCTCGCTGGGGGAAATCAAATGAACATTTCTCAACATGCCCAAAACCTTCTTCAGCGCATCAGGACTACTCGCAGTCATTGTCAAGGAAGACCAATCATATTCGTCGCCCACAGTCTCGGGGGCATATTGGTTGAGGATGCCATTATTGAATCGAGAAAGTACGAAGATCAGCCTGCGGTCATGGACATCAGCCGCTCCTCTGTCGCCATTTTCTTCTTTGGAACCCCCCACCATGGGTCAGACGCTGCAAAGTACGGTGAATACTTGGGGAAGATCCTTGAAACCTGCGGCGTCGGTGTCAACAAACAGATCTTGAGAGGACTCCAGAGGAATGGAGAGAAGCTAAGCAGCGTTGAACGTGACTTTAATGACTTGATCAACAAACCAATTCCAGCCAGTGAAAAGCTTCAAATATGTAGCTTCCAAGAAGGGAAGACAGTGACTGGTTTGAAGTTCTTTCCCATTGGAAAGGTAAGGCCGGAGAAAAGAAGTCTTCAGTCCAGGCTGACATATCGGTCTAGGTAGTGGAAGATTCATCTTCTTGTTTCAATCGCAGAGACATTGAAACTAGCTTCTTTATCAATGAAAATCACATGGGGATGACACGACTCCAATCTGCGCAAACACAAGGTTACGTGGATTTTCGATCGATGTTGAGAGAATATCTGCAAAAGATCGGAACGACCACCAATGCGCAGAGACTTAGGGAACAGAGGCAGGAGGATGAACGAGCAGGTGTGTCCTAACTGGAATGTCACTACAATGCCAGGCATTCGAGTCGTGATTTACTGATGTCGGCCACAGCCTTAATGAAGGCCCTCGATTTCGCCGATAGATCCATCCGCGAACAACAACTGAGTAGCCTTGACACGCCGGAGGAAACATTCACATGGATCTGGGCTTCGCCTTTCAAAACTTGGCTCGAGAACGAGAGCTCTATCTTCTGGATATCGGGCAAGCCGGCTAGTGGCAAGAGTACACTCATGAACTACATTCGCAAAGCCAGCAACACCCGCAATATACTGAACAACTGTTCCCGCAGTAACTGGAGTATGATTTATTTCTTTTTCGATTTTCGAGCTGGAAGCGGCATTGGCAATAGTATGGAAGGTTTCCTTCGATCTCTACTCCGTCAACTATGCGAAGAATTGCCCATTGTTACCGAGACCTTTCCAGAACTTGCGAAACTTGTCACCCGTCCTTCACAACCACAGCCTGCTACATCTTCTGAGGGGCACATACCTCTTGATATCTTGAGAACAGCGCTTCTTCGCGGGATTCGGAGCTGTTCAGATGGTTTGATGATTCTACTGGACGGCCTCGATGAATACGAGGGAGAACAGGTTGGACTGTGCAACTTCATCAAAGCCCTCCGCGGAGACAATGTGAAAATCTGTATTGCCAGCCGACCTGATCCTCCGTTTCCAGACGCCTTTGCTGGGCTACCTTCTTTTCGGATGCAAGATCTCAATTTGAGCGCCATCAAAAAGTTTGGTTTGCATGTCCTTGAGCAATTTTATTCTGGTCGGCAAGATGTCCCGTCTACCTTACAGTCTTTAGCAGATGATGTTGCACGAAGGTCGCAGGGTGTCTTCCTGTGGGCAAGATTCGCTATATTTGAGCTCATAAAAGGCCTCACCCGCGGCGAGAAGCTGGGATCCGCCGCACTGACGCAAAGACTGGAGGAAATGCCACCGGAGCTACAACAAATTTATTCCCGCATATTCCATCGCTCTCCCAGAGATGAGAGAAAGCTGGCAGGGCTCATTTTGCTCCTGATTTGCTACAAAATGGAGGAAATCACTTCCGAAATGTTACAAATCGCTATCTCTTCCCTTCCGCCGTCCTCACCATTGTATCCTGGTCCCGCAACGCTCGCAGCTGCGCGAGGCGGCGAGGACGAGTCCTCGAGACGTCTCCTGGTTGTCACGGGCGGAACGGTGGAAGAATACACGGCACGAGTAGAAATTGGGCGAAACACATTCCTCGGCAGTCTGCCTCGCTTGATTCATCGGACTGTGAGGACTTACCTTGAGCGAGGTGGTTGGGAGGAGATCCTTGACGACATTTACAGCCCCGAACTGGGCTATAAAACATGGACCGAGATCTGTACGCAGACGATCATGGAAGGAGAACCAAATCTAGCCCATCTGCAATCGCTGTCTCCTTCCGTTCTTTCCGACTTGCGTCTCACTATAAGAGATGACCATTCCGATGATTACGATATCAACAGCGACGGCGGAGAATCTGTGTCTTCCTCTCAGCAGAGCTTTCTTGACAATCCTGATGAAAGTCCCGGCAGCATCGCAACAAGCCATCGTAGCGGTGATGTAGACTTTCAGCCAGGTTCTGCCAACAAACCGCGAGTGGACAAGTTCACGCCCCAGACTATGTTCCTAGGCTATGCCGCCACTAACGTACTTTCCCACGCCTCCTCTTATGAGGAGGCATCGGTGACATCCTCGTCAGTATTGATTGAGGCGCTGGGCCATCCTCCCTTCGTAAACTTCCATCGAGCCGTGAGTGGTGAGATGAGATGCTTTGATTCCTGCTGGCGCATTCACAGATCTTCGGAAGCACGCGGTTTCAGAACCGAGTTTGTCCAGTTTGCTATTGCTCATGGATTGCATTATTATGTGAAAGACTACGTGCGAGAACTAAAGGAGAGACAGCCATCGAAATCCTCCAACTATATTGTGCACAGGGTCCTCAAGATGATGGATTTGAAGAGGACCCCGGATCCTGCCAAGATGATCAGGCTGCTCAAGGAGGCTGCCGTCTTGTCTGCGTTCCAAGAAGGATCGTGGAAACCAACGGGCAATTTCCTTTCGACTGCCTCTTTCTTACTGAAACAGTGTCCCATCGTGGAAGATGCTGAAATCATGGGCGCAGTGGGTAATCGCGCGCCTAAGCTGCTGAGACTGCTGTTGAAATACCGTGCAGGAGATATTAGATTGCTGAACGTTCGCACGGAGGAGGCAGCTCTCTATCTGGATACCAGCACTCGATGGTCGCAGAGCGAGGGGGTCCACCCGTTCGTCGCTCTTGATTATGCATTATATTTGATGGTGCGCGATGACTTCCATAAAGCCACACAAGAGGTAATTGCCATCTTAATGGAGAGGGGAGTCCAGATAAACGGTTCTTGCGGACCTCTGGGGGGTGTATTGCACTATATCATCAATGAAGTGCCCGATAATCCTCACGCAGATGATATCGTTCGTTTCATTGATCTCCTAAAGGGGAAGGGGGCGGATATCAATCAACTTGGTCGACAAGGAACACCTTTGGAGTTTCTATGGGAATTAGCCAACACAAGAGAGGTGGCTAACTGGGAAAGGGCCACATGTCGTGCAGTGCTACGCAATCTCATTGCCCATGGGGGAGTCAACAGACGCAAGGATCCGAACGGTCTGGTGCCCTCTGTGATCCAGATGGAGCTGTTTGCTTGCAACTGGACTGATTATCAGGAATGCATTCGGTTTTATCGGCAAGGACCACGTGATGGAGGGTCGGTGTGGCCAGGCCCCGTGCCTCTGCATCCAGATGATTGGGATATGGGGAATGGCTATTATGATTTTCCGTTCGGTGAGGCGATGAGAAAGTACCGCGCTGCCATGGGCATGGAATCGGTTGACAATGGCGGTGTGGATGGAGACCGTCGAGGGGACGTGCAGCAGGGACAGATCGACTGAGGAAAAAGAAGACCCTATCATGACAAGAGCATCAAGATCTGAACACTAGGATTTGGAAGATGTTGACGGGGAAGCTGATGAGGGCAGGACGTGTGGTGGATGGCGGGACTCCTCTACAACCTGGAAGCCAAGTCTTACCTACCTAGGTACCTAGTTAGCAAGCGCGACTTCAGAAATGAATGGCACAGTCTGACACATAGTGCTTAATAACGACGAGATGACCACCTAGTTAGAGACAGCTACTAATTAGTAACAAGTATAAGGGTCCCGCTGTGCGCAAGAGTAGATGGGGGTACCCTTTATAAGTGAAGATAACCTATTAATAACTAGTAGTTGATCACTTCTCTAAGACTTCAAGTTGTTCGGCTCCGAGTCGCCGGTATAATCCCTGCCATTCTTGACTCATTTCTTAGTCAGCAGTTCAGGTCAATTTGCAGCCGTCATTGATGCCTTGACACCCACACGCTACGAGATTCCAACAACTACCTACAGGCCACACCCACACCCACACCGGAAACCATGCTGCGAGTCCCTCATGGAGTCCAAGTCTAGCACTTTAGAGGCTCGACCTCCCAAGGCTTATTCCTGTGTCCGCTGCTTCGAGCGCAAGGTCAAATGCGACAAGCAGCATCCGTGCAGCGGCTGTGTCCGATCCAAAGTCGAATGGCAAGTCTGACTGACACTGATCCTTGCCTTCATTGCTGCCTGGTCCCCCATGTGATGACATTCCATGCTCACCCAAGAACAAACAGTGTCCGGCCACTGCTGGACTCTTGATGTGGCTCTTATCATTTCCCCGCGTCATTCGCCAGGATCTTCGCTGACCATTGCCCTGTACAGCGTCTTCCGAATCCCCCCTGCTCCTCGCCGGCGGAAACGCAAATCCCGCGAAGACGACGTGCTTGCTCGCCTGAAGCACTACGAGGAGTTGCTCCGTGATCAAGGCATTGATCCAACCACTCCGTCGACCACCCCTAGCAAAGTCGACACCACGTCCCCTCCCCTTGACGACGCCGACAATTCCACTACGTCCATATCCAAGCCCACAGAGCCTCTTTGGGCGCCGGGCTCGCTTCACGGGAGATTGATCATCGACCAGGGCAGGTCGCGTTTCATCCAGAAGTGTGTCTCCCAACCGTCGATCGCAGTCTGTCTCAAGCTAAAGTCAAAATAGTAAATTATGGACTACTGTCAGCGAAGAGGTCTGCCTCTTCATGTCCGCTCTCTTCCGTCGACTAACCACAACCACAGCTCCATCACAGCAAGGATGTCATCCCAGATACCGAGAGCGAGGATGAGCTGGGCACTCTTGCCGACGACAGTACCGATTTTGTCCTCGGCGTGACACCGTACCCGACTCAGACATCGAGTCTGCACCCAAGTCCAGACCATGTCCTCAAACTATGGCAGATCTTCCTCACCAATGTCAATCCGCTAATGAAGATTGTCCATCAACCTACCCTGCAGCGCTCCATTGAGGAAGCCATTCAGGACACCGGTCATATACCCCGGGGGCTTGAAGCCTTGATGTTTGCTATTTATGGCGCTGCCGTTCTCTCCATGCGCGACGGAGAATGTCAAGCAACTTTTGGCGAGTCTCGGACAACTCTGCAATCGAGATACCGGTTGGGCATACGCCGAGCCTTGACAAAGGCACGATTTCTGGCGACTTCGGATATGGTTGTCCTACAAGCACTTGTCATCTATCTTGTAAGCGGAGTATCAGCCAATTGTGCATAACTAATCGACGATAGCTCACTACGCGTCAAATTCTGGATGCTCGTACCCTATGGACGCTGTCAGGTGTTGCAAGTCGCATAGCCCAAGGCATGGGCGTGCATCGCGACGGCACCGTCCTTGGCCTTCCTCCATTCGAAACCGAAATGCGCCGCCGGCTTTGGTGGCAAATCAACTTGCTCGACTTTAGGGCAGCTGAGCTGAGTGGTTTTGGCGGCATGACGGAAGTCAACTGGTGGAACACCAAGACGCCATCCAATGTCAATGATGTAGATATTTGGCCAGGCATGAAAGAACAACCTGTCGACCAGACTCGCCCAACAGAGATGGTGGTCTGCTTGCTCCATTATGCGGTCGGCGCCTTCTGGCGGCGAAAACTTCTGCAGGCAGGCACCCCCGAAGAAGAGCTTGGCCGGGCTATGCAGCGCTGGGTGGCGACGAAGACGCTGCACGAAAAGGATGCTTTTGTTGATGAATTCCAGGCCAACTTGGAAGAAAAGGTGCTGAGATATTGTGACCCTTCGATACCCCTCGAGATGATGGCGTTGATCATTGGACGCACAATGTGCAAGAGCATAAGATTCATGGCGCACCACCCTCGGCGCTACGCAAACGAGAAGGATATCCCCGACAGCGAGCGCCAATTTCTATGGACAACAAGCATGGCACTGATGGAAGCTGACAACCTGGCGCATTCTCATCGGTCGCTGCAGCGGTTCAGTTGGCATATCGACGCCGGATTCCAGTGGCATTCCTTTATATTTGCGTTAGGAGAGCTCATAGCCAGGCCAACCGGCGACGGCAAGGACGATGCGTGGGTACAGATCGAGGACGTTTTCAGAAACCATCCTGCGTAAGTCGTCTCTACCCCTTTGTCCTCCTTGGCTTCTCCCCAAGTTTGGCGTTCAGCCTGGAGGCGTCGTTTCTTCGTCTTCTGCTTGAAGTGCCCACCGTCCACTGTGCACTGTTGTGTGAAAGTCATGGCTAACTCTGGCTTTTGTCTTTGAAGATTCATATCCGACCAGAAGAAGCCGCTTCACATTGCAATCGGCAATTTGTGCTTGAAGGCCTGGCGAGCCCGCGAAAAGGCCCAAGGGGAAAATCCCCAGGGGTTACAATGGCTCGATACACCGCAATTCATTCTTCAGCTTCGTAAAGAGCGAGAGGCTCAAGAAGGGAAGGCGGACGTCAGTCGAGCCGCTGCATTCCACTTGATTTCCACTCTCCAAGCTGAAGACACGAATCTGGAAGTAGAGGCGCAGCAACTGAATAATGCCACCGCACAGACCATGCCCAGCGTCCAGCAATTCGAACAACCAGTCAATACATTGGACCCTACATTTTCCCCGCATGATTTCTCTGTCATGGACAATATGGCAATGGACTGGCAAAGATGGGATACACTCCTCAATGATTTTGAACTTCTTACACAGCCGGCCACCATGAATCCTGGGCACCTACAGCACCTCGCAATGTACGGCCAACAAGGCCATTCGTGGCCGTTGTCGCAAATGTATGACAACTCTTGAATTGAAAAAGACCTCGAGCTGAGTGGGACAAATGACCACTACCAGCACACGAAATTGATGCACCTGTCCTCGAGGCCCCGTTCTTTCGATTTTGAGACGGTGGAACGGTGGAACTGATGACTTGCAGGGGCCCGTACGCAACTCAGCATAGTACTCCACACCATCAAGCATGATCGCGAGTTATGCGCTTGGATGCTACTTGCCGCCGAACAACTTTTGATCTGAGGCGTCCTGAAATTGCTCAAAATCGATGCCCGGCTGTACTCGGCGGACTTGTCAATGTCATCGATAGAACGTCAACATATGATCCGCGGAGTCCGTCAGTGTGTCACCAAGACAGGCACAAATACTCATCACATCCTACTCTATGTCGTCCCTACGGCTTAGATCCCCAGTATCAGTGTTATGAGACGGTCTCATTCGATATTCCGCCGTCACGATACGCCAGAATTGAGGCAACGCTTCGATTCCGCTGTGCCCTACAAACGCGCACCGTTCAGTGCTACAACATTAACATGCTAGGTACGATATCGAATAGGCAATGGATCAACACTTGCAACAAGGCCGCACCTGGTCTCATGTCGGAGCTCAACGAGCGTATCTTCAATATTAACATTGAGGCTGTTGGGTAGACATCGACAGTCACCCTTTCCAAGCAGACAGCGTTCGAGGCACGTGCATACGAGGAAGAATATGGCAAGTTAACTTCGGTAGTTGCCGTTTGCATCAGGCGAGTAGGGTAAGGCGCATTAGAGCTATGGTTGGCGCCTTCGAAGAGTTAGGGTGAGTGAAAGAGACAAGAAGGGTGTCGTTCCCTAAGACAGAATAGAGCTCCATTAGGTATAAAGCATTCCCTATGGACAATATAGGAATAACCAATAGTTATATCGACCTCCAGCTCTTATATCCTCCAACCCTTATGTTGACCTCCAATACCCATAGTGACCTCCACATAGCGACCTCCAATACCCATAGTGACCTCCAGTGCTCACAGCGCCCTCCAATGCTCATACTTCAGTCCCAAGTTGTCGCGACTCGCCTGGCAGAAATGCACGTTTGGCCATCATAGTCGAGAAATTTCCAGGGCCTCAGGCTGGAGCGACAGAAACTTCCGTCCCAGCTAGCTCAATACCAACAAGCCACTTCTCCTCAGACCCGCGCTCAAGCCCGCCATATCGCGGTTTCTCGGCATGTGTTTTGCAAGAGCCTGACCCAACCCAGAGTTCTCCCTCTGAGTTGTCTCAACTACCTACCCAAGCCTGCAGGTGGTGTTCCGGCTCAGACCCGCCCACAATAAGCCCGACCTTTCAACCCTGAGGATCTTGGATTGCAAGTGGCCGACGAAACGGTCATAAGCACTTTGCGAACAATAGGTACGTGGGGTTGGGCGCCACGTGTAATTGTTACACATCTTTGTTGACCCGGGGTTTGGTGGACCTTCTGCCCTCACTCGGATTCGAGAGTTTCTGGCAATGGAGACTTCTCTTTGAGGATCTCAACTGTGGCGGCCAAGAGGAGGAGAATGAGTCTGCGACTCCCGCCTTGTCCAAGTCCCGCCTTGTCCCAGGTGCTCGTGGTAGACATCGACTATGGCAGTCGCATGCAATGGTGGCCTCTTTGGTGGCCGTCGTCGGAGCATGTTCTTGGCCTGTGTCTCAAGACCAGAACGGCCAGGGGCTCGGCAAATATGTCCGTTCATGTTGGATGGGTGGAAACAGAGATGGATGGTTTGTAGCCCATATGCGGTCCGATCTGACTCACTCACCAGGAGTGACACAATGGCAGCCAGTTTGTGTCAATGTCATCAAGGCTCCCGTCAATGCTAGCCACCTCCCGTGCCCTCAAAGCTGGCAAGCTGCCCCCTTCATGTTATTGCTCGGAGCTGCCGCAGCATGATAGAGAAACTCTGCGTACCCGCCGTCAATCGCTCTTCGCGCTAACAATGGCAATCCACCCGCTGTCTGAAAAGCGTGATGCTCGAGTAGCCGCAGGCCCGAAGGACTTTCCGAGACATCTGACAGGTCACGCCATCAATCTCGACGGACGGGTGCGACGGGTAAGGTATACTCGCTTTGCACTGTATAATGCCTTTCAAACCAGATTCTGGATTAGAAATGGCGGGGCAAACGGGCCCTGCATCTCGGAAGCCGTGTTCGAAGACGAAGTATTTAATGTTTGCTGTGCGCGAGGGATTGCACACCTGAACATCGTGCAATCTGATCCGGCGACGGATTCGATCTGCGGCCCCATCTTGACCAAGGAGATCATTCAGTCCGTTCTCTTCCTCCCGAACCACGAAATTGGCAATTGAGAAGGCAATGCAGCTGGTCCATCCTCTCTCATTGACACCCGCTTCGTGCAAGAGTGCGAGCGCTTCGCGACGCAGCCTCGGTTCTCGACATCGCGTCGCCACGAAGAACAAAGGTGGTAGAACCCCCAGGCTTGGGCTCAGCACGCTCTGCTTCCTTCGAGGATCCGCGGCGTTCAGGTCTATAATCTTGCTGCAGCAGTCGACGATGAAACCAAAGTCGGCGTGAAATGCGTCGAATCCCGCCTCATCGTGCCGCCCGATTGTCAAGAACATAACGTTGGCCACGCGGAGGTGGAGGCAAAGGTGGATATACTCAAATCCGTGTCCTGACAGCACATCCGTGTCACGCAGTTCCTGTATTTTGCGACCCAGACACAGGAAAGCTGAAGTAATCTTCTCCTCAAGAGATTGTGATATCCCAGGCATCGAGGTCGCCCTCAAAACACATTTTAGAAGCCGGTCGATAGCATCAAGGGCGCGGCTCGAATCTGAAATATCACAAACCAGTAGCTGACTCACATCATAGTCAAGATGATAGTCTGCTGGAATGCCCGATCCGGGCGGGGGGAAGTCGTCGGAAAACGTGCACGTGTGGCTGATGAGCTCGTCCAGCGTGGGAATAAAAGTCGTCGCAAACTCGCCCGCCATATCCGGAGGTTTGGCCGACAAAGACGCATCGGCGTCGGACTTCTCGTGCAGGATACGATATGCCGCCAGAATGTGTATCGTGGCTGACGAGGTCCTCTCGATCCAGAACTGTATGGCCAGAAACAACAAGCAACAAGTCAGCGACACTTCAATCGGCAATGTTCCAGGGTCCGCAGTCCGGACCAAGTGCATGGCCTTGTGCGCATGCGACATGGCGAGCGCAGAGATCTTGGGCCGCGCTCGTGCTTGCATTTCGGCCATTGTGATATTGTGGAACCGGGCCTGAATGGCGCCCAACGCGGTCAGGCCGTGTCGAACAGCAGCATGGCGGAGGCCTTGCTGTGGTGCGAGCCGTGTCCAGAAAGGCGTCGAGTTCCACTGGAACGTCGACAAGATCCTACTGCCGATTTCGACAAAGTATTGGTATCTCGTTCTGTCCAGATCGGAATCGAACTGGAGAGCTGATGGTGGTTGGGATTCGAAGATCCGTGCCACAGGGACTTTGTAACCTGGACATGGTAGACCCGATTTGCTGCATCGAACACAGTGTGGCCGCTCCTCGGTGCATTTTATTCGCCTGGGCAACATGTCAACTACCATTTCCCTTGACGCTCCCAAGTAACTTTGGTGATGCATAGTCTCACCTCTGTTTGCATCGAAGACAGCCGGTCAATACTTTCGAGTGCCATCTCCGTTTTCTGTTGCGGGGATAACGAGCCGGTTCAGACCCAGTGGTAGAGCCGCGAAGGTCGATGACAGAGGTGAGACCGGGCAATTTCGCTGGTGCTGGCATCGGTGCTGGTGGACTTCATAACAGTCTCGCTTCGAGGATTTGCAGTCAGATTCGAGCCCTTCAAGCTGGAAAAAGCATATGTCACCAACGTCGTGGGTGGGTGCATTCACGACGGACGCTGACTGAGCTGTCGGGGGGCCGTATATAGATAGGTAGTTTGCAGTGCCGCAGATCGAATGCCTCACCTCGACCAACAAGTCACATCAGACCAGCAGGACAAGTAGATCCGGTAGAGGATTCATCCCTTCGTTAAACTTCGGCTTGCCAAGTCGTTATGGCTTTTGTCGATCTGCGGAGAGCTGGATGACATCTACGCCTTTGCCGCAAACGATGTCACTGAACGAGCACTAGCTGGCAGCCCTATCGGTTGCCCAATTGGATGCAAAATACCTCGTCCACATGCATCGATAAAGCCTTAGGTTGCAGTCCACATCATCGTCCGGGGTAATGACTCGCGAGACTGGTGTCACCAGTACTGAGTTGGTTCGACGGGACACATGGCGGTGGGTGGCCTTAAAAAGCGTCATCCCATCTAGGTAACGACTTCGGCAGCGGCCCCAATCTCTACCGTATGTTCATTTCAGATTTGACTGTTAGTCGGGACATCCTCTTATTCCCGCGGATTCCGGCACCGTGGTCGGAGTCGAGGGAAGCCGGGTTGCTGTTGACATTGCCCTAGAGCACCATAGCCTTGCAGCTTAGGCCCACAGCATGTATACAGTACCAGAAATGAATCACATGAGCTTAGCAGATCCTGCCAAACTTAGTTGTGTTTCTGATAAAACAGAGTAATAGGGCATGCATCGAGCACAGGATGAGCTGAGCGTAATGAGCACGCCGGTAGGTGTTGCTCAGTCGTAATTTAGCACACGGTGCAGGAAGGTTGAAAGTTGCATGCTCTGAAGCGCCCAACACAGAGTATTTATTCCACCAGTATCGCTTCAGCTGAAAGACTTCGGATGTCTTTCCAAAGCGCTGCTGTTGAGGAGGCGAGACTCTCTTTTTGAGTGAAACCTTGTCCAGACAAATATCGTCCCAGTCACAATGGCGGTCAAGCATATCTCGCTGGGCGTAGACCAATACCAATACCTCACCACCATCTTCCAAAGCCAGCTGCAAAGCAGCACCAGCAACAACAAGCCCACCAGCCTCACCACAGAAGGAGGTAGCTTTGAGAGCCAGCTGAGAGAATACCAAGTGTCGTAGCCAACGTGAGCGAGAATGCCAATCACATATCCAGCGATGACCAGCAGATGTATTGTCAAGGGCTCAGGTTTTAGCCTCATACTCGTAGTTTCTGAACACAAATTAATACATAAATATATATGGAAAGAGGGACGCTTACCCAGTGTCTTTGGAACGCTTTGAGGAATCGTGCTAACCTGTTCTTGCTCACAGTTGTCGAATCCCAGCATTTCAATTGCATCATTGAACTCCTTGAAGCTGCCTCTCAAGTCGCTGTCTAAAGCGCAGACATCGAGGGAAAAGTAGCCCACTTTCTCACCAAATTCTTCACAAATGCGCTGCCTAAGGTGCTTGTCTCTTAGAAGAACGTCATTGCACCTTCGGTCACTGCCGTTCCCTGCCTCACGGTCTTCACACAAATCTCTCAGCTTGATGATCAGTTGCTTGGCCGAGAATCCGCAGGACTTCATGCCCTGTGCATCAGCGCCATGCAGCAGCAGCGTCCTCGCGGATTCGAACGAGCGCGAGATGATGGCCAGCATCAGCGCAGTTAAACCATTGATGTCCTCCCATTCGAGGTCAGCGACCTCGGTTAACACGGTTTCGAGAACTTTTTGGTCTCTGAGGAGGACAGCTGCAGTCAAGAGAAATCCCACTCCTGTGTCTCCTTCCATACCCCTCTTAAGCTTGAGGCTTTGAATTTTGTAGAGACGTGGCCATGTATATGAGATCACGTGGCCGAATTTGGACCATATTAGAGCTTCATCTGGATTCAGCTGTGGTCGCACTTCTGACGTGATGTTCAAGTGGTCGGATAGCCACAGAGCGGCTCGAACGGTCTTGGAAGGGCGTAAATTGGTTATCAAGGACGGCAAACATGAGGAGAGTGATGTTGATGGATCCAACAAAAGGCTTCCTACCATGTCGCATCGTGACTTGGCCCAGTCGACAGATTTGTTGAAATAAGCGGGTACCATGGGCACTCCTAAGGTTAATCTCCATAGTAGGTCCTGGTCTGTGGTGACGTCGGCACCAGCCTTGACCAGGCGTTCGAAGACGTCGCAGTTCCCAAAACTGGCAGAAATTTCAAGGTACTGGCGAAGGCAATTGCCATTATCGTGACTGGGGTCAAGTTCAGGAAGCTCGCTCGGATACGAGAGGAGTGCGTCGAGCTCTGCAGCAGTTCCTCCTGCGCACAAGGCCGATAAATAGAGATTACGCTCCTCAGAATCAGCCATGCGCATATCGTTGATCTGTGTCTGGAGACTGACGTCTGGCCCAGCTTTCTGAGCCTGATCACCACAAGATGGATTCCACAAGTCTTGATGCTCGCGAATCAACTTGGAACGAAACCATGATTCCGATCGGGCAATCGTTCGAATAAGCCAGGAATTTGCTGGGGCCATGTCATAGTACTCAAATAGGCCGATATGTTGACGCACAAAGTCATGGGCAAAGGCTCTTGGGCCGGTAGCATAGAGAACCAAGAGAATCGTATGTCGTCCATGTGGCGACAAATTCAAGACCTTTGCAAGATCGACACCTCGGTCGATTACCATATTGAGGACCTCTCTTTTCTCATACGCCTCATTCTCCATAAGGTATGCAAGCATCCTGATAGTGTTAGCGTCGCCACCATGCACCCCATTTTTCACCTACTGTACGGCCTTGTCACCGTAAGGCTTGCCGGAACCTATGTGATCAAGCATCAAATGGCACAGTCTAGGCCACGAGCGTTGTGTATGATATTCTCCCACGATCTCGTGATTGCTCCAATTGAAAAAAAGCTGCTTAGTATCAGGATCACTGTTCCAGAACCCGTAACATGACACTTGCCTCAAATAATGATTCCGGTCCCCCACGTGGATAATCCGGCGTATCGGCGAGCTCGGAATCATAGTGCAGCGGTATAAGGTCGAGGGGATGGGCTAGCCCATGGGCGAACATAGTTTGTAGACCCTGAACATCACAAGACAATAAGTACTTGAAAAGTCTCGGGTCCGAGTTGACATGCACGTTCTGCAACTGGAGACGTGCGGAAGGCGTCAGTGAGACGGTAAAACACATATCAGACAACCATCTTGGAGGAATATAGGTGAACTCGACGTATGTGTGGTCTTCAAATGCTTCCAATGAGGATGGATCTTCCTGGATTGTGTCGCGAATCACCTTAACCCTCAAAAATCCAAACCAGTACCGACGGACGAGACACATTCCTTCTGTTTCAGCTAATAAAATTCTGGCAAATCGCGGAAGTCCGGGCCACAGCCTTCGAGCCTGATGATTGCCTTGGTTGAGGCTGGGAGCTTGAAAATTGCGTCCTCGAAATAGGTGATTACTACCAGCAGGAACCTTCAAGTGAGAAGAGATAAATCGGAGCCGGTGCTCTATTCCACTAAGTTGCACAGCTTGTTGCGAGAGATACGTCTCTGTCCTAGACGTGGATAAGCGAATACTTTGGAGTTCTTGCTGGTGAGTCGCATAGTTAGCGATCACACCGTGTGAAATGCTTTGGAGTACATGGTCCTGTTTTCGAAGTCGGCTTCTGTTGAAGCGTCTGTGTTAGTGCAATTCCGACAGCCTATCCCGAAAACATACTCAACAACCATGGAAAGCACAGCATCGAACTTGCTCAAGTTGCCTTGTAGACGGGTTTCCAATTCCTGCACCTCCGGGGAACGGAAGGCATTCTGGATTCGAGCTCGTAGGTATTTTTTGGTGACTGTCGTTCCTTGGAAGGTGACTTGTATCTTTTTCACATGCTCTTTTAGCCGCGCATAGTCTGCTGCCATTTGTGTGTTGTTTTCCTGCCAGAACTTCTGTAGCTCGTCTGACAGTTCCTCCGACGTAAACGTGCTGGTACGATCTCTGAGGTCGACGAGAATCGATTCATGCTGTCGAAGGACAGATAACAGCCGCTTGAGCTCTTCAGGAGCCCCATTAAGTCTGCTGCGAAGCTCGATGAGGGTCTGGATGGAGTCGACCACAAGGCCAGCGAGCGTCGCAAGGCTGGCAGCGAAGCCGATGAATGCGACCGACGCTGAAGCGGGATCCAACATTGCGCCAATATCAGCTGCAGGATTTCGCCAGGGGCAAGGTTAGATGAAGACGTGGAGAAACATGAACGAAAGTCAAAATGGAACAGAATTGGGAGACAACGAAGAAATAAATTTGAGGTGACTTTGAAGGCGCAGGTGCGGCTATGCTGGACAAGGCGCATTCGACTTGCAGCTGCTCAAGGCGCGTTTGGACGAATCAGAGGATGCATGCCTCCTCACAAGTTTGGCGACATCCCTGGTGCCTCCGTTCTTGTTACCAGTAAGTCAGCGAACTCAGGGAAACGACAGCGGTGTGATTTTCACTCACATATATGAGCAGAAGAATGCGTGATGGCTCTCTCTGCAACTGCAATCTCTTCAGCATAAAATCGCCTAGCAACAACCCAGGTACACAGCGATAACCATGATATTGAGCAGAACTTGTACATTTGAGATCATCTGAGTAGATGTATGGTACAGTGTAAGTCGAGCCAACTGAAGCATGTCTGGTGCTCACTTCCGACGCTTCATAACCTTTGTACACATCTCTTCGAGGCCATCCTTGGCCTCGCCAGGTGGAAACGCACTGATTGAGGACACAGCCTTGTCGGCGTACTCCTGAGCCAGGGCGCGAGTCTGTTCGAGTCCGTCGCTCTGCGATACAATATCCCTTGCCTGTCGATAGTGGTCAGCTCCAGACTACAATGACATGAAGAAATCAAAGAGATTCACCTTCTGAACATCACCCTCTTTTGAAAACTTCCTACCCACTAACAGCCCCAATTCCGGCCTATTCCTCCATGCGAATAATAATGGCGCCGTCGCCAACCCAAGCTCTAAATCCGCACCGGCGGGTTTTCCCAGTTCGGTCCCAGATATCGTGTAGTCCAACATGTCATCCACGAGTTGGAACGCCAGCCCTAGATTTTTCCCGTACTGGTACGCAGCCTCGACCACATTCGGGGCGCACTGTCCTAGCAACGCGGCCGCACGACAACTCTTGGCAATCAGGCTTGCAGACTTCAGGTATGACTTTTGTAGATAGTATGAAATGGTCTGCTCGCTCCAGTTGGGATTCTTCTCATCACTCGCAGTATTCTTCAGTTGCATGAATTCGCCTTCCACCAGATTCGCAATCACTGTTGCAAGCAGCTCTGTGACTTCGGGGTCTCGTAACCGAGCGAGCGCGACGGAGGCGCGCCCGAGCATAAAATCACCTGCCAGCACAGCCATTTTGTTCCCGAATGTGGTGTTCGCTGAGGGTGCAGAGCGGCGAGTCGTTGCGTGGTCTATCACATCATCGTGAAGAAGGGAAGCGGTATGAATGAGTTCTGTGATCTCCGCGAGCCGTCGCTGTGAAGGGAGGATTGCGGTATCGTTGGGGAAGGCAAATTCCGTCTCGTTCGAGGCGTCCGTCAACGGCGACGGTGGGGAGGAATAGTTCAGAAGGTCTTTGTCTGGGTTCTTGTCAAGAAGCACCGACGGGCTTGTGATGGGTGTGTCAATGGCGCTTCTGGACAAGGTATGCTGCACATCATATCTAGGCCGTGGCAGCTTCGCAGCAAAAGCAGTCGCTCTTGACATTAATAGCACGAGCAGCGGCCTAATATGCTTCCCTTCACTCTGCGAGTAGTACTTTGCAACCGTGTCCAGCATCGGATGGCCCGAGCCCAGTAGCTGGCGGATATTCTTGTCGAGGAATTTTAATTCTTTTGCAACAACCTTGAGAGGATCAATCGTGATGTTACCAGTTGATTGTCGGGCAGAGGAGGGGAGAACCTCGGCGACGGCGCTCTGGATCTTTTGAGCGGCGGCGGCGGCCCATGACGACTGAGGAGGGGAGGAGCTCGAGAAGTGCCGCCTCAACTGCGGCTGGGGAACTCGCGAAGCTAGTCTTGAATATTGCGATCTCGTCCGGCACCACGCGCAGACCGACGGGTTTATATTCAATCGTGAAGAAGCTGTTATTGGAGCCGTGGCTGTTGTCGGCCAAATAATCGTCGACTTGGTAGGAATACGCCCGCGTCCTCCCATGGCTGCGAATGGCATTAATAAGAATTAGGAACAGACGTCCATGAAGCTGCAAAATTCCGGAACAGACCCAGAGAATGGTACAAGAAACGAGCGGCGGGTGTAGTGGGAAGCTCTCAGGTCGAGGGAAAAAGGTATCGAGGACTTTCCGGATGCAGGCTGATTGACTTTTTTGACTTTTTGGGGATTTCCAAGGGTCAAGCATTATGTAAGCTGCCACCAGCACATGCCAATAATTGTCCAGGAATGCCATCAAGTGTCGACCCTAAAGTGTGTTTGTTACTTGTCAGGAGGACTCTTCAGCTTCCAGCAATCCGAATACGTCCACTTCATCAGTACTAGGTAGTAGGAAGACGACTCGGAGCAACTAACTCGATGTACATCTCCCTGCGCCTACTCCGGTTCTCTCCTGGGTGGGCGAGGCGTATCATAATGGAGATAATCCCTACAGATATCCAGGACGAGAGCTTTGGTATCCGGGGTTCGAAGGGGTCTTTCATAGATTGGTGATCTGGATTGAGCTCACTTTGTCTAGGTCAACTAGCGGAGTCAGCTGGGCTGCCTGTCCGATGCCCATCACGAGTCTCCCGGCACAACGTCCCACAAGAGCACGGGGTGCTCTCAAGATCAAGACAACCACTTGGGCGTCGATAACAAGGGTCGTCAATGTCAAGCCCGCTCACTTGAGCCCGTTCTTCTCAACCCAGTCGCGCCAGTCCTGCCACTCAGAATATGATGCACTCGCCTTCAGCCCCGTATACCTGATTGCCTTGAAGTCTTGGACCTCCTCCCATGGCTTTGGCGGTTGGGATTGTTGCTGCTGATCGCTTGCACCCCCTCCTCTAATTGACCCTCGTAAGAGTCTCCTCGCAACGCCATGACCTCCTGCATATCCTCCGTCCCATCCTGCCTTCTTCATTAGACTCTCCACCGTCTCCTCTTTCGTCCACCCTTGCTCGACCGCCACGTCTGGTAGATAGGTCGCGCCGTGTCGCCGATTTCGGTAGTTGAAGCTGATCCGTAAGCCGTGGAGGCCTAACACCCAGTCCATGGCATCCTGACAGGGCTCGAAGTCTGCAAGCAATGTCAAAGAGCAGGAGAGTGCGGGCAAAAGGGCGGCCGGGATGGGCGAAAATCGCGTGTCGTCAAACGCCGATGTCAGGGCGTAGGTGCTGAGTCCCGACGCGAGTGGGAGGGCCTCAAAAGTCCCTATGCATCCTCTCAGAGCTTTGTGGCCTGAGCGGGCTACGGTGTTCCAGGTGACGAAAAGCGGATAAGACTCGGTAGCCGAGAGTTGTGATGCGTACGTAGGCCGCGTGTAGGAGGAGCTCGACGAGGAGGTCGTACTCGATGGGGTTGTAAGCTGAGAATTGGACGAGCTGGCGGAGAAAAGTGAAGGGGAAGACGCTGAGGACGACCGTGACGACGAACTCGACGCTTGCAATCGAGAGATGCTGGGGAGTTGAGGCCCGGCCTTGTTAGAGTGACGGCGATCGAAGCGTTGGGTCTCTTCTTCCCCAGCAGCATCCTCCTCTTCCTCTTGGTCTTCCTCCTCCTCCTCCTCTTCTTCGTCACCGGCCTGATCCTCCTCTTCAGAGTCCGTCACCTTGACAGAATCCTTGCCAGTTTCTGATTCTTCCTCTCCTGTGGATGTTGTCCCATTAGATTGTCTGACTGTTTTGTAATTCTCATACAATTCGAGCACTTTCTGTAAAGTTGGAGGATCTCGACGTTCAAAGCTGGCCGACAGTACTTCGAAGCAATAGAAGCAGTGCGCAGGACTCGCCATAGATCTCACTCGATGTAGATTGGGCGCTTCGCTAGGACCGTAGGAATGCAGTCAGATGGCTCAGGGACAGGGAGAGAAGCAGTGAAGTGTAGGCGAGGCGGTTCAAGTCGGCAAAGTTGAGAACAGGAGGTTCAGAGGCAGAAGGGACACTAGGGAAGACCCTGGAGGAGATTCGAGTGGTCTTGAGAAAAGGAGACAGGCAGAAGTGAGGGACCGAGAACGAGTGTCGGAGGTAAGAGAAAGGAAAGGCTGGTACTATAGATACGGTGGTGGTGTTGGCGGAGCACATAACGCAGGTTGAGTGTGAGGGTCGACTCAGGGTTGACTCTGAACCGCCTTCGCCGCCTCACCCCGAGCGGGTCCTCGTTATCGATCATGATCATGAGGCGGAGATCCCCAGGAATCACAAGCACAAAAGGCCCCCCCACTACAGATGTGCCTAAAAACCTTGCTTGTTGAGGATACCCAGCGAGCCCAGGTATCTGTGAGTACACCAGTTCATTTCCAAGCATCCACGTAGCCTACGCTGATGCCCAAGCCTGCATCGCTCTGTTTTCCCAGTGAAGTGCCAACGACAGACCCAGCACCAGCACCAGCATTATTGGGCACTGGACTCCTTGTTGTGCTTCTCTCCCGGCTTGTCTCCGTCCTCGACGACTCATCCCCTTCGCCGTCGCTTTCATTCTCCTGTGGCACCAACCTGACCGAGCCGCCCCCTTTGCCTCTTCTCTCGCTGCTGGCCCGCATCTCGTCTTCTGCTTTCCTCTTCTCCCATTCTGCCACTAAATTCCGGTAGTAGACCTCCGCCTGCACTGTGATACTGTAATACTCGGGGGTCCAGCCAGCTTTGTTCTTGCTCAACGGGTCAGCGCCAGCTTGGATCAAGGCGCGAATGGCTTTCAGATTCCCCCATGCACTTGCGTTGTGAAGGCATGTGTTTCCCAGCTCGTCCTTGGCATTCACATCCGCCCCATGGGTTAGGAGTATTTCTATCGTTCGGTTGTCCTCCGGCGTCGGCCTCGAGGCCCCGCTGTTGTTAGCAGTGTTGTTGAAATTCGGCTTGGGAATAATCTGGGAGGAGGCGGCGAGATGGAGGGGTGTTTGACCTTTGCGATCTCTTCGATTCACAGTCTGTGGGAACTCTCTGCACAGGAGCTCAACAACTCCGGCTTGAGAAGAGGCCGCAGCCAGATGCAGAGGTGTTTGACCGTCTGTGTTGACAGATATACCCCGATTGTCGTGCTTCGCACTGTAGATCCAGTCTTCGACTGGCCGAGTACCGTCATGACCCAGAGATATCAGGAATTCCTGTATTGCGCTTCAGCGATCTGTCACGGTGGCTTCCGCCGCGACGTGGACTTACTGCGATCTCTTCGAGCCCATATTTCGCAGCGAGATGCAACGAGGTGTTGCTCTTGTCCGCAAAATCCGGGTTCTGGAGATACGAAAGATTGTGCTGGAGGATTCGCTGCACTAATGCGACATCATTGAGCAGAATAGCTTGCCGCAGGGACAGGTCAACTCGGGTCATGGTCGAACGTCAGTATCCTTGCCAGAAGGACGGAGGGCAGCATGGCCATGTACGTTGGCACAGACAAACTCGTTGCATTAAGAGACCGTGACAAAGAGATTGGTTTACGGCTGGATGTTTAGAGGGAACAACAGTTAAGGTGCCACTGCGACTGGTGCACCGCGGGGTGGAAGGTGGCGCGTCAGTGGTTCACTCGCAGTGCCCCTGGTGGGTGCCTGGGAACTTTAAGTCATTTGCTTACTGGGCTTCCCCACACGAGGCTGAAGGCACACGCACACATTCAAAGGAGCTTGACCGTCGCAACATGTTACTAGGTCTTATTGTCCTGGCCCAGAGAACCCTCTATATCTTGCCTCTGGCCATTCTCCGAGCAACGCGGCTCTACTCCAACGCCTTGCGGAGACCAACTCGTTGATTCACAAATGCACACAGCTCAACTATCATGCAGCCTTCTTGCCTTTCTGTGCCTCTCGCTCCGCCTTCTTTAATGCTCTCCTCCGGATATCCACGTGCATCTTCTTATTGATCCCAAGTAAGATGCTATTCATCGGACCCAGTACGCCCGTGATCAGTGCCGCGACCAGGGCGTGGCTCCAGTACGGGCTTCCGCTGTAGGGGTAGCCAATGCTCCCACCTCTCCGGCCGATCTTGGCCAACGCAGATCCCACAAACGCCTTTTCTGTGGGCACCTGCCAGTTTGCTCGGCGAATCTTGGACATGGAGGACGTGACCAGGTACGAATGGACAAAGAAGACGTCAATGCCACTCGGGGCCAGCTCCGAGGCGAGGGCGTTGGACCATTGTTGAAGAAATGCCTTTGAACCCGAATATGTAGCCAACAACGGCGTGGGCGTCAACCCGCCAAAGGATCCCATTGTCAAGATCAGCCCTTTCTTTTGTGGTAGCATGCTCGGGAGCACCGTCTGGGTCGCCCGTAGCGTGCCCAGGCAATTGATATTGATGATATTTGTCATTTCAGGCAGGGGAGTCTCGGCAAAAGGCACAGGAATACTGTGACTCTGGCCTACGTTGTTGATCAAGATGGCCACACGTTTGCCCTGTACCAGCGATGCCAGCGATGCATAGTCCTTATCCAGGTTTTGCGCAAAATCCATGGCCAAAGTTTCCACCGAGACGTTTGGAGAAGCGGTCTTGATCTGGGTTGAGAGAGATTCGAGCTTGGACGCCGTCCGGGAGACGAGGATGAGACTGAAGCCCTTCTTTGCCAATTGTAGAGCGTATTCCTTTCCAATGCCGTCGGATGCGCCGGTCACAACCACCCATGTACCTTTCCCGCCGTACGAGGACAGCTGTTGAAGAGATAGAGGTTAGCCGCAAAGCTCCGTGTTAATCTGTCTCCTTCAGGACTTACAGATTTCCCTGGCAAAATGAACGTGCTCAAAAACACTCTGGTCACTGTAAAGGCGACTGAGGCAAGCGTGAGCGCTCCAATGCCTATGAGCAGGGTTGAAGGGAGAGTCTGCTGGCCCAGGGGCCCTAAATCGATTGTCGTTGCCATTGCTCGAGCTCAAAAGCAGACAATGAGATCCCAGTTATGACAGAGGGAGAGCAGAAGATCAAGTTCCTTTGTACGGAGCATGTGCAGAACAGGAGTTGGAGGCAGCCGTTGAACTATTATTTTACCCGCCAACAAGTGATTAGTACTTGGGAGAGCTGCGGAGATTCAAATCCACATCAGCCAGCACTCGCGTTCATCCGCATCAACAAAAAATTCGAGGGATTTGCAAGACCTGGGTGCATTACACCCCTATACTCCTGGGCTCTACAATTGCTCTGACCATTGCGTGGTTCTAGAATCACACCCATTGTCGCGTCTCCAAGATGGCGTCTCTACTTCCTCAATCAGAGGGATACCTCCCCCTTTATATTCTGTTCGTAAGTTGCATTGGCGACCTCAAACTGCATTTACTTGCTCTACTAACCCACAAATCCAGGTGGGCGTCACTGCGATTGGAAATGCCATCCAATGCTACAATACCCTCTCCTACACGCGACGTCTCTACCCAGGTCAGCCTTCAGCGACCACCCAGTCATCCAAGGGCAGTAAAGGCTCTTCCCCCGAAGGGAGCTCTTCTCCAGCCACGCCTCTCTCCTCAAGGACATTCGGGACTTGGACACTGGCAGTTGGGATCGTCAGACTATTCGCCGCCTACCACATCAATGAGGCGCCATGGTTTCAGCTGCAGATGTTGACCAATGTCGTGGGGCTGGTGCACTTCGGCCTCGAGGCGTTTGTGTACAAGACCTGCTCGCCGTCGGGTCCCTGGCTCGCTCCTGTCAGTGTTGCGCTGATTGGTCTGGTTTGGAGCACGGCACAGTATAGCTTCTACGTCAGATAAAAAAGAGATGTGGGCTCAAGAAAAGATATCACACCATTTCGGTATTATTATGAGCTGGGTCCTGTCATGGCCTTGTCGGGCGCAGGCTGCTTTTGAACCTCTTCTCCCACCTCCTTGTTATTACCCAGCTTCTTTCTGTACAATTCTCCCGAGCAATTCTGCAGCCTGACTGTAGCTTGTTCCGGCGTGATGTCTCTCTGGGGCTCCGCCAGCATTTCGTATCCTACCAGGAACTTCCTGACCGTCGCACTCCTCAGGAGCGGAGGATAGAAATGCAGATGGAGGCTGGCGCACTCAGTCTCTTCGTCACTGCCGTCCAGCGGCGCCTGGTGGATACCCATACTGTAAGGAAAACTCGTTTCAAAGAGGTTGTCGTACCGCCGAGTGATCTCTGCGATGGCCTCCGCCAGGTCCCTCTGTTCCTTCTCGCCCATGTCGACCAGAGAGCGGATGTGTTTGACGGGCAAGATCATGGTCTCGAACGGCCAGGTCGCCCACCACGGACAGATGACCAGGAAAGTCTCATTCTGAAACACAACGCGCTCGTTCTTCTCCCGTTCCAGCCGGGCATAGTCCACCAACATGTGCCCGCCGCCTTGTTGACGATTGTATTTCCTCAACTGCTCCAACTCGATCGCGGGCTCTTCGGGCAACGACGTGGTCGTCCAGATCTGCCCATGCGGGTGAGGATTGGAGCAACCCATGGCGGCACCTTTGTTCTCGAATATTTGCATCCACCGGTACTGGTCCTTGGGTCGTCCGACGTTGGCATGGGGGTTCGACGGCGGTAGGTGGGTGGGTTTGGCCTGCGCAGCCAGAGGTGACTTGGGGGATAGATGCGCCGTGTAGATGTCTGTCCATGTTTTCACAATGGGAAGGATCTCGACCGGGGACATGTCCGCCAACGTGATATTGTGGGCGGCACTGAATGTCAAGACATAGCATTTGCCCTTGACCGCCTCGGCCTGTAACAGCATGCTGGACAGGCTCCCCGAACCTTCATTCTGCGACCTGTATTCTTCCTGCACCTCCTTGACTGCGCTAAAGTCGTTCACAAAGACGTACGTGTTCTCGTACTTGGGGTTGGCATCTCCCGAGGCTCTCGTGTTTCCCGGACATAGGTAGCATTTGGGATCGTACACGGGGAGATCAATGACTCCAGGACTCTCCTGCTGGCCTTGCCATGGTCTCTTGGTGCGATGAGGAGAGACCAGGATCCAACTTCCCCGAAGAGGATTGTATCGGCGATGCGAGATGTCGTCGAGGATCGTGTCTGGCATTTTTTTTCTCGTTTCTTTCTTGTGGCTGGCGGGGTGTAGAGGGGGAGGGGGATGTGTTTGCCAAATGCAAGGTTTGTGCTGCGAGACTGAAATATTCGGGAAAAGGAGTGGACCTCCACCTCATTCAGCAGCGTCCCAATGCAACATGGCAAGTGGTAGAGCAAGATCTAGTAGTAGCCATATGGCAAACCCTGTATATAGTATCCACCTCGAATTTTGGTGAGCTCTGAGGCAGCATCAAGGCACAGATCTCCAGCTCTGGTTTCCCACACAAAATAATACTTTCTCGACAAAGCCTTCTGGCTTGCCCGCAGCTCAAATTACGTCAATGGTGCTTATCGGGCGCCCGGCCGGCCAGGGGCGTATCTTGTCGTGTACGGGCACGACGAGTCACTGACAACCTGGAACCATGGTTTCCCGATCTCGGGTCGAATCAGCGGCATCTCCTGACAACATTATTACTATACATAATATACGGTCTCCGAGCAAAGTACATAATCCCTTTTCCTCTGATGATGAACTGAGTCGAAAGCTTTATCCTCTCGCAGCTCGTGGCCCTGCTGGATGTAGACCCGGGCAACCTTTGTCTCCCTTTGATACAATATATCTTCTTTTGGGGCCGATCCGACGGCGGTCAATGGGCGCCGTCGCTGCCCGTCTCTGGTGATATAGTATGGCTTGTGATCCACGATGCCTGTACGATCTCCCAAATGAGGTATGCGCATTTCTCCCAGGGAGAGATACATTCTCTTGCTGACTTTCAGAAGATACTAGTATCCATCCTCTCTGGCTTCGCAACCCAAGACCTCCTCCCCTTGGTCGTAGTCTCGCGCCGTTTTCATTCCATCATCCTCAGAATCCTGCATTTCCGACTCCTCCTCGCCGCGGCTCTACCGGACTACAAGCTGATCCTCGAGGCGTACCACCCGAGCAAGCGATACAGCGACCCGTATTTGTTCTGCACATACCTGGGCACAGATGGTCTGAGTTCAAAGCACGAAGGTGAGGGGAGCCTCTATGAAGACTGTGACGGGGAAGAAGGCAGGCTCGCGAAATTGGGTGGCCTGTACAGTCGCTTCAGACCCGAGCGGCCGGGAGTACAAGGGTCAATGCCTGCGCGCCGGATTGCCGGTGCTGTGCTGAATACTACATCATCATCATCATCTTCTTCTTCTTCCACGTCCACAAATACTGGAACTATGCCCATCTACGCCGACGGAGGCGATGGAGGTTTCACAAAGGTCACACACACCCTGAATCTCGATGCCGACGAGCTGTTCGGCCAGTTTTGCGCCTATGCGAGTCTGGTGAGGCTCGGGCCCCGGAGAGGCGTCTTCCTGAGCAATGTACACATTGTGCGGTCCGGCCAAGGCGTTATGCGAGTGTGGAAGCAGTGGCTCCAGGACCGCGCCCAGGATCTATGGCAACAAGAGCAGGAAGGGCCGGAGGGTGTGCAAATGGAGCCGACACCGACCATGAGTTGCCCCACGATAGGAGCGGACAAAAACATCATGTGGACCGACTACAGAAAGAATGTCGGCCTGCGGGTTGCAGTGCGTGATCGGAATGAATTGTGTTATGGGAATCGTGCTGTCGATTTCGACGATATGCCAATGAGCTTCGCCATAGAGATCCAAGGTGAGTTCTCGCTCCGCTTCTAGCCCAGGCTAATTACCAACTGTTCCTGCAGAGCTGGTTGTGCGAACAACGCATCTGATGCTGGCCGTGGAGGCGTCCACCCAGCAACAGGGCAATATATCAGGTAAAGCCCTTATATTTGGCAATTTCGCCACCGCAGCCTTGCCATAGGGCTAGTCTACTCAGGGGTCCGGGAGTTTGCCTGGCCCCCAGCCGCCTTCTACAACCTCCTTCCAACCTGCAACCTATATATCCACGGCCATCCGCGATTCCTGTCTATCGTTGGATTGTCCACCGGTAGCAGAAACCTCGGGCCAGGGCGCTGACTATGCCATAGGGACATCCGTGAGCCCCTTGGCCTTCCTAGCATGGGTAGCCCGGAATGAGGACAATTGATTCTCGCATAGAATTGGTATCTCAAGGCTGGAATTCGGATGGCTTTGTACTCAATGCGCGATGCAGGCGCTTTGTCTTAGTTCCACTCCACGCGAGAAGAGTTTCTCGATTTCACCGCTTATTCATGCTGCATGAGATGGCGATGATTTGTTGCTCGTAAACGATTCACCAGGGAGGCGGTGCCATTCTGGTCTAGCCGAATCTGCAATCCAAGTTGGAATGCATAGGCTTCGTCCTGATCGCTGCTGACTTCGCTGGAGCTCTTGTCTCCCTCCGTTTTGAGTTGTTCTGCATTGTCTCCTTCTCTTCAACACCCATCGCCATCACCTCTCTGTCCGTCCCGTGGATTCATACTCTCTGAGGCGAGGATTGTCGCGGGTCGGAAAGTCTCTTCTGGATCAGGTGCTTCGGGTATCAACGAGCCCTGCAGCAAGCGACCTGCAAGCCACAAGCTCGTGGCCCACCCGCCCGTGTTCAAAGCTGTCCAACTCGATGGACAAGCAGCTTCTTGCCTCCCTCCGCGAGCTCTCTCAGGCCATGATATTGGCTGATAAGGATTGATGGCTTGCATCCACGGTCTACGTGGCCTCCAAACCACCACAAGGATAGAGCCGTGACCCTCACCTGTTGGAGGTTGGACGTCGTCGACCTGAGGCTCTTCGGCTTGGAGGGACAATCGACGGACAAGTCAATACCCCGCTCTTGCTCGCTCGCGGTCTCGAAGCTCCCACATGGCCTCGATTGGCAACTCGCAACCCGGCCAGCTCCCTCCCACCAGCTTCCCCCCTCCGTTATTTCAGCAGCAATCCCCGCGACCCAGGTTTTCATCTTTCTTTTTTTCGCCACTGATGATCGCTCCGTCCCAAAGCTTCCTTGCATGAATCCTTCCGCTTGGCTGCTGATATCAGATCCTGTGACCCCACAAGGCAACTGTTGCCCACCAGGACCCATTGTGAATGACAATGCCTCAATATAGTACCTTTTCCATTCCGAAAGAAGGGATATCGCGAGAGGTGGTCGAGACCGACTTGCCCTTCTACCTTGGCCGGGATGCCAAGGTCATGGAGAATAATGTAGCCTGAGGCCGGTACACAGCACAGCCTCGAGTAACCGGCTGACTCTGCCACAGAAAGGCGACCGATATGTTATTCAGTCATTTTCTGAACCACCCAGGGTAAGTGTTGCAAATGCACTGTCCAATGGCAACCACTGAACGGGTTGCTCCAGCACATGATCACATCTCTGCGAGATGACACAGCAAGGTGGCAAAGAAGCGATGACCATCGGAGACGATTGCGTGAGCATCTCCGTACTTCTTCTCACTTTCATGGTACTCACAAATAACAGGTTACTCCGAAAGTCGAATCCATCAAGATCGGAAGCGGGCTTGCCATGGAAAGGCCGAAGCTCAACCTCAACTGACAAGGCACAACTCCCGTGATGTGACCTCAGGGAACGCGGCTACAGGTGTATCTCCAATCCCTGTGCCCTCGAGACCCCCTCTGGCGCCACGATATAGCTCAAGCAATGGCTCAGTCTATGGGTCAATGCAAGTCTCGCCCAGCTCCGCCTTTGAGAGCGCTTCTCGGTCTCAATCAAGGCGGGAGTCAGACGCCATGTCATCGCTGGATGGCGGCATGATCAGTCGGACCATGTCAGCCTCCAGCACCTCCAGCAGCTATGGGACGAACGGTGGGTATGGCTTCAACAGGGATCTGCCAGGTGGCCAAAACGGTGAATGTAAGGCTCGCCGCTACCCAAAAAGTTGATGGCTGAAGGTTTGGGGTTTGTCTGTTTTATGGCAGACGTCCCGAGACTGAGCGTTCCTCTCCCGCGACATCGTTGAACAGCGATGCTAACTGGCCGCAATCAACAAAGACGGCTTCGCCAGCGGCGACCGAGGGCCCCCTGCCTATTTTGGCCGGTCATAGGCCAGCGCGCAGTGGAAAGGCCTAGGAGAGTCGATTCCTTGCTCATGTGAGATGATGGGAATGTAGTTGTATGTATACCCACCCCTTCTCAGTGTACCCCATAGGGTGACTGTTGTCGCTCACACCATTCGGACAGTGTATCTGCGTCGAGCATCCGGCCTTGTGCTTTTAGGATGTCTCTAAGGAGTTGGAAAGAATGAGTCGACTTCGGGTTGGATTCGCCCAGAATGCGATGTCTGTTCCGCACGACTTCTCGCAGGAGCTGCTCACCAAGTTGCAGATGGATGCTCTTCCTCGCCCCCGTCTCCCTCTTTGCCAATTGGAAGAGGAAAAACGCGTGACGATGCTTTGCTTCCCAACTATACGCATGCTGCTCGGGGAAGTTCTTCCGCACGCGGGGCAAGACAGATTGGACGATGATGGCCTCGGCCCCTTCAGCATCGCCGCAATAGAAGGTGGCCCTGGCCAGTGTGGCGGCAGCCATGATGGTCTCGATGCGGTCGTCGCCATATTGCTCCCACTGACGTGTGAGGTCAAGCAGCTCTCTTCGAGCAGGCTCAAAGTTCTCGGGCGCCCTGACTTCCTTTTTCAGCTCATTCTCCAGCATTGCCCAGGCCATGTTATACCTGGCAGTCAGGGCGGGCGCGGATGATTCAGAGAAGCCAATGCTCATTTGAGTCACAATGTAGGAGAGGCGAGCAATATCATGAGGCGGACAACCGGCACCACCACTGAGCATGTTCTTTTTGAACTCGATGGTCATGGTCAAAGGGTTGTCGAGTCCGCAGTGGTTCTTGGTCAACTCGTCGCATTTGGTCAGCAGTTCTGAGAGCCGCTCCCACTGGCCGTAGCAGTCGAACAGCACCGATACAATGCTCAGCGCCCCCAGGCATTCTCCGGCAGGGCAGCTCTCGTTGGTGAGCATGCACAAGAAACTGAACTGAGCAGTGGTCCAGTACCATTCCGTTTTGTTTTGAATCCTGGCATCATTCTGGTTCTGGCCAGCACAAATCAACCAGTACAGGCAATACATGACAAAATCCGCCGACAGGCTCTTGTCATTGAGCTGCCGGCTGTGGGTATTGTCGCCGAACCGGTAGATATCAAGATCCAGGTCGCTGATCTCTTCAATGACAGCCGGTGTCGCAGACAGCACGGCATTGGTAAAGTCAGCGGGCCACTGCTTGCTCGGGTCGTTGTTGTCCCACAGCCGGCACCAGCCAGACGGAATCGGCTCTCGCTGAGCACGCCAGAAAGGACCTAGGATGTTCGGGATGGCTGGCTGACTGCGGGTCATGACTGCCTGCTGCCCGGACATATGCTCACGGATGATGTTGAAGTTGAGAGGCACTGCTTCACCCCGATATTGGTGTTCTGATGGCGCCGGCACATAGTTGAGATCGTACGAAAATTCGCCTGAGTGTCGAGGACTGGACTCTGGCGACGGGATGGGGACCCTCATTGGGGAGATGGGCCTCAAGGAGGCGTGAGACTCCAGGGAGCCAAATGAGCTTGCGGATGGAGGTGTTGGCGGTAGGTGGGAGGGGCTGGGTTGCTGGGGCTCAACAGGGAAAGTGATATAATCGGGCGTCCTGTCGTCGTCGGTGATGCAGGACAGCAGCTCCTCTTCATTCTCAACCTTGTCATTCCTATTGAGGTACTTTTCGATATCCTCTCGTCGTCGAGGGTGCCCGGAGAAGATGACGACCTCTTCGCGGCCCTCGCTCTGGGCTTGGTTCAGCAACCTCAAGATGAAGGCGGCATCACGCTTGGTGAGCTTGTGTCTGAGGCCCCAGGTCTTCAACTGACTCTTGTATTGTTTCACACTGGGAGGTGTTGCTTAGCACATGTGGGAATTTCTGCTGGGGGGTGGTGACTTACGACAGATTGATGCCATACTCCCGTTTCATATAGTCCATGATCCAGTTCAGGGGTCGCTCCTCGTGGATATACAACTTTTGGATGCGGTCCTTGTGAGGGCCGAAAGCAACATCGCGAGTCTGTTTTGATTGGACTCGTTTGAAGGCCGACTTAGGTTGAGGACGAGATCGTGGCAGGTTCGGGGGTCCCATGGTTACCCACAGCCTTAAGCCACCGACCTGAATGTGGGATAGAAAGTGCCTAGGGATGCAAGAGGCCAGCCCTTAAGGCTGCCGGTAAGGTTGTACACTTGTTCAAGCAGGAGACAGACACGGGATGCATGAAGAAGAAGGATCACACCCAATCTAAGGGAGAGCTACGAACGCCAGATGCTGCAAGCCAGGCCACATTGGACTCTTTGTAGCGAGCGAAGCCAACATTTTGTTTCGCTGGAGTGGCAAAAGAGGCCATCATCTGGCATTGCTTTCTGACTAGCCTCGTGAACAAGGCTCACTTGTTAGGCAGAAGGGTGCGCCTTGTGCGGGCTTTTTTTTTTGGCCCCTGGGAGTATGACGGTAGGGAGGATGGGGCGGCCAGGGGGGGAGGAAGATGGATGGGTGGATAGGACGAGGAGATGGTGGCCGTCGGATGATGATGATGATGGATGGATGGGAGGATGGGAGGCCATCAGCAACACTAGCAGTATTAGCAGTTAACAGCCTAGATGGGACCAGGTGTAGGGAGTGACTAGAGGCTTGTAATCACCCGCCTGCAAAGGTCCCTCAAAGGGCCCATGAGTACTGCGTAGGCCTGGCCAGTGGCCACCGAGCAGTTGTCGAGGGATATCTACCTAGGTAGGCACCGCTAGACCACCGTGGTATACGAAAATTCCATAACTTGCCAACCTTTTCTTTTCTTTTTCTGGTGGCATGTCGTTCTGGACGGGATCCCGTGGCATGACCAGGAGGGGAGACTGTACCGAGTATCTCTTACTCACACAAAAGTTCCACCAGTGATCAAGTATTGAAGGAGCTAGAGAGAAGAGTCATCAGCATCTTAATTACCTCCCACCCACCTCCGGACCTTTCTTGACCTGGAGCGGAGCAGGCGCGGTCCTTCCCTTCCCTTGACCTTGGCCCACGGATGAGATGCACCTGTGCCTGAGCCGGCCAGGCTACGAGGATAAGCAAGCAGAAGAGTGAGAAAGAGGGAGAGGAAGAGCCCAGCATTCTCTGCTGCAGTGTCTGTTGTCTTTGTCGTGCCCCTGTACCTTGTATTCGGTACATACCCCCAACTACTCGGTTGTTACTTGTAGGTAGTTCGCTTCAAAGGTTCCAAAACAATCATGCATGGCGCCTTCAAAGGCTCTTTCGACATGTAAAAAGGCAACCGTTTCTCTGTCTTCTCTTTCGTCTGCTCGTTCACACCCGTGCCGCTCGTTGTTTCGCCCCCAAGTCATGGCTACTGGCCTCCCATGGTCAGCTGAAAGGTCCTAATGCTGCTGCTGATCTGGCTCTTAGAAAGGCCGCGTGGTTTCCCTCTCTGATCGACAATCACTCCCATTTTTTGTCTCCGGGGCATCTTTTCCGTATGTTTTTGTTGAGGAAGATGGAGCGACTATTATTGTCACCACCGTCCTCCAAGCAAAGTGGCGCTTTCGGCGCCGGCAGCAGCACTTTTGGCTGGCGTGTCGTGTCTCTATCTCACTCTCCCTTTCGCTCGATCGACTCTCAATTCCCTGTTCCAGCAAACGCGAGGGAGTTTTTGCCTCCCCCGGACATGATCCATCGCCACTGACCCATCGTTAAGCGCCCGTTGCATCGCAGGCTCCTCCCGGGGGAACGGTTCCCAGAGTCCCAGCGTCCACAATAATGGGACCCTATGAGTATTATCCGTGGTCCGTTGTCCATGATTATCCATTTATCAGCACCATCTTGCTGCTTACCTTCTGGTGGAGCTCTGGCTTCATGGTCTTCACTGCTCTCAGCAGCACCGGGAGCTCTTCTGTGCTCACCCTTTCCCTTGCAACCCCTGGCCATTTCGCTGGAGATGACTTCGCTTACCGTTCGTTAGAAATACCACGATCACCATCACCTGAGCATGATGAGTGCCAACCCCTACCGCGGCCCCCCCAGTGCCGATCACCGGTGAGGACAAAGGCCCCTCAAAAGTGCTCGCTGTTGGCTAAGCCACCTGTTCTCTGGAGAACCGACCTGCGCACTTTTGTTTGTGGCCTCGACACCCCCAAGGCCTCAGGCATCCACTTGGCTGGGTTCATGGGCTCTCCTAGCCCGCTTGTTGTCTGCTTACTCGTTTTGGTCCAGCTGTTCTCCTCTTCGTCTGTAACCCTGCTCGGCTACTGAGTAATGAAGCTCATCTGGGCCATGTGGGGATGATATCCGAGTCTCTTGGCTCGTTCCTGCTTTCTTGCTTGCAGGTTTGCTTACCTAGGTTCTCACGGGGATGGAGTCTTGTTGAGCGTGCAGCAGCCACTACTCCCCTTCCGCACACGCATGGGACTTTGGGATGCTAAAATGTATCACCCGTGCCGTGCTCGGTACCACAGAGTCCCCATCTCAAGGGGCAGAAGCAAAGAAACATGGGAATTCTTGAGATTCCGCCAACGCACCCCCGTTCGTTGCGATGGGTACAACGGTAGGAGTTTGAATGGGAGTGAGGGCCCTTCTCGCACTTTGCGGCCACACCCAGCCAGCTTCTCGAAGAACCTTTGCAGGCCACATCGGAACACAAGTGCCGCATTGACCCTTACCTTTCCATTACATTACTGCGCCAGCGCGCAGACTCGACTCGATGGCTGCCAAAGAGATATGTCTTCTTGATATATCCTGTTGCGCCCCGTCCATTGACTAGCCCGTGTTGTTATCACCACTTCCATTCTTCTAGGTCCTGTGGAGCGGATGATATAAATTATTCACCGACTGAAGCCTCAGAGAACCACAGCATCAGTTGACGACGGATCACGGAACGTCTTGCTTTTCCCTCTCTACCAAATTCACTTCGCATCCTTGCCATTCCCAGGGACTCCGGGAGGGAAGGAAGGCAGGAAAAGACATACACCTCTCCCATCATCGTTGTCTCCAATTTGCTGTCCCAGAGAGTCCATTGATAAGACAGTCCTCCACCAGTCCACAATAACGGACCGACTCGTTCCCCGTCTGTTGAACTTTGATCATTCCAAAGGGTCAGCGCCAAAGAAAGGCTACCTTCAAGACTACGACCAAAAGTCGCAGTGCTCAGCTTCAAAGTACGAACTGAGATCAGAAAGGATAAAGGCCCGACAATGCCGCCTCCAGCATCCTCAGACACCATCAAACCATCCCGCCACCACACCTGGAGCACCACCAGTGTCAAGAGCGGGAGCACCAGTGGCCGCCACGACCATCACCGCCACCAGCAGCACGACCACCAACAGCAGCAATATGGGCAGCCTCGCACCGCTGCCAGGAAGGAAGCTGACGCCGCGACAGTGCAACGATGGCTAGACAGGCGCGAGCCCACGCAAGAGGACGTGCTGGATCGCGTCGCGCGGGCCTTTGGACCTGTCAACGACAGGCGCGGGAGGGAGGCGAAGATGAAGATGAAGATGAAGTTGTGATGCTGGACACGAAATAGACGATGACGACGAATAACGACAAAGATCTTACCATAGCGACGGCGAAGAAGAAGATGCCCTCTTTACCCATACTCGTTCTTATTCTCGTCGTCGTCCTCATACACATGTACAAGCAAGCGTAGGCTTGCATGGACTCGACCTCACTCCCATTACTGTTGGGTAGTCGGGGAATTTATCGCTTCCGGAAAAAGAAGTGGGAAGGGGGAGATCTCCAAAATTTCTTGTTCTTTCCAACGGGCGCTTTCAACTTTGGCGGTAAGGCTGCTGTCGCAAGGGGTCCGTTGCTGATCTCGGAACATTTTTCAGCTTTTTTGTTTTTTGAATTCCCATACCTTGGGTACCTAGGCAGCTTTGTATAGTATTGTTAGAAAATTAGTTGGTAGGAGTAATTAAATTCATCAGGTATCACTTTCCCCCCCCAAAAATACCATCGAGCTTGGTCCAAGAGGCTGTACCAATGATTAACCATCATCGTCCGGCCTGTGCAACCAATCCGTCGTATTAAATATTGACGATGATTCTTCCCCGTCAGTACCCAGGTACACCTCTCCACTCGGAGCGCATCTGTCGCCAGTCGACTCGTCTCGTGCGGACCACGGCGTGACTGCAGCGGCCCCGTGGTTTCTTCCTTTCTGGATCCGGTGTGAAGAGCCTAGAACCGGTCTTACAAAAATATTCGCATCATCCCCGGGCCTCTCGAAGTGGCATTGCTTTTGGGTTTCCACTGTTTCTCATATTATTTTACCACCCCCGCCATCTCTATGTCATGTTGTATCTATTACCCCTAACCCCCGGACGGACGCAACGTGGGCAGAACTAGTACTTTGTACTCAAGAGCGCCCTGTCTGTCTGTCTGTCTATCTGTCTATCTGTAGATATCAGTCAAGGCATTGGCGTACGTGGTATTACTTCTTCCGTCCGATGAGACTGTTGGGGTGCAGCGGTGGGACTGAGGATAGACCGCTGATGGGTAGACATTTGTTGTGTTTTCGTATATACAACAAGTATATGAGTTGCAATGTATTCAATTGGCCATCTATCGCATCTGAATTCCGTCCCCATTGCCATTCCTGGGAGGTCCCGATGGGCCGCGTAGCTCGCCATGTCCCCTTTGCTGTGGCAGACAAATTGCCGCCAATATATTAAGCGATTCACATCCCAATCGCTAGGTTCTTGTGCCTGTATTTCCCACTCCATGCTTTATAGCCCGACGCCTTCGCTGTGCATAAAACGAAAAAGGACAATCGACTGGTTCCGTCTCCAGTCCAGCAACGCTTCTACAGGGACCCACCTCAACACGATGAGAGCAAATAGTCACGGCTTCTTCAGTTGCCAAATTTTGGCGCCTCATCCGTTACACGTACTTCAGCAACATGATGCAGAAGCATACAGTTGGACTTTGTCCCTCTTTTTTCTTCAGACTCCAATTTTGATCAGGTTGAGATACCCAAGGAGATCAAACTGTGACTTGACAATTCCCACGACCTCCCGGAAGATCCTAGCCACTAGTATCCTCGGTATTCTTGTTATCGATTTCTTGTTGCTCCGCCTGTAGTTGACTTGGCGAAGGACTCGGGGCTCGCACACTCCTCGGTGCGTCATATATTGAGCTGGTATACCTCGCCCGAAGCGCCTCTTCGCATGCCAGCTCTTGGTCATATGCTGGCATCACTCTGCGCATAGCTTCAAGCCAATCGCTCATGGTCTTCGGTGTCAAATGGCACATTTGAGTGTACTCCCAGTACTCGGGGTACCATCCAGCCGACTCCCAGCCTATCAAGGCACTTATCCGACCGGCGTCGTCCACCAGGATGTTTTGGGGGCAGAGGCTGGCATGAGTGAACTTGAGTTGATATGGTTTCTTAGGGGCATGAACCATCTTGATTTCCTTTTCTGGGAAATCGTCCGTCGGGTGGCCTCTCCGCTCAAACTCTTGGAACGCTTCGATTGAGAAGAAGGGTCCAATGCGACCGGAGCCAAATCGGTGATCCAGCGCAGCCCCCAAGGTGGCATCCCCCACAACACATTGTTTGGGTGGTTGCATCTTTCTGAGTTGGTCCACGAAACGCCCTAGGTCTGCCACAATTTTGTTCTGTTTATGTGCAGACATGGTCGACCATACATGATCCAAGGGTTTTCCGGGATAAGCTTCATACTCGACTAGTTTTCCCTCCGGTCTGTTGTATACTGCGAGGACCTTGTACGAGGGAACCGAAGTGTGTCGGTCGACCAGCATCAGTGCTTGATACTCGGTGTTGGCACAATGGGTTTTGAGAATTCGGTTGTTGCTGAGGCGCAGGACCGCTTCGCCAGTACGAGGGTCGGTCTCTTTCTTGCCCCAATTCATGCGCCATTTCAGACCAAAGGGGATCTGGTCGTATTCGTCTTTTGGCTCTTCGTCTTTACTTCCGAAACAAAATGGCATGACTGCAAGAACACACTAGGCCCGCGGAGGGCAGCTCAAGGAGAGGGATCGAACGGGGGGAGGATGGCAGTCGGTTACATCGAATTTGGTCGCAGATTATCCGGGCATAGGTCGATCGATCATGGGACAGAAGGTGCGTGGTCGTGGGGAGGCTTATGTGCGATGCAACTCGAAGTGTGACCTTCGGCGTGGATTGGGCAGTAGACAAGGAAAGGCAGTGTGGCTTCGAGATAGCGGTGAGCTCGCGTTTGGATTCATGTCTGGGCGATGGACATCTAGAGAATACGACGACTGAGAAGTGATGGCGGGGAGAGGAGAAGAGACGTAGAGCAGAGAGCGGACGAGGACAAAGACGAGATCGGAAGGTAGATAGCTAAAGAGGAGGGATTGGCGTTTCCCTACCAGTAGCTGATCCAGCCCATTGACGAGAAGAATAATAGAGGCGAAGGCGAGGACAAGCAAGACGAATTCATATCGGAGGCGTAGGCGGGACAAGAAAAGAGGGACAGACAGGAACAAGGCACAAGAAGCCCAGAGACCCAGACGCAGAGAAGCCCAGAAAGCCCAGAAAGCCCAGAAGAAACCCCCATTAATTAGTCCTCGATAGTTGACTCAATCCTGGGGCTTGGTGCTTGGTGCTTGCATTGCTTGGGCATTCGGCATCTTCCTTACACTCTCTACCTGCGTTTCATCCATCCACCCATTCATTCATTCATCCATCCCCTCGACTCGATTCATTCATGCATTCATCCTCTCGATTCAATCATCCACTCCATCCATCAGCTGAGCGAATCAGCTGAAAATGAGGCTAAAACAAAAGCTCGATTCCACCTGCAGCTCACCCCTCGCACCCACCCGCTCCTCTGTCCGCACCAGTGCCCGAGTTATCATCCTCACCCCAATCATTCTTGGTTCCTGACTCCCGAGGTTGCATCTCCCAGAAAGGCCTTAGATCGGTCTTGGGAAGAAGAACGAACTCCAACTCTTCTCCCGTATGCATCTCGGTTGGGGATGATCCTTCCGTTCCTCTTTCGGGAGTGGGTGTTTACCAAGGCTCTCACGGTTCCAACCCAGACTCCCTGCCACTACTAGCCTTGGCCTGTGCTCACCCTAACTACACAGTAAGGAGTAAGTGGGACACATGCCTGTTCTCCGATCGACGACAAATGCCCATCGATCAGAAAGACGACATCCAGATCCGTGCTTCCCCTTGAACAAAGACTCTTTACTACAGTCTTGCCAGAGCCTTATCTGCCAATGGTCAATCTGACAAGCACCCGCAAATCCACTCCCAAGAAGAGCCAAGTAAAGCCTTGTGATGATCCTATAGGTTGGCCATTCCGAAAAATCGTGTGGGCATCTTCCTAGGATTTGAACTATGAGCTGAGACGTCAAAGAGCACAGACGCTGTTTTGAGGGTTAGTGCATTCCGATCAGGCATTGAATAAAGTACAGGTGAGCCTCTCTATCTCAATGGACTGTCACACCGGGACTCTGCAGTGCAAGTGGGAGATGTGATGATCTACTCTGCTGCTGTTCGCCCGCTCTTTGACAGCCATACATCAACCCTGGGAACTGTACATCCCCAACGGTCCCGGTTCCCTCTGTTCGGAAGTCTAGTCTCGCTCGTCGTCTCCCATTGTTTCGGTCTGGAATCTCAGATTTCGAACAAAGAAACCTTGTCAGATCTGTTCCTGATCACAATGAGTCCCCAAGTGCCGAATATATCATGGTCAAAGAAGAGCGCGTGTGCATCACCTATTCTCGGCGGACTCTGTCCATTGTCCTTAAGATGTGGCCTGTTTCTGGCCTGGCCTCCGGTGAATATGAATCTCTCTCATAGCCGTTTCTGCCCCTACCACAACATCTTTTGCAGGAACCACCTCGTCGGGTTGTCGCAACATCTCCACTTCTGTACAGTCTTTACCAATCCCTAGTTATCAAATAGCACAGCCATGGCTTCATCAAACCCGACGTCTCCAACCCTTCCTGCTCTGTCGCCATTGTCGCCGCACTCGTCTAGAGCTGTTGAGAAGCTCCCGCTCGAGCCGCTCCCCACGCTGGTAACTACGTTCTCTGCTATGACCCCTACCCAACCATCGATGACCAGCCCCAGTCCTTGGTCAAATACGAATGGCACAATTTGTCGACGAAACAGCCTCGCATCACCGATGATGTCTCCAGCCCAAGCCGCTTTTGCGCCAATATCTCCCGCACAAGTTCGAGATCAGATTCGCACCCCTGAAAGAGCACATTTTCAATTCACCCATACGCCGATGACACCCAGCTTCCCTCGCGAAGATGGCCGGCAGAGCCGCATGGCCATGCGCAGCCCAGCGTACGAGAAGGTCTTGACTCTGCCCCTGCGTGTCAATACAATATTTAGCGGTGAGACCATTCAGGAAGAGGATCAGTCAGAATGTGTATCTATCCCGTTGTCTGACTCAACGACGCCCTTGGACTGGGCACCAGCAATTGCAACCACATCGGCGTCCCCCACAGCCAACGGTAGACGTCTCGTGCGCTCTCACACCCCTGCCCCTATTTTAACTCAAACTCGATCTCCCATTCGCAAACAATCGCACAAAAACAGCCGCCTCCCGGCAAAGCCACGCCTTCCTCCGCCGCCGAAATATCACGTCAAGGTCATCCCCACTCTCTCGCCTACAACCCAGCGAAACAGACAGCATTACCTGTCCAGCGTAGAGCACCTGCGTGCCCCCTTAGTTCCCCTGATCTCCGTGACAACAGGCCTCCCGCACCCGGAATTCCCCACCAGTCTACTGCAGTATCACTTACTTACCCACGAGCAATTAGACTCTTTGGCGCGATGGTATCACCAAGTAACGCCGCCCGTGGAGGAGACGTTCCAGTATCCCGCCTGGATTCCTGCTTGGACGAGTCTGTATCGGCCGCGATCGCAGACCTCGAACACCGACGGCGAGATGACGGTGGACCTCGAGACGAAGAAAAGGAGGTGGGGACGATTTATCGGCCTACGAGGATGCGAGAGTCCTACGGACGAGGCAGGAAACGTTATGAACGGAAACGATTGTCAAGAAGAAAGCAGTAGGGAGAGTTCTGAAGAGCTAGCCCGGCGCATGGAACGGGAGTGGAGGCGGGCGCTTGAGCGGGCAGAGGAAGAGGCCCGCGCCTACGAGAAGAGCTGGAGGGGCCGGTGGTGATGCGCATGGCAATCCGTGCGTAACTTGATACACACTAATGAGGAGGCTCTCGTTTGCAGAGGGGAAGGTACCTAGGCACCCATTTATAGAGGAGGAGGCCTTCATTTACAAAGGAGGACGTCCTAGTTCTGTAGCTTGTCTACCGTTAACCCATTGTCCGGTTTGAGAATTGTAGCAATATTCAACACCATTCTTATGAGCTTCGATTGATGGGATACGGGCGCCAGCTTACTCACCAATACCTAGCCTTCGATAAGGGTAAGATCCAGAAAGGGTACCTGCCACCGATACAACACCGGCCGTCGAGATTGAACCCACGCAGGACGTGAAAGTATACGATCTAGTCAACACTAATAGATTAGGTTTTAGAGGAGGAGCTGCTCGCTTTCAAAAGAGGAGCGAGGAGCCTGGTTCGCGAGGTCAGACACTAGGCTCTCACCAGGGGTAGGCAGCGTTTAGTCTGTATTCACATAAGTTTGGGCGGGTTGGCGTCCTTTCCAAAAAGATTATATTAAGTAAGGGGTAAGTCGAACGGAAAGGGCAATGAATGTTCACTACTCGAGGTCCTTGTATGCACGAACACAACTCATCGACCACCTATGTCTATCTGTGTAATGTACCAAAAAACCGTCCTCATACTCTTCCCACCACATCTACACAATCTCCAAATTCGCAATCCTGACCCCTTTCGTCTCGACATGATACCGTCTCTTGACGCCCACGGCGCGGACGGCGGCGTTCTTGAAGACGTCGTACACCCGCTGCCCGCCGCCCACGAGGACCATGGGGATCGGATTCCGACGGGGTAATCCCGCGGGTGTGGTTTGTCGGCGGTGCAGGTAGGGGCGGATCAGGTTGAGGTCGTCGTATGCGCCGCTATCATTCGGGATGTCCCCAGCGCTGCCTTGGTGTGCTTCGCCTTCTAGGTCTCCTTCGGCATCGCCGTGCTCCTCAGCGTCGTTCTGCTCATACGACACGACAATCACCAATTGCAGCGCCTGCGCGCCCGCCTTGTATGCTGGGATGTTCTCCAGCTTCGCACTAAAGTCGCACTTCCCCCTTTTCACCACGAGGATCTGGTGCTGTCTGACTACACTGAGAGGTATTCTGTGGTCGCAAAGTTCGTCCGTCACGTAGATCTTTGTCCACGACAACGCAGGGAGGGCAGCGCCAGGCGATAGCAGGGTGGAGACTTCAGGCCAGTCTGGCAGTGGTGCGGCGCCTGGGCCGGTCGGCGTTACTGCAGAGAGGTGATACCGTAGCAAATTACCTTGTCCGCCTTTTTTTGAGGACGATGACGTAGAGGAAGAGGCAAGCCTAGAAGTTGCTGGGGGCGTAACGAGTGAGAGAGGCGTTGAGAAGGGCCAGGGAGATGGAGCGCGGCTTTCTCGAATGAGGCTAGAGATCTGAGAGACGATTGCGTTCCACGCCGCCCGCATGGCGCCGTCGTTCGCACCATCGTCGAACTGTGGAAGATCGATAACCATCGATGCTTCTCCACCGTCTTCAGATTTCTGGCCTGCTGCAGTTGCTGCTGGTTCATTGGCTTTCCCAGCGTCTGATTCTTCGATTGACCCGTCTAGATCAATTACCAGGTCCAGCATAACGGCATTGCGAATGCGCATAAAATTGGGATCTGCAGGGCTAAGGACGTCTCTGCCCGTTTCACGTGCCAGGTACACCTTCTCGTCCTTACCCAGGGGGATGTTGTTGATCGTTTGGATCCGGAATGTATCGTGGAAACCGTCGTCGAAAAGCAAAGGGTAATCCTGAATCATTCCGAGCCGCAAGCCGCCGATCGTGTTGATCAAGATCCCATCTTTCACACGTTGGAGAGGAGGAACAGGTTGGCCTGCGGGAGACATCGCCGGGAACGAAATGTCGAGTGTCGGTCTAGTCGGAATGAGAGAACTTGAGGCATTCCACGGGACTAGCTCCGGGGGCAGCGTCCACGGATAGTAGGTATGATTGGAAGGTGAGCTGATGTCCAGCAACGTAATGCTCGGGTGGTCCGCCGCGTATTCACCGAGAGCGGATTCGACATTGTCCCTGTGAGGCATGAGATGAAGTCTGGCCAGACTAGCGGCGTGGTAGACATCACCCCTCGAGGCAATACTGGAGATAGTCAGTGGCAGGGGTGAGGGTTTGGCAGGACAGAATGATGCTTCGCCGTGCACTGGACGCCGAAGAGCCCCGAGGTCGGAGCTGCTGCCAACGCTTCGGGGAATGATCAATGGATGGCCCTCAGTCGTGAAGACGAAAGGTTCATCCAGGTGATTGAGAGGATGCGTTGGATCGAACAGGAGAAAGAGGTATTTTGCAGTCTCCCCGAGGAAGAAGCTCTCCATCCTGTCCGTCTGCTCTCCAGTGAGCACGTTTTGGATGCTCGCCCAGCCACACCTGGTCCAACATCGTCGTTTGATATCCCGCAGCACCATTTCCCCGACGTGAAAATACCACGGGTCTTCTGTGGCGCGGTAGAGATAATAGGTAGACTCAATGAACTCTGGCCGGCCTATCCACCAACCAAGCCCGCCTTCGATGCCTCCAGTCACGATATTCCACCGCTCTGGTAGAGCAGAGAATCTTGTCCAGAGGGCCGTCTGTAGAAGATGGGTTTCCACGGCTTCGTCAACGTTTCCAGCAAGGGTGAGTACGCCCGGATAGTATGCACTCAATGCGTCAATCCAGAATCCTCTCGCGGCGCCAGTGGAGAAATCAGCCTGGATATAGTGTGGGTGCTGATATGTCGACCCACGATAGAGGTGCCGCTTGATCGCGGCATGAGCGACGTTCCAGGCATCGAGAAAGGCCTCAGAAGTCGAGTCCTCCACAGGTAAGGATTGATGAAGTGACCTTGGGTCTTGTGAGGCGTTTGTGTATTTGTAGACCGGATGAGCTTCTCGTGATAGAAGGATGTGCGACTTCAGGGCATATTCAAAGAAGCTGTCGATGCCAGCACCGATGCCAGTCCAAGTGCCGATCCAGCTTCCACTTTCTGCGTCGATTCCGCCTCCAATCAGGTCGATAGCACTGCGCCTCTGCCAGATCGCCCAAAACGCTCTTTTTGCGAGTTCTTCAAAGCGGGGATCCCCCGTTAACCGGGTCAAGACTGTAAACTCAAGTACCAAACTTCCGGCACCGGCACTGCATGTCTCGGTGATTTCAGGTGTTCCTGAGCGAGCATCACATTGACCGTTCTCAACGCCAGAATTTAGGGGGGAGTTGACGTAAAACGGGATCCCGTGGCGAAGGTTGACACGAGGATATGGAATGCCAGTTGAAGACCAGAAGGCGGGAATCAGGCGATTCCCAAGGTCATAGGCGAGCCGAAGAAGTTGACCGTTATATTCAAATGCATTAGGCCAAAGGATGCCCTGCTTCTTGCCATTGTACTGATCCTTCTGCCATACTTGAGCATATGCAGCCTGCTCTTGAGGAGGGCCGTAGCCGCGGATTGGCAGCTCGCCAACCGCAAATAGATGAGCGCTCAACAGCCCACCAAGACCTCGTATCGCTGTCTCGAAGACCTGTACCTTGCTGTCCAGATCGAATCCTCTTGCTCTTAGCCCTTGACCTAACGGCCCATCGGAGCCATCACCATACTGCTCGACCAAATCCCTGACACTGTCCTGAAAAAGGCGAAGGGGTTTATTGTGCTTTGAACTCGACGGCTTGGAGGCTAATATCGCGAGAGTGGACAGACTATCGATGAGGGTCAAAGAATAGTTTCCCAGCGGGTCATTGACTTCGATATGGGCGGGGTTGTCGCGGTCGCGTGTCAAGGGCTTGCAGGAGATTGGACGCAGTTCATCCTCGGGGAAGGCATAGGACATGTAATTCTCGAAGCCATGATAGAAGAGATCCTCAGCCTCCTTTCTGAGGGCCTTGATCTGGCCAGGTGTCTGTGCATGGACGGTGGCTATAGAAGCCAGACAGGCAAGAAGCACGACGAGACGAACGCCTCTCAGCCATTGCCAAAGCCGTGCGGGTGCGAAGAATGGAGACAATGATAGAGCTGGAGGCGTCACATGGCGACAAATCATGCGCATGGCACACTCGCGGGTGACGGTGCCACAGAGCGCATATCAAAGGGTCGCATGCGAACTGTAATCGGTACACGGGGGGATTTCAGTGATTTGGTGTCCTCAATCATGTTTAGAATACTGTTTTGTCTGACAGGACATTTCTAGATTCTAACGCTGATGAGCCGCCCGCAACTTCTCGTCAGACCACCCTTTTTTGTGACCAAGCATGGCAGTAGAGTATTCGAAGTGATTGACTGTTAGTGATTGGGTTATCTTCATTCGCGGGCGTATTCTATCTACAATTATACAGAGCGAGATCCCTATACCTACTACTAGCGAGCCCAGATAGAAGCTCTCTGATATGGTAGTCCCCTCGTCCTTATTGAACAGTGTCAGACTGTGCCATTTATCTCTGAAGCCGGCCAGCCGCCTCGCTCCCTCGCTCCCTCGCGGCCTGCATCTCGGGGTTCCTGGCACCGACGGTAGTTTTCTCGGTTGGTCTCATCCTCTACACCCACAGCGAAATGGTTCCTAAGCTGACAAACTGCGAAACAGCTGGTGCCAGATTGCTCGCGAACGGCAGATGCTCCGTCCAAATCCGGCCAACTAGGCACATGTCGACAGCCGGCTTCCCCCACTAAATCACACAAAGGCGCTTCGATCGCAGATCTTCAGGCCACGATGCAGCTTTCTTCCTGGTAGTCATTGCTCGACTGAACTTAACACGAGCCTCGTCTTCCCGTTGCCACGATGGAAAAGGCAAGGGACGTTCTGTCTAGTTGTCGCCGCTGATCACCGCAGGTTTAGGAATCAGTGGAAATACGGCAGCAAATGGCGAAATGCCGGGCGCGGACCTAAGACGACGACCATGGCACAAAATATATATAGTGGGACCCCCAATGTTTCTTGCGATGCCCGACCTTTCCATCAGAGACAATAGGCCCAAAGTATTCGCCATCAAGAACCTCTAACGAGCAGCGTTTTCGATCATTCTCCATCATGAAGGTCTTGCTCACTGGGGGCAGCGGTTTTCTTGCTGTGCATTGCTTGGACGCGCTGCTCAAACACGGGTATTTTGATTGAATTCTATCGTGGATATCGTCTAATATTGACCATTCCTCAGGCACGACGTGGTTGTCACTGTACGTTCTGACGAAAAGGGACACTACCTGCAAGAATTGTTCAAGGGTAAGCCAGTGTCATATACGATAGTCAAGGATATTGCGGAAGATGGCGCCTTTGACGATGCCGTCAAGGCCGATCCACCGTTTGAAGCCGTCGTGCACACTGCCAGCCCTTTCCATTTCAAGGTCACAGACAACAAGAGAGACCTGCTTGATCCCGCGATCAAGGGGACGACAGGAATCCTGAAGGCCATCCACCAGTCAGCAAAATCCGTCAAGCGTGTGGTGATCACGTCATCCTTCGCTGCTTTATCGAATTATCGCAACCCACCTGCGGTATACAACGAAGAGATCTGGAATGATATGACCATGGAGGAAGCTCTAACGGCACCGAACCCGCAGGCGGCTTACAGGGCGAGCAAGAAATGGGCCGAAAAGGCTGCTTGGGACTTCGTGGAGGCGGAGAAACCAAGTTTCACTGTCACCACGCTCTGTCCACCCATGATATATGGGCCGGTGCTCCATCAAGTCAAGTCATTGGATGAATTGAACACTTCCAGTTCGCGGATATGGAATCTCTACCGTGGGACGCCACGAGCCGGACCGGTTGGGTCGCCGGTCCACGTCGATGTTCGGGACCTGGCCGAGGCTCATGTGCTCGCGATTGAAAAACCCGAGGCTGCCAATCAGAGGTTCTTTACCGTCGCTCAAGCAGCCACCGAGAAGCAGCTCCGGGAAGTCATGGAAGAGGCCTTTCCAGAAATCAAGGGAAATCTCAAAGATGAGTTATCCGACACGCTTCCGCCTTGGGGTATCGACAACAGCAAATCCATCAAGGTGTTGGGCGTTCAATACCGCCCTCTCAAAGAGACAATCGTGGACGCGGTCAATTCACTGAAGGCACTTGGGGCATAGAGCGTTTGGTGGAGAAAGGTGGCTGGACGTGAAAGATTTAGACGCATAGATTTCTACTACGACGCCGTGCTATTACGACGGTCTCAATGACAAGCATAGAACCTCCGAGACTCTCCTTTGTGAGCCCCAGGTCTTTCTGTAGAGTTGTTCTAGGCTCGAGAGCAACTACATAATGAGGAGCGGAAGCTTCGGCGATTTCATGGGAATGAAATTTGCCGCGGCGCTCGCGTCCTTTGGGGCCGCTTATCTTCAATCTTTCGTCTCTGCGAGTTCTTACATCTTCCCCACCATTCACGACGCGCTTGCGGCGTTGCCAGTGATCGCCGCGGCGAAATGTCCACACCTACCGTCAATGGGGATCCCAGTTGGGCCAACTCGACCGCAATGTCGGAGGAGCCATCTGTGCCAGGAACGTCCAAACAAGGCAGCGCCTGCGAGGCCTGCCACTCCAGGAAAGTCCGATGTGACAAGAACCTGCATGAGAGCACTCGCGAAGCTTGCTCCAATTGCCGTGACGCTGGGAGAGCCTGTCTGTAAGCGTCCCTCCCTTACGTCTCATTGAAAACTCCGAGCAGAGCAAACCTCAACTGACATCGCGAGGGGAACAAAAGGCCTCATGTCAGGAAACGCAGACGACAACCGCTGGTTCACGGCGGAAGAAGCCCACAACAATCAGCCGCGGGGGAGAAAAAGGTCAGACGGGCAGCAGCAGATGGCGAGAGGACCTTGACACCGTCCCAGCAAGCCAGCTATCTCGGTCGTGCCGACTACATCTCGGCCCATGCTGAGATTGACGAGGACGACGCAACTCACTACCAGAGTCCCGGCGGCCCTCGCGCGGGCTCGTGGCACAACTTCGAGGTCAAGATCCGCCGCAACTTGTCCGTGCTCGAGGTGCCTCAGGGCACGCTTCGGCAGACTCTGCTGAGAAATTTCTTGCAAAGATGTCGTCCGTGGATGCCATTGGTGAACGAGTTGGACCTCGAAAAGCTCGACTCGAAGAACAAGGACACCTTACTTGTCACGTCCATGCTTGTGGCGGGGAGCATCGTCTCGTCCACACCGCAAGCTGCAGAACAAGGACAGAGGTGCTATCAGCGAGCCAAAGTGCTCTTCTACACGAACGCCGAGCAAGATCACCTGCATGCCATCATGGCCACCATCTTCCTGCAGTGGCTGAATCCATCCGGGCCGGAGCATGTGTCCAGTGACAACAGCAGCTTCTGGCTCAGGATCAGCGTCGCCCTCGCACACCAATTGGGCCTCCATCGTGAGCCCGACCCGCGGATGGCGGATGCAAAGTTGAGGCGGAGGATTTGGTGGGCTCTGGTCGTAAGATGAGACTGTCGTTTCCGCCAAGTTGTCAACGAAACTAACACAATGGGAAGTCCAGGGACAACCTAATAGCCGCAAGTCATGGACGTCCGAGGGCAGTCAACTCCGAAGACTCGAATGTTCGACCCCTTCGCACGGATGACTTTGATGGCGACGACGAGGATGCCCTCCTCTTCATGCACTTTGTCCAAATAACCTCCATTCTAGGGGATATGACCGAGGAGTACCGTCGTGGCACGCTCTCAGATCGCAAAAAGATCGACTTTGAAGACGCACTTCGCCGATGGCTGAAAACTGTACCACCAAGCTTACAACTCTACAATCCCGAGACGAAAAAACTGAACGACTACAACTTCAAATCCCGGCAGCTCCACACGATCTACTTCACCTCACTAATCATTCTTTTCCGACATGACAAGAGAGATGAGCCTCCCCGACCCGTCTCGCTACTCGCAGCGTCCTTCGTTTCCGGGATCTTCGAGGAGTATCTCACGTGGGAAGATGTCTCGCATCTCCCAGTGACCTCCATATTCTACCTGATGGTCGCAGCACTCTTGCAACTGTCTTACCAGCGATTCCCCTCATTGGCCACACATCGGACCGAAGAGATCGAAATCATCAGATCATCGTTGAACGAGCTCAAGAAGAGGTTTCCTTCTAGCCTCGGCGCTGAGAGAGTGGTGAATCAGATGATGAAGCATTCCACTTCCCTACCAGAGACGGCGCAGTCCGTCCGGCTCGTTCTTACTCCTGACCAGGAAGAATTCTTTGCACCCTTTGGCCCCGAGTTGTGTCGGAAATGGCGGCTGGTGGTCGAGAGTCCACCGACGGGCCACTTGGAGGGAATTGAAGATTTCGCTGGGATGAATCAATCTGACATTGGGGCCGTCCACGCAGGGCAGACAAATCACCACCGGCAGCCGAGATCGGATCCGCCGCAAGAACCACAGACCATTGTCGCCGTTGAGCCGGCGTGGAATGGCAGCTCTCCATTCGCGTTCAGCATTGACGATCAAAACCTGTTCTTGGATCAACTGGGTCTCGACAGCGTTGGGCGCTGGTGGTGGGCGGACTGGATGCCTGAAGCGGACTTGGAGTTCCTCTCTCAATCACTTTAATGGACGGGCTATCTGACCACAAGAGAAGCATTTGTCCAGCACGAGCAACACCTCGCTACACCTGCCCGCCCATCAATAAACCACGACTTCCTGCAGTCCCGGCCTCAATATAAACTTCAAAAGTTGTCAATGCAGAAGTCCGCGAGCGGATCAATGAGCGCATTCGTCAGTTCTCCAGTTACAGACTTGGCCGTACACGCGGGGTTCGTCGATTGAACATAGATAGTGTAGGCGGTCGTCGGTCGAGTATATAACGCAAAATATTCATGGCTGGTTGGCGCCTCTAGCGCCCCCGGAGGTAGGCGTGGTAGGTTCGAGGAGAGGGACGCCTACACTATCTTCGTGACATTATGAGGAAAGTATGATCTTACTGAGTCACTCGGAGGGTTGAAAGACACTATAACTACCTACTGAGTCCCTTGGGAGGGTCTCGTCAAATTCGCCGATTCGATCGCCTGAGGAGCTAGGACGTCATTTGTGCTCCGTATTTCATCTCGATATGATCATCGGCTTGAACGAATCGGATGCAAAAGCACGACTCTTTGATCTTCAATGGTGACATGATGAAATACCAGATCCTTTTCTCCTTTGACCCATGATACATCTCTGCGAATTGTACCATTTCGATACTGATACTCATGTAGGACGGTACGATTTGGTGGTTTCTTTTTGTCTACCATAGAGCACAGAGTAGCACGGGACCAGCTTCAGCCTCGCCGGCGCAATGGCACCCTCTAGCCTTGACCGGGCAGAAACCTCACGACAAGCCTCGACGACCGACACGCTCACACCCACGCCCAACACCGGATCAAAGACCGTCGTCACCTTCCCACCTGGCGACCCGGCCGATCCTCGAAACTGGCCTGTCTGGCGAAAATGGACCATCGTGGCCAGCATCACGCTCATCGACTTGACCGTCTCGTGGGGCGCTTCTGGCTTTTCACCTGCCAGCGAAAAATTCACCAAGCACTTCCATGTCAGCACCGAGGTCGGCGTCCTGGGCCTCTCCCTCTACGTCTTGGGATTGGCATTTGGCCCCATGAGTCTGGCGCCCTTGTCTGAGTATTATGGCCGGACGCCACTTTATGTCTTGCCGTACGGGACGTATCTGCTCTTTCTCCTGGGCACCGCGCTCGTCGATAACCTTGGCGGCTTCCTCGTCCTCCGCTTTTTCTCCGGCCTCTGCGCCAGCGTGACCATAGCGAACTTCGGCGGGACGATAGCGGACCTGTGGCCGCGGCACAAGGTTGGACCTGCCATGAGTGTGTTCCTCTGGGCTGCCGTGTGTGGTTCGCCATCCGGGTATTTCTTGCTCGCCTTCGTCGCGCAGACCAGAGGGTGGAGAGATGTCTTCTGGGCACTGTTGGGCATCTGTGGCGGGCTATGGCTGATTATGGTTGTTGTCCTGGTCGTCTTCGGGAACGAGACGAGACATTCCGTCTTGTTGAGAAGGAGGGCGAGTCGCCTGAGACGAGAGCGAAACTCGAGCAATGTCACCGTCCCGGAGGAGATGAGGCGCAAGTCTCTGACACAGCTGTTTCGAGTCACTCTGTCTCGGCCCTTCCGGTTTCTGGCTACAGAGGCCATCATCATCTTTGCCGCGTTGTATAACGGGTATCTCTATGGTCTGTCATTCCTGTTCAACGACGCATTCAACTTGGTTTTCGGCAAGCACGGCTATGGCTTCGGAGTCATCGGGGTGGGCTTGTGCTTCCTGGGCCTCGTCGTCGGCATAACGCTGGGTCCTGTTGTTAACATCTGGCAAGAGCAACATTACCAAAAAGCCATCCATTCACATCCCCGAGATCCAGAAGAACCAAGTCGTGACGACCCTGACGTCAACAAAGACGACAAGCGCTTCAAAAACATCCCCGAAGCACGCCTTCAACTGGCCAAAATCGCCGCGGTCTTGTTTCCCATCTCCCTGTTCTGGTTTGGCTGGACCTCGGTGCCGACATACAATATTCACTGGATGGTTCCGATTCTTGCCACTGTAGTGTTCGGATGGTCCTTTTACACGTTGATCCTCATGACGTATATGTACATCGAGGACAGTTATATGGTGTTCTCCGCCTCGGCCCTGGCCGGTGTTGGACTCATTAGAAATCTGGCCGGTGCCGGTTTTCCATTGTTTGGCACCCAGTTGTTTGAGAACGAAGGCTACAACTGGGCAGGAACCATACTGGGATGCCTTGCGATATTGCTGGTGCCCATTCCCTTTGTGCTCGAGAGGTTTGGAACAAGGTTGAGAAGAAAGAGCCCATATGCAAGACAGCACATGGACGATGATGATATGGAGGTGGACGCTTCCGACACTGATGACTCCGAGCTATGATCTTGGTGCCCACTTCCACGCCAGGCGGATCTGGATGGAGGATTCCATGTCTATCCTGAGAGCGACAGAGCGCAAGGTGTCCACAGGGGGGAGGCCCTGGGACGCTGGATGGTGAAGAAGAGGAGGGAGAGTTGACAGAGGAGGAAGACTATATTTATACCTGCGTAGTATCTAGCTACGGCTGCAAATTTCTACTCTGCCTAGTCAGTGCCTAGAAATTCACCCCTAGATATGAGTTCAGTCATTAATCTAAGAAATCTCTTCCTGACCTCATATTCATCTCACTTATAGGTGAGGTGCGCTACTAGATCAGTAGGTAAAGTGAGATAAATTAAAGTAAAGATATTAAAAGTAGAGAACATCTAGTAAACTACCTAGGTACTAGAGTTGAAAAGATAAGGTGGTAACGAGAGGTGTAGTATCACTGGCCTAACCTTCCCAATAGATTTAGTATAATAGGAGCTATATTGTAGGATCAGTGTATCACCTTTCAAACAGAAGAGACAGAGGCCGAATGGGCCAACGAAACAATCTCGCTCAGGAAGACCTCGAAGAGGATGACATAGAACGGCAATTGAAGAAATTGCCTCGCGATATCCACGGCAGCCGCCTCATCCCCCTCGTCCTGAGGAACGTGATCCTCCGCCAGAGTCCGTCAAGGACAACGGGATTCCATCCTTTTTGTCGTATGGCGTGTTAGATGGCGTCCTTCAACGCAACATCAGTGACTGGCCAACGAACCTCTTGCGATTGCCTCTGACCTCCGCGTCCGCCCCTGCAAGGCCTAACAGACGAATGCCACTAACTATGTCGATTGAACTTGTCTACACAGCAGCACTCCAGGATCACAAGGAGATTCTTCCAGGGGACTGTGCTCAATCTTTACACGATGACGCGGATAGTACATGGCTCCAGACTTCTCCGAGTGATACTTAGCGGCACGATATTCTGGCGGGCATTTACGTGGACGCTAGGATTTCTGCGTCTGTAGCATCGTGCAACATGGCTGGAGGCCTCGATATGACAAAGACACTGTGCTAGATTGCGGATTGGATCAACAGACGAGAAAACTCACGAGGGTGGATCTGAGAAATGAGATGCAAGATTGCCGACTATGACCACAATCACGACTACATCGACAGGGGTGAAAGGCTGACCCGCGCATCTACTCCTTGGCCACCTCTGTCACCTCGCCCAGTATCTCCATCTTCTTGTCCTTTCCCAAGGCCAAGGCATCCACGATTCCCTCCCGGTCTTCTGGCGCCACACCCATGATTGCTCTCAGCTTGGGCGCCTCGCTGTGGACCTCGCCGTCGAGATTCTCATCAATCTCCTCCAATGTGCGCCCACTGGTCTCGACCCAGAATACCAAGACCACAACCAGTTCAAGAACGTCCCAGGCACCGTTGATCATATACGTCTTCCAGCCGATAGCTTCAAGCGCAAAGGGGAAAGCGAATGTCACCATCAATCCCACCCCATTTACGAGGAAGGTATAAACACCCATGCCGAGCGAGCGCAGGCCATAGTTGAGGACCTCCGGTGGGTATAAGACAGTAAGCGGCGTCCAGCCGAAACTGTACGCTCCTTGGAAGAGGAAGATCGTGGCCACGGTCCCGTAGATGCCGGAGTTGTTCGTCGAGTCTCCATAGACTTTCGTCAACGCGCCCACGAGGAAGATGAAGATGGTCAACAACGCCGTGGAGATAGCAGCGAGAGCCTTGCGGCCCAATTTGTCTGCCATGGCGGTGCCCACGAGTGAAACGACGAGACACCATGCGTTGAGGATGATGTTGATCTCCAGCTGCGTGGTTGAGTTCGTCACTCCCGCCTGCGTGAGCATGGTTCCGAAATAATAGGAAATGATATTGTTCCCGGAGAGCATGGAGAAGACAGCAACGGTGCAGACCAAAAATATGCGTCTGCGCGTGGATGCACTGTTGGCGAACTGCTTGACGAAAGAAGGTCTCTCGAACGACTTCTCGAACGCCAGGGTATCCGTGATCTGGCGGAACTGAACAGCCACAGCCGCGTCATTGATATTTCCGTTCGAATGAGTCTGCGCCAATGCCAGGAGGGCTTCTTCGCTGCGTCCCTGATCTTGAAGCCATCGAGGAGACTCTGGGGTGAATGGGATGAGGACGATGCAGAGAACGCTGAAGAGGCCTTGCAGGGCCGACGGAAGACGCCAGGCCCAGGTGGAATCCATCTTTGCGGTGCCATAGGTGACACCAGCAGCGATCAGACCGCCTATTTGTTTGTCAGTTACCCATCCATCCAGTCACTTGCAAGAGGCGAGGGCGAGCGATGACTTACCAACATACCAAAAGTCATACAGAAGGGCCAGCGAAACAGCTCGAAGCTTCACGGGCACGGTCTCTGACAGATACACTGGCGCGGCGATAGACGAGGCGCCGGTTCCGAAGCCGATGATGATCCTCGCGATCACAAACATGGCGATATTCTGCGCCGCAGTCTGGAGGACAACGCCGATGATGGTGGAGACGGCACCAAAGAACAGAGCCCATTTACGACCAATCCAGTCGGGGACTTTGGCGTATCCGATACCTGCTATGGCGCTGCCCATCCATACTGAGGCCGTGTTGAGCGCCAGAGTGGCTGTGGTAAGAGTGAAATAATCTGTGTACGAGGGGAGGATGTTGAGACCGTTCATCATGGAGCCATCAAAGCCTAGAGTCTGCAAGGCCGCTTGTGTCAAAATTATGATCGATCCAACCTGCGCAACCGCACCGGAACCAGAACACAGATATGTACTTACAGTGGAAGTCACACAAGATGTGAGGACCAAGATGGTGCAAGCAAGCCACGACCGCCCTGGCACCAATGCCGGGAGCTCCCAAGGCATTGGCGACATTGTGACTTTGATATCAAGCCTTTGTTTGCGCAATCGGTCGCTAGTCTGAACAAAAATATCCACGAGACCGACTTTGATGTGTCTTTCAAAACCTCTCTCGACCGAGATCCCGCTCCATTATATATATCTACATTAGAACATCGTCTGGAACAGGGACGACACATGGCTCGCTTCTTCGCACCAGCCAGACCAGGTGCAGTACCGCCCCTTATCGCAAAACCTTCTATGTAGATGTGGAGGTGTCCGCCAGCGTGGGACGGATAGAGCGGCGAATCTCTTCCAAACAACGAGCTCCGCGACTCTGGTCCTAGCCCCTAGGGTCTTGTGCCATTTGGGTTCGCGTTATCTGGAGAAGCGACTCCAAGCCCTCCTGATACGGGACGAGGCTGGTAGGCTGGCCCTCGGCTTGCCGTTTTGCTCGAATGATGTGGAGGTGTGGCACGGTAATATCCGTCCTGAAAGCATCGAGGGACGGATATGGCAGCACAGTCTCCCGCTTGATGAGCCCAGGTTTGTGAGCGAAGATTTCCGCCTCCACTGGCTCTCGAGAGTTTCGCATTCACCAAGTGCAGGTGTGGTGTCGCCCTGGTGCTCTGGGAGAGACTGTATCCCGCAATTTCAAGTGAATGCTGAACCCTGTCTGCAAACCTTACAGCGTAGATGTCCGTGTGAGAGCATGCTGCGTCCTGATCCAGTGGGCATCTTGAACTATTAATCCTCGGGGTCTTCAACACAGGAGAGAAGGGAAGAGATCATTACGTGCGGCGGCGCAACCAAAAAAAATCCCTAAACCAAAGTCGCAAAAATGCCAGGAAGACTACTGAGCTGGCCAGACTGGCCCGAGTTCACAGCTGCCAAGGCAGAGCCAGGCGACGACCTGGTCGGATACAAGAAAGCCATCGTGGACAAGTACGGCAAGGACAACATTGTTCAGAGCTGGCTCAAGGTCTGCAAGGAGCTGAAATCAGTGACTGACCGCATCGCCGAGCACGGCACCGCCGTCATCCCTGAGATCCAATTCGACGAGGTGTTCAGCCTGACGCCCGAGAAGAAGCAGGGCCTGAAAGACGTCGGGTGCTTTGTCGTCCGCAATGTCTTTAGCCGGGAGGAAGCAGACAAATGGTTCACGGATCTGAAGGAGTATGTTGCTGCTAATCGGTCGCAGATTAAGGGTACGTATGTCCCATATGCGCAAACATCATGAAGTGATAGTAATACCTTTGTGTCTGTGTCTGACCTTATCTCCAGGCTGGCCCGTGGAGACGCCATTCATCCTCAACTTGTACTATTCGCCCACGCAAATAGCCGCACGATCACACCCCAACCAGCTGAGACTCAGCGAGGAGCTCAACTCCTGGTGGCATGACAAGGATGGAACTTATTCTCCAGCGCCGTTGTCGTACGCAGACGCGGTGCGCATCCGACCTCCGGGGATCCCGTTTCGCGGTCTCGGGCCCCATATCGACGCAGGCAGTCTGTGTCGCTGGGCCGACCCCACGTACCAGTCCGTCTATGCGGCCGTGTTCTCAGGCAACCCCGAGTCCATGGACAACTACGACTTGACCGCCCGCAAGACGGCCAACCAGGCCATCTTCCCCGGCAGCGCGCATTCGCGGGTCTTTCGGAGCTTCCAGGGCTGGACGGCGCTGACCTCGGCTGGGCTCGGGGAGGGCAGCCTGATGCTGTACCCAAATGTCAAATGGACGATCGCGTACCTGCTGCTGCGGCCGTTCTTCCAACCACCAACGTCCGAGAAAGAGGAGGACATCATGGACGCCACCAAGTGGACCTTCGACGCCGAGAGTCCCTGGTTCCCGGGCACCTTCAGGGACGACAGCCAACTGCTGAGTCCGTCGTCGCACCCGCACCTGCGCCTGCGCGAATGCATGGTGGGCATCCCTCGCATGGAACCGGGCGACACGGTGTGGTGGCACGCCGACATGTGCCACGCGGTCGAGGTGGAGCACAACGGCGACCACGAGGCCAGCGTGGCCTACATCGCCGCCACGCCCAGCACCAACGAGAACAAGCGGTACATCAAGCGCCAGCTGCAGGACATGCTCAACGGTATCCCGCCCGAGGATTTCCGCCGCGGTCCCGCCGAGAAGAACTTCCACCTGTACACGGGCGAGAAGGGCCTTTTGGGCGGCGACGCAGGCAGGAGGGCCATGGGGTTTGATCTGCTCGACTGACCTTGGGTCATTTCCTTTTGAGGCTTGTTGCTCCTTGAGAGAATGCTGTGTAACCAAGTAAAGCTAGTTCAAGCCCAACTCGTGGTGTGTATAATCTCTCGCGCCAATGGGCCATCACTGGGCTACTGCTCCTCTGTCTGCATGGTCAAGTAGACCGATGAAGTCTAATGTCGTAAGATCAGAGCAAAAGTCCCCCATATAGGACCAAAAAAGGACAACTTGGACTTTTAGATCAGCATACACAGATCGTAGTTCAGTGTTGAGGAAAGAGACGAAATAGAAAAAGCATGTGAATTATTTCACCAAGAATCAAAGGTTTCGTATGATGCCTGGTGGTACCTCGTGCATGTATTGTAAGTGGGTTTCTTCCGAGTCGTTCTTGTCGTTCGGTACGTCCTGCTGCTACTATTGTTACTGGGACTGGGACCGGGACTAGAACTGGTACTGGTACTGTTTGTTTACCTTTGTTTGTTTTTCTTGGGTACCCACGAGCCTCCCACTTAGGTTTGGAACTTTGCCTCCACCCAGCCTGTTTCTAGTCATGGATAGATACCCTACGCTAGTCCCGTTCGCCTTTTGGTAGATCGAATACGACAAACACAAAGGAGATGGGAAGGGAGAAAGCGCGGGGGAAGGGAGTGAAAGCCCTACCTCTAAGCTTTGTTCAGTGGCTACTCGTTGGGTACGAGGTAGGTTGCTCGCCTTCTCGCACAGGGGCGCAGAAGAGGTCAAAAAGAGGGAAACGGCGGCAAAAGAATCTTGAAAGAAATCCCCACCAAACAAAGATACATGGCTAAGTTATGCGTATCGTCGCGGCAGACGTCGGTCTTTCTTTTTTTTTATGTGGTGTATTGCAAAATGATTGCTGGGTATCTTCGATAGTAATCCATAAGAAAGGGGCTGGATGTACAGCATGTACAAGATCTCAACTAGACAAAGGCACATTTTGTCATATTCTCTGTAACGTCAAAATTCATCATATTTTTCCAACAGGAAAACCCATTCAACTCTTGACGCGTTGTTGTGTACGTGCATGCGTGCGCGACCTTTTGACTATATGATGTTCGCAAGGTTCATTCGTGCTCGGGTCGGGTCTGGGTTCGTTTCGGTCGGGGTGCTGAGCGGTGCCAGTGCTGGCCCTGATGGTCCTGGGCCTGGGCCTGGTCCGTTAGGTATTGGTGATATAGGTAAGGAGGGAGGCGCGGGATGTATTTGGTTCTGTTGATAGTGTTGCCTCTCCGAAAGCTGCTGGAGATATCTGGCTGATTGCTCAATGTGCTGCCAGCCGCCCCAGTCGTGTTGCTCTTCCTCAGACAACATATTGTCCCACGACGGCGACTGGGCCCCTGAGGAATGTGGATCATGTTCAATGAATTGGTGCCTTGGTCTGCCGTGCTTTTGACGGCGACTGAGATGGGTGCCCGTCTCGGCGTTGCCCCAGACCCAGCTATTTGTACTGGCTTGAAGATCCGCAGACAGGTAAACTAGCAACTCCTCGTCGTGGTCGATGTCAATGTTGCTCGGCTGCTCGATTCTCTCAATCAAACACCGTAGGAAAAAGGACAGGTGTCTGCCGCAGCATATGTTGATGCTTCGAGCGTCATTGATTGCAGCAGCCGCTCTCAGAAGGAGAAAAAACCCGTCATAAACTTGTCGAAACAACAGGAAGAGCATGCACCGCCATAAATGGGTGCAAAGCATCGTGGTCGTAGAGAGGACAAACCGCTGCTCCCACTCATGCGACTGAACATGTGGGATCATGCACCTTGAGAGGATGCTTGCGGTATCGCGAGAAGCATGAAGACACTGCTCAATGGCTTGAGCTCTCTGCTCTGAAGAGCACGATGGAGACAAATTATGGCGATGGAGCATTATTCGTGTATTTTGGAAAGAGATAAGCGGGGCCATGATACATGGGTCCAGGGGAGCCGTCGAAGAGAGTTGTAGTGGCCGGGGAAACAAGAGCAGACATTCACCCAGGTGACCCTCGAATTTGGCCAGCGCCTCACTGGTGATGCACAGAGAACGAAAGGTTTTTGCCAGCGGCGCCATAAGCCGTGCTATGTGCACATGCGCCAGTAGTAACTTAGGAGCCAGAGGAGTGTGCAAATGGTCGGACATCAGGCGCTCTTCGTCGAGGACTTCGGGGTACTCGGTATCGCACTCATCGTCGTTTATGAGCATCGGCTTTCCGAGTTCCAGAGCAAGCACGCTGTCCCTGTTAGCTGGAAAAAAAAGATTGGTGGCATCCAGACTCGAGACTTACCGATCCCAGACGTAGAACGAGTACCATATGCGCTTGCGCATTTCGCCCTCAATCGGCGACCATTGACCCCCCTGTACATGTAAACCTAGATCCTGGACAATGCGGATCGCAGAGCCTAGCCAGATCCAACTGGCAGATTTCCGGTTCATCTCTATCAGCGCAAAGCTAGCGAGAAACGCCACGATTGCCTGATTTGTAGACACGTCATCTTCCCAGAAATTGATGGTGGATATTGCCCTTGTCAGGTATTCCTGCGCCTCTGGGACCCGGCCACGGTCTTTTGTCGCAAGAGCGCCGCATGCGAGGACGGCATATAGAGTCGCAATCCAATCTGTCGGCAGTGATTGCACGTTGCCTCTTTCCATCGCTGCTGCAAAGTTTCGCTGAAACTTGGGCCAGTATAGGACGGGGAAAAGACGGTGAATGTATTCGTGATAATAGTGTAGTAAATTTTCTGCAACGGGCTGCGAAGGCAAGCCCTGTAGGTCCGAAATTCGTGTGTGCGTAGTGTGTGATCGAGGTTGGACGCCCGTAACTGGAGGTTTCAACAAACCGCGACCAATATCGTTCAACTGCGTCCTGGCACTTGTGAGGTCCTGAGGTGCTCTTGCTTTCAACATCCTCCGTGGCGATTTGCCGATAGACGGGAACTCAGTAAAGGCCGAGGAGGCAGTTTCGGGACGAAGGTCAGCGGAGAGATCAGCATTTCGCTCAACTGAATGATATCGCTCGAGCTGCTGCCGGGCTTCCATTAATTGTCGCTCCAGGTCTTGTACGAGCCTGGGATGGTTAGACAGCGCCGTGTGAGATCTGGAACAGACTTGGCTCACTTGATAGAGGACATCCGTCGGTTTGTGTCTTTGGTAAATTGGCAACGAACATTGCGACTCGAACACTCTGTACAGCTCGATGTCTCGGTCGCATCACACTTGATCATTCATCAGCGCAATCACAGCAGGAGTGGTTCTGTTCCCGACTAACCTTGACCTTGCGCTCCCGGCATGCATCGCAGCTCGGGTCTTTTCTTCTTTGTCTGTAGGCTCTTTTTGGGTTGTGCATCATCATGGCAGAAATCTGACCAGGAGATGGGGTGCTCGCCGCTCCACTGCCCGGTCTCAAGTTGTCCCCCGCTCGAGACACTCCCTCACTCGGAGAGAGGGGCCCCATGTCGTGAGGACTATAGAACGACGACATCGTAGTTTGTCCTGATGTGAATAGTCCTGTGCCAAGATGCTGCGACGACGCAGCCCTTGGATGTGGTGTTCGATCCAGCTCATGAGCGGCAGTAAATGGTCCTGAGGGGGCGACCGACGTCGATCCGAAGACGGGCAATGACTCGTCCATCGTCTCAGTCGCATCGACAGTTGCCAGGCATCGCAGGAGATCCGAGAGAGTGGCTTTTGTCTTCCCTTTCTACTCAGACCCGAGTTCTCTCGTTGTGACGAGACATGCCCGCCACTTTCCGAACCCGGATCCAGAAGCAACAGCAGCGCTCAGGACCCTCAATCCATAACAAACAAACAAAGAAAGAGACACCCTCTCGACTCAAGAACACCTCGATCAAAGTGCTGTTTCGACAGGTTACTGCAACGACAGAAGCGAGATGCAGGAATGGAGACAGGTAAATGTCCGACCTTGGCCTAATGGACCACTGGGGAATGGCGAATTGATGCGAAGCGAGTGGTCGCCACTTTCTCAGTCAGGTCAGCCGAAATTGTCGCTAGAACAGAGGTAGAGAGTACTGCCAACGGGCAAAAGGAACTCGAAGTTTTCGAGGGCGCGACCGTGGTCTCGCGATAGCCATGCGCCTTTTCCCACTGATCTGTCGATCGGCAAGCAGCGAAATTTGGGGCCAGATCGTCAAGACTTCTAAGCAAGGACAAGTATAGATTGGGGGAGGAGGGAACCACAGAATTTGAGCCCACTTTGATGCCCGTTAACTTTTAAGGGGGTACAGGTGTAGTCCACGAGCGGCGCACGAGGGGTGAACTGCCGGTGCGCGTGGCGTTGGGAGCGTGAAAGGAAGGGTCCCGCTGGAACATCGAGAACCAAGCCAGGTGGTGGATGAGGCCCTCTGACCGAAGACCAAACTGATGCTGGGGCACATCAGCGGAAAGCCAAAAACCACGTCTGTGTGGGAGCAGATTCGGATTGATGCGCAACCCTGAAAAAGCTAGGGCTTCCTAGGAACCTCCCCGGTTCTAGCAGCCGAAGTGAAAGAAGCTAGCAGCAACGTTTTCAACAGCCGAATGGGGCATGACCGGCATTCGGCTTGCCGCCTAGCTGGTTTGCGCCAAACATCACTGGAGCCATTCTCGAAAAGAGTGCCCCTGTTCGAGGGAGGTGGCCAGGAGGACCCATGAAGTGTTTGACCCATACCCAAGCCACAGTTCGGACTATCCAGGCTGAGAGCGTCCCGGAACTTTGACAGGTAGATGATACATAGTAGACACTCTATACTCGTGCTCTCTAATTGCGTTCGAACGTCTTCCAGGAGTCGGCCGGGTCGACTGACTGATAGAGGGCACCTCGCCTCGACATGACTATGGTGTCATACGCGTGGCATGAATGGCAGTTGTGAACGAGATCACCGGGTTCTTCAGCCATCATAATGGCTCCCATGCTGCTGACATTGACGGCTCCCTGGACTACCTGTATTGCGGGCCTATTGTGGAGGCGGACCGAGGACGATCATAGGCCTTGGCTGCTGTCGCTGGGTAGCTCTAAGCGGCCCTAGGCAGGGCAGATCAGAAACAAATGTGCTATCAACATACCTCATCCGGACTCGGCTCGAACTGCTCTGAGTCAAAGGGCCCTGATCCCTGCTCATCTATTGAACTTCATCTGCGGCGAAATACTGGGTTCTAGAAGGCTTTCGCTGTACCTGAAACATCCCGAACAGGCCATTTCGGTCATGTTGTAGGCGAACTGAAAATTTCCTCTCACTTGCAGAGGTAGTGCCTTGCTCCAGCGAACGGAAAAGGCTGACCGGCCACCGGACATAGCATGTCTCTGACATGTGTGTGATTCCACATGAAGGGGGAGAGGGGTGCCCGATGTCTGAAAGTCTTCTCGCTCCATCGAAACACTCAATCTGCATGTTGTGGTTTTGGTGCAGAGGGTGATGGAGAAGACCAAAGTGGAACATGCCGATGTCCCACATGAGGAGCGCATCATTCATGGCTGAGGCTGTACCTACTGCTCCTGTCTTTCTCCCTTGCTGTCCAGTCCTGCATGGCTCTCCAATTTTGCATGGTTTAGTGTGATCGAATGTAGTACATCCTTCTCCGTTTGTTCCGACTGGCATTAAACAGATAAACAATCTAAGCGTGAGGATGGTGCATGGATGCGACGGAGAAAGTCGAATCCAAGCCATCACCCTAGCCAGCCACAGCCCATCAGCCAGGGGGGTTCGGACTGCGTCGTCGATCATGGGGTCATGAATTTTGGATGCATGGGGTTGCTTCGCCGGGAGTGATTTAGTCTCTGAAGCTGAAAATTGGCCCCCTCTCACCTTCGTCAACATCATCTCTGTTGACTAGGCTCCTTTCCCTTTGCAAGCATCCAAGACCAGGACGGAAGACTTGCTCCAGCGTCTGTACCCTCTGGAGCCAGAATATCTGCGACGTGACGAATTGGTTGAAGCTAAAGCTGCAAGTTCTCAGTCCCGTGCTGCAGATGCAAGATTCCAGGTGGGGGTGAGGATACCTGCACGGTCAATCTCACAACGACTTCCGTCTCTTCTCGAAGGACGGGGTATGACAGAGAGGGGCCCAGTGAGCTTGCACCCGTATGATACTAAGTAAAAGTGGGAAACGGATCACTTGCGGAAAGCAGGATCTGAGGATCCACAGGTACGGAGTACGTTTTCGAGTCGTAGCTTTGCAGAACCCGGGAATAATGGATAGTTGATCCTTGGTCCCAAGTGTTTGTGGCGGTCAACCCCGTCATCTCTGCCTATTTCCATTGAGGTGCAGAATTAGGCCGCAGACTTGACGGAATTGCAGAGAGTCCGTAGGGGAAGCCATCGACAACATTTTACCGTGTGAGCAATGATGTGCAGCAATGTCTTTCCCCCAAAATGATTAGCAGCAAAATCCAGAGCTCAACCGTTTCCCTCTTCTGTTCAGGATCGTGCCAGTAACCGTCGCTCAGCTCTCGGCGGGGTGGCGCAAAAGATTCCCAGGGAGACAGTGATGGAAACAGCCAATAGTTCCAGAAGACAGGTTTGTGGCACTAGCGTGGAGCTTTGAGGAGACCTGGAACTTAGATTAAACGCCAGGGATCCAGCAAACCAGGGTTGTTTTGGAGGTCAGGATTGCCCCCCAGGTAACGCCATCCAGTCGGTTGTAAGTACCACTGGGAAGCCGTTGGAACGGAACTCAGCCCTCGGATCTACACGACCCTCAAACAGGATCGACTTTGCAGCTCGCACCTCGCAGCTAGCACTGCACCAAGGTGGGATTTCCCCTGGCATCTCAGTCCCGCATTCGTGCAGCAAGGATCAGACAGGCTCACCATTTCGCAAGTGTTTCGAACCCAACCACTCTTTCCGTTCTTCTCTGTGAAACATTTGCGTTCGGCGAGTTGTGGCGATATCTTGAAACGGAGCGCAGCATGGTGGTCACTGCGGCCATCACCCAAAAGTCGAACGAACGACGAGCGACATTGCACCCTTCCTTGGTGTTCAATAGATTTTCAACTAGTTTCATAAGCGGACGGAGGCAGTTGAACTGTCCCATGGGCGCGACCGGATTTGGCAGATCCAATCTGCTGCTCATATGTTGAAAAAGTTTAGGGAAAAGTTCTTAATTTTACCAACATCGCCCGATCTATTCCCTATGATGCTCCATTCCTGGTGAGGATAATTGTCCGCGACGGGTTTATTGGCTCCTGCCTGTACTCGTAGTTGTTATTGGATTTTTGTTCCGTGTAGTTCCTTTGGTGGCATCCGTCATATACCTGGCATGGAACCAATTATGCTGAGGGTTGGGAGAATTGAGAAGAGGATCGACAAGGTGCAGCAAGGAGGCGCCGATTGTCTCCTCCCTTGTCATCTGACCCAAGTACCCGTGACTCAATCAAAGTGAGTTCGATAATGCGTCTCACCAAAGAAACCCATGCTTGGGCGAGTTCGAGAAGGCAATGCCTCCAAGTCCCTTCCCAGGGATGCGACAGTCGCAAAGATTTGGTCAATGGCAGGACTCGGTATGGTTGTGTACGTCACACTGGGAGCACCGAAAACCTCGCTATTGAGGCTGCGCAAAGTGTGAGGGCATGATCGGCATAATGAGATATATGGGGAAGTCGAAAGGTGAACGCCTGTCGAATGGTCAATCCCCTCGAGTCAACATTGCGGCGACTCGCCGAAAGTTAAGATAGTGCAAAGCACCATTGCGAAAGCCCCAGCACAAGGCAGAAACAGAGGCGTTGCCGCAGACCTCTTCCTCAGCCCTCTAACTAGACATCGTGACTATTCTGAGAGGTCTCAGGTCACAGAGGGGAATTGACGTGTAAGCTCCGTGGGGAGAGTTAAGCTATGACCTTCTGTTTGATGATTGCCAATTTAGTTTCTACTGACGTTGAGGGTCGTCACTCTGCAGGGTCCTGAGTGGTGTCACCAGGGGCGATCCGCCTCCAGTTCCCAGGGGATTGTCCTCTGTAAGAGCCAAGCTTCGATCAACACAACCTTATCCAGGGAGATGCCGTACGGTGCCTATCGCCACCGGGGTTTTCTCGCAACCGGCAACCCTGCCGAGAATTGGCGAAGGACGGTGATCGATCTCGAGGTGTTTTTCTCACTCAACAGAGGTTCCGAGGGGCCTAAGCGACGATCTTGGTGTCTCAGGAGGGAATTTAGTAACGGGTTCCAGGTTCTTGCACTGGTGCAGGGTGGTCGATGAGGCTCTAAAGTGCCGAATTCCAGCTACCAGGAATGGTCCCGATTTGCTTGCCCCAGGTCTGGTCCCCGACCCAATGAGACGCCAGGGCGTAGGATACCGACCCTTGTATGTCGGGGACCTCAAGTTTTGATAGCTTTCTAGAACATTGACCCAACGGGAGATGAGGGGACCAGGGCGGATTCACGATTCTGGGTCCCACCTCTCCATTATCTGATCGACGACGGCCGCGAAGCCTTCCATTTCTTCTTCGGCAGTCGTGCCAGTGAAATCCATGCTGCAGCCCACGTACACTGGGTGTTTCATCTTGCGTGCAAGTATCTTGGCCATTCTAGTGGCGTAGTCAAGGTTGGAGCCCGAGGTTGCGAGAGGAGTGCTGATCACATTCCGGTCGTTTCTCATCTAGAACTCATCAGAGGGGATGCTGCAAGAGTCCTTAGTAAGGAAATTTTACGTACGTCAGGCATTGCGTAGACAAAACTTCCCATTGGTGGTAAAGTGCTCTCAGCTTGACCGATGTCGGTAGTGGTCAAATGGACCATGGTGCAATTTCCCATGAAACTGAGGTGAGCATGGAAGTTGAGATGAGGGTGTCTGGGCATGGGGAACGAGATGTGGACAGGTTTGAAGGAGGGTTCCATGGCTGCTGGGGATCAATTGCCCTTGAGGAACCAAGGATGTTGCACTGGAATGGAGCTTCAGGAATCAGAGTTAGATCGGTGGACAAGTCTGAGATGTGACTGAGAGGGCGATGGATTTCGCACGAGCTGTTGCCTAGAGGAAGTATTGTAATGGACGAGTCTGCACAGTTTGCGGTAAGTTGGATGGTTGTATGGACGTGAGAAAACAGACTCGATGGTTGCGTGTGAATATCTGGCTTGGCACGCCTTCGACTTCACTGCAACTTGCAATGCGTTGTTTCCATTCGTATCAGCCTATACCATCAAACCTTCCCAAAGATTTGTCCATCAACAATCGTCGACTTGTCCTTCTCCTGCCTGGTACTTACGAGGCCGCTGCAGGATGGCTGGAGTCCAGTACACCGAGGATGTTACTGTGTCACAACCAAACCCGTTGTTCGACGATGCTGGTCCTCTGGCTGACCCTCTGGAACGGCGAGTCATCTTCGCTGCCCTGGATTCTTTTCAGTAAGTGGACTGGCAAATTTGATACAATGGCATTTGGACCCCCAACCTGGTCTTCCGGCCTGCGCATGGCGAGGCTGAACTAGGATGTGTTTGATCGCACTTATCTTGGTGATGAGCTATCGCCGTTTCTCGAAAGCGAGGTTCAAGGAGTACGGGCAACACTATATTTGATGCCTCCTTTCAAGAGGGCTTTGCTTTGCTGGTCGGAGACGTCTTGAGTGAAGGGTCTGGCCTTGTTCATGACACGGGCTATCAGGCCTCACCTGAACCGCCGTGTGTTCAGGCTTAGCTTGATCCCCCTGGATATTTGTGCCTTTGCTCGATCTTCCCATTTGTTTTCAACTTCCCCAAATTAATCCCTTGACTAACACAGCTGACCTAGACTGAAGCCAGTTTCGGAGGAACGCACACTTCAACACAACTCACCGAAGGCGGCAGAATCTCTACGCTCTACCATCGACACAATGGCAAATGCTTGCAGCCCCTCCCTTTTCCATCCTGGACACCCTGAACGACGTTGATGATGCATTGGACCACAACGCCGACTTGGCAGACCAAATATTTCACTTAGGATTAGGCGCATTTGGGCTTCCCGAAAAACCGCCCAAAGACTCGGAGATGAACTGGCAAGGGAAAGCGAAACCCAACGACATCTCCAAAGCGCATTCGACCATCCGTCAGTTCTATCGAGATTGGACCCACGAAGGATTCACGCTCGAGGTCGAACCGCTCCTCAAGACGATCCTCTCCGACCTCGAATCAAGCCTCCCTGCGGGACGACAAACCCATGACCAGCCTCCATCACTCCTTCTTCCAGGTGCGGGACTCGGTCGTGTACTATTTGAGCTCGCCCTGCGAGGCTTTCATGCCACAGGCAACGAGATCTCGTACCACCAACTGCTCGCGAGCAATTTCATTCTCAACAGCTGTGATCATGCTAACCAATACCCGATCTACCCATTTGCACATACATTCACAAACGTCGTGTCCCGGGCAAATCAACTCAAACGCTACACCGTTCCGGATGTGCATCCAGGTGAAGCCTTCTCTGCTCGACTTTCTGCGGGACTACCGGTCGGTGAGATGAACATGACCGCTGGGGATTTCGTGCTCTCCTACTCCACCCCAGAATCCAAAGAGACATTCGATGGAGTGGTGTCGCTTTTCTTCATCGACACGACGCCAAACCTCCTTCGCTATATCGAGACGGTGCGGAATTGCTTAAAGGAAGGTGGCGTGTGGATCAACATCGGCCCCCTGCTGTGGCACTTTGACGATCGTGCGCCCGGAGGGAATACCGATGACGATGGCGACGACGACGACGCAGAAACGGGCGCAGAGAATGCGCGTCCAGGATCTGGAGCCAAAAGCCGCCAGCCAAAGCCCGACCTCGAAGACAAAGGGATCGGCGAACCAGGCTCCTTCGAACTCACAGACGAGGAGGTCGTCCTGCTCGTTTCGCGCATGGGCTTCGACGTGATTACGCACGAAATCCTCCCCACCGGTTCGGGCTACATTCAGGATCCGAACAGCTTGTTGCAGAATGGGTACCGGTGCAGTCACTGGGTCGCGAGGAAAGTCTGTTGATGCTTGGTTGATCAAACGCATTGCTGAGAGGGGCCACCCTTTTTTCCTCGCCCAGCGCTTACCCATGCGCGGACCTATTCACAGTCTATGCCATGCAAGAGCTGAATGGACGAGTGTTTCTCAACCCAAAGAACTTCCAGACAAAGCTCAGTTACGCCCGGTATATGACAGATTACACAACGAGGAGTGCCAGCATTTCCAACAAGCAACCTGAGGGATGCGCGGCGGAGATAGGCCTCGGGCACTGGACACACTCAAGCAAGGCTAGGATCTCAAACCATCTCTCTTGAATCAGGGGCACACTTGGACAAGCGCCCTCGTGAAAGTCGACGGCGGAGATCAAGACGAGAGGTGAGCAATCGCCTACTCGCTTGCTCGTCATCAAGGATTGAGGCACGTCTCTTGGAACAGCGTGGACCGGAGCAGATCACAAAGGGCACGGCAATCAATCAACCAGATCTTTCCCATATCACATCTTGTTGCAGGATAAATATCTTGTTGGTTCAAGGCTAAATCTGATTCGACCCATCTGAATTTATTGTATCTCGCGTCCTCAAAGGGTTTCATTGCTTTCGCTCGTGGATAATATGCAACTCCCGGCTTTTTTTCCTTTCTTGATCTTCACCTCGTGTCAACGTCACTGTGCCAAACGACACTATCGTCAACCCTCACAAGCCATACATCTCAAGCTCAACGTACTTACACTGTGATCATTTGCACATCAGCAATCATCAAAAGTGTAGCCTGGCCAGCGTCGGGGACATCCCCAGATCCCCTTCTTCTGTCACCGCTGTCGTTCGCTCATGTGTCGTCTTCGACCCCGACACTCATTAAATCACTCCTTCCACTTGTCGTTCTCCTCAGCTGCCATGAGTTCACTCTTGACGTGGGGATAACCTTCATTTCCGGGCGATATCCATGCTTCGATCCACTGTTCTATCTGAATCTTGCGCTACATCTTCCCATCACCTCGCCCTGGCACACCAATTCGGCGTTAAATTCAGACCCGTCCAAGGTCAAATAAATGTCAAAGTACACTCGGTAGAATGTGCCTTGTGGAGTATCCATTCTTTCGAAGTCCTTCTCGAGATTCTTCCTTGACAGATCTGAAGTAAGTGTGACTACTTCCTTGATGCGCGGGTCTTTGGTATATTCAGGACTGTTACGCGGTTAGCTGGGAAACACAAACGAGCAGGACAAAGGAGGTCGAGGAGACTTACCAGACATCCTCATCACAAGCATAAAGAATATCCTCGTACATCAGGGTTGCCCCAGGTGCCACCTGTCTGAAGAACGAGACTTTGACGGGCTCACCAATCTTGACTCTCTCGCCCTTTTGAACGAAGATCTGTCTTGTGTATTTGCATCGATCCTTGCCGTCAAGGCTGGGCACGCGATATTGTTCGGGATGATGACCCTCTTTGAATGGCTGAAGGGTGGCCATGAGGTAATGTCGTCTCGCAACACGAGAAGTGATGACGCGCTCAGTAATGCCTGCCGTGACGGCGCCTTTGACAATGGCGGCCACCGAGTCCATGGGTCTGACGACCTTAGACTGAAATTGCGGAGGGACGTGCAGCTTGATCTGCTGGAAGAGATACTCCGATGCACCAAACCCACCCACCACCAGGACATTCTGTAATGATCTGTTCTGCGCCTGGATAGCAATGATTTGGTTGCGAACAAGCTCCAGGATTCTGTTGACGACGGGTTCGAAGCATTGAAGAATTTCCTCGTTGGTGAACGTCATATAACCTTCTTCGATGCCGGCCTCAGGAAATTCAGCCTCGATACCAACATCGACAGCCCATTTCTGGCCATTGTTGCGGAAATCGGCCTTTATTCTGTTTTCAAAGTCCATAATACATTTGGCGTACACTCGACCGGCTGTTTTCGATCCATCAGGCAACTTCATTTTCCTGATCTTCGCGCGCAGGATGTTGGAGAAGTTTCGGTTGAGAGCAGTCGAACCGCACGAGTCACCACTGCCGGCGGTACATTCGGCAACAGTGAAAGGAGTCTCTTCTTCGACCTCGTACGCGATCAAATCGACGGTTCCACCACCACAGTCCACAATCAGGACCGCATCATGGATCTTGAGGTTGAGCAGGCCAGTCTTGGAACAGAACATGGCTGCGGCTTCGGGTTCGGTGATGAGAGTTAGTCGGTTGTCGTTCTCATCACGAATAAATCCGGCTTGAATGGCTGCCGCTCTGGTGGCTGCTTTACCGGCATCGTTCCAAATGGCGGGAACGGTCAAAAAGTATCGGATGTTGCGCTCTTCTCGATTGAAAACCTCGCCCAGTGTCTTTTGCAATTGGACTCGCATAGCTTGCCGGAGTTTGAAGAGATAGTCGGCCGCCACATCGATCTCGGACTTCCCAGGTGGGAGAGGTGGTAAGTTAATGGGGTCTATGTAGGTGTTGCCTGAGAGCATGAGTTGCAGCTTGAACCATTCGACTTTTTGCACGCCTGGTTTGGGATAGCCGGTAGGAGCTAGGGCGTCCGCGATATCGGGACCCCAACCGACGACTTTCTGATATTGATCATAGTATAGCACGGTGGGAATCTAGTCACGTCAGTCCCACGTCACGTCGTTCCTTGGGGATGTCTGCTTCGACCCACCTTTTGTTTCGTTTGATTGCCTGCACCTGGCCATTCTGTTATTATATCCTCTTTTGCTTCTGTGTTTGTCGCAAAGGCGAATGCTACGCCCGAGAAAGTAGTGCCCTAAGAAAAGCAGTCAGTTCACCTGCACGATCCAATCATGTGAAGCAGGGCAAATCTTACAAAATCGATGCCGACAATCAGCTGGGCCTTACTCCTTCCTGCGCCCTCCACTTCGGCCGGACGAGCACCGGGTGGGAACTGATTGTTCATATGTTGAATGCCTGGCTGCGGACCAATGGTCTGATGGCCGTATGCGCCGCCGTACCCCGGAGGTTGCGGGGGCCCCAGCTGAGGAGCACCGCCAACATAGGCACCGGCTCTTGTATCGATGGGAGCAGGGTGGTGTGCCATTTGGTTCTGAGCAGGGGGCATGGGCGACTGCGGGCGGCCCTGCACGCTGTTGTATGAGTAGCTGGGAGGACGTCCAGGCGCGCCGGGCTGGTTGGGATTCATAGGCGGCAGACTGGTTTGCGAGGAGTTTTGAGGAGGGGGAGGAGTCGTGGCGTTGGAGATGGAGCCGTTGGGTGAAGCGACAGAGGTGGAGGTGGTTGAGGTGGTTTGGATGTTGGCACTACTCTTTCGTTTGGAACCGAAGGCTAGAGACTTGAAGCGCGAGCTCATGACATCGACATTGAAGAGTAGAGCGAGGGAAAGAGCGAGTGCACCAGGTCAGGGTTGTTATGTTGTAGTTGTAGGTTTTGGATTGGTGACAGCAGTCGACACTGATGTGCGTTGGATTGGTAAGGTGAGTGAGACTGGTGGCTGAGCGAAGGAAGGAGCACTGGCTTGAGGCGATGTCGATAGGGGACCAGAGGCCGGAATTCCAGTCAACAGTGCAATGGCTAGGCCGAGCAACAAAGACGCCGGTTTGAGAATTGGATAGACAGCTGAAGAGGTATGTAGCGATAGAAGCAAAGAGGGACGTGCGGCTGCGGCTGTGTTGGTTGCGCTGAACTTGAAGAGGGCGGCGGAGACCAAGAGGCCAGACAACCAAACGGCGGCCCCCTGCACCCAGCACGGTGCCCGTAATGATGTGTAATGGTACGGGAGTATTGGGTACCGTAGGCGAGCACTAGCGGTGCTCTGGCCCTCTAAATTATCAGGCTGAGATACGAAGGATCTGAGTCCCGTTCACCGTTCCCTACCTAGGTAGGTAGGTATCATTCACTGGGTCGCAGAACCCTGCTGCGGGCTAGTATATCGTAACCTTCTGGTCTATATCACCTTGTCTCCTTTTTCATCAGTTAGCATAGATTACAAGCTGCAGACACGGGAGATGAAAGAAAGACAATGAACGCACAAAGGTGGTGGCCAAGATGGGGGCGCCTTCTAGGCCTAGTCCTCTCCAGTGAGCCTGTGCTAAGGGCCGGTAGTGGCCTCTAGTGGCTCCCCCAGTGGCACGTCTCGTATTGTCTGACGCCTAATGGAATCTGAAGGCTGATTTTGGGGGCTGACCAGTTACTGACTTCTTTTGCCAGATTCCAGTGAGACGCACAGATAAAGAGCGGTGAAATCCACTCAGCTACAAACTACAGCGTGTCTACGTGGTGCTCTTTCGCTGTGTTTTATCGGGCTCGTCTTTCTCCAAACTTGTCGGCTTGATGCCCACACCACCAAGATACCAAGACTTCATAGTAAGACCCTACTGGGAAGACGCAGATGTTAAGAGTCGATAGGGCTGACATCCCGCCCCCTCCTTCATCTTCCATCGCCCGCTCAAGGCTCATCTGCGTCCTTGCCGCCCAGTCCAATCAAAGTGGCTCGTTTCAGCCTTTGAACAAATGTGCGTCCGACGGCAATACCTAGTAATTTCTTCCTTCCGTGTCTCGACACCTGTATACGAGACCAAGCATGGGCGTCTCGGATTCATGAGGCTTTTCGTCCATCTCCGCCTGGCCTATCTCCCTCTTGTTTCAGCCTTTCTTGGGGTCTTGAATGTTCTAGTCGATCTATCCTAGTACCAAATATGTACCGAATACAAACTGAACGGAAAACACACATGTGGCTGATCCCTGTTGAAAATCCCCACTGGAAAGAGGCGCGGGTCAACCGTCGGACTTGGGATTCCATCAGAACTCCAGTCCAATACACAGAGGTGCGGCTGACAGTGGCTGGCACTTTCCACATGTTTCTCTAACAGTTCCCCTTCTATTGGCTCGGTGTTGTTCTCCAAACAACCAGGGCGAGCAGGGCTCTGGGCTGGGAGCGGCTCAAGATCTGGATGGTGGTGAGTGTCCAGTACCGAGTACTTGGTATCTGTTGATGCAAAAGAACATTCCGCATTTTAATCTAGCGCTCAGGGTCTACAACTCATCCTTGATGCTCTTCGTCGCCGTGGCGGTCGGTGTTGAAGATGAGGTCGATGAAGAAGTGGCCTTGGAAGTCTCGCTGCCACTCGAGCTGGAAGACTTGGTCTTCTTGCCCTCTCCCTTCCCTGTTCCTTTCTTTCCACTCCCTGTCTTTCCCTTTTTCGGGATTTCTTGCATTTTGATTGTTTTCATAATAGTATCTGAAACCAGCTTCTGTAGTTCCTGCCCCTTAGTCTGCAATTCGGCAACCAGGAAAGCCGGCTCTTCGTGTGGCCCCAGTTTGTCTTGCAGAACAAGTTTCTCGTCGAGCCATTTCTTCACTTCATCATATTTGGTCGTAAGAGCTGCAAGGTCTTCATTCGTGTACTCATACGGTTTGATCGGGGGCGGTTCGTCCGTTTGCGTCGCTTCGCCTGCTGACGTGCTGCTATAGGGATCCTCGTCGAGATCATCCCCATTCACTGTAGACGAGCTCGTGGAGGCGCCCGAGGCTGCAGACTCCGCAGCTTCGCTTGCACTCGAGGCCGCATCCTCTGCTGCCTTCTTGATGCTTCCTTCCACCATTGTGATCATGCCGTTCAGGTTCTCCAGTCCCTCTTTCAAGGCCTTGACAGCATCAGGCCGTGTGATAGCTTCATCTTGACGCTTTAGTACAGGATCAACCAGACCATGGAGGCGCTTCAGGTTGTCCTTGAAGTCTTGGAGTTTGGCGTCTAGGCCGTCACTATACAGCCACTCGGAGATGCTCGACAGCTGTTTTTCCAGTTCTGTCCGAATAGACTCACTCGAGGCAGCTATGAAATTCTCGTCCCCTAGGTAGTCCCTCGCTCGGTAAGTGAAAGCCTCGAGAGTGTTCAAAGCCTCAGCTCGGAGAGCGGCATTCCGGTCTGACATATCAAACTGAGCTAGACGTTGTCGGACTCGAGGCAGAATCTGAACCGGTGGAGCATTGAGCCCGACGACAGTGGATTGCAAGGCAAGCGGGATTGAAACGGTTGTTGGCGTGGCTTTGGTCGTTTTGGCAGATTTAGTCGTCGAGGAGGAAGAGGAGGAAGCGGGCGACTCCGGAGGTGAGGGCGAAGCGGACGACATGGTCGATCCAGAACTTGTTGAATCAGACACAGGCAACGGAGTTTGAGATTTTGGGGCCTCATCATTCGCATCTTCATCTGCGACGACCTTCTGATCGCTGTCCTTCTTCGAGCCGAAGCCAAACAACCCTTTGACGTTGTCAATGACTGTCCCACCTTTGATACTCTCGGTCTCGCAGCTAACAGATCCCGAAACAACTTCTGGCAATCCATCCACGTGGCTTAGCCGCATGGTGAAAACCGTGCTTATGTTCGCCGCCGCACAGCCGTGCTTTTCCTTCAGCTCGCCCACTGATTTCGTCAAGTTTGAAGCTCGAATCTCCGTTACAGGAACTTCTAGCTCCTTGACTGCCTGGGTGAATCCTAAGGTAACATCTTCTAGCGTCTTGATAGGGACTTGCTTCTCAACCCCAGCTTGGGAGGACGGGTGGAACAGTTTCTGCGTCCTTTCCTTGTTCTCGGCACTCCACCTCAAGGTAAAAGAGAAACCTGAGATGTCTACGCCGCGGATGTCTTTGACCCTAAAGCTAGGGCTTAGAGATGCAGCTTTGAAGGCTGCTCCCATCACCGCAGCTTCGTCGGCGTTGACGTTGGTCTTGAGCTTGGATGAACCCCCAGCCACCTTTTCGAGCTGCCTCTGCACGAATGGGGTTCTCACTGCGCCTCCGTGTAGAATGATCGAGTCGAGTTCATACAATTGCAGCCCGGCCGACTGGAGAGCAGCATCGACTGGCGAGCCTACTCGCGAAGCATGATCTGCGGCGAGCTCTTCAAACTTATCCCGGGTAAGGCTGTACTTGAAGGTGATATCATCGTCATAAAGTCCTTCGAGGGTCGCGGTTGAAAGCGCATTAGCACTGAGAAGCTGCCGGATTCGTTCAGCCTCTTTCCAAATTCTTGCCATTGATTTCCCGTGAGACCGAACCTGCTCACGTTCCAATGCCAGCTTCTTCGCACCTGGAGATTCAAGGAATTGGGAGATGATGTCTTCGACAACCACGTCGTTTAAAGAATCTCCACCCAGCAACGCATCGAATCCCACACCAAGAGCGATGACTTCTTGGACGGTGGAATTGCGCTTGCCTGGTCCTTTGATAGTCCTGCCTTGGAACTTGAGCACCGTTGCCGTTGTCGATCCAGCGCCCATATCATAGACAAGATGGTATTCTGGCTTACCCCCGTCTGTCACGCTATCGAACGTTCGATGCGTTGCATAGTTGAGTCCAACAGCGAGTCCGTCGCTGACGAGACCGAGAACTCTCAGTCCCGCCAGGTCTGCAGCCAATTGAATGGCTCGCTTCTCCTCAGCAGTATAAAATGCAGGATATGTGATGACCACATCAGTGACATACACGCCCTTTGCGACCATGGCTTCTGCATTGCTCTTGACGTTCTTCAACTGCATTGCTAGGAGTTCTTCCACCATGAATATTTCGTTTTTCTTGGTTCCAAAGCTCTGACTCTTGAAGCCCACTGTTCCTGCATCCTTGTCCGTCCCATTGCCTCTTGGAACAAGCTCAAGGTTTAACCCTGGATATCGAGCGGCGTACGTCTTCACCGCGTCGCCAGAGTATTCGAGGCCCAGCAAACTCTTCAGGTTGGGATAGACATCGCTCGGAAATCTCGAGGAGAGCGCCACGGCGTCTCCTCCATACAGGCGTTCGGGGAAGGCATCGTCATCCTTCGCCTGCGCTCTGGAGGGCTTGAATGCGAGTGTCGCTGCTTCCCTTCTCTTGGAGTCCTTGGATAGGACGATTTCGATGGGAGACCCTGGTTTAGCGATGGCGCCCTTCAGATACTCGGTGCCCAGATCTATACCCAGGACTGCAGAAGCGGCATGGGCGGTCGTAGAGAGGAACAGGAGGAGAGAGAGTGCGACAAGGCTGAGATTCGAAAGCTTCCGTCGTCCAGGTGGCGCCATTGTGCATATGTTGAGGAAGTTGTCAATTGACTGGGCTTGGTCGTCCTGGGTAGGTCAATTCAAGGAAAGAATAATTTGCTGATTGGGGTTTGCGAGCACATTTCCAGAACGACGCTCAGGTAGGTGTCTGAGGTAAAGGTTATTGAACGAAGAATGGCAAGTCCCGTCTATGACACCGTTTCCATTTTTGATGCTCGCGTGCTCCTCTGTTCACCGTAGCAGGCCCCGGTTGTGAACAAGTTGTCCAGAAAATGAGGGTCACGAGTCATGAATATTGAATACACGAGTCGTGCAGCCAGGCTGAGAAATAATTGTCACCGTCTGACACTGAATAAACGCCGACATCCAACATAGCGGATGAGTACTCGACTACAACCAGGTGAGAGCTCTATCACAATATAGTTGATTTTACGAGTAAAGAATACAAAGCTGCTGCTTGCAAAGATGGATAGATGTTTGCTTTAAATGGGCGGCCACCCTTGATCTATGGATAACTGTTTTTGCCTTACCATCAATAACGGCAAGTCAGACACAGTGGCCGTCGATTTCTCATCACTCCCACAGACTTTCAGCCTCACACCATTCACGTTTGGTCTTTGAACTGTGAGCATTATTCATATGTTAGAAACCGATAACTATTGACACTCTGACCCGAAAACTTGACACACTGGTGCGCACTCCGGGCTTCTCCAACTTCAGAATGATCCTCTGCGCCGAAAATGCATGAAATCATCACTCTCCAGCTTGGAACCAAAAGTAACTATCTAGCGACCCATTTCTGGAACGCTCAGGTAGCCTGTGCTCAACTGTACCAAGGATCCTTCTAATTCTTGTTCAAAGGAATCCTATTTTACATACTCTGAAAATGAGGAATCCCTGGTAAATCCGGACATTCATTTTCGACCAGGCCTTGGTTCCGATGGCTCGGAGACCTTCACTCCTCGGACCATAATATACGACCTGAAGGGGGGATTTGGCACTCTTCGCAAATTCAATGCGTTGTATGACATCTCGGGAGACTCCCACGCGGCCCCGGGTCTTTGGTACGCTGCCTTCAGAGACGCTGCTTGGTTGAACGTGATTCTAATCACTTCCAGGGACGGGAACACGGCACGACGTCAAGAACAGCCCATTGAACCATCTGAGTATCAAAGGAGCCTAGACCTGGGTCTCCCGACTACTCAACTCCACGCCTCGGATGTGAGGTATTGGTCCGACTTCAACCGTGCTTTCTATCATCCTAGGTCCATTGTTCAACTCCACGAATACGAGTTGAACTCGCAACTTATGCCCTTCGAAAACTGGTCTGCTGGTGAAGAGTTGTTCGGCAGTCTGGACAAGGAAGTTGATCTTCTTGATCGTGATGTCAGACCGTTCGTAGAAGAGTGCGACCAAATGCAAGGTTTTCAATTCTTCAGTGGTGCGGATGACGCATGGGGAGGCTTTGCTGCCAAGTATGTGGACAATGTGCGAGATGAGTATGGCAAGACAAGTATCTGGGTCTGGGGCATTGAAGACGGTTCCAGAATGACTAGGGTACGTCTTCGTCAATCCGTCCGCAAAGAAGTTGCTCAATCAGGAATAGGAAAAACTGTCAGTAAGAGCGTGCAATGCCTCAAGAACCCTCCAGTCAATTGCTCAGCAGGCATCAGCATATGTCCGGCTTGCTGCACCTCCCTCGATTCTGCCTCGATATGTAAATATTGACAGGGGGTCCGATTGGATGAGCACCGCACTCCTCTGTGCGGGCATTGAATCTGTCACACTTCCGACAAGGCTCAATGCCGAAGCAGGGAAAAGAGGCTCGTTGAGCCTGTTCGAAGATACGCTAAATACCAACGGCGTTCAAAATGTGTTCGAGCTTTATGCAAGCGTCACGAGCTCAAAGACCGAAGCCAGCCACTCCTCCAACGGAACTGCGACTGGCCATGGAAATGGCTATGGAGAGAATCAAAGTACTAATTCGCCAGAGCCATCACGCTTGGACCTGGACTACAGTCCGAGTCTCAGCAGTCCGTCGGCCGGGAGATCCAGTCATGTTTTTGCTCAGGTGGAATGCGACCGTGACCACCTCGAGTCGGGGACACGGCCGTTGACCCTGACCCCAGAAGAGCGGCTTCGAAGGAGACTAAACGAGGAGAGCGTGGTAGAGATGTGAGTCGATCCCTTTGCTTCCTTGTTCCGTCAACCCAAAGCGCATCAGCTCCCTCAATACAAATGGATCGACCAACAAGGCTGACACCCGCCCAGATTTCAAACCAGCCTACAGTTTCCATTGCTGGACACGTTTCCAGACACGCTCTTCGAGACAAGTCGAAGGTCGAGCGGGCTGGATATGTCGGCAGCCTTAGAATGCAACTCGAGAATAAAGGCTCGAATTCTAGATCTCAGGAATACGACTTCTCGCCTAATGCCGTTGGAAGAGCGAGAGGCTCATTACAACGATTTCACACAAATGGCCCAGAATTACGACATTGGATGGGATTCAGGATCAGATTCTGGGATCGACGATGAGTGAAGCTCTGTGGTCGCATGAGCGACACGGCGAGACGGACTACCGAGTACAAGAGAGGTCTCCCATGCCACTGCCCCGTCTGGTACATTTTTGCCACAGGTGTTCGCGCAGTTCCGGAGCCAAAAGAGTAAGGTTGGTTTGGTCAACATACATAGTACGCCAATGGCATGCCGCAGGAGGTGGCAGGTCAGTGGGCATGTGGCAGGGCTGCTCGTATGAGTATAGTGTCTGGGGCGCATGATGTGATTCCTCATAGGGACTCACACTTTGGGTGTGCGCGTGACTGGCTTTCTTCGCATAGACCGAGAGACCATCCAGAAAGCCGGTCCGGATTCGTGTGGAAGGCTTGCAGAGCAGCTAAAGCACAGCTCATAGCGAGGCCAAAGCACGTCAACTTCGTCATAGTCAATAGTTTCTGTCAAGCTGTGGAAAAGATCTGCTAGCTCCAACGCCTATCTTTCAAGTTTTTTGCCAGCCGGTGCCTATCAAGGTTCAAAGCGGCCGCCAATCATGGTAGCCCAGGCTGGCGCTGGTGGCGCCGATAGCCAGCGACCAGCCCAACGCCCCTCTGCCCCCCCAAAAGCCGCCTCGTGCTCTAACCACGAAGAGAAGAGTGCCGAAAAGCAGCCTCCGAAGCAAGGCACACAATGGCAAGTTTAGGTACGGAGCATTCTTGATGGACCTCGCCCTCCAGCTCGAATTGACGCCGTTGCGACAATGTTTCTGATAAGGATCTTTTTGACTTTTCGGCGTCCGCGCGTTGATAATACAACTGCGATTCTCGCACGGGACAATACTCGGGACGGGGGGCACTGAAGCAGGAACATGGAGTCAGCGGGAAGGAAGAGTCTTGCAGAGCTTCTCCTACTGGGTCAAACGGGTGAGAAATTCCCCGAGCGAGCTCATGGTATACGATAGTAACGTGGAAAAACAAGGATGGATCCCTGACAAGTTGGAAAGCTTGATTAGACCAGTAACCAATCATGGCATTGTGCCTGACCCCCGCCCCCGCTAAAGTGAGACATGCATGCTTGGCGACTTCAAGCCTTCCTTCCACTTGGTGGCAGTTGCAACTCCTGGCAATGCCCGTTGCCCAACCTCATTCCCCCAACGACCATCAACCTTTTCTCAAGCCTGCGCCGGTGACAAGCTACGGATAGTGGCTTCGATTGGCATCGATCAGCTTCGGTGGCTTCGGCTGTCTCAACCATGCTATCGTCATGCCATCACGCTACGAGAATATTGAGGACAAAGCAAGAGAGCTCCCGATGGGTCGCAGTCGCAGTGCTTGAGGGTGAGTATGTCGGCGGATGACTATCGACATGGTTTCTGACTTCATTGGAGCAGGTACTGATCCCCACTACCACCTACGAGTACCGGATACACCACCAACAACGGATCCCTGCTCAACTGTACCTACCTACCGGTAGCTTCCCCCGGCTTTGGCACGCGAGGGGGGCAGGACACCAGCCCGTTGTCCTACTCAGTGGCCGACTTGACCCTCGACCTTCGACAATGCCCGGCGGGGTAAAATGCACCACCTGCTCTACCAGTACCTATGGTCACACAGCCTACGGACTATGGTCCTGTCCGATTGCGAAATCTTTTGGGATGGTTGCGTGAGGCTGAACACATAACGCTCTCACTATGGGTCAAGAGTCAGCTCACACCAGCTAGCCACTCGATTGCGCTCGGGATGTCTCTCACTCTGCCTCTTCCTTTGGCGCCTGAAGAGTATGCAACTACGGAGAACTCTGCAGCCATCTGAAGAGGCTGGCAGGCAGATGTGCTCCTCGTTGCTCTTTCTATCCACCCAATTGGTCAAAAGGCAAAATATCTACGATCGCGCCCTCTGGAAATGCCAGCCTCTGACTAGCCAATGTCCCATTGAGGAAGCTATTCCCACGCTGACCCGGTTGGCATTGTCTTTTGCAAACCCCACTCTGGTCAACAGTTGTCTCTACCGGGCTGGAAAACTCGGTTGTTACCCTGCGGTCTCCACAGCCCCTCGACTCTCCACCCTCCACTACGACTATGACATGAGTCCGAGAGGAACAGGCTTGGTGGCATGGAAAATGCTGCAGGACTTGTCCACATTCCCAGCACTTGGATGCTCGCATGACAGAATCCACAGCCGAAGAAGCTGGAGAAAGGTGCCTTCCCGGTCGAAAATTCTCATGCTACAAAACCATACAGATCCCAGTCGACCTCTGTTTCTCTTCTTCCCATCACCACATTCCCGTTCTTTGTCGACCATCCCTCGCTTTGTACCGAGTACACGGAGCTCGTTCGCTAAGGCTCTCAGCACTCGTTCCTCATCCAAGGTCTCTCTGTATTATAATCTACCGAGCAAAGCACATACTCGTTGAACATGAAGTCATCTCTTATTCTGCTGGCTGTCGCCGGCTTGGCAAGTGCCGGAAAGCTGCAAAGAAGAGGATCGAGCACATGGATTGATTGGACGACGACAAGTCCTACCACCACGACTACAACTACCACGCCATCCACGACCTGGGCGGACTGGACTACCACGACTTCCACCACGACCACGACCACTACCACTACCACTACCACTACCACTACCACGCCATCAACTACGTGGGAAGATTGGACGACCAC